CATCCACGCACGCTATCGGAGAAAAGAGGGAGACTGCCACACACTATCCAACACTATCACCAATCTCCCTTCCCTTCCCTTTTTATCTCCCTCTGATCCCCGGTGCGTGCTCTTCTGTCCAGGACGCACTGGAACACACGCGGACATTCCATTATACATATTTAGAGGTTCCTGCTTAAGTTAGATAGCCCCGTCCTAATAGGTGTGCCCGCAAGCCATGCCCGCCTTCATGACCTTGATGATGGTTGTGTTTCATCTTGATTCTTTTTCTTCCGGTTCTCAGTTATTTTCACATGTCCCAGTCACTTTATCGTGCAGGACACAACTGGCTTCGATTTCTATGTTCTGGCTATCTTTGGCGGTTGAACGTCGATTCGAACCGGGTCGACTGTTGCATCTTTTTTTGTATATACCAAGAACTATCTGAAAACAATATGAAAACCAAAAAAATTTCAAAGCACCTCATTCCCTTACTTCCAATCAGGACCAAAACTAGATCTCTTTGAAGATTGCTGGTGCCTAGTGAGGATTAACGCCCATGGAAATACAGTACCTTGGCACATCCAAATCGCATCCAAGCTAAAAAGACAAAAACCAAGACTTCAACATCACGATGATGCTATCCGAATAACTTCGTAAACTGGACCCACCCGTTCGTAGACGATAACGTCAATGTCGAACGAACCAGGCACGGACTGTACCTGATTAAGGGTATGATGTCACGGGGTCTTGAGTTTGCCCATGTGGAGCAAGCGGACCGTGCCCGAGTTTCAGGTAATCAGGAATAATCAGGATTTGGACATCATCTACACGTACAATGCCCGTTAACTGTATTTTCATAGAATAGCTTAATTTCATTAGCCTGGCTTGGCTTACTTATCACTCGAATTCTACGCATCACCTACCTGCGGGTATCAATGATCAAGATTCAAGTTCATTGCAAAAAGCTACCTAAAAGACGTAAAGCACGCTTCGCAATTCGTTTTGAGATACAAGATACAATCAAGGCATACAGGTGGTTTTATATACAAGTACAGAAGGGACCAAATTAATTTTCAAATGGGAGGAGGAAGAAGCCAAAGAGAGGGGGGTTGAAAAGATAAGGGAAATGGTATTTTCAGTAGACGCCCGAACGATCCGGGAATGCAAGAGGATAGAACTCAAACAATAGAGATAAGAAGACAGAAGTTAAAAGAAACAATAAGAGGCGAGATTGACTAGATCAGGTCATATAGCTCACTCTGTTGCGGTAGGGGGACCACCCGCCGCAGTCGACGGGTTCAGATTGGCCGTCTGTAAAGCTTCGGGCAGTTTGAGTGGTGCACTGGGCGATGAGCTGAGCTTATCAAGTTTCTCGCCTCGGAGCACTTTCTCCATTTCTTCCTTGGTAAGCGTCTCGTACTCAATCAAAGCCTTGGTGAGTAGCTCGAGTTCCTTGCGCTTATCTGTGAGAATCTTCTCGGCGCGGGCACGGGCTTCCTCGACGAGGCGGCGAACTTCGCCCTCGATCTCTTGCTTTGTCTCAGATGAGAGGCTGTCATAGTTGGTCGACAGGTCGACGTTACCGAGCTTCTTGGAGTAGCCGAAGCGGGTAATGAGTGTGAACGCTGTTTCGGTTGCTTGTTGAATATCCTGGAATCGGCGTTAGTAACTAGATTAAAGAGAAGTTGTGCAGTAGAATGCGGAACTAAGACTTACGGCAGAGATACCACTGGTAACGTTGTCGGCACCGAAAATCAATTCCTCGGCGGCCTTACCACCCATGGCAACGGCAATGTCAGACAGATACTCCGTGTAGTTCCTCGAGACGGTGTCCATCTCTGGCAGGAAATGAGTGATACCCAAAGCCATGCCGCGAGGGACAATAGTGATCTTGTAGAGCGGGGTAGCGGATGACGAGAAGTAGGCAACTAGAGCGTGGCCAGCTTCGTGGTAGGCTGTCAGAAGCTTGTCCTTATCCTGAATGATACGGCTCCGGGCCTCAGCACCCATCATGATCTTGTCCTTAGCCCAGTCAAAGTCCAGAGGACCGACCTTGGTCTTACGGTCACGGCTGGCATGGATGGCGGCCTGATTGACCAGGTTCTCGAGGTCGGCACCAGAGAAACCGGGAGTACCACGGGCGATCACAGCAGTATCGACATCGGTGCTGATCTGGACGTCCTTCATGTGGTGTCGCAGGATATCCATACGTCCACGAACGTCAGGAAGACCAACCACCACCTTGCGGTCGAAACGGCCGGGCCGAGTCAGCGCCTTGTCTAGCAGCTGAGGGTAGTTGGTAGCACCGATGATGATAACGCCGCTAGTCTGGGAGAAACCATCAAGCTCTGTGAGCAGCTGGTTCAGGGTTTGCTTAACATAGGCAGCATCGCGTTCGTTTCTCTTTGCGCCAATCGCGTCCAGCTCATCAATGAAGATAATTGCGGGAGATTTACCACGGGCTTGGCTGAAGAGATCACGGACACGCTTGGCACCAACACCCACATAGACCTCGTCGAACTCGGAACCGGACATGTAAAAGAACGGGACACCAGCTTCACCAGCCACCGCACGGGCAAGCAGGGTTTTACCGGTACCAGGAGGACCAACCAGAAGAACACCCTTGGGAAGCTTACCACCCAGCGAAGAGAAGCGATCAGGGTTGAGCAGGAACTCTACAAGCTCCTGAAGCTCATCCTTGGCCTCATCACAACCATGTACATCGCTGAACCGAACGGTCTGCTGCGAAGGTTGCGCTTCATTGTTTTGCGAGCCCCGAATGTTTTTCAACACACCAGTGGTTTCAATCAGAATAGTGATCAGGACCAGCGAGACATAGGTGAAGAATCCAAAGAACAAGAAGAACTTGACCCAGCGAAATACTGCGCTGCCCATGGACTCATCAACCACAACGTAAAGCGGAGCTTCCTTAGCACCAGTACCTCTGTTCGCCACGCCGATCTGACCGCCGCCGCTCCGAGCAGCGACTGCTTGGCCAACGGCCTGGAGCTGCTCGGAAGAGAGGCCTTGGTTCTGTCCAGTGTGTCCAGCGAGAGTCGAGTCACCACCGACCCGCTCGAGTGCCTTGCTGTAGATCGCCTCAGTTGTCGCGTTGCTCGCAAATTGAGCGCTCCGGAATCGTTCCACCACAATCGCTGCCATGTTCGCACGTAAGAGGGCCTGGTAGAATGCATTTTGGGCGTTTGCGCTATTCGGGTTGTTGTTCGCAGTCTTCTCCTTCTGAGCCAGGATGGTCTGCGAGGGACCACCGAACAAGAACCGTTGCTGTTGGAGCCTAGCCAGTCCATTGTTCTTGGGGGCTCCACGAAGGGTGTGAAGGCGGAAGGGTGTCAAAGTTGAAAAGGATCGAGTTGCGGGGGAAGTAAGACCACGGGCCGAGGTAGTTGAGTTCCAAACGGGGTTTCCTATGTCGGCCTTCAATTAGTACAAGTCAAAAGCGAGTATAAGAGGATATTCACATACCTCCGCTGAAGAGCGGAGACAATCCGCGCCGGGCAGACTGGCCGACCATGTCCGCCTTCAATCCACTCAAGGACACGGAGTTCAAAAAGTCCGGCAACGAGAGGTGCTCATGTGTCTGCTTTATCGCATCAGTACCAAATATTCCATCTTGATTTTCCAGAAATTCTTACCACCACGTTCTGTTGCTGAGAAGGGGCTCTTCCGGTGGTCTCGTGGGCGCCGGCTGCCGGAGTTCGTCCTGACTGCTTCCAGGGAGTAGCAAGCAGGCTGGACATTGATGGCCACAGGTCGGTCGTCACAGCTGCCATGTTCTGTTTCAATCATGAAGATGGTCAGCGGTATTCCTGGATAAAGTCATATCAAAGAAAGTAAGTCCTCACCGGCCGCGGGATAGTGACTTGAAAGGCCATGGTTGTCCGATGTAAAGCGGCGCTCGGCCGCGTGGGAGGCGAAAAGATTCTCCTCTAAGATGTGATTATGTTGCCAGATGACTATATTCAATGGCTAATAGCAGAAAGTGCCATAGCTGACAGTAGCAGATAATGGACAACGGTGACGTGGGTTTGGACTCCGCTGAGATGCGGCGAAAGTCGCTTGCCACTTAGGCTCGGACAGTTTCCCGTATCATCACGTGGCTACCATCAAAGCACACCGCCTTCAGATGTCTCGACTTCCAGGCACCGGTCAGGCATTCGTATGGCGGGCAGTAAACGGTATCATGATAATCAGATGCATGTCGAAAATTTGGGTCTACATTAGGCCAGACGGTTTATTGAGGTCCTTGGATATCTGGCCCAGTTAACTCAGTGACTGGTATCTACCTAGGCAGCGAATGATTTAAGAGCCATTTATTGGCCAGTACTTACAACATGTAACTTGGAATTGGTATTCCAAGGCTCATATATATATTGGACTTGTCGAGGATCTAGGGACCTCAGATCCAAGGACCCTCGATGTATAGATAATGATCAAACTCAGTTGTACAGTAGCATCGAACTTTCCAGATTCCATCATGCCAATCCATCGTCCACTGCTTGGTACCTAGTAAAGGCGAGAATAACATTTTTGTCAATGCATACCGTGAATGTATATACCCATCAGAAGCATTTAGACTTTATGTATCTCCGCCCAACGGGCCCGCAGTTTTACACCCTTGGAATCAGACAGATCAACTCGGTCTACACATCGCATTTGACGGCGTACAAGTCCAAAACGTATATCAGATTAAATACATGCTAGTTGGGCCACATAAATCCGATGCGTAAAACTCAAAAAACGGGAAAGACCCAAGGCTCCGGGAAAGGGGTATAAACTCTGCCGATCAGACGAGGTTGTCCGGAAGCCCTAATTTCACGCCATCAAATCAACGCCCAGAAAGAAGATCGTAAAGTCGATAGATAACAAGAAAGACGGAGATAAGGCCAGCACATGAGCAAAATCGGAACATGGTTGCAAGAGTTCATTATCTATACAGCAAGAAAAGAGCGTGCATAAGCTATGGATTCAAGTAACAGGTCCAAAGCCAATGCATCCACTCAAGCCAGCTTAACAATGTCATCTAATGTAGAAGCTGATATCTGCTGGGTGGTATCTTCACTCAGTCCATCTTTCTTCTCCTCAGGTGGGGATACTGACCCCTGCAACTCAATCCCACGATCAATTTCCAGCCTCCGCCGCGTCACAGTTCTACCGAAGAGGCCAAGCGACAACGGGAACGGCGCCGCGGCAGCACATATAACACATGCAAAGATCAATGCATTCCGCATGTTATATGCCGGGGTAGCATTCTCGCTAGCCTTGAGCGCATCCTGGATGAGAATGAAGCACGCTCCAAGCAACTGTCCACCCGTCCAGCAGATGGTACTACCGATCTCTGGAGAAAACGGATACGTGATCTCAACCAGATACTCCAGTACGACGGGAAGCAGCGAGAACGAAGATGCGCCCATGAGCGCCATGACGACGTATGAAGGCGCAATTCCTGCAGAGCTGGATGGGGCGAAGATCAATCCGATATAGGACGCTACCACGATGGGAACCAAGATACGGATTGAACCGAGGTAATGCTTGAATCGGTCTGTGAGTGGTGATACCACGGCTGCTACCACCAGACCCACAACGATCAGGATGGCGCCTGCGATGCCGGCATCGGTTTCGGAAAAGCCATATGGTTCGAGTATCTGGTTCAGCAGCGAGGAGACGCTGTTGAAGAAGCCCACATATACGGAAAAGGGGATGAGAATTAGCCAGAACTCTAAGGTGCCGAGTAGTTGTCGCGTCGCTGGGATCAGTGGTGTACGAGGAATGGCCGATGATGCGCTGGGCGGGGTCGGGGGTGCAGCGGGGAGAAAGAATGATGGGATAGCTGCAACGGAGGACTGTAACAAAGAAGGCAATGGTTAGCATCAGGTATTTACTTGCTTCTCAGGAATGCGCCAACACACAATGACAGAGATGTATAGGACCATATTCGGAATGTCCGAGGGCTTTGATGCCCACTCTGAATCTATCAACTGCCCCAATGCCGCACCTAACGGGTTCGCCAAGCTGGCAACAGCCGTGGCACTGGTTCTCCCTTTGTCAGAGAACCAGAGGTCGCTATATCGCGTGGGCGCGCACAAACAGAAGGGCTGCGCCAGACCGATCAAGATCTGACCGAACATGGCGAGCCCAAAGATACCACCATTCGCCCTGGTACCTGCATAGCGCAGCCAGTTCCCGATGAGTAAAAGGGTTGCTGTGATTACAATGGCGGGCTTAGGGCCGCCTTTATTTAGAACCCAGATGACGAATCTTGATATGCAAGACAAAGAACGGTAATTAGCCTCCCACATCGGGTTACCCCCTATTCCAGGTTCAGAATCACTCACGGGCTGGCGATACAGAATGCGAAGAGGTAACCAGTGCTCATCCAGTTGATCGCGCTTTCCGATACTTGAAAGTATTCCGCAGCTGTGCTCGAGATGGAAGAGAAAGTCAACCACTATAGATCATAAAGCTGGTTAGCGATTTGAATTTATCTCATGCATAATCACACATACATCCCAACTGACGACAATGTTGAGCAGAACCAGCTGCGCAAGACCCCAGAAGCGTCGCTTGTAGACCTTGTATATAGGTCGTGTGACGTACGACTCCTCATTATTGGGGTGGACCATCCTGAGTATACACTCAGATCATTATTAGAGAGTACAAGAGAAAGAGAGGGGAATCGAGGACAAAAGACTATTTTAGTTATGACTAGGTAGTATTTCATGTCACAGACCCAAAGTCATGGATCCTCGGTTTCTTTTAGACCCCGGTACATGCAACCCCGCAGAGTTACGTAGTCTGGGCAAGTACTGTCCCTGGGCAACGCCATGGGCGTTCGCTTACATGAAAACCATCTATCAAAGTTTACCGTCTCTTTATCAATTATACGCTAACTTGTCATTGGAGGAATCTTAAGACAGATAGGTAGTTCTCCGCCAAATATAGTCTGGACGGGAATTAATCAAATCTAGTCGGTTTAATAACCGTAATTAGGACTTGGCACTGGGTGTGGATCTGTTACAAACATGCATAAATCAGAAACAGCGAGGACCCGGAGATTTCCATGTGAGATGAGAAATGATAAAGACAAAAAGAAAGTTAGATGATCGATCACAAAGGATCTATGGAAATGTAAAATGCTGTGGCTGAGTTCCTCAGCTTCCGCGCAGATCAGTCTCTCCTTCGTCCCCGCCATCTTTAAGTCACAAGTTCAGCCCCGTCCTTTTTTTCTTTCCCCTGAGACCCTCCGAGTCCACCTATTTTCACCACTTCGGCACTTTTCTCCATTTTGTACATGATGTGTATCTGCCGACCCTAAATTCAACTCCAAATTCTCTCCCTAATTGGCGCATTGGCGCCTAGCCGACCACCATGAACATCAGCCTCCGATCCAGCGAGTCTTCATACGGAGACCCCCGATACTTGTCCACTGCCACCGTCTCCGATGTCCACGTCCCCTCGCCCCTAGGAAAAAGCCTAGTCGACGGCTATCGGGATGCGGCTAACCCCCAGAACGAAGACCGGGCGCGGTACAATCCGGTAAGGGGAAATTCGCGGACACCCGGCTTCATTACCATGGCTCACCAATGTTTTTGAATCTATAGCTTAACCCGGCACACCCCCGAAGCTCCGCGCTCGTCAACACCAGCGACCCCGTCACCATGTATTTATTGACCGAGACCGCCATGGACGACAGCCGAAACTACGAAATCTTGTCATTCGAAGAGGTGGAAGACCTCAAGAAAGAGCGCTCGCTTCTGTCCAGTCGAATCGAAGGCACCAAGCGCAAACTCACCCTTGAGACCAAGCTCCGCGACGCAGCTCAATCTATCGGCAGACTATACGGCCCGCCCAGCCCCCGAAGCAGCGGTGAATATGGCGCCAATGGCAAGTCGCACCGGAGGAGCCGCAGTATCTTTGGCCGCAGCGGGACCGCCCAGGTACTTGATAAAAGTGACTCGGAGCTGGCTATGAGTCAGCGCAAGTGCGAAGAGTTGGCGCAGGAGCTGTGGAAACTGGAGAATCGGTCTCAGCAGATTAACCAGCGCTTGCTGGAGCACACGGCGGGTGTCTTGCAGACGACCCATAAGGGATTAAGGAAGACCCCAAAGAACTCCGATGCGCAGGCTTCTGACCTTGACGACGGATATGAATTTGACGACCGCCATCTATACCGAACACCGGAGCACATGGATAATTATGGATTAAACGGACGTATTGATATCAACCCTGCGGCAGCTTCACTGGTGGATAATGAGGCCATGCAAGCTACGGAAAGGCGACTGGATGAACTGAGCCAGCGAATTTGCGACATGATGGTTCAATCCACTCCCGATGAGTTTGTTGACCCTCCGCCACAATCGCACGACTCGGCCGACCCTGCAGGAAATATCGAGGCGCATTTGGCGTATATCGAAAACGGCATGAACTCTCTTGCTTCCCGCGGTCAGTCCTCGGGACCGAACCTCGTTGGTCCTGGTACTGCCCCCGAGGCTGAGGGAGCATGGCGACAGCACCTCACGGTGATCAACAACCGGGTCCAGAGCATTGTTGACCGCTTCGGGCTGACTCGATCGCCCACCTTGCCCCCTCCTCCCAGCGCAACAGATGGTGAGGGATTAGAGGAGCAACTCGGATATCTTCAGACAGGTATTGATGGCTTGGAAAGCCGGGTTGATGGTCTGATAGAGCAGAAGAGCATTCTCACCACCCAAATTCAGCAGCAGCGTGAGCTCAACTCCAAATCTGATGCCGAACGTGATGCCCACATTGGTGATCTGACCGAGCAGCTGGCCCATATGCGCAAGGAACATGAAACTTCCCAGCGTGAGGGCAAGGCCGCCCAGGACGAACTAGCCGTGTTAATGGAGCAGCTCGAGGGCATGCGCACCAACGGCTCTACTCAAGAAGAGGCGAAGGCTGCCCTGGTGCAAGCTGAAGGAGAAGTCGCTCGCTTGCACAGTGTTGTGGACTCGTTGCAAAACGAGGTTGACATCCGTGCGCAAGAAGCCATGGAGGCCCATGACCGTGCAGAACAGGGCTCCGCTCAGCTCGAAGCCAGTCTTAAGCAATCCCGCGAAGAGGCAGATGTCCGTGTTCAGGAAGCTGTGGCAGAGGCTGTTCAGGAGGCTATTGATCGCCGTGTGCAGGTTGAGAATCAACTCGCAGCGACCGAAGTGCAACGTGCGGAGATGGAAGCCCAGCTTGCACAGGCTGAAGGACGTCGTGCTCAGGTCGAGGCTCAAATTGCACACGTTGAGCAGCGTCGCATCGAGGTTGAGGAACGATTTGTTGAGGTTGAAGCCCAGATTGCACAGGTTGAGGCTCGCCGTGTTGCGGTTGAAGAGCGCTGTGCTGAGGTTGAATCACAGATCGCAGATGTTGAAGAGCGTCGCATCGAGGCCGAAGAACGCTGTGTTGAGATCGAGACTCAAATTGCGCAGGTTGATAAGCGCCGTATGGAAGCTGAAGAGCATTGTGCCGACGTCGAATCCGAGATGGAACGGGCTGAGGAGCGTCGTATCGAGGCTGAAGAGCGCTGCGTTGAGTTGGAAGGCCAGCTAATGGAGGCCGAGAAGCGTCATGCTGAGGCAAGCCGCAACATGACACAGGCCGATGAACAGGAAGCCCTAGCAGAGCGACTTGCCGAAGCCGAAGAGAAGCGAGCCGAAGCTGAAAACCAGCTTTCACAGGTTGAAGAACTACGTGCCCAGGCCGAGGCGGATGCGGAACGTGCTCACAATGAGATGACTGATCTTGAAGGCGAAGTCGTGCGAATCACAACCGAGCTTACAATGGTCAAGGCAGAGCTGGACGGTGCTTATGGTACCCGAGCCCAGCGAGCTGCGGAGGTGGCTCTCAACCCCGAGATTCAGAAAGAGATCGATGCCCTCAATACACGCAATATTGAGTTGGCAGAGGAGCTGGCCGAGCTTCGGGGCAAGCAAGGCGGTGGTGACATCCAGAAACGCGCCGATACCCTCGAGAAGGAGCTCCGAGAGACTCTAGATGACTACGAGGCCATGACCAAGGCTAGCATCGAGTTTGAGAAGGAGCGGGAGCGGTTTGAAGGTGTCATTGATAGTCTCCGGGATCGCTGTGAGGCATTGGAGACCCAACTCAGCGAGGAGCGCATTAGCTGGATGAACCTGAGCAGCCCAACAACTATGGGCCGCGACCCTACCATGGAGACCACATCCACAATGGTTCTGAAGAACGAATTCAAGAAGATGATGCGCGACACTCGCAACGAAAACATGAAGATTTTGAAGGTTCGTTCATCCATTTTCTGTCTATGGACTTCTATTGATGCTGACATCATAAATACAGGCGGAACAAGAGGAGCGACGAAGAATCGAAGGGTTGTTGCGATCCCTAAGAAAGGAACACGCTCAGGTGACGGGCAAACCCATGCCCAGTCCTGTCGGAACCCCATTATGATGATGATTATGTTCTACGTTCTCGGATTTGGTTCTTATAAAGACTGTACATATAGACTTTGCTTGTATAATATTGCATGAACATCTCGCGGCAAGCGCGACGGCGTTATCACCTACTCACATCTTTTCCACATAAAGACTCTACATTCACTTATCCTCTCCCCGGCCTCGACTGCCTGAGGGGCCCACTTCCTTCATCATGTCGTCTGTTCAGCATGTTCAACGGACTAGTCCACCTTATCGCGCCCCACGTCCTAGATACTACAGCAGACAAACCAACATTCAACCTTCCCGAGACTCAACCATCCCACCACTCTCACAAGAGAACTCCAACTCCTCCGACCTTTTCTACAGCGATGAAAAATCAATCTTCAATGCAGTCCGGGTCTCCACCCCCAACGAGGATTCCCGTCCCTACGAAATTCCCTACATCATGGAAAGAGGGCGGGCAGCTAATATGGCCAGGCTCATCCCACCAGGATCACAAGGATCCTCTCAAGACAGCCACTCAGCAACCCAGCATCGACGTCTCTTCAAATCACGACAGCGAGCAGACCAACTTGGGTGGCGGAACCAGCTCTTCTCTGACAACGGGGCGTATCATACATCGCAACTGGGCCTAAGCCCTTTGAACGAAGGGGATTATTTACCCGAATCTGCTGGCAATCAGCACCGCAAAGCTATGTCCCTCGATGCAGTGGATGATCACAGTTCTAATAGCCCCCGAAAACATCCCTGTTGGCCTGGATCAGGCATGCCAACGGCTGTGAGGACTGTTCAACCAACATACCCTCCACCGGAAAGATTACCCACACCTCCAGGTCTCCCATCGTTCAACACCCCAGAAGCCATGTACTGCTCTGCCCAGTTTCTCATTGGGCACAACGGACCACGGGGTCTGCCATCTCATCGCCCACACGGAGTATCAGCCACCGGCCAACGATCCAGCTCATATGGCGATGCATTCCGAAGATTCCTGGGCTTACAACCGACAGTTGAGACTGATCCAGTCGTGTCTGGAAGTATCGGCATTGGGCGAGCACCAGACGGAACTATCGTCCAAGGCAGGTTTCCACAACGACAGAGTGGCCACGGTACGAATCTAGCAAGACAAATTGAGGACCATCCATTCCACCAGAATACTCTTCGTGTCGCTCCTACCTCTCAAGCTAGTCCCAATCTTGTTCGGAATAGCACACAAGCAGATTCCAGTGCATCAAAACGTTATCCAGATTCTCAACCACGAAAGAAAAAAGTCCGCACAATGGGCTTGGGTATCTTGGGTCGATCGCTTATTCCAGCCTCTGTCCCCGTTCAAAGAGCACAGCACGAACCTATCACTAGCCCGATATCTCCTCTGCAATTACCGCAACCGCGATACGACCTTATTCGAACACCGAGTGATCGTCGATCAGAAGATCAAGTGCTCAGTGCGGGGACGTATACAGTGTGTGATATTTTGGCTTGGCTTCCGATCCAGCTGTACCTCTGCTGCTGCTTTAAGCGTCTCTCTGTCGAGGACGACGATGATCTTGAAATTATCAATTCTAGGGAGACTTATGCGACGGCAAGAAGCCGGTTTTCGGGTGTGGAGACGGATGGAAGTAGAGTTGGGCCTTCTCCATGATTCTGAACTTATTCATGCCCGGCATTCATTTGGCATATTCGCAGTTTCCCGCTTGGTCATGATCCTCACTGACAACCTTCGAGATACTGGTCTTTTCCCCTCTTTAAGGGTCTAGTTCTATTCGACTAGTGCTCTCCGGTGCAAAATATCCATTCTTATTTGAGGCTCCGTGTCTCCTGGGTCCAAGGCTTCTGATCTAGTATTCTGTGAAGAAAGATACGACATTCGTTCGGAGTCTACACTCAATGCAATGATGAACTGAAGTTTAGTTGAACGTTGACCAATTAGTTTCAGGCTCTTTATCAACCGGAGATTACATTACTTCCAAAGATCAAATCAGTGTAGGTTTTAAAATACACCAATCCCAGAAAGCCTCGTGAGAGTCCATGCATTTCATCTAGATGCTATGCCATGATGCTGATTAGGCGACACGAAAAAAAGGTCACAGAGCTCGCCATGCTAAGGACCTTCAATCCCAAGGAGGAATAAATAATAGTAAAGGGTCATATGGAGAACCGTTTCGACGCAAAAAAAAAAAGAGTCCAAGAATGTGAGTTGTTCATCGAGGCCTCATGACAAAGGGGTAATAAAAGGGTTTAGAATGCAATTGGGAGAAGAAGAAGTAGAAGGGCGAATAGTCGAAAGACCAATGAGAGCCAGAGAAGGAAGATGGTGGGAAAAGAATGCATGCAAAGCATAAGTCAAGTCATCAGTTTCAGCGCATGGTGCACCTATTTGTGCTATCTCGCCCAGCCATGATCGACTGGCATCCCTGTGATCCATAGCAGAGGTAGATGTGATGGGAAGGAATTAGTCATATCAAAGGCTCTCAAAGAATTGGCATGCTTCGACGATCTCTTCGTCGTCGTTGCAAAAGTCCCAGCCTACGATTCGCGGGTCCACGCTGGCGCAAATAATTTTATGCGCGTCGAACTGGACTTTAAATACCCTCGAAGTCGGTGGATTTGGCTGGAGTGGTCGGTGCGGGTGTGGATGGTGGTGATGATGGTGATGGGCCATCAATTGTTGAATTGCTTGTGGGTTGGGTTGGGGTGGCGTATTTGCCTGAGCTGGGAGCTGAGGCTGCGGAGTTGCATCATCTTGCTGTGCGGGGCCGGCAGGGAAGGCTTCGGTGGCGGGAGGAGCAGCACTCATATCTTCAACTTCTGGAGTAGATGTAGCAGTGCTCTGTGTGGGTGCAGGAGCAGGGGCCTGAGCGGGACCTGGAGTTTGAGCAGTAGGTAAAGCCATCAGGGTTTCTGCCGCTTGCAGTTGCTGGGCTTGCGCCGAAACAGCTGCTCGTGCTGCGGGTGTCAGGGTGGCACGAGTAGCGTTGGCCGCTGCATCGGCTTGGCGCAACTCATGCTTTCTGGACCATGTCCCGTCTCGATTCTTGTGCCAGATGAAAATGTGTTCATCATAGGAGCCGGAGACGATGCGGCCCCAGCTACTGCCTCCGCCATTCGGAGGGATCTTTGCACCGATAGCAGAGATATCCCGGGGATCTCGAGACCCGGCAGTATTTGATGTGTAACCGGCACGTCGCAGGTCCCTTGGTGCCATATCAACACCATCACCTTCTTGCTGTGCTCTCCAAAATGCGTTTTCAACTTCCAATGCCTCCTGTCTCAGCGTCTCGTCGGCTCCTGGTGGGTCTCCGAATCCTGCCTGGACGGTACGAACAAGATTTTCATGCCCTTTCAGGCAGGCGACCTGAGCCCCGGAAATATGATCATAAATCCGTACCGTGTTGTCATTACTACCGCTGATGATCCGTCGGCCATCGGACTGCACGCAAGCAATGCCTTTCTCATGTCCCATTAGAGTCTTCAAGCAAGCACCGTTGCGGACATTCCACACTTTGATCATGCGATCCCCCGAGGCTGTAATGATCTCGTCGCCTTGAAGCTGCATTGCATTTACCGCTGCGCCGTGCCCTTCCACGACCATGAGAAGCGAGTAAGGCTCCAATGGTTTGATACGCCCGTTGGCCAAGCTTGCTTCTAATAGGCTCGGTGCCATTTCATTGAGATCAATGATGTAGGAGGGATAACTGGCACCGCCACCTTTGCAGACACGAGGATAGTTTTCATCCGTCACGGATAGCTCTCGACGATTCCATACTTTAACTGTTCGATCCTTGGAGCAGGTCACAAGGTATCGGCGATCAAATTTGAGGTTCAAGACTGAATCAGCGTGCGCACTTTGGATTTGATGAATCTTTTGACCCGTCGAGAACTTCCATGCAATCACAGAACGGTCACTGCTTCCCGAAATGATGATATCCTCGTCGGGGCTTGGGTCAAACTGCAAGCATAGCACAGACTTTGCATGTCCGACTAGTGGACGATGCCATAGTCGTTTGGTTTCTAGATCCCAAACGCGCACGGTCCTGTCCCGGCTGCCGCTGACCAGCCACTTTCCTTGGAATTGAATGGCATAAACACATTCTCGGTGAGCCTCTTCTGGGTGTGAAGGGTGAGGTAGCTGGAAATTCTTAAAACGACCTTGATGCCAGTTTTCTTCAAGGCGCCGGCGTTGCTTGTACAAATGTACCCAGTTGATCTTAGCAGTTCCGTTCGGGCGTCGAATGAGGATTGATGATTTGAGTGGTGGCTGGAGCATTGAAGGGATCTGAGGAAATGATGTGGGTTGTACAAGATCGGCTTCGTTGCTTGGTAGAGGTAAGCTCCCGTTCGCGTCTGCCATATGATGATCCCCCTCGCTGTCTGCTTCGGCATACAGATGGCCGTCGGTCTCTACCGCACCCGGGCCTGCAGTGACACGCGAAGTAAGCCATGATTGTGGTACGCGCTTCTTCTGTTTGGGTTCACCGAGGTCTGTTTCTGAGTGTCTTGGGCGTGATTTGCGGATTTGTGGAGAAATTGGTTCAGAGTGTTCTTGTTCAAAATTATAAATCGCGCGCGAATTTGCTCGCCAACCTTCATTTATGTACAACACTCTCCATAGACCAGAATCGAGGATGCGGTTGCGCCATGAACGAGACGCAAGCGTGAGGTTCAGGAGGGTACGAGGTTCGAGGTAGGAAAAGATCTGGAATGTCAATTCGGGGGGTAGTTTAACAACGGGATCCATGTGAAGTAGTGGGTGGACGCGTTCTACCACCCCAGAAAGCGCAGATGTCGAGAGCGAGCGAAGTAGGCTGTAGGCAAGTTCTGTGGTTGCGGGCTGCATGAGCAGGTGGAAAAGACAAAGGAGGTTGGGGGAGGGGGTGGGAAACCACCACCGAAAAGACATGAGAGGGATCACTTACCAGCTCTATCAGACTCACTTTGGGCAAGCACCCAATCTGGAAGCATCATGACATTGTCCGCCACAGGCTCTTTATCTGCCTGACTCCGGGTCTCATCTGAATAGCCTTCATCTACCTTGAACGACGGGGAAAGTGATTGTGCAGAGTACCCCGGAAAGCTGGTGGTCTGTAGATGAATTGTGGGGTGGGAAGAGGCGTCTGTCGCTTGTTCCCCCTCCATGGATGCGATAAAAGGTCACGTTCTGGATCGGGCGGTATGGTTTTCGGGAGACCAGAGGGGCGTTAGGATGAGTGAGTTTTCGCTCGGCGATGCTGTCTTCGTATTGGAATTGGTCGCACCAACTAAAGAAGAAACAACAAGCCTCCTTTGACGCGATATCTCAAGGTTTCGCAGAGGGATGATCCCTCTTACGCAGAGGAGTGGTGGAATGGGAGATGGAGACCCGGGCTCCGTGCTGTATGTCACGTCACGGAGGTGCGGGATCCACTCCAAGAAAGTGATAGATCGGGTGGAGAGCAATCAACACATCAAAAGGACGAACCACAAACTGTGAGCTGAATCAAGGGACAACAATAAACGATGGAAGAAAAACAAAAAGAGCACTGGCTCTGATGATAAGAATGAACCTAAGATTAACAAACATTGTTCATGCTGTAACTGGAATGGCTCATTTCAAACAAAAGTCACGTGGAAGGCTGAAGTATGGACTGCAGTGATCAACTAGTAGAACTGATAGATAACATATCATATGCCATATGGCAATGATGTACATTAGGGTCTAGAGCATGTCATCTAGCTGAGCAACTACTCGCCCCTCATATGCAAAAGCAAAATGGCATTGTCGATGAATATCTGCATAGGGGGTAACAATCACATACCTCTCCACAATGGGGCACTAAAAGTAGGTGCCCAATATATATGCTTTTTGACTCAACCTTATACATATCGGCTTGAACAAATAGTCCAGAAGCTAGACCAATCCTTGAACCAATCTAGATCTAGACTAGAACTATAAAATAGATGAGACCATTGTGAAGAGTCTAACGTCTCAGGTTGAGACTCGTGCCCCTCTCCACATCCCACCGCCCGATGGAACACACGCTAAACCGCTTCGGGTAACGAACAGCCCTCTCCTTCCGCTCCCTCCTCTCCTTTCCCTTCATCCCATTCATCGCTGCCCCTCTATCTTGTGTCTTTTGGCCTCGATTCAGGTACCTTGGGCTGTTACTAACATCATTTCTCGGAAGTTGACTCTTCCGTTCCCCCTTTTCTGCTCTCACAGTCCTAGCGACCAGCAGTCTTCTTGACAGGGGTTTTGAAAACCGCTCTTTACCTCGACAAGTCGGCCTTCGTCTGCCCGGCTGCAGCGTTTACTTTCGATTCGGAGGAACTCAGAAAATACTCGCGTCCCCATAGATTGGGCCACGCTGAAGTTGGAAGGAATTCCGGTCTGATATCCTTTTTCGATTTCCGTCACCGCCCCTCGGAGGAAAGTGGCGGCGCGTCAGATTCTCGGTTGATATACCTCCTTGTGCTGTCTCAGCGGGCTTGCCCCCGACTATATATACACCTCAGCGATAACGCCACTCGCGGTCACACCCCGGTGGCACTTTCGTCAGTTCTCGAAATTCGACCGATCGTTCTACCTTTTCCTTGCGCCGTGCGGTGTCCACCTTCCCTTAAATTACCTTTATCGCGGGAACATTCCATGATCGGCATCCCGTTCGACGCCCGTCGCTCTTCCCGATTATCGATACGCATTCCTGGTCTGCTGTGCGGATTTGAACTGAGCCTGGCTGGCCTGACTCACATAACTGGTCGAGGCACCTGAACATGATCGAAACCGCCACTATGAGCGGAATTCCGGTCGCCGAGGACAACATCATCAACCGGCGTGGTGGTGAATCAATTTACCAGAGCTGCGTCAACCTCAAAAAGCGGCTCTGGGAAGTGCCATCCTTTGAACCTTACCTGGAAAAGATGGATGAAGAAGACCGTGAGCGCGGAAACACCGACCCCGTGGCCTCATTGTGGAGCTTTCTTCGAGACGGTTATCCCCTTTTGAGTCTCTACAATGCATCCGCTCCAGAGGAGCCGTTAGTTGTTGATCCGGCCAAGGTGCCGGAGGCAAAGCGGCCTAAAGCTGCTACTTTCAAGTTCCTGCAGGCATGCCTGCAAGAACTGGCATTCCCTCAGCAGGACTGCTTCCTAATCACCGATCTTTACGGCGAAAGCACGACAGGATTTATTAAAGTGATCAAGATGGTCAATCGCGTGGTGGATATCCTCGAAATTCAGGGTCAATTGAAAAGCCCCTCCGAAGTGACTGATGCACCGAACGCAAAAGCAAACGTAAAACTCACTAAGCGAGAGCATATTCTTAAGGAGCTTCTGGAAACTGAGCGCGACTATGTTCACCATTTACAGAACCTCCAGGCGCTCAAGAAGGAATTGGAGGAGACTGGTGCTCTGACAGGTGACGCAAGTCACCAGATTTTCCTGAACCTGAACAATCTGCTTGACTTTGCTCAACGTTTCTTGATTCGGATGGAGCAGCACTATGCTTTGCCCGAGGAAAGCCAAAACTGGGGTATTCTCTTTTCGTCGCATGAGGATGCCTTCCGACAGTATGAACCATTTATTGCGAACCAAATGCGCTGCGACGAGGTTTGTATGCAGGAGTGGGATAAAATCAAGAATGCGCCACGTCATGTAGACCTTCAGCAAATGGTTGCTCAGCCTAAAACCTTGAACGGATTCTTTGTCAAGCCTTTCCAGCGTTTGACCAGATACCCACTTATGCTATCGGTAAGTTGTTTGATTCCTTTGTACAGTATATTTTATTCGACTAACGTTGTGTCAATTTCTCCAGGAGCTTCGCAAACAATTGGAAGACGAACAACTCAAGGCTGATATCACAGCAGCCATTGATTCCATTCAGGTCACTCTCGATTCGGCAAACGAAGCTATCCACAAGGAACACTTGGTTACAGCAGTGGTAGATTTGTCCGAGCGGGTTGATGATTGGAAGGCTTTGAAGATGGATTCATTTGGAGAATTGCTCCGTTTCGGTACCTTCTCGGTGGTCAAAGGCGACAGTGGCAAGGACAGTGAGAGAGAGGTATGTACCAACGACTTTCCTTTGGCAAATCTGCCACCATCTGGGTTCTTCTGCGACATTGGGAACATTTTTTGCTGACGCGGCTTGGCAGTATCATATTTTCCTATTTGAGCGCATCCTTCTATGCTGCAAAGATATAAACCCGAACAAGCAGAAGACTAAGCTTATGATGAACAAAGACAAGCCAGCCCTTACGGCTAAAGGCAAAGCTCGTCTCCAATTGAAGGGTCGAATCTATATGGCCAACGTCACCGATATTGTCTGCCTTCAAAAGCCTGGTGAGTCATTTTTCACGGCATACAGCTGGAATGTTTCTAACAACCCATCCATAGGCCTTTACCGTATCCAAATTTTTTGGAAGGGCGACCCAGGCGTGGTGGACAACTTCATCATTCGTTACGCGAATGAGGATACTATGCGTAATTGGTACAAGGACATCGATACCCAAAGGGCCATTCAATCAGAGCGACGCACTATGCGGAATACAGGCACCTCTGACAGCGAATTCACCTATTTGGAGGGCATGACAAACATACCGAATCCATATCAGGAGTACGAGGTCGAGGATGTGTCCAAAGATCCGTCATACTACTCTGAGTTCCCTATGAGCCGGAATGCGTCAAGCACTAGCCTGAGAACTCGGTCTGCCACCGGCGGTAGTACTGGTTCGGTCCCCCACGTGAATGGTCGGCCTCGATATAACGCCACTGATTCGGCACTTTCTGTCCATACCCAGTTCTCAGGTGCTGGCAACATGTCTCCTGGTGATCGGAACATGAACTCATACTTTTCACCTGCAGAGACACCATCCACACGTTCTAGCTCCCAATCAACCGGGTTCTCGTTCGGTCGTCAAAACACCAATTCTACCTCTGCATCCTCCGTCTGGAACGAAGAAAACCAACGCTATACCGCGCCGGCATTGTCTCGGGCAACCTCCAGAGATGGCAGCACACCTACAGGTTTCTACCCCCCTCCACAGCCCAATGGCCGGAGCAATCAGCGCCCATCTCTGCCGCCTCTTTCGGGACCGCAATCGGCTGCCGCTGCCAATGGGACTGCCCAGCGTATGCGCTCCGCTAGTAGTCCTGATATCCACCACCATAACAATATGCCACCCGAGTCACGTCGGTACATGGGAGCTCACACAATGCAGACAGTTGACAATGTCCCTGTGCCACCAATCCCTGCACACATGGCCAACATGAAGGCCCCGGTTAACCGCAGCCAGAACAACTCACCCACCAACAGTCAGCTCCCAATGCGTTCGCAACCGCATCATGTTCACCCAACACATTTCACCGAGCCGGAGTATAATGAATCCTACAACTCGGGGCTGGTCTCCGAACAAGCTACTTCTCCCTTGAGTCAAGAGCCCGACGGGGATCCGTTTATGCCCACTCAACTGAAGGCCAAAGTCAACTTCGACGACAACTACGTCACACTGGTGATTGCAACTAATATTTTGTTCCGGTCATTGACTGACCGTGTGGATGCCAAGCTGGCTCGGTTTACAAATCGATCCATAGGCAATAAAACCGTTCGTCTACGTTACCGTGATGAGGATGGAGATTTTGTCACCATTGACAGTGATGAGGCCGTTCAGCTTGCCTTTATGGAATGGCGTGAGCAGCACCGGGACATGCTAGCGAAGGGTTTGGTTGGTGAGATCCAGCTGTACTGTCAAGTAGTTGACTAGGTAGCTGGACCTTTCATGATACCCATCTCCTTTCTCCCTCGCAGCATTTACCTTCCTCTTCCTCTTCGGTTGCGTCGACGAATGATCGATCTCATGATCGATATCATTGTATCACCATGGCGCTTATTCTCCCATCCCCCCCCCCCCCCCTCTCTTGTTTTGTTCTCCAACTGGATTGTTTGGTTCTGTTGAGCAGCCACTCTTGGAGAGATGACCCCATCCTTTCCGTTCCTCTGTCTTCTTTTGTCTCTTGAGCGAGCCAAGTTGCCTGTGGCACCCGAAAGGAGCTACATAATGATTCTCATCGTGGCATGAACGGTGTTGGACGCATGTGGCCCAGCCTGTGTTGTTAGAGATTCCTACTATATCCCCTATTTCATGTCCCGTTGACCCCGGAATTCCGTGGCGGGAGTGCACGAATGTTTCTTGATCTACTACCTGTTTCCCGAACGTCCATGAACGTATGAAGTACTTTACATGATGTATGCATACTTTGATAAGCTTGGTATCTGTATTTCCTTGGAGGACCTGCATGCGGGCAGGGTTCTAGCGATTTCATGATTGCTGATCTTCATTTTTTGATCTTGTCTACGAAGTATAAGAACCTCTGCGATCCACGGTGGCGTCATGCTAACTGGGATACCGGTTCCTTCGGCATCACGCTTGGCAGCTATTTAGTATCTAGCCACGAAATAAAAGCACCCTACCTACTTACTGCTGGACACTTACCTGCTAAGTGCTAGGTACTTTAAACCCATGGACTAGTACTCAGCGCCCCCAGGAAAAGAAAGATGACATGCCTACTATACCTAAAATGGGATATTTGTAAATTTCATGGCCAGCGACTGTAGACCTGGTAGCGATAGTTCATGTTTTGGGCCCCCAGGTTCCTCCAATTAAGAAGTTTGCAAAGGAGAGCTTTCCTGCATGCGCATGCACCTATGCAAATAGGACGTACAGTATACATGGGGTTAGAATTGCATGGACAATCCAAGGTCTAAGTTCAATGCGGCATTTTCGATATCAGAATTTGCTGCCCGACAGCATTCAATCCATTCAAGCACGGTTGTTTTGTGGGAATTCGGCAGTAGTCCCAGTCGGTGGTTTCGTCGAATAGTGGTCCAGGATTCGCAATTCCAATCGTCGGTGTGTACAGTGGGAACCAAAACAAGCTTCCCCCTCTTTTGTCATCTCTCTTTTCTTGACACTTCTCTCTCCAATCTCACATATAAGGTAGGGCTTATACCATATTTGATTGGGTTACGTCACACTGACTTATAGTCCTGCAGAGCAAATCAAACAAAGCCACTAAGTTACGCCAAGAATGTCATTCTCCGGCCGCCGTCTTAGCATCCTGCGTCCTTCGAGCGACCGACGCTCCAGCAAGGGGCTCTCCGATAACGGTAGGTCATTAGTACCAGAAAACAGAGATCTGAGGCTGACGGTCCCAATTTTGGGTTTTTGCTAGAGTTACGGTCCGAGACTCATCGTCAATTCCGAACCGCCCACGAAGGCCACCGTCCCCACGCTGGTCTCGACGCCTCCCGTGCCTCGACCGGTGTTGTCTGGTGTACAGAGCGTGCTACCGAGCATGGCTACGCAGAGGACCCCGCTAGCTGGGCCAACCTAGGCCAGGGTGCCCCCGAAGCTGACGACGAGATCGAGGGAAGCTTCCCCCGGCCGACGTCGATCCCCATCACCTCCGCCGCTCGGGAGTACGGCCCGACCGCCGGTATCAAGCCGTTGCGTGCGGCCGTGGCCCGTCTATACAACGAGCACTACCGTCAAGGAAAGGAGAGCAAGTATACCTGGGAGAATGTCTGCATCGTGCCCGGCGGTCGTGCGGGATTGATCCGTATTGCTGCCATCCTGGGTAACTCGTACCTGTCATTCCCCATTCCCGATTACTCTGCGTACAATGAGATGCTGAGTCTGTTCAAGAACGTGAGTGTTGAAAACCTGCGTGGAAAGCCAGAAATTGTGCCTATGCTGACGACAATTGGTCATAGATCGCCCCCATTCCCATGCCGCTGTCTCAAGACGACCACTACCACATCCACCCCGACAAGATTGCCGAGGAAATCGCCCGTGGTACTCAAGTGATCTTGACATCGAACCCTCGTAACCCGACAGGTCACTTTGTCTCGCACAATGAGCTGGCTGAGATCCAGGATATCTGCCGTGACCGCGCCACTCTCATCCTTGATGAGTTCTACGGTGGCTACAACTATACCACCAACTGCGACGGTTCCACGATCAGTGGTGCCGAGAATGTTGTTGACGTGAACAAGGATGGTTCGTTCTAACCACCATCAGTACTCCCCTTGCTATCATTACAACTAACCACTTCATATAGACGTCCTGTTGATCGACGGGCTCACCAAGCGTTTCCGTCTTCCCGGCTGGCGTATTGCCTGGATTGTCGGCCCCAAGGACTTCGTCAATGCCCTGGGCTCTGCTGGTTCCTACTTGGACGGTGGTGCTAATGTCCCCTTCCAAGAAGCCGCCATTCCAATGCTGGACCCTTCCCTCGTCCACACTGAGATGAAGGCGCTGCAGGCCCACTTCCGTGAGAAGCGTGACTTCGTCCTGAAGCGCCTGCACGACATCGGTTTCCGTATGAAGGACGTGCCGCAGGCCACTTTCTACATCTGGCTCGACCTGACCTCGCTCGACCCCCCGCTGCCCGAGGAGGCCAACATCTCCGACGGTCTAAACTTCTTCAATGCTCTTCTGACTGAGAAGGTCATTGTTGTGCCCGGTATCTTCTTCGACCTGAACCCCGCCAAGCGTCGTGATCTGTTCGACAGCCCTTGCCACCACTATGTGCGTCTGAGCTACGGACCTAAGATGGATGTCCTTGAGAAAGGTCTGGATGGTATCGAGCGTGTGATTAAGCGTGCCCGGGAGATGGCACCGAAGTGGGAGGATGAGGTTGCTGTTGCTGATGATTAGATTTTTTGACTCCCATCGGAGCCATATATGACTGCAATGAGGGCTGGTTGCGGTGAGATAGATTGCACTGCGCCGGTTTATGATGATATGTTCATTTTTGGATTGTCTATGCAGCGAAGAATTTGGAGCGAAATATATCTAGATACCATGTGGATATTAAAGTTGCCTTCCTTTGTCGCTGAACCTTGGAACTGACTTGATTGTCAATTTATTAATCAGCTTGTGGAGTAGCAAGCAGTTTATGGGCTCTAAGGTTTGGACATGCAGAGCATTATCGCGAAGTACTACTGGAAGCCAACGGGTGACCTGATGTCTGCTTGCTAGAAACTACCCAGATAGGTCCTCTTATCTGCAACTCCTACGATCTGACAGCCCAGCCCCAAGATGTTGCCAGGCACCTGTACAGTGGTAATACCAGGAATACCAGTAATACCATACACATTTCCAAAAAGGCAGATTATTTTACAGAAACCCGTGAGAATCAACGGATGATTTGCAACCAAGCACATAATTAGCTAGTATCTTGCCAGACAGTCCAATAACCAGCAGTAAAGCCCGCATTTCGTCTAGATTTACCAAAAGCAGTTTAGACCATCCCGCGGCGCCAAGCAAGTGGAACTAAACCAGATTACCCGCCGTACCAAACCGTGGAATAGGACCATATTAGGAATATGCCCTTTTGATTTTGTGGTTGAATCGAATCAAGACTTCATTTGACTGCATTTAACTTCACAGAATCTTCCAGCATCCACATTTGCCGAGGAGACTCGACATGGAATCTCTAGCCGGTCGCCTGTTATGCATGTCAATTCAGGGACCCCACTCGGTCTCAACATCCTAAGTAGGACAAGGCTCAACAACTTCGTATTCTAGACTACTGCATACTAATGTGCATACTACTGTGGCTAGTCTCTTAGTATACTAAATAACGCCCGTAGTCAACCTAGCTACGACGGCAAGGATAGTGATGGACATGGATATTAGGGGACGATCACATGGAATGGACGTGCTCAAGCTCTCCAACGGGGAAAAGCGTTTATCCAGGAGCCAGAACTAAGAGATCATGTCCGTATTCATGGCTCGTTGCTTTCTGATTGGAGTATGATTTTGGAATGGAGAGATCGATGCCATGTGGGATGAGCCGCAAGGATTCCCCGTCCTCGATCTGGTCTATATCTGAGACAAGTTTCGCGCTCTTCCACTGACCTCGGACTGATTACTGATCCAATAACGTTTCAGGGATATGTTTGGGTTCGGCCTGAGCCGTGCACTGTCGCTCCAAGGCTACTCCAACTGGGGGCATTCGGCTCGGCTCCAATCGGTTGTCGATCGCTCGTATCCCCCAGAGACGAGGTTCTGGCCAAAAGAGGCAACGATGTGACGCTAATTTGCGGTTGTGTAAAAGTGGAGGTTGTCTCTAGTCTCTCGTTGGAGGCCTGACTTTCCATCGAGAAATGAAGGACACTGCCCCCAATGGAAGGCCCGCTGACTGGGTCCAGGAGGAAAGCTTGTTTGTGCTTTGGTCTGCTTTTGTCCCCTTCACGCGGCGTACTCCGGGGTTCAGCGCTGGCTTTCTCGCTAGTGTTGGTTGGAGTGGGCGTTGTAGATCTAGACTTGCGTTCCCCTTCCCCCTTTTTTTTTTTCCCATGTTCTTATTCACCTTCCGTTTTTACCGTTTGTTCCATTTTCTCCACCTTCCATTTTCTCTTTTCTGCAGCTGTGCAGCTTTGCAGCTTTGCAGCTTTTGTACGCAGGAATCTGCTGAGACGCAGGTTAGTCTCACGCTGACATAACGAGTCCCGGTATTAACACAAAGACATTCACAATACGGTTCCAGGTACCGGGAACGCAGGTTGGTCCCGTCGAACTAGCGGACCCGCTCCGGGAACGTTCTCGGTATTACAAATACAAGGCCCAAGCTCCTTATGAATGTAAAGCTTGGGATTGGTACTCCATAATTCTTTAGATCAGTCGATAGATCTCTCCTTACATCTGATCCTCGAATGGCCCTAATCGAAAACCCCCTTTTAGCGCCATGCGAGCTGCATGTATCGCTTGCAGTGTCGTGTGACGCCATTTCCTTGATTCTAGAAACCTGATCAAAAACCAACTGATGTTCAGCTGTTCAGTGTATGTACACGTACAGTATCTCCTTTTTTCTTAGCAATCTTTAGCAATCTCAACGAAATCACCAGTTCTCCACTGCCCCGCAGCGCGTCAACACAAGCGACCAAGCTCTCGGCGTCTAGAATCCCTAAGTCCGATACGACATAGCACGGAGTGTCGTCATTCCCGGCTCTGTGTTTCACAGCACAGCAGGGGCCAAGGGACTATTCCTATTCGGGCAAAAAGTCCACCATTCCCTGAGAGGAAAATTACTGCGAAGGATCCCGCAGATCGGAATACCGAGTACACAGTGGCTGACATGACATGTTTTGACAGATCCACTTGAAACATGGCAGCCATGGATTCAGTGAAGTGATATACAGGTTAGATATATATTGATAATTAATAGAAAAGAAAGAAACGCAAATAAAGTCATCGGAGACCCCCGATAAAAAAAAATAAAGAAACCAAGGAATCTACGAAACCCGACCCAACGGCAACATGCACCTAAGAAATGTTGATTTCATAGTGGATTGGAATTCCTGCATTTACAATGACCCATTCACAAGTGCTAGCGCTAACCCACAAACGGCTATTCGTCTCGCTTCAGTCACCAGTTCTTAGCCTTGGCTTTAGGGGCGGCAAATCATCTATTCCTCGCCCTCGACCCACGATCGCCCGAGATCGAGAACACCGCTTGCACGCGATGATTTGCCTGGATTTAGTATGTCGCGGTGGGTTCTTGGGTTTCTTGGTATGTGCGTGTTTACCGGGGGCTTGCGAGCCCCACACCGCAGTGGAGGGATCGCTAGTGCAGAAACGGTGATCCTGTGGCGGGGGTGAAGTCGTATTGTGTGGGTTTTGAGTATTTAATTTAATTTTTATTTCCTTATACAGTACGTTTTTCGGAGGTTAGCTTCGACGGATTGAGGCATTAATTGCCGCGCTGGTTTTTATGTTCATCCACTCCTTGTACAGACGGAAAGTTGTACGCGACGGATGTTACGTGTCAGGTTGCAACTTTACCAACGGCGATCACGATCTTTATGGGGCTAGTTTCTGGTCGTTCCAACTTGCCTTAATCTATTTCATGAATTCGCAACTTTTACTACTTAAGTCTACGCGTTTCGAACCTACATATTGAGGCAGGGATCATGCCTTCGCTTATAGATTCATCTGCAAGTGCAATCTTGTTTTTTTTTTCTTTTTTCGCTTTCCTTTTCCGATCCACCCACGTTCTCTGGTCTGCAAGTCGAATCTTCCTCACCGTATAATAAATTGAAAACGAAATCGGAATTAAATAACTATATGGCAAACCACTATAGTCCGAGACAAGATATTCATCTAGTGAGAACCAATGAAATAGATTAAGCCAACATCTTGCTCTACACTTAGCCGAGCCGATTTTTCGGCACTCGAACGAAGATGATCTACCCCCCCAACTCTCCGCCGTCGACACAAAGTTGACCGATATCCTAAACCACCGACGGGTGCAGCTCAGGCCTCTCCGGTTAACGCCAATGTGGGGAAGGGAAGCACATCACAACCCCATACCATTCAGCCTCAAACGGGGCCGTGTACGGTCAGAGCAAAAAGTAAGGAGCCACCAAAAACTTGAACTTTCAGAAACCACCCCTTACACCCCCTTGTCTATGTCGCTTTCTTGAGCCGAATTAAATCAAAGAAAAGAAGTCTCCGACCAAGGCGTGCGCAGCATGCATCCACTTACGTAGTTACAGGGGGGCGAGAGAAAGCCATAGCCGCCACATGTACAGTCGCGCCGTGTCATCCGGTTCTACCGGAGTACACAGCATTTAATTTTGTGGTTTTGTGCTAGTATTGACTAGCTTCATCATTCTCCAATCCGATGCCCTTGTAGTAGTGTTAGTTGAGTTTTCACGTATACCCCCCTTGTTTTCTCTGGCCCCCGGTTTTCCGGCCCCGGATGACCTGTCCGGTCTTGTCTTGGCTTGGACTGGATCGGTCTATAGACTCCTGCCCGTTATAGCTGTACAGAGCTTTCACGTGTTTTTTAGATTTCAAATTTTAATTTTCTTGTTTTCATCCCACTCATCCCACCCCTGCTACAAGTGTCAATGTGATCTGCGCAATCTAGTGGATGGAGGTCCTTCCGAGTATGTCGAGTGAATCTACAATTAATTAAATCGGGTATACGTAATAAGTAACAATAGTCGATCCATGGGAAACAGGGGTCCACCAGAGAGTTCAACATCTCCGCACTTGTACACATGTTATCGTGCATCAGATGTTCACAGTTTCATACTTCCAGTCCACCTGCGTGTGATTCATCTGGATTGTACAGTATACGGGGCGGAAAATAAACCTAAAGCACCCCCAATCACATCACCTATGCTATACACAGAAATACTACGCAAGCAACAGCCCATATTGTAAGAGCTAGTCTATCATAAGCACAGACAGTCAGACAAAGGAAAATCCAATAAGCCACCTGAAGACCACACTATCATCGAAATAATCATCCAGTTCGAGTTCGAGTTCGTCTGGATATAATAATCAATCACGATGAAGCGAAGCGACTGGGCACCAAGACCCCCAAAACCGGATTCTCACATCCCCCCCCTCGAATGATAGTCCGACCAGAGTAAGCGGTGACAGACTCGCAGCTCTTGCGGCGTATTGTCCCCAATCGTTATGCATCGACGTAAACCTTGTCGTTGTTTGGCCCTTTCTCAGCTAACACTGAATCGCAAGGTTTTCCCCCTCCCTAGACGTTTTTGTGTTTGTGTTGCTCGTTCTTCCACTGTGTTGGGTTTGACGGGAGAGTTCTACTCGCTAAATTCGTTGCCGCTGGACTTAGACTTTTGACGTCTTCGCTTATCCATGTTGGGGGCGTTGTTCGTGTCTCACAAGGTTGTAGGAGCGAGGTTGGTGGCTTGGGGTTCTTTTGATGAGGTAATATTTGATTATTAGACTTGTTCTGGATTTGGAATTGCTTATACCCATGCTTCGATTGAATACTGTAGTTATCATGCTCATATGTTTACTTCTAACATCTTATGATCCTTACTCCGTAGTACTGGTACCTTATTAAAGGGATGTATTGTCGATCCGGTAATCGTCCGCGCAGTGGCGATCCAGTCAGAGTGATTCGAAATGATCAATCACGAAAATCCTGATGCTTACCTTCTTCTTTCTCTTCTAGAGCGCTTCTATTGTTCTTTTTTGTTTTTTTTTGTTGTCTCGGTATTAATAATCCATCCGCGATGTAACTGTAGCGCGTATAGAGTGCGTATGACTGTCCATTTATAGAACCATCTCGCCGCAATTCTTTGTTCGTATTCGCCCTTGAAATCAGGCAAGCCTATCGGTTTGAAATCAGCGCTTGGCGCCCTTGGCCTTGATGTTCTGAGGGTGAGCATGAGGCGGAAAAACGCGGGAAAATATCCAGCCTTAACTATTGTAGGAAATAAAAACGAACAGCGACCAGCCGCGAGTCATGCAAGCCATGTGTTTTTCGGATCGTAGACCTATTGGGGGCATATCTTTAGGTTTTCTATTTCAAATGACTCATGATAGGATAAGTCTCCAAGGGGGAACTAGGAAGTAGGAGTAAGGAGTATAGGAAATGGTTACGGGTGGGGTCTTTCTTTCGCTATCTGGGTTGGTTTCCTTGTTGATTTCATTGGTCTGTTTCCGGGGTTGGCTGCTCCACTTACGTATGTAGTGAATAGAACAGTTTTCAGCTCAGCTCCGACTTCGAATAGTGGCAGCGCCAAAATTTCCGAGGTGACCAACCAGGAGCAATCTCATTTAAAGTACCTGCGCTTCTCTTGGTAGTTAGAGTGGCTACACCGAACCTTGATCTCCTGGTTTACGGGAGAAGCGAAAGTCGGTGATTCGGTTCCCTTATCGCGGCCCCTGGGGTACCTTAGTGCGCATTTCCATGAGAACGATTCTATTTCAAATTCACTCAAGTAGAGCTGATAATAAATTCTTCGTACTTCGTAGATAAAACGATAAATATAATGAAAAGAGTCTCAAAACATATCTCATGCCAGGTATCAAAAAAAATCGCGCATGCAAAAGAAGAGGACGAATGAATGGAAAATAGAAATGAAACAACGCCAATCCTCTTCGTTTGTATGAGACGGGTAAGTCGGGAATTAAAAGAAACAACATACCAAGAATGATAAGGGGAATCCATCAGAAGCGCCCAAAAGTAGAGTAGCCTGGTAAACCAACCCACAGACAACCCAAAACAAAAAAAAACAAGAATACAACACAGGTATGCGAAGTCACCGGGTTCTCGAGGTGAGGGGAATCGGGGATATAGAAAAATCGTCACGGGCATCAATCGCACAGGATTCTCTCCAAAGGAAGAAACTCTACGCCGAGTTTCCTCTTAGCCTACTCCCAGAAAAGCCCAGTCAGTCCCCTCCGGTTGATTCAGAATCCGGGTAGGGGTTTTGTACGGGAAATTTGGATGGTATCCCACCATCATTGGCTGTCCCTCTGGTAGCTGATGGCCCTGGAATGGCGGCTGGTGGTATTCGGGTGGAAGATAGTTCGTGCGCGGCGTGGGGTCATAGCGCTGCTGCATCATTTGCAGATACTGCTGGTGTTGCGGGTGCGGGTGCGCCTGCGGATGGGGGTGTGGTGGTGGCGCTTGCGGTGGAGCATGCGGCATGTTTATCGGTGATGTGACGGGGACATTCTGCGTGACAATCGGATGCGCACCATCGTGGACTGCATGGGGAACCGAGCCCATTTGAACGCTGGGAGGCGAGTAGAACTCGTGATTTGGCGTCGCCGAGTTCGGGTAATACGGCTGTTGAGCGAGCAGGTACTGGTCATTCGGGTTTGGGATCGATACCGACACGGGAGGCTGGTGCTGATGGTATGAATGCTCCGAGTTTGCATCTTCCGATGATGGTCGAGTCATGGAGCCTGGAGGGTGAGAGCGATGTTGGTGCTTGGTGAGGGTGGTTTTGCGACAGAAACTACAAAAGGTGAGCTTGTTGATGGGAGGTGACGCGGGGATCGTAGGGTCTTACCTCCGTTCGCAAGTTGGTTCTTGGCAGATATAAGGTCGCTTGCCAGTGTGAATTCTTCGATGCCGAGCCAAACTCGAAGACTGTATAATATGTTAGCAAAACGGATTTTAAGCTGATGCTGGAAGCCGTGTTTATTTACATCTGAGAAGGCCTTCTGGCAACCATCATGGTCACAAACATGCGGTTTTTCGCCTGTATGAGTTCGCGAATGCACGGTCAAGGCACTGCGCTGGATGAAGCTCTTATTGCAATCCTTCACTGTGCAATGATATGGCCGCTCATTGGTGTGGATGCGATAATGGCGACAGAGATCAGACTTGCGATTAAAGGACTTGAATATGTTAGTATTGGGATTTTGGCGATGACCCGATAAGTCAGAAGACTTCAAAAAGGGCTACGCTATGGATATCACATACCTTGCCACAATGCTCCCATGAGCAGTTAAAATCGCGTCCACCTGGAGCCATGTTGTCGATGATCGACTTTCACGGTGGGGAAGCGGGTCGTGATGCCAGTGGGGATAAGGAAAGAGAAAACGGGAAAAGGGACAAACGTCAGCGCATGCGCGCAAAAGGGGAATCCGGAATAGTCCTGGTCAAGCCGGATGAATCGAAGCCGGGGTGCTTAGGCGAGCCCGGGGCATAATAGAGCTTTAATATAGAGACTCAAAATGAGGGGTGGGGCGGGGGTGGAGGTGGGTAAAGGGAGTTCAAGGAAAGAGGGGATTAAAAGAAGAAGGAAGGGGACTCTCATTAACTATGAACCTTCAAGAGAGAGAGAGAGCTGGGAAAGGAAATAACGGCGCGCGGGACCGTACAAGGTGATTTTATTATTCATTTCATAGATGGTATTATTATGTTCTGATTACGGATTATTAAAAAATGGGGGGGTTTTTTTGCGAAAATGGATTTATTACATTTTATTTTACTGATTTTACATTTTTACTGATTTTATTATTTAATTTGGCTGTACTTGTACATCAACTGGTACCTTGGTATCATACAATGTAGATGTACCCCATAATCCATGTATTCCCTCGCTGATTTCATTCCATCTCACTTATTTGAGCGTATTGATTCTTGCTCGGGCTCTTTGAATACCCAGCCTTAACTCTTAGAACGGGAGCTTTTAATCAGGTAATTCGAATACCGAATTACACCGAGCCCCGCCTGTCAAGGATTCGACTGTAATAGGGGGTACCACCTGTCGGAACTGTGTAATATATACTAGTTAGAGTACAAGAGGGGCCAAATATTTATAGCTAATGCCGCTGATAGGTCCCCTGGCTCTGGCAAAGGTTAGGTTGGCAACCGAACCTAAGTACTTTGAAATTGCGATTGCCTTGGTAAAAAGAAAAAAAAAAAAAAAAAAAAAAACCCCAGTAAACCCCACTGCCCCTAACACTCAACAAACCCGGTTCCAGGCCTCAGGACCCGCTTTGATGGAAACCCGGATGACAAGAGATGCTAGCCTAGTTGGGTGCGTGGGGATACGAGGTGGAGTATCACCGGTAATGTATTTTCATTGAGAATAAAGTTAGACAGCCTGAGGTTGATCTGAAACTGCGCCCCCTGATTCGTAATTCCCGACACTTTGGATAGAGACACGGAAACAAAGAACAAAGTCATGAAAAGAAAAGAAATGGGGAAAAAAAATCACTAAGTATATTAGGCAAGTGGTAGTGGTAACGGAATCAATCCCCGCGGAGAACCTCCATAGCCCGGTGAACCAGAACAGGGTCTGGATCTGTTTTCCCCAGCTCATTGTCTAACTCCATCTATCCTCTGGTGATTGACATGAAATCGATGCATGTCCCCAGAGACTAAATTATGTAACTAAATGCAACGAAACCTACAGCCTACATGACCCCAACTCTTGGGATGCCTAGAAATTATGATATCATTGTCTCAGCATCTCGCGATTTTAGAATAAGCCACCAACCTATCAACCTCGGTGGCGCTTTGGATTATCAATATCAATTTAAGGCAACGATCCCTGCTCTTTAAACCGCGCCCGAGCTTCTCCGTAAGGCTTTGGCTTAACACTGACGATCGCAAGTAAAAGAAATGAAAAACCTCGTATACCATATGGTGAGTAGATGCGGAGAGGGGGTCTCACAAACCTCGGGGCCACATTCCCCCGTTAATACTCCGCGTTGTACCCCGCTAGAAACGAAAACAAAACGGTCGAAATTCGGGCAAATATTACAGATATCATAGTGGAGATCGTCTCCAGCAAGGGATGATGGACATGACGCGGCGTTCTGGCTGCAGCTCAACACGGGAAACCTGGTTCGACCCGTATCAGGTCTATGTAGAAAACATACCGAGTCATTTTAAGGTTAAAGTGGAATGGCATTTCCTTTCTACTTAATTTACTCAATTGAGAAATAAAGACCCTATCATTATGGAGGCGATTATAGAGGATGATCTTCGCCCAGGCTGGTAATCCGGGGACAAAGGCTGATTGAGAACTTTAAGCCGGGGGACATGACTCGAGAATAAAGGGATCTGGCATGTTCATAGGATAACCCTTCAGATCTGCTTAGCTGCCGGCACTAGTAGATGAGTGATTTAGTGTCTGATAGACTTTCTGGGTGCGATGACACTTGCGAGTCCCTTTTCGAATCAAATTGGGTAGAGCGATCCTTCACCGTCTCGACTAGTATACCCCATGCTTCCGAATACTTGTTTTTTCCCCCTTCTATCTTTCATCAGACACGGGTCGATCCTTTGTATTTTCTTTTTCTATTGTTTTCTTCCCGCAACCTTTTTCCAAGGCAGAAAAGATTGGTGCATGGGAATGTATCTTGACTTTCCGTTCGACAATCTAATTCCTTAAAGTTATGTCGGTGGCGACTCCAGATGATGAATGCGGAAGGTCGGGAATTGTACGGAGTAAATATTGCATATTTCACAAGACAAATCGGTTGGCCTCGGTAGATCAATATCAACGGTGTAACCGTTAACACGAAAATTGTCGATCTACACTCCAGATGGGACCCGGGAACTTTTGGCCATACAGAAGCAGGGCTTACGCTTCTCAACGTGGGGCTCCACTTGAAATTCTAGGGATCTTCTGGATCTAGAAGCCTCTTAGTTCATAAAACGCATCAGGCTACCCAGGGGGGACCGAGTGCAAACCCAAAGCCACCGAAGTAGTGAAGTGACTCCTCCGTGTCAAACTAGGGCACCAACGAGGCGCCTGGCGTTCAGGAGATCGGCAAGCCATGGATCGTAATTGATCGTCTGGTCTTTTCTTTTTCTTTTTACGTGCCTTAGCTTTGCCCCGACGTGCCTGTAGCATAGCTTCCAAGGTTCAGATGGATATCATTTCCGTCGTGATTTTGACTGGGTCTCAGTTATCGACAACTCCATTCATAGCCAATGGCAATCGTGATTGCCTACGCGATGTATGTCCACTGGCTATCTGCAGCTGTAACGGGCATCACATTCTCACCACCTGGCAATCTACAAATGTTACCTCGATCGGAAACAATCGTCTAGATAGTATCAACCTCCGCCATTCACGCAAGCGGGTGGTTCTTGAGTTCATAAATCCGTCCACAGGGGGGACACACACATACGTACATGCTACATGCATACTGCAAAAGTCATCTAAAAAGCCTGATATATCCAAAAACACGCGACAAGTGGGCCCTTTCCTCCCTTCCTTTTCTCCTACCTTCCCTTTCGCCCTTCTTCTGGTACACATGCTGGAACCTTTCGGTTATTTTTGCTTTTTGCCCAGACTTTTGGGGGCTTTATTTGCATTCAGACTAGCTACGGCCAAAAATTCCGCCAATGATTGGCACAGGCTTCAAAATTCAACATTGGATCTATCTATGTATACGAGGTAAGTTCTATTAAATCAAGGAAAACTTGACTTATTAGTTCGTCCCTTGATGAGGTTGTCCGCTATCAGTCCGCTATCATTGTCGGTTACTATGTGCCCAGGAACCAGTTCATCGGATCGAATGTCTCGGGTGAATTATCTTATTCGCTGTGGAACTGATCTTTAGGCCCCAAGATAAGAGCTTACGGGTCATTTATCCAGGTTCCCGGGTATTATATCTACACCGGATTGTGCTCACTCCCGCCATCACATCGGAGACGCGTGGTGTCCAATTGTGACGAAATCCTGCATGAAACTTTTGCATTGTATTTCATTTTAACTCTCCCACTGCCACTTTAGCTACAAGCTACCCCGCATTTTTAATGATATTTGAAAAATGATGCAATGGGCCAACGTATTCTATCGGCTCGGCAGGTCAAGGTGGAGATCGAGTGTTCCATGGCCGTGCACGTATACCCGCAATGCTTAACTTCACTGCCACGTGAAACGGTTACAGTATCATCGGATATAATCCTCGTCATCTGGCATACAGAGTTCGAAAGGAAAATGAGTCAAATGATAATCTCCGAGAACAGCTTAGATTGGAATGGATCCAACAGTCCAACCACAGTCGTCATGTTTTCAAGCATCTCGTATCTAAGTAGCTGGTCACATTGCACAATGCAAGCACACATGTGCAAATAGCGAGTATATCCACAACTGGACGCCCTTATCCACTTAAAACCCTTCCCGAGCCATTCGAGCGGCTCTTGTGCCGATTGCAAAGAGTCGGTCAGGAGCACAGTGTCCCATCAGAAGCGAGCTCCGAATCAGGTGCGCCGGCACTATTTAGCGCGATACGGAAAGTCTCCGGTCAGATCAGCAAGAGCTTTGGGGCTGAAAAAAATAAACAAAACAAAATGAAACAAAAAAAAAGAGCAAATAGAACAGCAGTATTTAATAAATCAATCTTGTTTTGAAAATTGATGATCCGTATCTACCGATCCCAATTGAAGTAGTCGTGGGATAATACTTCCTATCAGCAACAAAAAAGCCCCAAAAAAGCAAAAAACAGAGGAGAAAAAACGCCACTGACGACTCTGGAATCCCAAAACCCCCCTTGCCCCTTGACCATCCCTTACCGACGCCGAGAGCGTTTTGCCGCAACAGTCAACAAGTCCGCGATCTTACCGATCATGTTTCCAGAAAACCCAAAAAAGCGGGCTGAGGGGACGTCTGATCGGCATAGCCAAGAATCCTTGCGAATCCCGATACTCCCTAATCCCGTCGATAAGGCTATTGGTAGTGGCGACAAGGGGGAACTTACTTCCTGTGCAACCAGCGTTCACCACATCGCGCCAAGAAGGTGGGGGACTCACATCCCTGTCATGATTTGAATTCGGCAACCCTTCAAAGTCATGGGGTGCCCAACTTTGATCTAGCCTGGGGCTGAGACTCGCTTGGCCTCGGGGGCTCGGCTCCCTTGCGTCCAGGGTCAGTCATCTGATTTGCATATGAAATCGGAACTAGCGCGGATATTTCGGTCTATGCTGATATGTAAGCAGCCGGCGAGAAACGGTTTCGATGCGATGTTCTCTTGTGCAAGCTACGGTGACGTTGTTATGGCATATTTCTCGTGGCTGCAATGCCGGCTCGGCAGTCGGGTACGCATGCACGCCTCAGTTTCAAATGGAATGGAATGGCGGGGAGTTAGGGAGGGCATCGTATCAGGCCACATGTGTTGTGGATACTTCGTACTATTGAATAACGGGAAGTGTCTGCTCTAGGTAGGATATGCGGATGTGAGACGGGAGGGCACTGTTGTAGATATGAAAGGGGGTCGGGATTGTTGGCCGGGATTCTTCGCCTTCATGTTATCGGGACTTGTTTTGTATTTTTTTTTTCGTTTCATATTATTTTTACGGAAGTAGAGATACTTTGGATGGCGGGATGGTACTTGGGACACTGCAAGCGAAACATCCTTGGTGATGTGGTGCGTCTTGATATGATCAAGTCATCGGCTCATCTTGCGCCAGTGAATGTTTCCCGTGCCTATTGTGACTTCATCCCGGGCATTATTAGAAATCAGGTGGGATTTAGCTTGATCTCGACACGGAACGTCGGTTTTAGTGACAATGAGCTGTGGCTTGCATACGCCTTGCGCCTTCGTTAGGTGCGTGGTTTGTCCGGAAGAATACAACCACGAGGTTGAAAATGTCTTGTATGCGAAGAGCAAGATGAAAGATGGACAACGAAAAAACTGCTAAGCAGTCAAGGTTGAATCTTAAGACTGCGGGTTTCGAACGAAATGATTATATGACCAATGCTATCAATTTGACATCTATATTTCCGAAGTGAATGCGAAATGCATGAGATATCTCCAAAGACCTTACCAACTCGTCAAGCCGCGCTCTCGATCAAATCCAGCTCGCAATTGCTGAGCTGGTTTCAACACCTTACCCTGCAAAACAGTATACCGGATGACATTCTCACACTCCTCTGGCCGGACCCGAGCCAGCCAGATACCTTGTGCAGCACCTTCCTGCTCACTAATTTCGGCCTCCGCGTCACCTGTCTTATACCAATCAAAGTTTCGGCGCCGGTACACTATAACATTGGCAGAGTACTTGTGTCCACCAACATGGCTAATGAAATAGATTCCCACACCACCGGGGCGTGTATCGTCCATGTCGCGATATAGTCCCAATGGCCGCAAGTGTCTCTCGAACTCGCGGCGGAGCAGTGGTGCGGATTGTCCACAGCGGGCATCGCGAGTACGCTGCGAGCAGAGTAGAATGACAGCGGCGTGAGGGCATGGGCGGGAGCGCAGAGGGGAGGTAATGGATGTGTTGGAGGGGTGAGGGATGGAGTCGGATGACTGCTCTTCAGAGCTGCCCTTTTGGTCTGCAGGTGCTGCGGGTAACGCACCGAGCGGTGTTGTAGTTGTTGCGGAGTTGTTCACGAAGTGCTCGATCAGATCTGGGGCCAGCTGCGGTGTGACATTCTCGACAATGGTAAAGCTAGGCAGTATGAGGACGTTTGTGGGCTGCTTTCCTTCTTCGTGCATATGATATTCGTCTGGGACGGGCATGTTCGAGGCAGAAAGCTTGAGGCGCTGAGATTAAAGATATGTGAGTACTTTGAGCAGTATATGATTGTGTTCTTGGAATGTGTCCTTACGCCATTGCTAGGCTCAACTCCTCCCTTCTCAATTGCTTCCATGACACTGCCTGTCTCGTCTGCAACGTCGCGCACCCAATCTGACTTCCCGGTCGCAACAAGCATGTGTGTTGCCCACCCTTTCACCTGGCCGTATAGCTCGTCCTCCATGTCGACGTCAAATTTGGCGGGGTATTTGACGGTACATGTCGCGCAATCGTGCAGACAGTCCTCGCCGTCAACAGCTGGGTCAGCCTTGGAAAACAGCTTGTCCGACTCTGAGATGGTTCGAAATCCCTCAGCCGCAAGGGCATTGTCACCAATAGCATCTGTGGTGGCGTCTGTCTTAGAGGAAGCGAGAGAGACATTGGAGGAGTTGAAAAGCGAGGACGTGCCTCGGCGGAAGAGATGCATGCTGGTGGGTTATTGTGCGTCCTCCCGCTGACTTCGAGGTTATTGAAGATCCAAACGTAGCGATCGACTGGTATCAACCTGTTCTTTCTCTCTCTACTATGACGCGTAATGCCCAAAATTGAGGTGATCTTATCAATCGTTTTGCATTCCCGCCAAGAAGCTCGGCATTACTTCCGCCTGACTAAGCCCCCACTGTTGCCGATAGGGTATTTTAATCCGATCTATAACTAATGTACATCCTCTGACGGGTACAGTGGCGTTGCATGAGTTTGAAATTCCCTCCACTCCTTACATAATATTCTGCCATGTTTCCTGCCAGCCAAAACCTCACATCCTTAGCTAGATAAGCTCAGCATGTTGAAGTTGCAAAATGAAAATTGATGAGAACATTCCTATTAACGTGCCACATATAAATTATGTACAAGAATCGGGTGTTGACCGGTGTTCTAGTTTTGGTCAGCGCACTGCGTATTGATAGGCGGTAAGCTATACATGCATAAGAGGCGGTCTTAAGGCTGGTTTCAAACTCATGCAACACCACTGTAGAAGCGAAATTAAAGTGGAGGTGGAGGTGGGCCTATGATTCAAATATCCCTACGACCAGCATAGGTGATTGTATACGGTAGATTGCCCCGATCCTGTGGCTGCGACAGCCGAATCACACTTCCTCCAGAACTGCCGGATTGTCCGGAGGGCAAACGTCGCAGTGATCGAGTCGACGGGGTGCGGAGTCCCCGCCCCAAATAAGACCCGCTCTCCTGTGACACCCCAGAGTATGGGCTCTGTACCCCTGGCGCAGTATCGTACCCCGATTGGGTCTCCCAAGTTGATGTATTAGAAGGCCGGAGGCTGTTACTCCGCATCGGTGTGAATGTACCATCGTACCCGTAATGGTCCACGGTATCCGTCTCCCCCTCCTCGTCCGATGGCCCAATCATTGACTCGCTATCTGCACGGCGATAGCTCACGCTGTCGCGGATTTCATCCATGATAGGAGTAGCAAGGGATGTCATGCCTCTGAGGATCTCCGCAAACAAGTGCATCAAGTCACGAAACTCGGACTCGTGGAGCTGATGGGAGGAGAAACGAGCCCGTTCGTAGAGTGCAAGAAAATTAGGGCCGAGTTCCGGGGGTTCAATAGCTCCCAAGGACGTGAGATGGCGGATGTATTGCCGTAATCCCATTGAAGCTGGTCGCCGTAGCTCTTCCACTACACGCATATCTGGTAGATACTGAGGGTCCAGGTCGTCGACCGGGCCAAAGGCATCTGGTGCAGCAGAGAGAGTATCGGAAGGCGCCAGTGAAACTGCTTTCGCTTCGATCAAGTTGGGTAATTCCCGAATAACGGTTCGGTAGGGCAAGTCCGGCAAGTCAGGTGAAGCGGGCGACGACCAGCCGGGGTGCTCCACACGGCCCCATGGCGGCCGCTTGGGGTCGATCAGAAGAGGCTCGTAATTCTGAAAGCTGTCTACTTCTCCTGAGGTATCTCGCGGTCGAGCTTGGTATGCGACAACTGCGCTACGAGCAAGTCCCTCTTTCACCATGCGGCGGACGCTCTTGCTAACGTCTTCCTTCTCCACGGGGATCCATGCTTTCGGGATACCAGCCAAGGTACTTCTGTTTGTGTATATTCGGGTCGAGTAGATGAGGACGGCAAGAATAAAGGTGATGACATAGGCGCCGGTTATGAAGAAGATATCGGTGAGCTGGTTGGTCTCCCAGCATTGGTAGATGGCGTCTGCCGGGGTAAGGAGTATCAGACAGAAGAGGATGAGGGCGATGAAGCAGAAGAAGCTTGTGTTGAGAACGCGCTCCAGTTTCGGGGTCATGGCTAGCCGCGCATTTTGTGCGCAATGCACAGCATTTGGTGGCAAGATAAGCTGGCCGTAGCTTGAGTGGATTGGATCGCGACTTGATTATCGGATAAGTGAATATCACGTGTATCGAATCTGTATCACGACCAACAATGCGACATTGCACATCCAGGGGCTTTATCACAAATAAATTCCGGTTGACTAGAAACTGAGAGTCTACAGTTCACCAATACCTGCGAACCTTATATTCTTCTCGCATTGGTCAACTTGAGCGCAGATATTCAAGTTCAATCACATGACACTATTCCTGCCGCAAACCATCGCGACTATCTCGAATCCACCAACACGATAATCCCTGCAAAAACAAGAAAATGAAGGAACACAAGGCTTTCCATAACCCGGAAGACACATATGTCCTGGTAACAGGCGCAAACAGGTACCGATTACCCAATTGGCCCAATCAACTCCTGTTTCAGCCCTTCTAAACAAGAAAAAAAGGAGGGACAATCAGCTAACTATATCATTCTTGCTAGCGGCCTAGGGTACTCAATTTGCTGTCGCCTCGCCAATGACTTCCTAAAAACCCATCCACAACCCGCATGCCTGAACATCATCTTTACAACCCGTAGCGCTCGCAAAGCTCAAGACACAACCCGCCGCCTCGAAGCCGACCTCCGCAAAATTGCCCCCTCCTCCGCGGACTTCTCGCGCGTGCGCTTCCTCCCGGAAAGTGTCGATCTCGGCTCCCTTATTTCCGTCCGCGCCTGCTCCCGCAGAGTCAATTCCACCTTCCCTAAACTCGATGCCATCATCCTGAACGCCGGCATTGGCGGCTGGTCTGGTCTCGACTGGCCCGCCGCGGTTTGGGGTGTCTGCACCGACCTCATATACCAGGTGACATGGCCCACATACAAGCTCTCGCCCGTGGGCGTGTTGACGGACAAACAGACATCGAGCAAGGGACTGCAGGAATCCGCACTGGGCTCGGTGTTTTGCGCCAATGTATTTGGGCACTATATGCTTGCGCATAATGTGGCGCCGCTGCTGAAGCGCGCAAAGGCGCCAGATGGGCCTGGACGTGTGGTCTGGGTGAGCAGTATCGAGGCGACGATCAAGTGTTTCGATGTTCAAGATATCCAGGGATTGCGCAATGCTAAGCCTTATGAGTCTTCTAAGGCGCTAACGGACATTTTGGCTTTAACCTCTGATTTGCCTAGTACAGCACCGTGGGCGGTGGATAGTTTCTTGGGCTCTGATGATGCCAACAAGGGCATCAAGGAAGAGTCTGGTACGCCTACGATACATGTGGCCCACCCTGGTATATGTGCTACATCTATCGTCCCGCTTGCCCTGCCCCTTATCTGGGCAATGGTGATTGCATTTTGGGCCGCGCGCATGCTGGGATCTCCATGGCATACCATGTCTACCTATCTCGGCGCCAGCTCTCCCGTTTTTCTTGCTCTGTCGTCTAAAGCTGCACTTGATGCTGCTGAGGAGCCATACCGCCAGGCTGGTGGTGGAAAACCGAAATGGGGCTCGTCTGCTTCGCGGAGTGGCGTGGGAAGTGTAATTTGTACAGAAATCGACGGTTGGGGTTATGGTGGAGTTGTTGGTGCTGCCGTTGTTGAGGCTGATCGACGAAGACTTCGAAAACGAGGAGCTGCCGATCTTACCGCGGAGCAGAAGGAGAATTTCGAGCAGCTTGGGCGTCAGTGTTGGAAGGAGATGGAGGAGTTGAGAATTCAGTGGGATGCGATCTTGGATGAGGCTGAGAAGGCGCAGAATGCTCAGTGAGTAAGAGGATATACACTGTAACTTTAGTCCCTTTGAGGTTCGTCTGTCTTGTATACGACTTTATGCATATGGTCCGTGGCACACCAAGCCCCGGAGGTCGTCAAAGAGCTGGCATAACTGCATTATAATTTAATCACATATACAATCAATATATATAGATAGCTTTGAACGCTGCATATCGTTAGCGACCCGAGGCTCAATTGGAGGCTGCATAGGAGCAGACTTCATTTACTTTGGTTCAGTCTTCTCTTACAAACGCAGTGAGGCTAGGTAGGTACCAGGGGTCCCAGGGCTGGTCCTCTCTCTATTCTTCTTTGCGCATGTTTACCAAAGTCAATTGAATTGCATCTTTGTATTCCGCCTCCCAATTATTTACATCAACAGTACCCGCCCCACGCCCATGATATCATTAAAACAGATATTGCATGATTTATTTGCCCGCAAAATCAAACTGGCAGAAGCGCAAAAAGAGCAGGGTTGTAATTGTAGGCTTTTAATGCCCGCACACATCACAAGAAAAAACAGGACAAGAGACTAAAAGTGGTAATTGTTGCAAAAAGGGCCGCTGGTCGTGTATTATCCAGCCATCTAGGTTTGGAATACATCGAAGCTCGGGAACGAAAGGTAAATAAGCAGCGCGAGCACATAGCGGGGCGGCGGCACCGTCGTGGGTGACAGGCAAGAAAACTGGGACCGAAGAGGATCAAGACAAGAGAAGAGAAGATCACGAAGAAAACGACTCCGGTTCCATGCATCAAGACGGGAGGAAAGGTATCGGGAGGAGAGAAAAGGTGAAAAAGGACGTATCGACGTGAGGAGGAAGGAGGATTACATGATAATGGCAGGAACTAGTTGTAAATGTTAACTTTGGACCTAATATCAATCGGTTTGTAACAATGAACTTACCATCAATGTTTTGCTTGATGCTCTTGTGGGGGAGAATGGAGCCACCGTTGACATACACCTCATCGGCGATGCTAACATCGTCTCCCAGAACTGTCACGTTCTCCAAACGAGCCCAGCGACCAACGGAGCTATTCCAGCCGACAATGGTGGACTTGATCCAAGCGTGATCCTTGACCTTGCTGTTCTCCATCACAACGCAACGCTGCAAACGGACACCATCGCCAATGACAACGTTAGGTCCAATAACTACGTTAGGTCCAATGCGGCAGTTGTTTCCAATCTTCGCGGAGGGGTCAACCATGACATTGCCGCCGTGCACGTAAGGCTCGGAGGTGGAAACCAGCTTCTTGGGGTCGCGCTTGGTCAGGGAGGAGAGGTACAGACAGGTACCAGTGAGGAAGTCCTTGGGCTGACCAACATCCATCCAGAAGCTCTCGAGGTCATAAGAGTGGAGCAGGCCGTCCTTGACGATGGCAGGGAAGGTCTCCTGCTCAATGGATGTGGGGCGCAGCTCAATGCGCTTGAGGACGCTGGGGTTCAGGATGTAGATACCGGCGTTGATACGGTTACCGACGAACTCGACGGGCTTCTCGACGAAACGATCAATGCGCGAAGGGTGGTTAGGCTTGTGAACCACGACACCGTACTTGGACGGCTCATCGACCTTGGTGACAACAATGGTACCTTCGTCACCGTGCTTCTTGTGGAACTCCGCAAGCTCTCTGAAGGGGTAGTCACAGATAACATCTGAGTTCAACACGAAGAAAGGCGAGTCATCCTTGCCCAGAATACCCTCCGCCAGCTTGAGCGGGCCAGCCGTGCCCAGTGGTTCGGTCTCGACGGAGAACTCGATGTTGACACCGTATTGCTCCTCGTACTTCTTCAGTGCGGCGACCATAACATCGGGGCGGTAGTTAACGGCCAATACAATGTCAGTAACACCCGCAGCAGCCAAGCTCTCGACCTGGTGCAAGATCATGGGCCGGTTGCCGAACTCGACCAGCGGCTTCGGGAGGGTGAGAGTCTAGGCGGAAGCATACAAATTAGCCATTGTGATGAGGGTAGAGATCCCGCCAATTCCAATTATTTCCCCGTAGAGCATTGGGTCATATCAATTGCATGTTGGGACGATCGAAGGCAACTTACCAAAGGACGCAGACGGGTGCCGAAGCCTCCGACAAGAATGAGAGCTGTGGGATGGTTAGTGACGGGATGAGGGGTGGTATGGAGGGGCATAACATACCCTTCATTGTGGGGTAAGTAAGTTAAGGTGAAAACACGATTAGATCAAAGAAAAAGTAGTTGATATTCAATCAACAACAAAAACAAGCCAAGAGGGTTTAACACGAAGGGGAGAAGGACATTATTTAGGGAACACCTGGCCGTTGATGGATTTATTTTTATTAGGAGGGAGGGGTGGGGCACGTGAGAGGACCTGATTGGATGACTACACGTTTGCAGTGAAAAAGGGGGTGGACCCTCTTATATCTGTTACCATCTTGGACTTCAAAATACTTCTATTTCCGGCTGATTCATGCTTTGCAACGTTCTGTGCTCGGCTGATTCAAACTCTGATTTATGGTTCCTATGAATGCACTTGTTGTGGTGGGAAAAGATCACACAGAACGCTCCGTACTCTACTATGAGCCCCCCCACGGGTGGTACTAGTACCCTGGGTCCAGCCCATCGACGCGCCGAGCGGCGCAGTGCAAAGCCGCCTTTTAACTGGATCGGGGCTTGTTGAATAGCTGCCCCGCCAACCTTACCCGGTCAGGCGATGTCGCCCCTGGGCTAAAAAGTCTCAAAAGGAAATTCGAGATCAATGGTCGGTTGCGGTCATGAGCCGCGCGGAGACCAGTCTCCTCATCCGTCACACCACGACCCTCCTTCATCTTACAACTGCCCCTTATTTTCTCTCACCAGATGATCGGGTCTATGAGTAGTACATACTCAGAACTTGACTTAAATCTTAGTTGATGTATCATGTTTGATATTTTCAATGATATCATATTCGGTCATGAGTCTGTAGATTCTTTTAATCCAACCTATCCAGGGGCTAGATGATAGAAGCTGTGTTCATACAACACCAAAAAAAACCAGGCTATTTTGACCAATGGAGCTACTGCGTGTCCGGGGGTAGCCGGCCACGTTGTGTCTCGGGCATTCCTGGGCTAGTACCGCCTACTCCATCCGTCCCCACAAATCGGAGGATCCATTCCCGTACCTTGCGAACCTTCTGCGGCAGATCGCCCTGGACATTGGTCGGAACCTTGTCGAGCTCACCCGCATCCGTCGATGATCGGTGCAAAAGGTCGACTTGGGTCATTCCTCCACGAAGGCTCTGTCCGTAAACCTGATCCCGGAACGAGCTAAGCCCCACAGTACGCAAAAGAACAATGTCTTGAGGTCGAAGTCGAGCCAGGGACCGGCCAAGCCCATAGGTTTTCTCGGCCTTGGCTGCCGTCTGATCGGCTGATACTGAAACTGGCAGCCAAAAGTTGACGCCAAACCCGGCTCTTGTCTCGTCACCCACCACTAGTTCAATGATATCGAGTTCTTTTTTCCACTGCCGCGTTATCACACGGCGGGGTGGATGAACTGCAATGACCCCGACAACTAAATTGACTGATATTGTCTGTGGAACAATGGTCTGCAGATCTCTTGCCGTGGGGATGTCCTTCAAATCCCTCAAGGGGCCATTCATTCGAAAGGGTGGTGACAGAAGTAATTCTTTGCTTGGTGAATCAGCGGCCTCAATGCTGTCCAACTCCTGTGTCAGGTTCTCTTGTGACTCTGACCCAGATATCTCTGAGGCTTCATGGATGGCAAATGAATGGTCGTAGAACTGAGACAAAGTCGTATCATTCCCATCGTTTGTTACGCTGTCAGCATTGATGAGCTGATGGGATGTCAGGAAGTTTGGGTCCTTGGGTCCCCAGTAGAATGCATAGTGATCATCCACGGTGTCTGTTGACAGAGGCTGAAGAACTCTCCATTTGATAGAGTCCTGGTTTAAATAGGCCTGATGTTCGGTTCTGGAATTGGTGTCTGCATTGTGGAATGGGGGCACTGGCGCGTTTAAAAGCTCGTCGTGATCCCAGTCCAGATTGCCAGGTAGCGGGGCACCCACCAGGAAAATCATTTTGGGGGCCATTTTGATTCGGTTAGGAGCTCCAGCCTACTTTATCGTATCCCCAGGCCTATGGTTCAGCTGCGCTGATGTAGTGGATGCCAGTGACGTCCCATGCTTCCTTATCGTTGTCGTTCCCGGAGATTTCCACAAATGGTCTGGTTGGCGTCAAAGCAGGATCCAGTAAGAGCCGTCGTTGGTGGCGAATTGATCTAAGCAGTAGCTACCATAGCCTTCTTGTCAATGTGGTGGGAGTTTCAAAATCTAAAGTCGGTACAGTCCGAACCATAAATCCAGGCCTTTGATTATATCATCATTTTGGCGGGCTGTAATTGTAGATCTAATTCTGCAGCTTTACGGTTGTTGGTAGAAACCCTTTTTTCCCTGAACACAGGCGCGAGTTTCGTAATATCACAGTGATTAAAACATCCTAAGTGTCTATAACAATAGGCCACGTTACTTCTGTGAAGTAAGTGCGTGGCATGCGTGCCAAAGCGGCAAAGCGGCAATATCGTAGATTTGAGAGAAATAGCAGTAAAATCAAGAAACCAAAAAGTGGTCTCACTAGATGAAGAGCGCAAAAAACTTGTGATAGCAAAGTTACGTTGGTAATAGTAATATTGGCTTAATGGCCGCTGGCAGGAGGTCGAGCAGCTCGACGTGTAGGTGATGGAGACTCGCAAGACCAAGCTTGGCGAAGGTCATTCCGACCTGTTTGTAAGCATGGCCAATCTGGCCTTAGCGTACCGGAACCAGGGTTGTTAGGCGGGTGACCATTGGTCATAGACAACTCTAATCTCACAGGCCCATATCTATAGAAAACGCAATTCATTTTGAGTCTCATAGAGCACCTACCTATCTCCAACCGCCAGCTGATTAGGTGCAGGCCCGCCAGAGCTGCCGCTCACCCCGTGAATAGACTCAAAGATAACCATTGTATTCACTTCATCTCGAAATACACTAAAGCTAGAGCACCACACACAGCACAAATTGTTGCTACAAGGGTTCGAATACCAGTCAGACTTGCTCTGATTTGTTGGAGGGACTTTCCACATATTTCACTTACCGAGGCAGGTATTCATGTAATAATACCCCATCGTTTCGGTGATAGTACCCGACAAAATCGGTCCAATGAACATGCTAAACGTCCAGCTCATATTTGTCAGGGAAAATGCCCGTGAATATCCACCGTTAGGACCGAAGATTGCTGGTTGCGTTTCCTGTAGCTCGGTCACGACGTCTAGTGGATAAGAGAAATTATTAGCACAAAACCCACGAATATACACGAATAGAAAAGAGATAGATAGCATAGCTTCGCTGACCAAGGAATACTTACTGGTCATCTCGATAGTGCCACAACCAGTGACAAGCGTTCGAACAATACCCAAACTGATAATGGTGATTGTGTAGATCTTTTGGTCTGTTTGCTCTGAGCTCAGGAACGGCAGACCTTCGGGACCGGCAGCACCCAGGAGCCATAATAGAGGGGCATGAGCGAGAAATCCGATTCCAGACGGGATTTTCGTGCCCCAGCGGTCTTTTATAGACCCAGTGATGGGGGAGAGTAATAGTGTAGGTAATGTCAGGAGTACAAACATCAAGCTTGTCTGGAACGGCTCCCAGCCAAAGGTTCGAGAGACATATAGAGGCAGGGTAGTGTCGAAACAGGCTAGGGTGAGACTGATGGTTGCATGACAGGCCATTGAAGTAAGAGCACGAGGATTACTTAAAATAACCTTGTAGAAGCTTTTAGCAGCTCGCGATGTAGAGCCATTCTGCTGTGAAATCCGTTCCGGATCAAGCTGAGTAGGTGGAGGTCCGGATAGAAGGTTGGATGTCTCATCCGGTGAGCTAGTGCCAGATCCCGATGCGCTTTCAACGTCCTTTATCTCATCTTTGGGTTTCTCAATCATCAGACACCGCATGATCGCATCAATGATGAGGAGAGCAACTGCTGTAAGCCAGGTCGGCCAGTATCCAACAATTCCTATTAGCGTGCCCGATACAATAGGACCAAACAAGATCCCGGAGATAAAGAAAACGGAGATCGTAGAGATAGTTCGCGACCTATTCTCAGCCTCGACAGTGTCCGCGATTGTTGCATAGCCAATAATCCATGCTGCATTGCCGGCGAAGGCCTGCACCACACGTCCGAAAAGAAGCACTGGCACTGTGATAGAAGCCTATTAGCTATACCTCACCACAACTACGATGAGGAGATAAGGAAAATGAAAGAAAAAAAGCGATGGCATACAGGATGTGGCAGCAGCGACAATGATTGTCCCTATGATCTCTCCCATTAAAGAAAGCAGTAAAGGACCTTTTCGCGAAGAAAATTTGTCTGCCAAATTACCGATTATTGGCCCAGATATGAAGCACACCAAAGCGTGGACCGAGAGTGCAGCTGATGTGACATCTTGAGTCTTGGATGGATCGAGGTGAAGACGATTCTCGATCATGTATGGTAGTAGAGGGACGATAAAACTGTATAAAAAATTTTCTGGAAAACATTAGTGCATGTCACTTCAGGAGCCTGTATGAGCTACTTCGCACAAACCTGAAAATAAAGCTAGCGTTATACAAGTCAGGATAAAGAAGTTTGACGAGCGCCATCCGTGTCCCAATGGCTTTGCCTCGAGTGATGCCACATTTTCGCGAGATAAAGCCATGTGGGACAATAGAACCGTCGTCCCTCTATGCCTTTCAAGGTTATTCGATATAGGGGAAAGAAAAGGGTGGCAGAGGTGGACAGACGGCAACGACGAATATGTGGTGGCAGGGGAAGGAAGTTCGACGCGATCAAGGAATCTCCTGCTCCACTATCGCTCTCTCTGTCCACCCCTAAAACTGATCTTCAGGTCATTATGTCTTCTATCATCTACCCTATTACTGAGCGGTGTCAGATAAAAGCAGGGTCCTATCTACCTAGAGTGTAATATCCATCTTGCATTCACGCAGCTAAAAATAAAATTAAATCTCTTATTGCGGCCGCTATACCCCCTATGACGTACCGCGTTTCACGCTGCGCGGCCGCCTCACAGGCCATTTTTCCGCGCAGATAATCATAATATGTCCCAAACTAGATAAGTATACGCTTACACTCATTAGCTACTAATATTATATACTCAATCTAGCCAAGAATCAAGTTGCGGCGACCGGCGTCGACGCTGTTGGTGTCTTTAGATTGGAAACTCTGTCAGTGTGATACCAGGTTACCGAAAACGCATTTCATGTCGATATAACTGTAGACGTTCATAGCAGAAGGCTTTGTTAAAGGTCGCGACGAATTTGCACCACCGGCATTTGAGTTTCGCGTTGACCCTTGTGGAGCAAATAACAGATCGCGTCCGTTCAGTCTAGTCCATGAACAACAGTGCCCTTGACACAGTCCTAGATGTAGGAACAAAGGGCCAGATATTGCAAAACTTTGAAGACTTCATGATAAGTAGTACCAATGGAGGGAGCATTTTATCAATAGTCTATGGGAAGAGTTTCTTACGGTTCTATAGAAAGGATTGTGGGAAATACCGGTTGCTAGTTCTTCACGTCCAATATGCGATGTTTTAACTGCCAAAACCACGCCGAGCTGAGTAGATAGTCCCGATGGCGACGTATCCAGCAATGTACAATGCGATACCCAAGTAAATCATTCGAGGCCACCATTTGATCCCATCGATACTGAGCACCGTGGCCCAAATGACGATGGCAATACGATCAAGCTAGTATGCCACCGTCAATGCACATATATTGGTATAAAGAATTACGTAGGCCTGAAACTGCATAATTTCTGGTAAGATTCCAGACAGTGCTGACAAAACCCAGCTCCAAATCGTGGCCCAAATAGCGAACTAGGTAAACGAGTGAGGAGATACCGTTCTGCAGAAAGGTCTGAGCAAATCAGAAGATAATGCAGCCTGCCTGCTCCAGTCACCGTATATCAAGCTTCCTCTTTGCGATGAAAAGAAATCGCCTCATAACTGGACCGCAAAAGTCAATGATAGATAGCTCGAATCAATCATGCGACAGTACCCAATATGATATAGGTGTAAGACCCGAAGAATAAATTATAGCCTGATCACACCCTACAGAGCGCAATGAGATAGCACGAGCTGTAGTTGGTTAAAAATTCATAGTGAGATTCACAAGGAAATATTTCGCTCTGTGACGGGGTAGCGAATCTGCTAGGAGACTTGAACGATCTAACCAACGAGGATGAAATGCCTCCACCTCGATTTCCTCGATGCAATTGTGGGCGGTGATATATCAACAACCATTGCTATGGCTGGAGTGCGGGTCATATCTCCAGAGCTAATGCCCGAAGTCCTGGGAGATCTACGTCGTTGTGGTGGGAAATTTCAAGTTTTAACCGATACTGGATTTATGGAGCAAAAGCATGGAAAAGAGAACTATATAAGGTCCGTCCGAACAGATGAGATTCGTCTTAAAAGCAGAAAATAAAAACACAAGCACAGTTCGAATAGGCGGAAGACCAGCTATCTGTACATGCAAGGCAGAGAGAAAGAAAGGATATCTATTATGCTTTTTTTTTCTCTTTTCCCATTGGTTTCTTCCTCCCTGCCTTGAAACACCATATGCGTACAGGGGAGAACGCGAAATGAAGGCCTTCATTCCGGTAACCCCGTGCTCTCAAACCAAGGATATTGTCGGCAGATCGTCAGAGCATAGAAGTGACAATCATCAGAGAAACAGAAACAGGATTAGCTTTTGACACTGTGGCATTGCTCATGTCATTACCAAGAGAGCATTGACATGAGATATGGAGAGAAATCGCGCGCCAAAAGAATGAACCCGGCGATCCGTTTACTTAAGCTCACGCCAGAGCTTGGGGGCAGCGCAAGCGGTGACACAGTGGGTGAGGTGGAAGACTAAGAATTATGTTAGTCACCGGGAATCCGGATGGAAACACCCTCATGAAATCAGACAAAGGCGGATTTCATGGAGCATTTCATTGCTTTCAAGAACTTACACTCCTCAACACAGTCCTCCTTGGGACCCTTGAAGTCCTCATCCTCCTCCTGGCGGGTGACGCGCTCGACACACTCGTCGTAGTGGTGCTTGTAGGGGGCGCACTGGGCGGAGTGGGCGCACTCTGGAAGAACGATAAGTTAGTTGCGAATACATAGAAGAGAACCGAGATGGCATGGAGCCAATTGCGATGCCATTGGAGCCTACGGGACACGCGGATGAATTCGAATGCCTCGGGCGACAATGCGAAACAGCCAGCCGACCGCTGACACGTTGCCATGACACAAGGGTCGCTGTATCAAGCACAATTGCAAATGCAGCAGACTCAATGGGATCAAAACAGGAACCACTCACCCTCCTCGAACTTGGGCTTGAGGTCCTCAGGCTCCTCCTCCTCTTCCTCCTCCTCTTCTTCCTCCTCCTCTTCCTCCTCAGCCTCAGCCTCGGGCTCCTCCTCAGAGGCCTCCTCGGACTCTTCAGCGGGGGTCTCCTCAGCGGACTCGGTCTCCTCGGATGACTCTTCGGTGGTCTCCTCGGTCTTCTCGGCGGGCTCGTCCTGGGGGGTGGAGGACTCAACGTCGGCGGCGGGAGCCTCAGCCTGGGCCTCGGTGAAGCCCAGGGAGGAGTAGACGTCAGAGAAGAAGTCGGCGAAACCCATTGTGACTGTCAATTGAGGGGACAGGGACCGGTAGAGATGGTGGGTATTGGAAGGTAGGGGTTGATGATTGAGTGTTGGTTTTCCAAGCTCGGACTGGAAAATCGGGACGCCCCGGCGCTGAGCACAATTGTACCGCACGTGATTGGCTACTGGCTTTCGCTGACTATGACAACGATTTATTAAGTTACTCCGGAACGATCTCAATGTCAATGGGATTCGGTTAAGCCATACTCGATATGTCGCTTTGTTCTCTTCATTATATTGCTAATTTTTGAAATCACTACCAGGCTGAGCCAATGCAACACCCTATTACGGTCACGCTCTAATTGCCGCGCATGAACCTCACCGCACTCAAGTCTTAAAACGGAAGGTCTTATTATACATGCTTGTTTCCCGGCTTTGCATCAACAGAACTCAAGCAAAAATTGAAGAAGGGTCCTCGAATTTGCTATTCATGTCTCGCGATGCTCAGATCAGATTAATTCAAGTGGATTATGTGGCCCGTCGCAAACGTTCCTCCAAGGCATCGGCTACACTCTGTTGTTGAACTTCTTCATATCCTGGTGGAGGCTCCATAGGCTCGGGTCCAATGACTGATGCTCGTTGATTGTTTGCTGGTGGGTTTGATGTGTGGGTAGGAGCAGCAGATTGGCTACTATTGTTCGAACCCGGGCCCTCGTAGGCTGGCAGCTCCTCCAGATGCACCCCAGCAAGATCCACACCCTGTAGTCCCCGAGCACTCTCGCCTGAATTTTCCACCGCCTGCTCTAGTCGTTCTCTGATCCGTTCAAAGTTGGTGTGGAAATCGAACGCGCCACCTTCTTTGAAGGTCACCTTGATCTGGACGGCTGGAAGAGATGAGGAGATGCCTCCTCCAGCGACGGGTTTAATGAGTGCAGTCCAGACATTGGGACCAAAAAATGGGGCGGAAACGTGAGAGTCGCGGACGTTCAGTAAAGGAGACGAGAAGGATTGAAAGTTGTCAAGCGCTTGGGAAGGGAGGTAGATTATCTGTTTAGGTCGACCAGCGGTCAGTACTTTGGCTACATGGGAACCACGAAAGGAAGGGGAGGAATGACAGACCCTTTGGTTGGTAAGGTAAATGCAGCCGGCGCTACTCTGAAAAGACAGCGCCTCCGGGCCCTTGTACCCGGATGGCGGCGTTAGCGCGAGGGTGGTGCGCGGAGGTGAAGTGTATATCAAGCGTTCGTTGGGAAGGCGGACGAAACCTTCTTGGTCATGAAGCATCACCCAGCTGTAGTCTCCGTCAGTTTTTGTCATCCGCTTATCAGTGTATCTCGGTGATTCGAGTACTCAGCAGGGGGAAGGATAAGCATGCACGTACTTGATAGACATTCTGACTGGCGGTCATTCCACTGCACTGATTGCGCAGAGATGCGGAGAAGGCAAGATAAGAAGGTCAGGATGGGGAGATCCACAGAAGGAGGTTTCAGGTTCATGTATGCCCAAGAGATGATTTCAGGGTCTGAAACCCTTGGTTATCCGGTGTCGCGGAAGGGAGAAAATCATCCATCTGCGGGGCAAGCGGGGAAGTTCTGCAAAGATGACTGGTCTTCCAAGGTATTATGTCCGGACTTTCTTTTCTGATTGACTGATACCAGGTGGTATACTGTATTTCTTTTGGGAGAACAAATCATATACTAGATCCCCCCAAAAAGCCTAACTTTCCCGATAACTCAACCAGCTACAGATATACTCATCATTCCCCCGCTCTATCGTAGATCCCCGCGCCTGAACGCAGGAAATTTCCATCTCGGGCTTAGACGGATCTGCCTCAACAATTATAGATGCATATAAACCGTTGGGCATTATGGCCCCAAAAGAATACTTTTGTGTCCTTGTCAAGATTCTTCCATTAAATGGGTACCCACATATATGATAACATAGTCCTGGTATGCCCTGGTGGAGACTATGAGAATATAGAATTGGCCACTGGCCCCAGTCCACAACGGGTATCGTATGTTTTGGGTAATGAAAGTTCCGTTGCGCACAGAACTCACAAATCAGCATAAAACCCTAGATAAGTCCCCTATAGTCGTGTGAGTGGATTCTTGTTCTAGAAGCGTCCGAAGGGGAGCGAACGCGCTAAAGCCGGATCCCCAAACCTTCCGGATTTGATCAGGTTTATTTGTTCCCCCCTAACTTTTTTCCTCTTCACTCCACTCTTGTCCTTGAGTGTTTTCTGTATTCTTCTATTTTACTCTCCTCATCATTATTGTGTGTGGCGTAAACGTCGCTGCATAAACAGAATAACTACTTGGTGGGGCCCAAAGAAAAAAAACTAAGCTCCCTCTACCGACGTCAGGTTCCGGCGGGTCCAAGCTCGTGCAGCTCACCTGCAACTTCATGTCAACGCCGTGGCCTTCCCACTGATTACGCCCACTTGAGCCTCCTGGAACCATACACCGGGTTCAAAACGGCGCCATGGGCAAGCAACAGACAAAAATCCCACCCCTCATTGGGTGGCTGTACGATCTGGTGCTCTGGTCCTTCTCCGTGCTGATCGACCTCTTCTTCCGCGAGGTGCACCCGCGAGGATCATGGAAAATCCCTCGTCGCGGTCCCATTATCATCGTCGCTGCCCCTCATGCGAATCAGGTATGTCACTATAACCCCCGGGGGTTGACCCAGATCATGCAGCTAACTAAGCCCCTTCCTTACAGTTCGTTGATTCCCTCGTCCTCATGCGCGTCATTCGCAGCGAAGCGCACCGTCGGATTTCATGGCTGATCGCAGAGAAGTCCTTCCGACGCAAGTTCATCGGACTACTTGCGAGGGGTATTGGAACGCTCCCGGTGGCCCGCGCCATGGATAACTTGAAACCCGGAAAAGGCACGATCTACCTACCCGATCCTGTCAACGAGCCGACCCTTTTGCGAGGCGTGGGAACAAACTTTGAAGACCCGACATTTGAAGTGGAGGGTACAATTGCGCTGCCAACCATCAATGGAACCTCACACAGCACGGCTATAGCGGAAATCCGCGGACCAGAGGAACTCGTCCTCAAGAAGCCTTTCAAGCATAGGGATGCATTGATCCAGCTTACAGGAAGACAGGATATTGGTAAGGATGGTAAATTCTCGGGTGATGCGGCAGATAAGAACTCGGACTTTGAGGGCACCAAATTCAAGGTTGCGCCACACGTGGATCAAACCGCTGTCTACGAAGCTGTCTTCGGGAGATTGAATGCTGGCGGCTGTGTGGGAATCTTCCCAGAAGGTGGTAGCCATGACCGTACCGAGTTACTCCCTCTCAAAGGTAAGCTATATGTCACTTCTTTGGCCAATGTGCTTGCTGACTAAATGTTCTTAGCTGGTGTGGCTCTCATGGCTCTTGGTACTCTGGCGGACAATCCGGATTGTGGTCTGAAGATTGTGCCCACTGGCATGAACTATTTCCATGCCCATAAGTTCCGCTCTCGCGCAGTTATTGAATTTGGCAAGCCGATTGAAGTCCCCCGGGAATTGGTAGAGCAGTTCAAGAAAGGCGAACGTCGTGAGTCTGTCGGCGCCCTCTTGGATATCATCTACCAAAGTCTCGTCGCTGTCACTGTTACCAGCCCTGATTATGAAACACTCATGGTAAGACATGTTTATTTTGGTGATTTCGAAGAAAAAAGTCTAAAAAATCCTAGGTCATTCAAGCAGCACGTCGCCTGTACAACACCAAGGGAAAGAAGCTTCCTCTTCCGATGGTCGTGGAGCTTAATCGTCGACTCGTAAAGGGATACGCACATTTCAAAGATGATCCACGCATTGTCAACCTCCGGAAATCTATCGTGAACTACAACAAACAGCTTCGCATTTTAGGTATCCGAGACCACCAGGTTGCATACGCCAAGTTCTCTATTTTGCAGGTCATTGCTACGTTGATCTATCGCTTGGGCAAATTGGTTCTCCTGACGATTGGAACATTGCCTGGCTTGCTTCTTTTCGCCCCTGTCTTTGTTGCAACCAAGTATCTCTCGATCAAAAAGTCAAAGGAAGCTTTGGCTGCTTCCACTGTCAAGCTCCAGGGCCGGGATGTTATGGCAACCTGGAAGCTTCTAATTGCACTTGCATTTGCTCCGGCTGTCTATGCATTCTACTCTGCAGCATTGACTTACTGGACCTATCGAAACCGAGTGCAGGGCTTAATTCCTGACTGGGTTCCCCTCTGGCTGGTTGTTATGATTGGCATGGTTCTCTTCCCCACCATTACCTTCGCTGCCCTGCGTATTGGTGAGGTGGGCATGGATATTGTCAAATCGCTTCGACCACTGGTTCTTTCTCTGAACCCTTCGTCGGCCAATACACTAGTGAAACTCCGAGAAAAGCGGGCTTCTCTTGCCCAGCAGGTCACGGATGCCATTAACACCATGGGTCCTGAGCTATTCCCTGACTTTGATGCTGCTCGAATTGTCACGGATCCGTTCCGTGAGGTCAGTTATGAAGGTGCCGCCGATGAAGAGCAGGAGGATAAACAAGTTGGTGAGACCGTAATGAACCATACCTCGCCGAGCGCGGAGCCTCTGCCTCGGAATGAATCCTTCCATAACCTGGCCAACATTGGCTTCTTCTCCACAAGACCGCCAAGCCGCAACCGCAGCCGCAGCAGCTCCGCGGCACCCCGTCCTGGCTCTCGGCATGGTCTTAAACCGCTCAGCCCCATGACCGCTAAAGACCCATTGGAGGACGTCAGCTCGCGGATCCGAGATGCTATGAGAGAGCGCGGTGAACGACGCCGCCGCCGGAGTGAAGATGGAAGCTGGGATATGGCTAGTTCGGGAACAAGAACCCCGTCTAGCGGCGATGAATCCCGAAAAGATCTATGACCTGCTATGACAGCTACTGTTTGAAGTCTAATTCTGATACGTACTTTCTTGTGCGGCAATATTGGGTGTCGGAGACTTGTGACTCTTTCCTGTTCCTTAGTGTATATATGAGATATCCCATGTGTTTTGTTTCACCTTTGAGCTATGCATTCCTACCTGCCTTCAGTACCTTAACAAACCCTACAAAACACAAAGAATCGGAATTTTAGGGCCAGACGGCTACTGCATACTTCGTACCGAACATTGTGCCACGATGACATATTGCAAATTAAGCTTGATGGTTATAACCAAACCTTATACCCCTACCGGGGTATACGGTGACCAACATTGGAACTATAAAATTGTCTTGCTTTTATGCTTTAGCTATTGACGTAGTGGATCATAGCATCCTGATCATATCATTTGGGTGACTTAAGTAAAAAAGGTTCCACTTGCCAATCTGCTGCTCGTTGACCCTGAGTTTGACCGTCACCCACTATCTAGAAAAGCCCTCTATTATCGTTTATTATGACTTCCAGTCCTGTGAGGCCATCGCCTTCATTTGCAAAGCTTAGGCAGGGGCCGGTCTTTCTCAACTTTTCACGCTTATGGAAGCGCGTTACATTCTGATTATTTACCATCTTCCTCTTGAGAGAATTCGAACGCTGTCAATGATCCTAGTGTAAGACTTCGCATCTTAGAGACTTATCTTGCTAGCCACGCCATCACTACTGCCCGTATCGTCATCATCTGTCCTATTGTCACTACTGTTACTATTGCACCTACTGCCCATTTTGTCCTTACTGCACATGCTGCAACTGACTATCCTTATTCAACATGAAAGCTCTTGTCATTTGATACTTTCAGAATATTACTCGAATGGCACTGAGCAAGCACTATCCGATGGATTGCGATAATTCCTTTTTTCCTACCATATAATGGTACCAACGATGTACCAGCTGTATAGATCGGGATGATGATAAGTCGTGTGTTAGAGCTGCTCGCCCTGCGAGTGCTCTATTATCTATTAAAAGAACAAACCAAGACTTCACAAATATTGTTTATCGAAAAAGTGTATTAGCGTCGAGGTCAAAGTAATCTAAAATGATTGAGGCTTAATATTAATCGAAGATCCGGAATTGCGGGGAAAAGCACTTTATCGGGCTTGGACTTTGGTGGCGCGGAGTGTTCAACGGATACTCACTAGTCGAAAAAGAAAAAAAAAAATTCAGATCAAACCGCTTCTGTAGAGTGGATTTTCCTTTTTAATTTTCTACATGATAAGCTTGCAAAAGCAAATGAAAACAACGTCATATCTAAGGCTTTCCATACACCCCTGCCAGGTGCCAAGTGCTGTAAAATGTAATCAAAATACAATACATATGAGCCAAGAATTTAGTAAAACTAGTGCAGGAAAATAGTGCAGCCTGGCATCGCCTCAACGTGTTTGTTCCTTAACGTTCTATACGCTCAAAGCGGAATTGTACGGGGGTTGATGGCCTAGTCTAGCCCGCATAACTGACCACGTCTCCCGTTGCATCACGTCCCACGCTTATACGAACCTCCTTCCGCCTTGACATCCTTTTACTGCCCAGTTTTCCCTCAGATCAAATTCGCTTCGATTCTCCCAACCCCTTGAGCTGTGCGAGCCAGGTCAAGTACGTGCTCATTATGGCGGGTTCAATGCACTTGTCGCGACTCCGGAACTGGTTCCTTGCCTCTCCGCCAATCGAGTTCGCCATCTCGAACCTCAAGGAGCTCCTGGTTGGCGCACTCCGCCAGGGCCCGATCCCTCAACATGTGGCTTTCGTCATGGATGGAAATCGCCGGTTTGCCCGATCGCATGGTATTGAGACGGTCGAGGGACACAATCTCGGTTTTGAGGCACTGGCAAGGGTAGGTCTTCCCTTCCCCCAACAAGCTGATCCCAGCAGCTTGGTGTCATGTTTCCCATTCAGCTGGAAGAGCTTCGCCCATACTAACCTACTTCTGCCTTCTTCTAGATTCTAGAGGTCTGCTACAAGAGCGGAGTGAAAGTCGTCACCATTTACGCCTTCAGCATCGAGAATTTCAAGCGCTCAAAATTCGAGGTGGATGCCCTGATGGATATGGCCAGGGTGAAACTTTCACAAATGGCGCAACACGGAGATCTTTTGGACCGGTATGGAGCCAAGGTGCGCGTTCTTGGCCGACTCGATCTTCTCAAGCCCGACGTCCTGGCCGCCGTCAACAAGGCAGTTGAGTCCACCAGTCGCAACGGCGACTGCGTGTTAAACATCTGCTTCCCCTACACCTCACGCGACGAGATCACCACCGCTATTCGTTCGACTGTGGAGGATTACAGTACGCCTCTCCAAGCCAACGGCGTTCCTCGGACCCCCTTCTCCGAATCCCATATCAGACATAATATACGTGCCCAGACCCAGGGGTCTAAAACACTAGATTCACAGAGTGACTCTGGATCTACATCGGCGGAGTCTTCTCAGGAGGATGATTCGATTCTGCGGAACGATCGCCCCAACCGGTTCTATGAATCCGGCTCCTCTTTCTCGTCCTCTGCTACTCTTCATCTTGATAAGAATGGATCTCATGGTGATAAGCCGGCTTTCATGTCTCCCGAAACGATTTCGCGCCAAACCCTCAATGATCATATGTTGACCAAGGGCACCCCACCGTTGGATCTCCTTGTGCGGACATCGGCCGTGGAGCGATTGAGCGACTTCATGCTCTGGCAGTGCCAAGAAAACACCGAAATTGTCTTCTTAGACGTCTTGTGGCCCGAGTTTGACTTGTGGCATTTCTTGCCGGTGCTTCTTGGGTGGCAGCGACGTATATCCAAGTCCCGAAAAAACCCTGACGCCGAGGGAAATTTTGCCGGTGACAATGCAGAATCCAGCGAAGAGGATTTAGACTCCATGGTGTTACGACAGAACAAGCTGAAAGCTATCTAGCTTACCTTTCTTTGTCTTCTTTCTGTCTCTTTCCTGTATTCTTTCTCGCATTCAACGGAGTTTGGTGTTTGAGTGACTCTCGACTTGTCATATATCCCAGCATTAACAGCATTATTTTCGATACACCTTATCCAACTGCTATATAGTTAAAACATCACTGTTATCTATAAAAGGTCTCTCAAATTTCCTAATTCAGTCCCCGGTTCTGCATTAGTAAACCCCCGCGCCGATACCGGCCACGTGACGGGGTGACTCAAGCACACAGGGAAAGTTCAAGTTCCTCACTCTGATTCTCCATCTATCTATATCTCAATTGAATTCAAGATGGTCGCTCAAATCGCTGGTTCTAAGGTCCTCCTCCTGGGTTCGGGCTTCGGTATGTTCCCCTCCCTTCCAATGCCCATATCTTCTATGACTGCCCCGCAATGCCTCCGCTCCAACACTGTTCCAAAGTTCACTTGCTCACGTATTGATTCTTTTTAGTCACCAAGCCTACTGTCGATGTTCTCGACAAGGCTGGCGTTCAGGTCACAGTCGGTACGTGCCATTGACCCCAAATTCGCTATCTGGTCCTTATGCCAGTATCGCCGAATTACCCCGCCATATCCCGCGACAGCTCGAAGATACCCTTTACACACCGCTGCAATGCTACAGTAGCTGATCATAAGTCTGTGTCAATTAGCCTGCCGTACTCTCGAGAGTGCCCAGAAGCTTGCCGCTGGCTTCAAGCACACCAAGGCTATTGCCCTTGATGTCTCTGACGCTGCTGCTCTCGACAAGGCTAACAGCGAGGTAAGGACCAAGCCAGATTGCGGTCGGGCGATTGCGGTGGAACTAATTATCTTATTCTAGCACGACCTTGTCATCTCTTTGATTCCCTACAGTAAGTACAATTCCATATCTGATTGGTGGTCTACAAGAAGTATGCTGACGCGATAATAGCCTTCCACGCCCTCGTTATCAAGTCGGCTATCCGTACTAAGAAGCATGTCGTCACCACCTCATACGTCTCCCCCGCCATGGAGGAGCTTGATGCTGAGGCCAAGGCTGCTGGCATCACTGTCATGAACGAGATTGGTCTGGACCCCGGTATTGACCACCTTTACGCTGTTAAGGCTATTGCCGATGCCCACGCTGCCGGCGCCAAGGTCACTAGCTTTATCTCCTTCTGCGGTAAGTGTTCACATATTCCTTGAATTGACAATCATTGACAATCTTTACAGGTGGTCTTGTAAGATGAAATCCAAACTATCCGCCCTATGACTTACTAACGGTTTAATTAGCCTGCCCCCGAGGCCAGTGGAAACCCCCTCGGATACAAGTTCTCGTGGTCCAGCAGGTGCGAACAGACAGCATTACGTGCCAAACTAAATAGAAAAGCTAATTGCTTACAGGGGTGTCCTGTTGGCTCTGCGCAACGCTGCTCGCATTTACCGCGAGGGCAAGATTGTTGACATCGATGGCCCTGATCTCATGGCCAACGCTAAGCCCTACTACATTCTCCCCGGTTTCGCCTTCGTCGGGTACCCCAACCGTGACTCTACTCCCTTCCGCGAGCGCTACGGAATCCCCGAGGCTCAGACCGTTATCCGCGGTACTCTGCGCTATCAGGGCTTCCCTGAGTTCGTCAAGGTCCTTGTTGACGTTGGTTTCCTGAAGGACGAGGCCAACCCCGTATTTGAGAGCGCCATCCCCTGGAAGGAGGCTACCCGCCAGCTTTTGGGTGCCACCTCTTCCTCCGAGAAGGACCTCGCCTGGGCCATCCAGTCCAAGACCGCTTTCCCCAACAACGAGGAGCGTGACCGTATCATCAACGGTTTCCGCTGGATTGGTCTGTTCTCTGATGAGCCCACCACTCCCCGTGGTAACGCTCTCGACACCCTCTGCGCTGTCCTCGAGAAGAAGATGCAGTACGAGGAGGGCGAGCGTGACATGGTCATGCTGCAGCACAAGTTCGAGATTGAGAACGCTGATGGTTCCAAGGAGACCCGCACTTCCACCCTGTGCGAGTACGGTAACCCTGCCGGTTACTCTGCCATGGCTAAGACCGGTAAGTTTCGCATTCGAAAAAGAATAAAAATTAAGAAAGGATTCTTATACTAACTGTACTTAGTCGGTGTCCCTTGCGGTGTTGCCGTGAAGCAGGTCCTTAACGGCACCATCACCAAGAAGGTATGTTTGCAGCTCACTTGAGTTCACCTTGAATAATTTCACATAACTAATCTTTAAACCAGGGTGTTCTCGCTCCCATGACCATGGACATCTGTGGCCCCCTCATCAAGGAGCTTAAGGAGGAGTACGGTATCGAGCTCGAGGAGCGCACTCTTTAAGTGTCTTAACTCGTATAAAAGCTAGTATTTAGCTAAAAGTACAAAGAATGATATAGATCATGATTGGATGTTACTAAAGTTGGCCAGCTCACATCACGTAAACCTTTGAATCTCCTGTCTTACCAGATCCATAAGCATTATTTAACAGAGTGTATCTAGACCGTTGCAGTTGAAAGTCTTTCGGTGACAACATCTATTCTATCGTGAGATAGATCAGTTCTTAATTTCATTATCATAGGCATCACTTCCTCTATCATAGCATCATCGCAACCGTCCAATAGATTGGACTAAAGAGCCGAACAAGGTCCAAACAATCCAAGCAAACACAGGATTTCAAGAGACAGACATAATATGACGGAAAACCGGAGCTAGCTTCTAGTTATGGGGAGCTCTCCCAAGAAAGCTCCACCCACTTTCCAATGCCATGTCCTAGTAAGGACCAGACCCAATACGATGTATCGAGACTGTTATAAGCTCTTGTTTCTCATATTTTTCGTTGTTTTTCGTGTTGCAGGCGTGAAAATAATGACGGCCGACACGCATTTGCAGTTCTCTATATATCAAACTTTTGAACTCTGGCCGAGATGTTTAGAGAATAGTGCCAAACCTATAGCGAGAAGAATCACAAGGAATGTCGTTAGTAAATTTTTTCCAAAGAAGGATCGAGATTTGGATGTTGATCTGGACATGAACGACCCGCATTGGTCAAAAGACAACGAATAAAAGGGGACGGCGGTAGCGGGAGACAAAGGAAGGGTTGAAGGGTGGAAACGAGAGCTTACCCGAAAGTCTGCTTCATGCTGCGAACGTAGTACATATCCCAGTTTTGCTTGGTGACATCCTCCTGTCCAACGGGGACGCCGGACCACTCGACGCGCAGCTGAGTGACACCATCAACGTTGTTCTGGTCGAAGTTGATCTCGAGAGTACTGAAGTGGCCAGCGGGCCACTGAGCCAGACGCCAGGTCTGCACAATCTGCTTGGGGGAGTCAAGCTTAACGAACTCTCCAGTCACGTTGCCGTCGAAGATGGCAAACTTGCCACCGACGTGGGCGCCCTCGAACTGGCGAGGCGGGCCACGGGTGAAAGCGGCGAGGCGCTGGGGGTCGGTGAAAGTGATAAAGAGCTCCTCGGCGGTAGTGCGGAACTCATCTGAGGCGGTCACGGTGGTGGTGTTAATGGCGACATTGCCGGTGGATGTGGTGGTAGTTGCGGTGGTGGGAGCGGCCTGGGGCTTGTTGGCCTGGGGGTGGACAGGGACCGCGGGGAAACCCTTGGAAGGGTCGACACCGGGGGCGTGCTGGATGTCCTTTGCGTGCTCGGTGATGAGGGCACCGCAGAGCTTGGCGAGGGCCACACGGAGTTGAGGGATAATCTTCGAGCGGACGAGGTCCTTTACGGACTGCTTGGAAGCAGCATCGGCGTAGTTCTCAATCTCGAACTAACAAGACACAGAAAAATTCCGTTAGTTTTGGGAGCTTGGTTTTCTCTAGCTGGGCCTTCCCCTATGTGTGGAAGGGGGCCTTTGGGCGGGTACAAGGGAACATACGACGTACTCATCTTCCTCGGTATCATGGGCTACCTCGGGGATGTTGATGGAACCGCTGACCTCCTCGCCGTCCTGGGTCTTACCTATAAACAGTCTCAGCTGCCAGGATCGGTCGGAATTCAAGTGGATTTCTACAAACCTGAATACTCTAGCGACAGCTTGACATCGAACAGGGTAATGACCTTGCCCTTGCGCTGGCTGACGTCTACGTCGCCATTCATCGACAGAACCTTGTCTACTTTGGCGGAAACACCACCTTCCTCGGCACTGATGACAGTCAGGTGCTTGTCAAGGTACTCCTTGGCCCAGCCAGAAGCGTCCTTGTTCACCCAGTGCCAGTTGTTGGGGTTGTGGAGAACCATGATGAATGTGGGACTATTAAAATGGGAAAAGGAAAACTCTGATTTGGGGACGATGTGATTTTGCGAGAGCCGAGTTGCGAATTCGGTGCTTCTCCTTCTTCAATTCTCTCTTGCTTCTCCGGGGAATATCCAACCGAATCTAAAAGGTTCTTGAAAGAAATTTCAGGTTAGCGGAATGATCGCAGAAATTTCATGTGGAGGCGAAGTAGAGGAGACAATTGCGCGAAGCAATTATGCCACAAATATCAGGTCACGGCTGCGTATGCCGGACGGTATACTGATCAACATAAACAAGGGAACAATTCCTCGTCGTCTGACTGGTGCCAGCTGGTATCTCATCATTTGAGCAGACCCAGGATAGCTCAAGCCCATGAGGGCTTGAGAAGAGCCCGGGTGAAGAATAAGAATTCTTCATTGGAAGGGTGCAATGCAATTCGAAATAGCAAAAGTTACTCACAATTTCAAGAAAAGTCCAGATAAACTTCTGGACGGAGTGATTGAAGGATGATGAGAAAGAGAAGAGGGACGGAAGAGCGACGGATATTTGAGTGATTGGGGACGGAACACTCTAGAAAGAGAAGTCACGTGAAATAGTGGGCCCTGCCATGGAAGAGGATTAGTATACACCCAGTCGGGCACTGCTTTAATTAATTATTCAGGAGACACTAGAAACATGGGGATACTAAATTTTCATGCCCAAATCTTGGATGGATAAAGCTCTTTGGATTGAACATACTATGTACCCAAACCCGATAAATGGGCAACGAACGAATGGGGGATATCACAAATCTCAAGCTAAAATATATATGTATAAGAAGAAGCATGCATCTTTAAAGTTGGTGACTCATTCTTGTTCCAATCTCTCCAAGTCTTCCCATGCATCTTCACTTATGAGTTGTTCTTTGACTCTTCCTCGTAAAACTTCAATTTGACTTCCAAGAGCCTCTGTCCATTGTCCTTCAACAGTGGCCACCTTGTCCTTCAGATCCGTGGTAAGAGAGACCTCTTCATCTGCTCGGGTCATCTCTATGATCTGACGGACCGTCTCCTCAGACTCTCCACGCTGAATCCTTTCTGCTTCCGTAAGATTGCGATTGGCTCGCATCATAGCCGACCGGACCTCATGTAATAAACAGAGAAGATTCGTCTGGGACTCGATGTACTGATAGCTGGACTTCTCGGCATGCGAGAGCAGCGAGTAGAGATATTGCAGCGGATGCGCATGGTAGCTCGGGTTCTCTTCGTACTCGTTTGCCGGAATCTGAACTTGGAAGCCATGCAGATTTTCAGGGACCTGTTGTATCAGAGCGAGGAGTGAAGGGGCAATATCCCAGAAGGCTGAGAGTTGCTTCTCGACGCCGCGGACAACATTCTGTTCGATGATATTCAGGAACGATTCAAGACGGGCAAACGCCTCGGTCTCGTACTGCACACGTCGATCTAAGGAATCCTTCAAGAAGAAGGCTTGTGTTTCGCGGAGCTTGTCTTCGTTCTTGCTTTGCTTGTATGGCAACAGAGCTACCATTTTGTATTTATCATCGCGGCCGCTGACAAGATCAAATGCTTCTCGGTGTAGTTGCTCGCGCGCCTCGAATAGCCATTTAAGCTGCGTAAGTTTCTCCAGTAGCTCGGGCTTCTCGTCGCCTTCTTCTTGCGTCTGATCAGGTGTCTCATGCTGTGCATCGTCAAAGAGCTTACTGCTCAGCTCATCAATGCAAGATGTGGCTTTGTCGATACGGTCCGTGATTATGGCATGCATTGGTTTCAGCACCATTTTTTGATAGGATTCAAGCTGGCGCTTTGCTAATTCGCCTTCGCGTCTCTGTTCTTCAACTATCATGGCCGCTTCGGCCTCAGCAGCTTCCGCAAAGGTGAGACTGCCTTCTTGGATTTGGCTTTGGATATTAGATTTGAAATGGCGACGACCCGCTTGAACTTGCTCCTGGTTTTCTTGAGTCATCCTCTCAACATCCATCTGATAACGCTGTCTGGTGGACTTAATCTCAGAGATGTCAGTGATGGATCGAACCGTCGTCCGATAAGACACAAGGTCTGGATGTCCGTTGTTGACTGCTGGGTAGTGACGTGGATAGGGCGGAGGTAAAGTAACCAGCCGTGAGATGTCCAGCTTTTGGTTGCCAATGAACTGTTCATATCGGCGCTCGGCGCCTGCACTGGGGTACTCGCTCTCTTCTTCATGCCAACCGACCTTCTCTGGCGGATATTCTTCTGGTCCATAAGCTGGGTATTGGTCTGTATAATTTGCACCCGTATCATCAAGCTTAGATGGGGTCCGCTCCTGGTCCCACTGCATGGCATCCCGAGCCAATCCCATATACTTGGACTCACGCTTGGAGCGCCGCACACGTCTTCCGTCCCCTTCGCTACTAGATCCAGTCTTGGATTCCCACCAGCGACTGGGAGCGCGACCTCGCGAGCTCATCTCGTCGTTGCTCATATTGAGACTAGCAATAGGGGACAGACAAGGCTGATAGTTATTCCACCATGCAGAATCCGGTCTCCCGGGTCGATTCGAAGGAATCTCCAGCATCGGAGCAGGTCTGACCGGGTTTTTCGCAGGTTGAACGGGGCGTTCAAACAGCTTACTATGCACACTTTCGGCATCAAACGACCCAGAATCCCAGACTGAGGCATACCGTCCACGCCGGATTTGCGATTCAGCGATCATATATTGTGTGAAAATCTTCAGGGCTTCCGCCTCAGTTGGAGCAGCGGCCTCTTCCTCAATAAACTTTCGGTGCCGCTGGATAGCATCTTGCATGAAATCGGTATCTTGCTTAATGATAGATTCTAAGGAAACTGACTGCGTTGCCTGTTGCAATGGGACTCGACGCGGTGATAGTGGCTTCATCATAGGGGTACCATCATTCGGCATATGCAAGATATGCGAAATTGGACGATCCTCCCGAGTGCGAGAAGAGCCTCGAGTGCGTGGCTGTGGTTGGAACTCCTTGCCAGAGCCCAGCGGAGGAGTGGGAAGTGCCTTTGGTGGTATAGGCTGGGGTGCCTCTGTAGGATAGGCGGACGAAGATTCGCCGTTGGGCGAGAACGGAGGAGTATGCGCGAATGCAGCAGATGACGCACTAGGTCCAGGAGCTGGACTTTGTTCCAGCTTGGGCGAAGAGTAAGATGATTGGTCGGTGAAAAGGCCCCCAGAGCTTGCTCGAGACCGCGAGGTAGCGAATTGTGCCTCCGAGGGAAGACTCCGTGCACTTTTGGGAGTAAATCTCGACGATGAAGGCTGTTGGGTTGGATCTGGAGAATTTCGCGCTTCTGGGAGAATCAAATTCGACGGTTTGATCTGTTCTAAAGCATCGGCCCAGGGGTTTCCACTGGAAGACACGGCGCTCATATCGTCGAATGTCTGACTCTGCCGATTTCGACGCTCAATCCGCCTTTCACGGATACCCTTGGCACTTGGGTCCCGGACTGCCGGGCTACGAAAAAGACCGCCACTACCTGGTGTTCTTTGGTTCTCGCGTATCTTGCCGTTGGAATCAAGATATTCAGCTCGGTCAGGTGCTGAAATTGCTTTTGTGGTGTCAATATGCAATGGCTCATCGCGACTTGGCCGACTTTTCAAGTATTCCTCATCCACCCAGTCAGCAGGCGTCGGTGGAATACTCCCAAGACCAGTTCCCATCAAAGGTGGTGGTCGAGCCCTACTTCTGACCGGACCTTGAGGTGTTCTTGCGGAAGAGGACTCCGATGACCCGCTCACACTAACAGACCGCACGGTAGGAGGAGGGCCTGGCGGTGGCGGTGGAAGTGGCATACCCGGTGCCCATCCACTGTTCGATGGAGAGCGATTTCTCGTTTGACTTTGTTCTCTTGAGGGACCTGCACTGCTGACCACTGCACCCGCAGAGGCAGCTCTTCGCGATGTAGGTGGCCTCGAAGGTGCTTCCAATTGGCCAGAAGAAGGTCCCGGTAGTTGATCTCTGATAGCTGGCGATGGCATAGCTTGCTCATAAGACGAAAGGGAAAATCGAGCCCTGGAATGAGATTGAGCGGCATGGTAAGGCACACTTTGATTACCGTCAATTCGACTGTGCGAGACTGATCTGGAGCCCTGGGTGCCCTGTGGTGGAGGCGGAGGTGGCAACTGGTGATGAGACTCGGTGTCGGTCGTGTAGACCATAGAAAGCGGACGAGGACGATGTGTTGAACGTCGTGGATATTCAGGATTTGCATTGAAGTCTCCGTTCCTGGGAGGGTTCTGGGGTGGCGTCACTGAAGGCGTCACCGAAACATTAGGGCTGGGGGATCCAAATGCTCCTTGTGATAGTCGATTTGGATTGCTCGGAGGTGAGTATGGCGGGGGTGGTGGTGACAATGATTCCTCTACGTTTCGTCAACATAAGACCTATCAATGTATAAATTCTATAACAAAGAGAAACCAACCTGTATGAGGTCTGGGCTGGGGCGCAACCCTAATTTGGCTGCTTTGATGAGGATACTGAGCTTGTGCAGCGGTAGGGCCAAGGGGTCCCCAGTCTTGTGGATTGTAAGGGACACCATAGTTCGCCGTCTGTCTAGAGGATGATGTGGACCGAGCGTTTGCTGGAGATGGAACGCATGGAGATTGGGTATGAATAAACGGACTCGAAAGCGAAGTTGAAGATAAAGGAGTCGATCCGTGGTGGAATTGAAGTCCGCTTAATGCAGTCGTCAATAAAGGCGGCTGCACCGCCTGATCTCGACGACCTGGTGAGGGTTGATTATTGTTGGCAGCGGCCGACGACCAGCCAGTGTACTGCTGTTCGTCGCCTGCATGACTTGGAGCCATCCAACTAAGCACAAGTCAACATCATGAGCTCTTTGTAAATTGTGAAGCGAATATTAAGAGGCTCAAGCAGGTTAACGCACCTGTTCATCCTGGGACTATACACCCATCAACACACCGTTCAACTCGAGGCCATAATAGTCCCCAGGAGATCAAGAAATGCAATCGTGAAACCAACAAAAACAAAGAAAAAAGGAAAAAGACGAGGGGCCGGATTCAACGATTGTAATTCACAAAGCTTGAAAGAGAGAACTCATCCAAACCCTAGTCCGTAGGGCCAATTAGTGCCGACCCAGGCGCATGGCACGCTATCCACAGGGGGAGAAGAGGGGGCCATGATCTATATTTGGAAGCACAAAGACCTTTCAGCAGAGCCAGAGCGGACTTGGAAAGTGATGGTCGAAGCGGGGAATCTCATATGCACCCTGAGGGTTCTCATCACACACGGCCCAGGTTCAGCGCTTATCATCCATGCTTACTGGTCCTATGCCGCTAGCCCCACACCCTCTGACCAGGTGAGCAGCCAATCGGCCTGCGCATCACATCAAGGTCAGAAATTTGGCTTCTTCCTTCACGAAAAACCGACCAGGAGCATAGGCTGTTTCTAAAATAAAACAGACACGACGGATGTACACTGCAAGATTTACAATCCTTCACAGGTGTGATAGGCAGAAAAAAGATACTTTTGTGGAATAGCTTGCATTTATAATCATTTGAGTCCTAACTACTGCACACTAAATGGGCCTCGTGGACCTCTGCACTAGACCTCGCCCGGAGACCGGCACAAGACGCGGCTTAAAAAAATCCCTGTTCACTGAATCCAACGTTAGTTTGGATTTTCACAAAGGTGATTAACAAGAAAAGCTTGTAAACAAGGTGTCAGATAATATGCCCTGTCACAGGCGGTAGTCATCAATTGAAAAATTCCTTATGTTGACCGTCGTGATAATAAAGTAAATCATCATATAAAAGGGGGGAGAAAAAATCAAACGTGCGAACAGAAAAGACAAGCCAACTTACATTAGTGACTGAGAAAAAGAAGCGATGCTGTCGAAGTGATCAGTTTCATGTCGACACTATTCAAGACCGATCAGTATCGAGCACTGAATGGACATGGGTGACAATCATGAATTGATTGGTGATAGTTCAGGCATGACGATCTCGTCAAAGCCAGTGGCTCGGACATATGCTTGTCTTTTGTTTTCGTCGATTCATCAGGAAAAACGAGGTAGATGGGAAGGAGACAGTGTGACATACACCTACGGTATGACAAGGCCGAAGTTGAAGGACGGCAGTTCAATAAAGAGAAGATTACTGTTGACAGGACGAATTAGTCACTGTTTTCAAAAAACACTTGTTTTGCAGAATTTTCACGGAGGAAAAAAATTTCAGAAAGGCATGAATGGTATTAAAAAGATGTTGTCTGCATGGCAAACGCCGATAAGACTCGTCATCTAAAGGGTTCATCATAGAATATGGGGTAGAGCAAAAAAAAAAAAGAAACACAGAACAAGTAATCGCATACCTTTTGGGTTTCTACGAGATTGATGATGAATTCGGTCAAGACAAGACACTGAACGAGTCGATTAGCAACCCGTCACAAAGTCATGTGTGAGTCGATGAGATTCATGAGACATGTCTCAGTGGGCGAGGTTTTCTAGGCCTGCCGCAAAAAGGGCGTATCCGTCATACAGTTCGGAGCCCAGTGCCATTTCATCTTCGGACGTGAGGGATGTTGGGTGTTCACGGGTCGGAAGCTTACATCTGTCTTTATTCCAGTTAGCATATGATTCAGAAGCAAAGTTCGAAAAATAAATGCAAGAGATATTAAAAGTTCAGTCAAGCCTTGGTTGTCGTCAGAGGCCCGGGGGCCTTGGACGGTAATTTCCAGTCTTAAATGCGTTCATCATAAAAAGGGGAGAAGAGTGTATTGGGGGAGCAAAAAAAGTCGCTTACCATTTGGAAAACAAAAGAGGCATTTATATCCTGCTGAGATTGATCATTCGATTAGTCCTAAGAGGGCAAAGTTAGCTCTCTGTAAATCTCGACAACCAGTAGTGACAACAATCAAGACGAGCGCGAAAAGCTCAGACTGACGTGCAATAACAGAAGTTTCATTCCCCGAAGGGGTCAAAGACTCTAGTTTGAAAATGGTTATAGTTATCATCATAAAGATGATGCTCGTGTTGGGGCAGAAAATTTTAACCGAGACAATCGCTTACCATAAATTGAGTTCCTGCAAGACAAGCTCGCGTCAGTGAGTCGTGTGATGTATCATCTTCATTGAAGAATGAGATTCAAGTTGCAGTCCAAGCAAAAGGCATTTTATTGCAATGGAAGGTGCACTGATGGAAGAAAGGAAGAGTGTGAAAACACAAATCGAAGTTTTTTTAAGCTAACCGGGATGGCCGCCCTAAACCACTTTGGGACGGTTAGACCGCCCCGGATCCACCTGAACTACGACTCCGCAAAGGGACTAGTGTGAATAGCCTGGTGCCTCAGGCATATGTAGTCTTTTTCTGCAAATATCAGCTTCCGGTCTTGAGATGATTCAAGTACAACCCTTGATAATGAGAGGACTGACTCACGATTAGAACAATTATTAGAATCCATTGAGTCTTCTTATGGACAAAGTCGGGCTAACTAATGCATGGCCTGATACGCAGGACCTTGTACCAAATTGACCACAATCAGTACGGCCGAAAGGGATGCTACCTGTTAATGCACCCCAAAGGTCACAAGTCACTAAACTCGGCCCGAGTCAGATCATAGGGCCGTCTGGTATATACATGAAAATCCGGTAGATCCTGCCTTCGGGTATTGCGGAAAATGCGGCAAGGAGCTTCCACGAGATCACCGAAACAAACCAATAATGACTTAGTCAATCCTTCCCTTCTGAATAATTTCTTGGTGTTGAGCCTCCATTATATACATGAGACTCTTGTGGTAACTTCTGAGGCGCATTGATTATGAGCTCTGTTTACCTATACGTTCCATCGCGCACAGCGCGAGGAGGCTTAACAGCCACAGAGCTAATATATGCTCGAATGCCATTTTACCACGGACGACACGACAATCTCACAAGTAAAATACATCCAGCTTCCATCCGTCTTTATTGAAAGACTTTACTGACATGTAGCTTTTGTTGCAGACCCTGGCGAGCTTCCAGATGCTTGCGTTGTTTGCGGCGATATTCTTGGTGACAATTCCTGTTATCGACAGCTTCCATGCTCTCATATCTTTCACCAGCCCTGCATCGATACCTGGCTCCGCACACAGGATGCCAGTTGTCCAATCTGCCGCCGCAAATTCTATTATCTACGAATGCCAAAATTAATACGTGTTGTCAGCCCTTTGACAGGTAGCCCAACATCATCACCGAAGAAGTCACACCTAAAGCTAGTGGTATCATGGCTAGGGAGAAAAATAGCCAAGGGGAAGAATGATTCTTGATTTCGAAGTTTGTCAGAACATGAATTGCTTTCCCTGAAACACCATAGTAGTCTCTTATCGTGACCAAGCAGTTACATCAACAAGAGCTTCCAAGAGGCAGAGTTGTCAGGCAGTTTGCTCCAGATAGATTTAAAAGGTTAAATGGCACACTTCCACGGTTGTGTGATATCTGTGGACCGCATTTCGCGATGTTATAGCCGCCGGGTCCGCGCCTCCCGTGGTATCCGGATCATCCGGGCAATCCTCAATGTCCTTTCATTCTTATTACCTGACATACCTTTGTAATAATGGGAGTTACAAACTGAAGCTATATTTGGAAGTTGGAGTGCAATTGGTGACTGGATACTTGTATCATACTGAAACGTTTCATTGCTCATAATCCATAAACACCTACTACTAATTTAGGTTAGTCGTTGGAAGGGGAATATCACTTGACTGAAAGTGAGGGTAATCCAGAAATCGAATAGACCATTCCATGGCACTGGAAATCTCGCTTGGCCAGTCATTGAGATTGGACGGATCAGCCGATATTTGCGGGGACGGGAAAATGGTAGGCGACACAAGGTCAGCATTGGTCTCGGTCGACAGAGGTCCGTTCTTCGGAGCATAGTTGGTAGATAGAAGTTGAGAGGCAGGGACTAGGTTTGACGAGCCGATTGCTACTGCAGAGGATATGTAAGTAAAGCACGTTTGAGATGGACTAATTCAATTATTGAGTTGTAAATACCTTCTTCTGTTGATCGACGCATCTGAGAAAGACCTTGCAATATATCTGCGGCCTTTCTGGCCGCAGCGGAGTTCGAGCTGAGAGCTTCAAACACTTTCAGACAAGTCCCGGCGTCTTCACGCAGGCTTTGTGAAGAAGCCTTGCTATGCGTGGGACTGTTACTGTTATAGAAGCTTTCTGCGACGAATAAGATAGAGCTTGCACAGATGAGACATGATATCATCTGCCACCATGGGAAGTCGTGAACCAAACTCCGCTCATCTACGACGTTGTGAAGTAGGTGAGCTGTTTCTTGAGCTTCGTGAACACAGATTGACTCTGCCTGGGATATACGCTCTTTATCCCGAATGAGCAAGTTCATGAAGGACTGGTTGTTCATCTGCAGAAGTGGTAGACAGAGAAACGGTCGGTGAATTAGCGCACGAAGATGATGGAACTTCACCGCAAGCATGTTACGCTGTAATGTAATTCAGTATTTGCAAGGCACAAGGGCTTTGTAATTACTAACCTGGCGTTTGAATGACATGGACTTTTCAAAAGTGTGGCCCATGTCGAAGCGCAAATGCCGTGGTAAGCTCACTTTCCATTCAAGTAAGCGTTGGTCCAGACTAGATGCACTATGAAGCATATGATCTGGAGATAGATCAATTTGGGATGGCCGGTATAGCATTCGAATGACTTGTCCGACAATATGCGAGAATCGTATCACCTCCACAAAATAGCCCATCATCTGGCTATGGGCCACAGGGCCGACCTGGCTGTCTTCGGATTGGCCAGAAGGAAGGAATGGAGACTGATCACTCAAAGAAGGCAATTCCACCTGAAAATCAACTTCATGGATAGCCATGGGCCGTCCAAGCTGAAGGGCAAGTAATCGGTCCAAGACATACATGGAGTACCATGTGCGTCGCCAATGTGGACGGTCTGCCGTACTATGGGATGATTCCACGTGAAGACCAATGCTTTGTCCCATTCGTATCGCAAAGCCTAATATGTTCCAGCAACTGCCAAAGTATTAGTATCGGCCATAAAGTAATACTACGGGCAGGACACGCACCGGTCCGTGTGGCAGACTGCAAGAAGGAAGAAGCACTGAACTAGTAAGACCCAGACACTCATGAGAGAGCAATCTGCGCTCAGCTCTCCAGAAAAGTAAACGCCTTGATCATGGTATCGAAAGTGGTTCTGATTCCCCGAGTCCTTGCCATGGGGGAACGATGTGTAATATGATCCTATAGCAAATATGAAACCTAGAAGATTGTTAGAACGATATGCTGCGTATTATGCATTCTGGCCGGATCATACTGAAGAGCGCGAGCCATGGCCGAAATTCCGGTTTATTGATATCTCCAGCTTGAAATCTTTGGAAGGCTTCTAGCAAAACTGACTTGGAGATGAACGGATATGCAACATGAATGGTTGAAAGGTAGACATCCAGGAATTGTTCGGCCTCAGATGGCGACGGAAAAAGCACCGGATGCTTAAATAGTGTCAAACTCTCTGGGCTATGAGTTTGACTATAATTCTGGGCCGCCTCTCCAGTTGGTTCTGCCGGTCCTTGTACACATTGACGAATACTATGTATGAAGTGGATGTCACTCGCTTTTCCGACATACGTAGGAGAACGCGCTACCGGCGAGTCATGCGTTGGATGAGTTGCCACGGTATCTTGTGGACGCTGTTGCGCCTGGTGCGGGATATGACGTCGTATCTCCCCCAAACTGGCATCGAGCGCAGATTGATGCGCCCCATCTAAATTGGACCGGAGCCCTTGAATTAATGATTCATATGAATCAACAGCCCTGGATAGGCCTGAAACTCCTCCCCTTGTGGGTGTATCCGCTGCAAGTAACAGGGAATGATGCTGAGTTCCGTCCGTATCGGCTGGGCCAATTTGAGAACCACGCCGTCTTCTCTTCGACCAGGTGCAGGTGAAGCTATATCCTTCACACCTGGAGCATACAGGTTGTCTTCCATCACACTGCATTCAATCGAATTAGCGATGGGAACACTCGATATAGTGAGAGGGGTACCGGCTCGGACCTTGGCTTTGAGATCACGGCATTTATCGCAAGCAATGCCCACACGCTGACGTTTCATTGTAAATAAGCAAGAAAAATCATTCGAATGCCAATGCCAAGACTATGCACTTTCCCGTGAGATTTGGCTTATTGTTGTGAAGCCTAAGTGGGAAGAAACCGGGTGAGGCGGATCGGGCGGCTTATGTTATGATGACGGTATGGATCCGGCCCAGCGCGAAAGCTTAACCGGCCCGCCCGAATCGTGTCTTTCACATAGCAAAACCCTTAATTTATTGAGAATGTCGCTCCAAAGTGATCTTCACGCTATTTTTGAACCCTTTACCTATTCATGTCGCTACGCTTGAAGATCGATGGCCTCAATTCCGCCACCCGATGAACATCATGATGATTCTGGCTCTACTCAACTGTCTAGTCCTACGTCCAATTCATCAGGTTCCCAATCTCTAGGGCCTCAGAGCAACTTGGACGAAATTATTGCACCGCCTCCTATCTCCGAATCCTCAGAAAAACCAGAAAGACAGCGCGAGTCTCTCGAAAATCGTCGTTCGAAAGATGAACGTGAATTTCTTCCGCTGCCCCAGGAAACAGAACCCGCACAGGTGTACACACAAAATGGCAGATTACCAGTTGCACCACAGCCATCTAAGAAGCGAGTGTTCCGGGAATTTTTACGAATGGCCTGCATTGTCGGCTACCTCATATTTTTCTCAATTGCTGGCACTATCCTACGACTAGCTATTGAATGTCTGACATTCTACCCTGGCACCCCCCGTCAACACTAGTGTCCTCTGGGCCAATGTAGGAGGGAGCTTCATCATGGGATTTCTGAGCCAAGACCAAGAGCTCTTCCGTGTCGACGACTCACACACTGCAGAAGTAGCAACGAAGCACAAAAAGACTATCCCCCTATACATTGGCCTGACAACCGGTTTCTGCGGCAGTCTCACCTCTTTCTCTACGTTCATTCGTGACGTGTTCCTCGCTCTTTCCAACGACCTGACCGTACCCCTTGGATCTTACTCCGATGTTTCGCTGTTTGCCTCAGCCCCGGTCGGAGCTAGTGCCCCCAATGGAGGTTTCAGCTTTATGGCCATAGTCGCGGTGCTGTTCGTCGAGATTGGGTTGTCGATTGTCAGTCTCTTTCTAGGGGCTCATCTTGCAATTGGTATATCTGCTTGGATGCCCAATGTCTCACAGCGCTGGGTGCGCAAATTTCTGGATCCCTCTGTGTTCATACTAGCTGTTTTATCGTGGGTAGCTGTGATTTGTCTTGCAGCGTTACTACCCCGAGGCTTAGGCAGAGTCACTCTTTGGAGTACGGATATGTGGAGAGGCCCAGTTATATTTGCTTTGGTCTTTGCCCCACTTGGTACCTTGGTTCGGTTCTTTGTGTCCTTGCAACTAAACAGCCGTATCGCGGCATTTCCACTGGGGACATTCGTTGCTAATCTAGGTGGTACAATGGTGCTGGGAATGGTGTACTCGCTACAACATGCTTCATCCAGTGGAGCAAGCTTTGTTGGTTGTCAAGTACTGCAGGGCATCATGGATGGGTTCTGTGGGTGTCTGACAACTGTGAGTACATGGGTTTTGGAATTATGCGGGCTTCGCAAGAGACACGCGTACTTTTATGGGACTGTGAGCGTTGTGGTCGCATTATGTGCACTTGTTATAGAGATTGGAAGCTTGAAGTGGACTACAGGACTTGATTCGCCCTCATGTTTCAGAAATATTTAGAGTTAATCAAGAATACTAGAAGGCAAGAACCACAGAAACAAAAACATAAACGATATTTGGCAGATGCGCCAGTCTTCGGGTCAAGACTACAATATCGAGACTACTGACCCACGGACGGGGCCAAGAACATACATTCAATTGTCTTCCAAGGTTGTATTTAATTTGACGATTGGGGCCTCTTTTCCACTCCACTGCCCAGATATGTATACTCAAATCAAGTACAGGTGCTAGGTGCATATGTAGAAGATGAGTATCATTAAGCATGGTGCTATAATCTCCATGTCTTCGCTTCCGAGGAGGTCTCTCTTTGTAGGTTTCAAGGTTCAAGTCTGGTCAAATAGGAAATCAAAGATGGAATTGAAGGGGAATCAAAAATATTATATGTCACAAAGCTTCGTTTATATCCCAGAATAATATATGTCCATTATGTTTATTAGGTGGAGCGCTCATCAGGTAGACGAACGACATTGTCACCAGCCTCCAAAGTAGTAGATGAGCCAGACGAGCCAATAGAAGCCCGATGATCACGGATAAACTTCGGCCATGTGTTTGTGAGAACAAGGTATTTAATACTTGACTCGGCCTCGTCAAAAACAGAGGCATCAAACTCTGCAGGAATTTCACCCCAATAATGAACGAGGTTCTTAATCTCATGTATCGAGTCATTGTTTCCCTTATCAGAGTCACCCGTGAAAGGCGTCACAGGCGAATCAATATTAAATGTTTCTCTGAAGGGAGTGGCGGGCTCAGGAACCTCGCGCTCGCCGTACAGAAGGGCAGTGGGTTTCTCGAAGATCTGTTCCGGCTTCTTCAAGACTTGGAAGCCAAGATTCACGGGGAATTCGGCGTGACTGGGGCTGATATACTCGGCGTATAGGTGCAAGGCACGGTTGAAATGCTCACGCATAAGCTCTTGGATTTTCTCATCGCGAGGAGCGGTCTTGTCCTTGAGAGCCACGGGCAGCGAGCTCTTCCATTCGGCGACAGCAGTGAGGAACGCGATGTTCTCTCCGGAGAATTCGCGGAGAGCAGAAAACTCCTGGAGAGGGGCGGGATTGCGATCGAGAACATACTCGAGGGCACCCATTGTCAGGATACTTTCGTTGGAAGCGTCGGATCGCACGGAGTCTTTCGTGGACTTCCAGCCAGACAGGATGGATTCGACCATGGTGGGACCGGAGCCGAGAGACTTGACTTCGCCGCCAATCCCGTTGCGTGCCTCCCATTGTGCGATCGCGTCGAGTGTCTCCTGACGAAGGGATTGGCGGTGCATAACCTCCCAGCAGGGAAGGAATATGGTAAAGACTTCCATGATAATGATAGAAAGACAGATCCACTGAGGGGGAAGCCAGACCGCGCTGACGGAGGCCATAGCATCGACGTAGGTACCACAGAGCCACAGTGGAGTTGCGGGAAGACCAGCGATGGCACAAGCGATAGTTTGAGTTCGCCAGCCCTGGGTATCGTTGATACCACGGGCTTTCCAGAGAATGCAAGGAGCGACGATCCAGCACCAGAAGACTTGCGATAGAACACCGGGCCACCTGTTTCCGTGTTAGCGGTATATTGTGAACGTGTATTGGCTTTGGTAGTATTCTTACCATTCCCAGCCTCTGCCCTGGGCCGACTTAACTTCCATGGGGGTACCGTGAACCTCAGTGCCAGGTATACCCCATGTGCTATGGAATCTGCGAGAGATAAGGTACATTAAGACAGTAAGGAAGATCTATAAATCTGCTAGTTAGCTCATACAATTGGCAAGCAATGCAATTGAGTAGTTTCCAACAAACCTGGGTGCACATTGCAACACCAACAACGATGAGACTCTTTGTGGAATAATCAAGACGTTGAAAGCGACCAATTAAACCCGCCTTACGCTTTGTGCCAGGCTGCACAGAGAGACGATTGCAAGGATAGGCGTATTTCTTCTGAAGCTTTGCGATATGAAGGAAACGACCGTTGGACGCATAGAAAAGAGATATTCCGATAGGCAACCAGGTACCCATGATCCAGTACATGGCATCTCCCGGCATGAGCGTGCCTATCATAACCCCCCATTGGACCGACCAGAAATAAATATGAAGAAAGAAAATGGCAGAGAGTGTGAGGCCTAAACCTCGGATTCGAACTGTGGGTGAGTCGCGATGTTTGATCAAGTAGGCGACACCCAAGGCGACGAAGAGTGTCCACACACAACCCCAGCAGGCCCACCAGATGGCCACTGGAGTTAAGGTGACCACGTCCTTTGACTGAGCGGTAACCCCCAATTCAGATCCCATGATGAATTGGCTGCTTTGTTTTGCAGCAAAATTGACGAGAGCTCGAAGGAGAGTAAAAAGTTGGAGAGCGCTGCTGAGGCCTCGGGGCCCGGCTGCACACCGAGACTTTGTATCATTTCAAAATTGCGTGTTGGACTTAGTCTTTGATGCTCCCCTGTAGATCGAAGTGGATAGGATTTAGGTTGTGAGAGGATTTGAGTGGGTGGAACGTTTCGGCCCCATCGTGGAACTGGCCGGACCGCTCGAGGAATCGAAACCCTCGATCGGGGAGGCCTTGTTCCTGATAGGTCTGGCTCCAGGATTGAGCTAGCTTTTGGTGTGCATCGATCAGCAGTACTATTGATTCACTATTACGAAAACGAGAACAAGATTGGTGTCTTCATAATGCCCCACTTGGACTCATCTCTGATTTTATCTTGGCTTCACTTTAGGCACGATCAACTGGATCAAAGATACGACAACTAGATATGTGATGTGATATTACGGTTAATGCGATATGTATGTGCCATGCTTGCATTAGGTATAGTGTGCATAGGTGATGGGCCATGCAACAGGGAGGATTAAATCCTCAGTTTCTGTCCAATCAAGAGCACGTATTCTATTAGAAATACTCTACCATGGAACCTTGTAGGCACACGATGTGTAAATCAACTTGTCTCGAATCCCAGCTCATGGTGGAGCCATTTGGAGCTCATAGTGGGGGAGTTTTCCCATCGGGGATAGTTGCCTGAGTGGAGGAAGTGCCCGGATTCCAGGTTATGTACGCTTGGCTTTACCCGCAACATCCTTGTCGAAATGTTCAATAGTTCCATTCCTCCATTAGTCTAAATTAGTACCACAGCCTCGTTCTGCACCTGTAGTTCTCTTTGATGGGAACTTTCCGAAAACTTGTTATGAACTCATATCAGGGGTAATTTTGATTTCTCCCCGAGATCGAACGAGATCGCGATGAACGTGCAGAAGCATGTCTCGGGTCCCGAAGATCCCGAAACTTTGCCTAGCAAATCCCGATGCTTTAAATGTTTCGATTGGCTTACTCATGAGGCCTATTTGGAATCGTGCCAAAATCATAACAAGTACCTGCCAGGTACCCCATGGTGTCAAGCACGAGTCAGTTTCCGCTCCCGTATCCAGAAATGATGAAGCACCATCAACATAAGCAACATGCATACGTCAAGTGCGATCGTCCAGTTGTACCCGATGAGATATCGAGGAGCATCCACAGTCTTCCAAACACTATAACGCAAAGAATTGTCAGCCAGAGTTTTCTTTGAAAGCTCATTTTCACCTTACAAGAGAGGAATCCAAGCTCCGAACGTATTCCCAATCGTGTTCATAGCACTGATCACCAGTGCACGTTCTTCGGCGCTATGGGCGCAGATTTCATTGGCCCATGCATAGATAATCGCCGCAATCCCGTCTGCCGTGCCGGACAAGAAAAAAGCAAAGAACTTTAATCCGTCGGGGATATTCCAAATCGCAAGTACAACACATGCAAAGATGTTCAACACCGCGGTAATCGCGATCAAGCTGGCCTTCGCGTCATAGATGTCTGATAAGACGGCGCAGATCACCGAGGCAATAATTGTGACAGCCGGTGAGACGGTTGTGATTGTGTCAATTTTCCCCACAGAATAGCCTTCAGCTTTAAGCCATAGGGAAAGACCGCTATTTGAGGATACCCCATCGGCCTGACTGAAAAAGAAGGCAAAGGCGACTAGCACCCATATTCGCCAGCCTTTGAGAATCTTAATGATCCCTGGCCAGGTGAAAGGTTGACGGGCTTCTCGGTTTTCAGATTTCATACGCTCCTGTGCCAGTATGATCTCGTCTGAAGTCAAAAATCGGGAATTGCACTTATCGGGAGTACTGGGTAGGAGACAAAGACCGAGGAGGGCAATTGGAACCGTGCATGCGAAACCTAGTGAGTCAGTATGCTTTTTGTTTCTCTTCCTCCTTGCTGGCAATCGGCTTACAGATGATATACAGCCATCTCCAGCCCTCTAATCCGAATCGACCGTTCAGACTGTCATAAGCTCCGGCTTGAATATACCCAGAGCTCATACTGCCAACTTGACTGGCAATGAAGAAGATGGCTCCTCGACGAGACAATTCCGACCGCTTATACCAACATCCCAAATACCACTGTACCGCAGGGAAAAAGAAGCCCCCGAGAGCACCCACAAAGAAGCGCAGCGCATACAATTGGGTTATAGTGCTGACCTTATACTGCACAAGGGTGAAAACACCCCACAGCAGATCAGCTGCAGGTAAGAAGTAGTTGACTGGACAGCGAGTCATCTATCAAAAGTCAGAATCACAATTAAGCCGCGAGTTCAATATTGCTATAACGCACCAAAAGAGTCAACGGAATTTGCATAACGATAAATCCAACGCTACAAAAAGGTTAGCAAAAAGCTCTCCTCGCGACCAAGCATGAGAACCCCATACTAATACACCGTATTCAGATAGTTTAACTGATTTCCATACAGCTTGAGATCCTCCTTCATGCCGCTCACATACGCGGTGCTAGTGGCCGACGAATCCAAAACCTTCGCCCAGTATGCCAAAAACACAAACACGATGATCAGTCCATCTAGTTTGAGGATCAAACGTCGCTCCGCCGGTGTGTCTGTGGGCGCGAACCATTCATACCATTTCTGGCGGCGAGCTGGTTTCGAGCCTGGGCTTTGTTCCGGAGTCTCTTTCGAGAGCTCAATGTCTGGGCTCTCTGTCGTATCAAGGACCTGGGGAGACTTTTCCGTCGAGAAGGACATGATTTGGAATGTACCCTGTTATTTCGCCGATATGTCTTTTCACATCGTGGGGATTAGAGTACATTGAATACTTTTTGTTTAGTCAAGTCAGAGCACGCCATCTGTTGGAAAGATAGCGCATGCTTAGACTGGCGCGGACTTTGCCGATGATCCTATCAAAAAGCTGTCAAGGGTCGCTAAGGACCCCGCCGATTCGCGGTCTACTGACCCGCGTTCAATTGCCGATGCCGGGGTTGTTGACACGGGATCACACAGCTCTTTGGGGAAAGACACTTATAAACCACTTACAACTGTCTTGGGCACTGTCTTGGGCACGATCGCTCGATTCTCGAGTTACTATTCCGCGACACTAACTTGCATGAATACAAAATCTGCTCAGAATTCCCTGCAATCATTCAAAAGCAAAAAAAAAAAAAAAAAAAAAAAAAAAAAAGAATAATGAAAATGAAAAAGAAAAAGAAACAGAACCAGAAACAGAAACAGAAAATAAACCCCATATTAACCCCAGTTACCCATTTTAAAGCTCATCCTTTCCCTAGACCTTGTCGCCAAATACCTCATAACTAACAGAAATTTCATCAGTCCTCTCAATCCGAGCAGGGCTTCGAAGAATCACTTCATCGCTATCATGCGTCCTGGTAGGCTGGATGACAGTCTGCTGATCAAAGTTCTTTGACTCCATGATCGAAGTGTCAAACCCATATTTGGAAATCTGGCCATAGTGCCTACTGCTGGTCTTTTGACCAGCACTGCCATACATCGGCAGTTTATAAGAGTTGTCGCCGGAGGAGCTATCTTTGCCATCCTTTCCGTATCTAACACGGATATAGAGAGGGCGGAGAACAGGGATTGTGGAGCACATTATCGTAACGCAGCTCTCGGTGGCGGACCAGATGAGCATTGGGACAGTGTCATCTAGGTTTGTCAGCTTATGTAGCAGTGTATGGGGTTTGAAAACGTACAGATGTACTCGGACGCGTCTAAGCCTGATAGCGCGACAGTTCGGACGATACCACATATTCCGGCACTAGCAGAAGATATATGTTAGATGCGGACCAGAAATTAAAGGACTGTTCGACTTACAATATTCCAAGACTGAGACCGACGGCGACAGTGATTTTCTCCTTTCTTTTCATGTTCAGATCCCAGACCACGAACCAGGGGAGAATAGCAAAGGAGAAATCGGCGGCGACGAACCAAGCTGAATCGTATTTGTGGTCAGCGATTGTATGTCTGATGGAACAAGGTCAATAGACACTCACATCCGACAGTGTAGCCGACATTGGAAAAGTTAAGCCAGCATGTTCCTGGGGTAGATGGGTCCCAAGACTTTTTGACAGGCACACACTGAACGATGACAGCGATGCTTGCAAATAGTGTGAGAACCGTCGTAATGACAAGGCAGCCCCAGATAACCCAAATATGAATCTTGTTTCGCACGATGCGAAGAAGGAAAGTTCCCACGGCTGCTTTGCCGACGCCAATGACCATGAGACCAGCCACCTGGCTGAAGAGCTCATACTTGACAGCAGTGTAATAGATTGTTGCATCACCGACAGTGGCGTACAATTGTCCCAGGCCGTAGTAAGTGCCGATGGTGACGAAGATCGTGTAAAGAAGGTGCAGAACCTGCAGCATGTCAGCAACTAGCGCAGAAATCTCGGTCATCGTTTACTTACCAGAGCAAAACAGACCAAATAGTCATCAATTCCAATGGAGTTCAGGATTTGCTTTCGCGTGTAGAGTCGCAGGCCCACAAAGAATGTAAAGATAACGGCTTCTAACCACAGAACCGCATTGGTCATTGGCCCTAGGCCTCCGTATACACCCATAATGAAAATGGGCAGAAGATAGTTCAAAAGATGTATAAAAGAACGGTCATTTAGTTAAGACAGAAAACAGAAAATCACCAAGACAGCGTAGACGCAACCTGGGATTTATCAAATCCAACATTAGTATGCACATGTAGAAAATATGATCTATAGAATGAGCGACATCGACATTCCTCCTGACAATCCCTGCTCTACAAAAGTACGCCGCCTTGTGTTTTAGAAATGGAGCATTTAGCGGCGCGGACAACGGGCCGGGAACAACAGTACCATGACAGGTGCGCTAAAGCCCACTAAACGTGTGTCCGAGGTCCTCCCACGAGTCAACAACGCCCGACCCTACGCCACAGCCCCACATGCAGCGCGCCCACGACTTGACAGCTAAATTAACTTTCTACACGTCGAATTGAGCTTGGAGAAAAACGGCTCACTTCCAACCGAGCCTGTTAGTGCTCAACCCCTCTTGGATCCATCGGTCTAGACTCAAAGATGGTTTCGTGAAAAGGAGCGTATACTGGAATCGGTAAGGCAATGTAAATCCTCCTTTGGATCCTTTTCGTATCCTTGGCGATGATGGAGGATCGGCTTGGAAGATTGCCATCTTTCCTTGACGAGGAAAGAAGGTGAAACGGCCGGTCCAAACCTTCCAAGCTTTTCTGATGATGGCTCAGGGGCGTTGGGGCTTGCGATAGTGCTCGGGACGTTAGTGGCGACTAATTGCGTCGATGAGCCATTGACAGTCTGTACACGCCCTTATCGGGAAGTCAACTAGTCTTTAGCGTTTACCTCAGTGAGAAGGTGGGACCAACGGCCCCAGGTCAATACCCCAGTAACCCGTGGTCAATGCATCGGTGGTGGTCTTATATACCCGCAGACCATATCCCCACCTCTTCTGCTAAGCAGAGAACAATCAACCCTTTGAGTTAAACCGCCCAATTCATCATGGTCTCTCTAAATGAAGTAGTTATTGCCGTTCTCGATGGAATTCAACCCGACGCATTTGGCGGTAATGAAGTTGAGCGCCTGAAAGTCCGTGCTGCTGCACGTCGACTCCTGGCCAGAGTGGAGACTCCTTACGAACGTGCATGGGGGTTCTGTTTCGAACACCCTGCTGTGTTCGCCGCCCTGCAGACATGTATCGATCTGGGGCTTTGGAAGTCCTGGACTGCCATTGGAGGAGGGGAGAAATCGATCGATGAGCTGGTTGATTTGACGAAGCCCACTATCGACACGAACCTACTCCGTAAGTCTCTCACCCTCAATCTGTCTGAGACATGGCTCACGTGGAATACAGGTCGATTCTTCCGCTTATTGGCAGCTTTCAATGTGGTTGAAGAGACCGGGGTAGATAGATTCAAGCCGACTCCGTTCTCATTAGCTATTGGTGATGAAAGTACCAAGGTCCGAGCTTCACTTGAAGCAGCGTGGGTATCCCAGCTAAGAATCACCCATACAACACGACAAAAGTACTGACTTTTATCTGCTTGATTAGCACACATCACTACATCGCTTCTGGTCGCAACCTACCTGGCTACCTCGCCAAAACCTTCTATAAGGAGCCGACCGACGTCAATGTAAACAACTACTCAGACTCCGATCCAGACGGCCTCAATTTCTTCGGACGGTTGCAGGCTAGTCCTGCGTACTTCGAAGCTTTCACAGGGCACATGGAAGCATGGACAACATGGAAGACCCCCTGGACCAAGGTCTACGATACCAGCCGACTGCTTGAGGGAGCTAATTTGGACAACGGCGCTCCATTCGTGGTTGATGTTGGAGGAAACACGGGTATCGACATTACCCATGTTCTCGCCGCGCATCCAGATCTTCCAGCGGGAGCCCTCGTTCTACAAGATCTTCCCGAAATCATTGCCAAAGCTACCGTGGATAAAAGGATCACGGCAATGGTTCATGACTTTTTCTTACCGCAGCCTGTCAAAGGTGAGACCGCCTCTTCCCCTTGCTTCTCAATATGCCAAAATGCCTTGCTGATACCCGAGACATAGGAAGCCGTGCATACTTCATGCATGCGGTTCTTCACGATTGGCCTGATGAGAAGGCTAAGCAGTTGCTTGGTAATACCCGTGATGCAATGGTGAAAGGTTACTCAAAGCTCTTCATTTATGACATCGTTCTTCCGCCGAAGGGGGCAAGTATTAGTCAAACGACTATGGATGTGCAGATGCTGGCGTTGCTCTCGGCTGCTGAGCGAACGGAAGCTGATTGGAAGAGGCTTTTGGCTGAGTCTGGTTTCAAGACTTGCAAGTTTTGGCCTGATCCTCAACAGTATGAGATGATCATTGAAGCGGAGGTGGAGTAAGTCCTGTTATGCCTGGAAGGGCCCTGTGGTTTTCTTAATATGAGGATACGAAATTTTTTAGACAAAGATAATCTTCCTAATTTTCAATGGGTTTATTTAGTCTAGCTGAGAAAGTTAAAAATAGATACGTGCCTGAGAGACCCATTGAAGTTGCCGGTAGAAGATCATAGATCGGAGAAGCTGCCGCAACTAAAATTCGAGGTCAATTGATTTCATTGCGCTATGATCTACAGTAGAAATTGGCTACAGATGATCTACTGGTGCTTCTGAAGTCCTCATTGGGGAAGATAACACCAGAGGATCTAATAGGCAGAAATATTGGATCATCCCCGAACATACATGTCGAGCTTTTTGTCTTTCCGAGCTATATACCTCTCACCAGGTGACCCTTTAGGCCCACAGGAATATGCTATTGTTTTTGATCGGCAGCTTTCCCATCTCCTTAAAATTGGACAGACTTTTCACGTCCAGCTGACCCCATAGTGGACTAGGCGGAGGAATAGGAGGGACATAATTCTTCCGGGTACGGGGAGTTATCCCGATAGCCCGAGACTCGGCATCAGGAAAGGATCGGAGGGATCTAGGCTAATCTGGACCCGCGGGAACTCCAAGCTCTCCAGGGTCAATTGACTATTGCTATCCCAATTACTAAATAGACCAAATAGTTTATAATAGACAGGGAAAGTGAAACGAGGCAATTATTCTCTACCTATTAGCTATGATCTTATAGATTCCTGGATCCTTATTTGCGGGCATTCTCGGCCCACAAGGAGAAAACCGGAGCGGTCAAGGTCACGCGGGGAAGAATGACGAAAACGCAGGATCTCGGGAGGTGAAGTCACTCCCCCGCGGCAACTTGGTTCGCGACTACTTAGACCGGTTTGCGTCCGACTTTCTTGACGTTGAACGCTCCACTTTACTTCGATTCACCTGCCTTGCTGAGATTATTGCCACCAATAATCAGCCTTTTGGAATTTCTTAAATTGAACCCTTCCTCGTTCAATTAACTCCCATACTTAAAAACTTACTACTACTTATCCGCCCCTCACTACCCCTCGAATCCAACCCAACCACCCTATACTCTTTTACACCTTCAATTCCTCACATAAAAATTAATCATTATGACGAGCTCTGGAAGCGCACCCCCTGTTGGTCAGGAGAACATTAACACCGATATTGTCACTCTCTCCCGGTTCCTGACCGAGGAACAAACCAAATACCCCGACGCCTCGGGTGACTTCACTCTGCTGTGCCACGCACTCCAATTCTCCTTCAAGTCGATCGCCTACTACATCCGTCGTGCCTCCCTGATCAACTTGACCGGTCTCGCCGGTTCCTCCAACATTACCGGTGACGACCAGAAGAAGCTTGACGTCATCGGCAATGACATCTTCATATCCGCCATGCGCGGCTCTGGAAAGTGCCGAATCCTAGTCTCAGAAGAAGAGGAGGAGCTCATCAAGTTCGACGAGTACCCCGATGCCCGTTACGCCGTCGTGTGTGACCCCATTGACGGTTCCTCCAACCTGGACGCCGGTGTCTCGGTCGGTACCATCTTCGGTATCTTCCAGCTGCCCGAAGAGCTCATGGGCGCCGGTAAGGAAGTCGGTCCCGAGGCTCTCCTGCACCCCGGTACCAGCCTCGTTGCTTCCGGTTTCACCATGTACGGTGCCTCCGCACAGCTCGTTATCACCATGCGCGGTGGTGGCGTTAACGGCTTCACTTTGGAGAACTCGCTGGGCGAGTTCATCCTTACTCACCCCAACATGCGTCTCCCTGAATCCCGTGCCATTTACTCTGTGAACGAGGGTAACTCCATGTACTGGGATGAGTGGTGCAATCAGTACTTCCACTCCCTCAAGTTCCCCGAGGATGGCAAGCCTTACAGCGCCCGTTACATTGGTTCCATGGTGGCGGATGCTTACCGGACTTTGCTGTACGGTGGTATCTTCGCTTACCCTGCTGACTCGAAGAGCCCCAAGGGTAAGCTGCGTATTCTGTACGAGTGTGCACCCATGGCTATGGTTTTCGAGAACGCTGGCGGTCTTGCTGTGAACTCCCGCATGGAGCGCTTGATGGATGTTGTTCCCGAGCACATTCACGACAAGAGTGGTGTCTTCCTTGGATCTAAAAATGAGGTTCAGAAGGTCATTGACATGTACAACAAGCACAAGAAATAAGCGGATCACCCACCCTTCTCTGTTCAGCTTTTGATGCATGGACATGATCTCATATCTGGCTCAACCTTATTTTCATGTCATGACCCCTTTATTTTAAACCCCCATGCCCTTCTTCTTCCGGTTGAGTCGGAGTGATGTCCTTGCCTCTTGTCTACTTGTTGCTATATCCGGGCTCATTCCGATTACGACCAAATGTTTCGATGCCACAATTAGATCAGCTCAAAAAATATAATGCAAAAAAATCATTAAAATAATTGAATCTACACGTAGAGAAGAAATAGGAAGCATGCTTCACATAACCCGGGTCTTTTAAGTCTTTACTGGTATTCCAAGGTTGCCCAGAACCTAGGTGCTAAATGTCAGCAGATTGCAGATTTGGTCCCCAATACAGCACTGCTCGACGCCGATTTAAGCGTTCTATGAACAAAAGCACGGTGAAAATCAAATAAAAAAATTATTTTCCAATGTTCCACTATCACATGTCCATAGAGCTTCGTAGCTATCAAATCCCATTAAAACTTTCCATTATCAATCGACTCAATCAAAGCAAAGCAGCAATAGCAGCAGCAACAACAGGAGCAGCCGTAATAATAGCCCCAGCAGGTCCAGCCGCAGCACCAGTCTCAGTAGCAGCAGGCATAGTAAAAGAACTCAAGCCAGAAGTAACAGTCAACTCAAAGTAGTACTAATCAAGAGGCACAGTAGAATAAGTAACCTTGCTAGTAGTCGAAGAAGAGGTCTTGGTCCCACCAGCCGAACCACTCATACCAACACTCATAGTACAGCTAGCAGACTCAGTAGAAGACTTGAGCTTGCAGTCCCACATCTCAGTAACAGTGACATCGTAACCAGTAGAGTCGCCCGAGGTCGAAGCAATGTATTTGGCCGTTAAGCTCGCAGTTTCGGCGCCTTGGATGATAGTCCACGAAGTTGGACTGTTGCAGTCAGTCTTGGCGGCGTTCTGTTCCAATGTTGCTCAGGGAAAAGGAAAGCTCGAGCCTGGCGGCAAAGTCCAGGTTGAGCTCTAGTCATGCATCAGGATAGGATATCATTCAGGACCCAAATCTTACGAGCTACTTCACAAACCCCTAGGAATCTACTGCAACAACCTCTTGGAAGTCACGCTACGTATTGTTACTATGATTCCCACTACAAGTAGAAGCCCAATTCGGAACTGTATATTCTAGTCTCTTTACAATACATAGGACAAGACTCAGAGAGTGATAGATCCCACAGATGCGATAGCATGATAGTTGAAGAAAAAAGTTAACCGGAAATAAAGAATGTAAAGCCCAGTCTAGTCGACTGGGTCTTCGTCCAACAGGGCCTTGAAGCTGAACGGCATGAATGGAATACCCTCGCCCATGAAATGCTTGCTCATGGCCTCGACCCAGTGCAAACGTAGCGAGTGCAGCACTGCATATGTGATTAGTATTTTGCCATCGTTTTTGACCGGGTGTTTGGATTGACTTACTTGCAGAAACACCCTCCATACCCACGAGCACACTACATGACAGGACGAACCACATGAAGAAGCAAATAACGATCATGATGACCTGCAAGACCCCGCCTTCTTGATCGAGGGCCGATCCAAGGGTCATAGTCCACAGAACGATTGAAAGCTGTTGGTGGGCGAGGGAGAGAGCCCAGAGACGAAGGTAGGAGGCAGTGTGAGAGATACAGTTGAGGCAGAATTCGATGGTGTGGATGACTTGGTGGATCATGACATCGCTGAATTCAAACTCCTCGTGCTCCTCTCCATCGTGAATGTCCTGAGCAATCATAGCAACGCCTTCGCCATCGCTGGCCAGGCTGTCCCGGTTTGCACCAAAGCCGCCGTCCACATCGCCATCATCTTCAAGCGCACTGACACGAGACTGTTCGCCGAGGCCCCGATATCCCAGAGCGCGGGCGCGATTGTGTTCATGGCGGAGCCAGAATGGCTTGAGGAAAAGCATGATGGGCACTTGAATCACGGCAATGAGAAGTAGGAGCTGTTGCACCGTGCCCTGGCCGCGGTAGAGTGGTTGTTCAACAAAGCCGGGTTTCAGGAACATGAAAATAAGCATGTTGAGCAGACTTGGGGGGGATGCGTCACTCTCTTGCCAATTTACCGACCACTTGTAGAGAATAGTGACAACCAGGTAACCGAAGATGGACTGGAAGAACAGCATACCAGGAACAAAGTTGCCCCAAATATCAACCTTGGACTTGAAATGACGGGCATTGACAAGCTGGAAGCAGAGGGCAAAGGTCATGTGACTCCAGCCAAGCAAAATACTCATCTTCATCTTCATGCTGTTGGAGAAGAGCAATGAGTTTTCGGCCTCGTGCCAGTTCCAATCCAGACCAATGGGGAATCGATAATCGCCCTTGAGGGTAGCCTCCACAGTCTGTCCGGCCGTAAGATCCTCTGGCCACTCCCATGCACTGCTGAAGAAAGACATGGACTTCGAAAAGATATCATTATAAAGCACACCAGTATACATCGCGAAAAGACCCATCAGCAACATGATGTATCGTCCATAGAACGCCATGTATGAGATCTCATCGAGCTTGGTGCGTAGCAGCTTCTTTTCAAAGAAAATTAGAGCCGAGGCAGCGGAGGCCATGATGATTCCGTGACCGAGATCACCAAACATGACAGCGAAGAGGAAAGGGAAGGTCACAACGGTGTAAATACCAGGGTTAACTTCCGAATATTTCGGAATACCATAAGCATTCACAATTGTCTGGAATCCCTCCGTGAACTTGTTGGTGCGAACGTAAGTAGGCGGGGTCTTGTTGGTGCGGATCTGGTTGACGATGGTAGGAACGGACAGACCAGCCCTATCGTTGACATCTTGCAAGGTCGACTTGATCTGAGCGAGGGAGTTGGTTGGGCACCAAGCTTCTGCAATCAGCGTCTTGCGCGCCTGATCATAGGAGAATTTATTCAACGTGTCGTAGACAGCCTTCTCCTTCTTGACGATGATCATCCAAGCCACAAGTGACCGTGCGATCTGCGACAGCTCGGCATCTAATGTCTTTTTGGTGTTCTGAAGAACACTTCCAACATCGCCCAATCGGGTGTTAACCTCGTGGATCTGATCCCTTCTCAGCTCGCTGTTCTCGTCCACACCGTACAAGGAAGCACCCAACGACTCTGCAATTTTGCGGATTTTTGCCAGGATGCTGGAGCCGTGAGCAAAAATGACGTAGACATTCTTGTAGACCGCTTCATTTGTGCTGGGATCGATGATCGGTTCCGGGATCTCGGATTGGTTCATGTAAAGGTTGCCACGCAGGGTTCGCCAAAGGATGCGCTCGAAGGCACCGATCCGATCACGAGGAATAACACCAGCGACGAAGCCGATGTTCATCTCAGAAAAGCTCTGCTGGCCATGAGTATCACCATTAGCGCCTCGAGGAGCATGCTGTTCAACGTCGCGAAGCAAAGGCGCCTCGTCATTGTCGAAGGATTGGCGAATATCTTCGGTTTGGGTGTGGGCCTGTTTCGAAATATCAGTGTTGTCCTATCCTCCCAATAACGCATAGCAAGACTCACCCGGTCAAAGAACCCACCGGCCTCTCTCAAAACCCAGCGCCATTCAGAAAGCTCAACTTCGCGCTTCTTTAAGGTCTCGTAGCTATCATTCAAAGAAGCGATGCGTTGTTCGAGGCTTTCGCTGCGTTCGGCCAGCTCATCAATTTCCGAGGCCAGGGGAGCAGCCAAAGTATCGGAGAAGTCTGTCGAGGGGCGCATGGGAATGGCCGCCTTCTCTATCTGGGTGCGAAAGTAACCTGTCAAGACCCAACGGGTTAGCCAGTACTCATGATACATAGAAATCCTTTGATTGAAAACACATACGGAGTTGTCTCTCAACATTGTCAAGGCGGCGGATCTCCTTGGTAAACGTGCGTTGAAAAGCATTGGTATCGGGGTTCAGCTAAGGACACGCCATAGAAAGTCAGTCTAGCTGTTCACAACACTTAAGGGGGGTGATCCAGGGTCTCGCATCCACTTACATCTCTAAACTGCACTTGACCAAGCTCACCCAGAGCACTCACGACCTCTCTTCCGATTTCGTTGGCAATGTAGAGCTGGGTCAGGCTCATGTCCGACGAGCGGAAGAAGGTATCCTGCGGAGCCATGGTGGTGAACAGGCTTTTTGGAGCCAGGCCTTTCCACCAAGGAATTTGCAGTCAGATAACAAGGCTAATGGGTGGATCTCAACCTTTTGGCAAGATCTGTGGTAGGGACACAGATGCGTGGACGGTCTTCGGGAGTTGGCAGCTCCTGGCTCTGAGCTGGCCGTAGTGCACGTGAGGTCACATGATATGATCCACTTCCAAATTGAATATACGATTAGATTGAGAACTACTTCACAGAATTACTTATTAAAGTATAAAATAGCAAAATCAATTAGCAGATCCGGTTTCCTTGTCAACTCTGGTGGGTACAATTGATCCGCAAACGTAAAAACAATATCAGCTTCTGTTTAATCAAAGCCGTCAAACCATGTTCATAGATCAGCTCGGCGTATTCTTGGAAACATGACAACATTCTGGCTCTCTTACTCATTTTCGTTCTTAATCTCCTTCTTAATTTCACCCTCGACCGGAACCAGCAGATCCTCGTCCTTGATTTCATGCTTGGCATCATCCTTGACCTCGTTCTTGAAGGCCCAACCTAAAATATCCTCATCCTTGGCCTCATCCTTGGCATCACCATTGACCTTATCCTTGATTTCGTCCTCGACTTCGTTCTTGATCTCGTTCTTGATGACCGAATCCAGAAAATCCTCTTTTTTGACCTCATCCTTGATGCCACCCTGGATCTCCTTTTTCACTTCGTCATCGGCCTTGTCCTTGATTCCATTCTTTGCGTTGTCCTCGATGGTTTGATCCACCAGATCTTCATTGGCTGTAGTCCAGAGATTCTCACGTTGTTCTCCCATGGTGAGATCCTCCATGATCCCGCTTTGGGTGTCTGGTAAAGCTTTGCCAGTGTTCGTCTCGGATAGCTCAAGAAAATTGACATCTTCAGTCAAATCAGGGAGACCTTGCAGCTCTCCATTCATGAGACCAAGCATATGCTTGATCTTCTTCGCATGAGTAGCTCTGGCGGATTTATCTCCAGCAAAAATATGGGGGAGATGCAGCTTTAATTGTGTGATGAGACTTCGCATGAAAGTTTCGGAACGACGGTTTTTGGTGACACGATTAGGTTCATACTGTTTCCTCACTTCACTGTTGGCAATTACGCTTAACCCTGAGTAGCGCGTCTTGTCTCTGCTGTAGCATGCCTGTCTGTTCTCTTTTGAAACATCTTTGTATCATGATTAGTGTACATTTTGACTGTTCCATCTATTCTCAACTTACTAAAGAAGTCACAGGCGAATACTTGCACCATGCCGTGATGCATGGACCTTTGAATGCAGTTTGCGCAGGCACCGCTTCTTACACACTGAGTAGCAACACAATCTCTGTATGTCTTGTTTTTGCCAGCTTGGCAGGCAAGGCAAGCCTTATCTCCTTGGAAAATACTACCCACCATCTGTAATATGGTTGTCTCCTTGTATTTGCTGTTCTTATTTTTTTTTTTCTGACACATCTCCAGTAGGAGATCCAGAGACATCCTGGTCGCCCACGGAACTCGAAAAGACTTGGTATCGTTGTATAAATCGATGAGTGGGCCTGACATTCTGTGACATTTCTGATCGAAAAACTGAACAAAAGGTCTTATCTGTGCATCTTCCCGGGATCGAAGTTCTGAGCCGGGGACAATCTCAAGCCCATCATTCCTCTGCCCTTGGTCGAATTTGGATGGTTCAATGTCTTTATCCGCAGATGACAAGTGTTTTTGCGTAACTGGCGATGTGGGCGTGAGGTGTTTGTTCTTGGGAGGCTGGCGAGTGCCATCGAGTGATAGCTTCGGGAAAGCTTTGCTTGCCATACTGAAGAATTGAATGCGTTAACTTTGAGACAAATGATGGAGGGGTGGTGATAGAAGATTAAATTCGAAGGATGGCAGCCTCTAGTTTCAATCATTTTATACCTTAGCTGATTAAGTAAGAATGTTTGTTCAGTGACTATACTGCTGAGAAACCTTCTCCGCTGGAATAGCATACTTTCTCGTCATTCTTCTTCATGCCCATTACTAGTGTCGCTGGTGGCTTATAGTTTCTATCCGAGGCAAACATTGTTCACGGGTGATTTTGGAAATATAATATTTTAACAAGCTCTCACAATTTTGGCAAGCTACTGCTCTAAGTCCCTACCGAAGGGCACCTGGGCAGACGCAGCACAATAATCAACAATAGTTTTTTTAATATGCATATACATAGGTTTCAGGACATCTTTACTAATAACATATACATTCATGTACCTCCGAGATCAGCCTTACTAGAATAGGAAAAGTCTCTAGGGCAAGCGGCAGGAAACCCTCCAGCGCCCCTCTTTAGCCCCGCTCTTCTCCCCCTCCTTCACATAACTCAAATAGACCGTTTGTCCCCCTCCGATCATCAATTGGCCTTCGCATTGAATTAACGGTGTCGCCTTTGAATGCAATGTCATCTCTCAAGGCCATTGATGGCTAGCGAACTTCCAAGGTTGTGGGTTGGTTAACAGTAGGGTCCTGCAAGATGGTTACGCTGAGTCGCTACTCTTGGTCCTCCGAGTCAATTTAGCAGTGGAGACACTCAGCCTACTTTCCAAAGTAGCTCTGATTTCACTCTTCTAGTCTTTGGTTCTTCACCTGCCAACCAACAACTCATTTCCTTCTGAGGGTGCTCTTTCCTTTTCCTTTCGTTGGGTTATATACCACTTACCGGTAGTCCCAGTGTCCTTCGGGACATTTGGTCAAATGAAAATATACAGAGAAGATTAGCATGGCCCCTGCACTAAGGATGACACGCTCAATCAAAGAGAAGCTACCAGTTTTTTTTTTCTTTGCTGGAGCTTGGTTGAGGTGTGAGGCTATTTCGAAGATTGGGGTCCTGCGTTCGACTCCGGGTCTGAATGTTCCCTTTTTGGACTTTCCGGGTTCCCTCTTGGCAGCCCAGCACTTAACTTAGTGCAACCCTTGTCCAATATTATTGATTGACTCTGGTTTCAACATTCATAGATCATCGCAGATTAAAAAAATATATATTTAAAAAGAAAAGAAAAAATAAAATGAAGCTTATCAGTTTTAATAGTATGGATCTTCCAACCCAAGCTTGACATACTGTTCCTCGAATTCCTCAAACAGCTTATTCAGACCAAGAAGACTCAAATGATCCTTGTCATCCTCTTCATCCATGAACCACAGCATGTTGTGAATATCAAAAGTGATGGCCAGCATATATCCATATTCCGACTCCAGAAAAACCTGGTCCCCAGTGTCCCAGTCACCAGTCAGTGCATTCCACTGTCTAGCATACTCTTCACAAAAGTGCTTTTTCTCCTCCTCGGTATACTTCTTACACCTAGCTATTTTGCTCTCCTCGTCAAACCACTTGAACATCTTCTGCATAAAGTGTCCACCGATATCAAAGGCTCGATAGTTCCGCATCACAAATTCAAAGTCAATCAGCGCAACTGTACTTTCGCCTTCCTTCGGGTCATTCTTGACCATGGTGTTCATAAACTGGACATCATGAATACACCACGCTGTTTTCCCTCCTATAGATTCCAGCTTTTTCACCACTTTCTTCAGCCTCGTTCCGAAGTCGTATTCGACTAGCTTATCCACATTGACACCGCCTAGTTTCCCAAGCACCTTCAATTTGTTCAGTCCGTGGTACTTCTCAAGTCCACTGACGACAGCTTCGTAGTATGAGTCCACTGCCTTTTCCTGCCGTGGTGTTTTCAAGACATGGAACGTCGCCAGTGCCTTTGCCACATCTGCTCGGATTACTGCATTCTCAACATCCTCTGGCTCCATGTTCTGTGCTTCTAAGAACTCGTCGATTCTCCCAAGTGTGCCATCTTGTGTCTCGAAGAACCCATGGACTTTCGCTCCTAGTCCGGTCCGACCGTACTGAGAGCAAAGAATTGCTTCTTCGTGTTTCGTTGGCGCAAGGTGTTTGAATATCTCAAGATTGACTTCGGTGTTATTATGGAATTTGATGAACACTTTCAAGGGCTCGGTGGCGGTGCCAGTAGCGGGCTTCGGTCGCTCCACGGGGCAGTGAGCGTTGGAAAATGAGACATTATATGACATGGTCAGGGTCTCGGGATCCACGGATGGCCATTCTTTTGTTAGGAATCTGGCGATGATGTCTCTGACGTCCGTCTTGGATGGTACTTTTTCTTTGGGAAGGGCCACGGGGATGAGAGTCAAAATGGCCATAGTGATATATTCAGGGAGTACTAGTGGCCCAGCTAGTTGGTGAGGAGAAGACAGGGAGATGATAGACACATAATAGACACCCCGGCGCGGTGGCAATTTAGTGTTCAGCAGCAATGTTGTTATCGGGGTCTCAATATGGTTTAGGGCAGTCGGGGGACTCGGGGCTTGGACATCTCCCGAGATCAGAACTTGCTATCACATACGATGAGTAAAGCCTTGAACTTGTCGATTGAATGAATATATCTAGAAATCTAAGGCTCTCTAAATGGCTTCTGGTCTCTGTAACGAAAATAATGCTACAGTATCTCCCATCAGTGGTATCTCCTCGTAAATCTTGAACCCATTCTTCAGAAGGACTTTCATACTCCCCTCATTCGCCTTATTACACGCCGCATACAGCTTCTCCGATTCCATTGCATCCTCACCAGGTTGCTGCTTCAAACTTGTCCTCTCGAGCTTCCACCACGCATCCACAACACCAGCTACAGCTTCACTAACGAACCCCTTCCCCCAAAACTCAGGATGAATACCATATCCGATGGATGGCGCCGGCACCAGTGCATTCACACTCACCATGCCAATAACTTTCAGTGTCGGATCATCAAGCTGTATTACAGCAAACGTAAATAGTCGTCCCAAAGCACCCGATGCATCTGGTGTTTTGAAGGTTTTACCGGCGATCGCAGCCTCTGTCTCTTGGACCTCTTTATGGGGAATTTTAGGCCAGCTAAATCGGACTCGTCAATTCCTATCATCTTAGATGCTGATGAGCTCGGAGACTCACAGGAAGTCGGCCACGTCTTGTCGACGCCGGTACTCGAAGATGTCAGCTGCATCGGACAGCTCAGCCGGTCTTAGATAGAGACGTGGAGTCTTAATTGCGGATACTTTGGCAGGGATAATCACTCTAATCTCCTGCTCAGGATAGAGGCTGCCTTTGCTGGGTGGCGAGGATGTCATGGTAGGCTGTGGTGTTGAGTTGCGGATACTTTGGCAGGGATAATCACTCTAGTCTCAGGGGATAGAGGCTGCCTTTGCTGGGTGGCGGGGATTTCATGGTAGGCTGTGGTGTTGAGTTATCTAAAGTGACTCATCGATAGGAAATTTTCTTAAGCTCCCAGCTGTCAGCAACTAGCGCCGGATTATGGTGTGCTTGTGCTTCATGACACAAAAGCACGGTCGCCCGCCCACGCTTCGTGATTGGTACATACTTATTGAAAGTACGCGTAGCTAGCTGCCCACTACATGTTTTGAATTGCGGAAAAGCCCCAGAGGAATAAGTTGACAGGAGAGTATCATCGTATCGTCATATTCACAGATAATTTACAACCAACCGGACTAGAACAGCATCCCACTTCTTGGAAACCTTCAGGCAAACATCATCTCATATGTAGATAAGATCAAGCACCGCCCTCCCTCTTCGCATATTCCTCTTCCATACGCTCCTCATACAGACGATCGGCCTCCTCCCTGCTCAGCGCCGGCTCGCTCTCGGCAGCGCCTGCAGCTGAAGAGCTAGATACATCATGTTGGCCATTGCTGCCGTTGTTTGCGGAGAATGTATTGGATGAGGGCTGGTCTTGGGCGATTTGTTGTTGCTCCTTATCGTAGATGTCTGCGGTCGGGATGGGCATTTTTGAGGTGGGTGGATAAATGCGCGGGTTGATCGACGTTGTTATTGTGTTTAAAGGAGAGGTATGATGGGTGATGGTGTAAAAGTAGTAGAGTGTGAGGATTCGAAGCTGGTGTTGGAGATTTGGAGATGGGTGGTGGATTCTTGGATGTGGATCATGGTGGATGTGGCAAGAGCTTTGTTAGGTGCGACGTCATGGGTGGGTTCTTATGTCCTAGGTAGCTACGGCACTCTACAATGCGCAGGAAATTGTAGTCTCGAATCAAGATTCTGTTCATCGCTCTCATTGAAACACATTGAAATTCGTCAGACGCTCATTGCAAGAAGAAAAGAAAAGAAACAAGAATCTTCCACGTTCACGCTTATATATATGCAGTTCGACATAGCAATCAAATCGTTCATCATGACAGGGGTAAATATATAGAGGATTGAAATTTATAGTCGGTGTCTCAGCGGTTGCTGCATTGCTGGGTCAATGACCGGTTTTTCATCAAGTAGACGTCTCGAATCTGGATCATACAGCGGCTCCGCTGCGACTGTAGCCTTGATCCGACGGCCAAAGTACTCGATTTCGACAACTTGTCCCTCCGACACATTGCTTGGCAACCAAGCATAAGCAATGGGTTTGCGAACTGTATAACCAAAGGCAGCCGTGGTGACGTAACCAACTGCCTTGCCATTGAAGAACACTGGTTCCTTGCCCAGGACCATGGAGCGCCCGTCATCAACAGTGAGACAACGCAGCCGGCGAGTGGGCTTTTCTTTGACAAGGCGCTCCAGCGCAGCCTTACCAACGTAGTCCTCCCATTTACTCGCTCGGATAGCACTGGCAACACCTGCCTCGTAGGGGTTGTGCTCGGTGTTTATGTCGGCGCCGTAAGTGCGGTAGCCCTTCTCCAGACGTAGTGCGTTGAAGGCACCCCGACCGGCAGGGATGAGGCCGTGTGTCTTTCCTGCGTTCGCAATGGTATCCCAGAGCCGCTGACCATATTCAGCGCTGGTTTGAATCTCCCAACCCAATTCCCCAACATAGGACTTGCGCAGTGCTGTGACTGGAATGCCGTTGATGATGGCGTTCTTGGCGGTGAAATAAGGAAATGCCTTGTTGGTGAAGTCATCTGTGCTTATGCTGCTGATCACATCCCGGGATCGAGGACCCCAGAGACCGATACAGCAGGTGCTGCCGGTGATGTCGCGCACCTGGACCCATTGTCCCTGGCGACGGGCTTCACGGGAGAGATAAGCGAGATCCGTGGCCGTGTTGGCGCCCACCTGGAACAGATTTTCGTCAAGTCTTGCAATGAAGACGTCGCTGAGAATGCCGCCATGGTCATTCAGGAGAAGAGCGTGGTTGATGGCGCCTATCTTGGTAGCGACGTCGGCGGTGGTCAGGCGCTGGAGCAGATGCAGTGCACCGGGGCCGGACACTTCGAATCGGTGGAAGGAAGTCATATCGTACATGGCCACTGCATTGCGGGTCTTCCATGCCTCTGCTGCCACGATGGGCGAATAGAACTGCGAGGACCAGGCATCTCTTTCGACCGGTTGCCATTCTGCTGGAAGACACTTGAGAAGGTATGAGTTTGATTCGTACCAGAAAGGGCGTTCCCAGCCTCCAAGCTCAAGGAAATAGGCACCCAGACTCTTCTGTCGAGAATAGAAGGGACTGGTACGAAGATTTCGGGGTGACTCTTTAGGCTGTGATGGGTGAAGGATATCGTAAATCTCGACAAAGTTCTGCGCCGAGGTTTCATTGATATAGGCGCGACTGAGCTGCACTTCTTCAAACCGGGATAGCTCGCAGTCGGTGAGATCGATCTGGGATCGACCCGTTGTGAGAACCTCAGCGACAGCGCGTGCAACGCCAGCCGAATGAGTGACCCACACAGCTTCAGCAACCCAGAAGCCGTCCAGGTTTGGTGCTTGACCAATGATGGGTCCGCCGTCGGGAGTAAACGAAAACACACCATTGAACCCATCATCAATCTGAGTGTCCCGCAGAGCAGGCAAAAGCTTCTGTGACTCTTTCCAAGCAGGTTCAAAGTCCTCCTTAGTAAACTCAAGACGAGATGGCATGTTCTTCTCATCGACATGCTTGGGAGTCAGACCCAATGACCCTGCGACGACAGGCATTGGGCGATGGCCATAGTATCCAATACCATACTGTTCACCATGCTCTCGGTAATATAGATCCTGATCCTGGTGCCGCAAGATGGGCAATTCTGCGTTCATTCCATTCATCCGCTTGTTGAGATCACGCCCGGCAAGTGCTGGCACAGCAGTAGTCTTTGCATACTGATGCGCCAAGGGCAGCAAAGGAATAGACACACCAACCATCGCACCGATCTCCACGCCCCAAAACCCAGCGCAGGAAATGATGATATCAGCGGGAATGAAGCCTTTAGGCGTTGTCACGCCCGTCACGCGACGGCCCGCCCGCTCGATGCCGGTAACAGGAGTCTCACCGAAGTAGCGGACGCCAGCTTTCCTGGTCCGTTCAATGAGCAGTTGGGTTGCGCGAGCAGCCAGGGCAAGACCGTCGCTGGGGATGTGAAGGCCGCCTAGAACAATGTTTTGATCGAGGTGAGGATATAATTTGAGACACTCCTCGGAATTGATGAGGCGCGCCTCAATGCCCCAGGAAGAGGCATAACCATGTTTACGCTTGAGCTCCTCCAGCCGAGCGGGTGTTGTAGCAACCTCCAGACCACCAACCTGATTGAAGCAATTCTGACCGTCCTTCTCAATCGACAATAATTTGTTGACGGTATAGCGTGCTAGATTGGTCATGGTTTTGGATGGTGTAGTCTGGAACACAAGGCCTGGAGCATGGGAAGTCGAGCCACCAGGCATCTGGAGGGGGCCCTGCTCAACAACGGTAATGTCAGTCCATCCTCTTGAGACCAGCTCGTCGGCGATGTTGGTGCCCACGATGCCGGCGCCGATGATGACCACGCGCTGTGTGAGAGCCATGATAAGGTTTTCGCGGTTTAGTAATTCGCTGCCTAGGAGCAGCATGCGAGTCTTTGTCCTTTATGTAGGTGGTCGGCGATAGCAGTAGCTTGCCCCTCCTGCGGAGAGTTTATATTTCTTTCCCCTCCCCCGCAGGTATACCATGATGCTTGTATGCAATGGGATTGGTGAAAGGCACTATACGCCCCGCAATAACCGGTGGATTGTAGACTGGTGATGATACCAGCATCGGACAGACGGTCCAGATCTGAGACCACCGAGCCGTACGCGGACCGTTGGATAAGATTACCATTTTTGGTGGTCTTGTTGCGTGGTGATTGGCTTACCAGACATCGATCCTGGAGTCCGGTTCGGTTGAGAACCGCTCACGTGTCCGGGCGAGGCATGATAATACCGGGGGCGGGGACTTTAGATCGTGGCCCACTGGCGTTGTTCAGAGCTATCAAAGGCCGCTGAAAAGTATCTTGAGTTGTCAGGGCGCCAAGCGAAGACACAGTTGCATGGGGATTCCTCAGTCACGAAAGACAAGAGCTCACGCGTCTAATAACAACCCTCGAATATAGTGGGGCAAGTCTAAGATCTACAGCGGCTGAAAGCTGAACAGCAAGTGAAGTGATACATTATTTCTTAACGATAATTTTAGTGTTTTATCGCCTACAAAATATAGCTGAATGGTGTACTCTTCTCCAATCTCGGGTCACTGACCCAAGCATTGATGAAAAGAAAGAACCACATAGTGGGAGTGCCAAAGAATACGCCTGTCAATGACCCGAAAGCCGTTGAACAAACCAGTCCGCCGCGCTGTGCAATGCAGGGACCAATCTGTGGTGGACCACCTTCATGATCGCGGCCACCCAAACAAGGTAAGTATGAAGAAGAAAAGAAAAAGAGGAGGAAGGGAGGAAGAGAAGAGAGGTATTTATACCCGTGAGGGAAAGGGGCACTAGCCAAGCGAGGGGCCAGGTGACTAATCAAAAGCGAGACATGTTTGAGTCGTTTGCTTAGTTTGCTCACCCCTGGAATGTGATGCCTCAGGTGTGAAGTCGTACATGCCTGCTATAGGCGAAGTGAGCTGTCATGTCACCTTGCATCTGCAGGTTGCAGTAGAAACTGAGTCTGGTATGAAGGACCAAAGCCACATTGCCTCGTAGGACTCAATTATTGGTTCTCCTTGTCCCATAGCAGGTACATGACTCATCTTGGAACGCCATGCTCTGTCGCAGAAAAAAGTGGGTGCTTCCAGTGCAAGCTCTGGTGGAACCTCTCCTATTTCCATGGATTCAGAGCAACTCTGTACGGTGGTCCCTCATCCATAATGGGTCCATGGTTTTTCCGGGCTGTCTTGATTTTTTTTTTTCTGTGCTCTACATCATTTCCCCAATATGGTAGAAGCCCGTCGGCACCACTACTAGACCAGTCTAGTTCTCCGAGATGGAAGGAAAGATTGGATTCACCGCAATATCGGTTAACGAGAGCGCGCATCCTCATCAAAGAGTGCCATGGTTAAGACCGCCTAGAGGATTAGTCTAGTGGACGCTAGGATCGACGGAGACCATCCGTGCAGAGCTTAGATGAACAAAGAAAGTCTCAACCAACAACAACTCGGGTACACCGCATCTCTGCGAGAATAATCGTGCTTGGCACGGCTCGGTTGTTGCTTGGGATCTTCAAGAATTGACATCCCGACGCTATTCTACACTATGCCTGCGGGCATTTCCGCCAGTACTTACCCTGCAACAGCGGGAAGCCCCCTTGGCACCGCATGGCACTTGCATGCAAAAAACCTGTCATCCGGCATTCCTTCGATCGACATGGATGGCACTGGCCCTTCGTGTAGGAAGTGATCAAGGCCTGGAGCTCACAGGATAGGGGCAGCAAAAAAAATGGAATGTAAAAATTCATGGCAGGATTGGCAAATAGTGACTTTCTTGGCCCCAACAGGTGAAAAAGGGGTAATATGACGATGCAATTGGTTGCCGGGCTGGAGTGGATCGCCCGTGTGGGCTATCATTACTGGAAATGTTCCGATAGTCAGAATCCTACCTGACCGACTTGGAAAGCATCAGATTATTAAAGCGAGTCAAATGGGATTGAGAGGCAGAGTCCGATGAACCATGGCAAACATCCGAAACATATCTATCAAGTTTTGGCGTAAGACGTGTATAGGGAGTCAACCAGCCACCGACGGTTTATGGCTTAAGACACGGGACCACCTTAAGTGGGGCCTAACCGTACATTGAAGTCGTTAGCCCACCGACGGATCATCTAGAAAGTAGTAGCCGCGCTAGCGAGAAAAAGTAAATGAAATCTCTGTCGCGAAGAGCAGGGACCTAGGTGGAAAGGGGCTTAATTAGGGGACATTGGGTAGCAAATGATAGTGGATCAAGGTCAAAATAATAAATTTTTAGTCCCGTCTTTGACAAGGTCAACTTGTTTGTGATACGCGTTATCACGTAACAGCAACACGGACCATAAGGTGAGGATGGCGCCAGTCATCATACTGGCTTCAGAAGATCATGGGATCCTGGATGAATCGGTGGTCACAACGGCTGCCTTGAACGATGATACGCCAGTGATAGGGCACGACAGATGAGATATGACGCTCGAAAGTCAAAGAGAGATGGTGCGATACCGCTGGTTGGCCACGAGGGCTGGCACGCCACTCGATGATAGAGTTGATGATCCGGGTCATTTGACATCAGACAAAGTCGGCATTGCTCTTCCGCTGGATCAGCATTACTCGTAGGCCAATCCGGGCTGTCCAACCCTCGCTGATCACCATGCAGAAAAGATACATACTCCTTCCCCTCTCCCCCTCCCCCTTCTCTCAAGGGATCAAAGGATTAGACCCTTTTGGAAGCCAGAGGGGCTTGACAAGGAACTTTTAGATTTTTTTTTATCTCTTATAGATTAAGCCTTGTGCATTACGAACTAAAAATCCCTCCTAGACTATAAAAACATTTGGGGACCAATTTCGGGGGAAGTATAAAGCCCCTCTGCATACCTAACTGGTTTTACTAAGTATACCTGGAATATCAACCCCCTTTCACGGTGTAACATTAATGGTTATCGCAAGGACCAACGGCGGTCTATACTCGAATCGGGTGACTCAAAGGAAAATGAATAATTCATAAAAATGGACCCAATGAAACCTAACTAAGAATCTGTACCAAAGACTCAAAAATCAAATAATAAAAATCAAACAAATCAGAAAATTAGGTCGCGTGTGCGAAAAGTCAAAACACACCTAATTATTTACAAACCGGGACCGGAGCCGAGCTGCACGGGTAAATTAGGGGGCCGTTGATTCAAGCTGCATTGACGATCCTAGGTGGTGTGATGGGATTTCCGACTGTATGCAATAGAGTACTTCAGAAATCGAGACTAACAATTTACTAGAATTAATGATCTGGTTTCACAATAGTTCATAACCAATAACAAAGAGCGGGAAGGCAATAGAAGGGTTACCTAGGGTACTGATTTTTATAGTTAATGATACGAGTTTCAACCCAAGGTCTCCATAATAAGTTAATTAGTGAAGGTCGAGTCAATCCCAAGTACTTTTCTCCCCCTGAGGTCGGCGTTACATAAGCCAATGACCCACTCAGTCTGGACTCCCTGCAGTTCCTTTCCCGTTTAGGAGGCAAGCGCCATCAACAGTCTCCCCCCCATGCCGCTCTTTTTTTCGCCCTTTCCTCCCTTTTTTTTCCCTTCCCTTCTTCTCACCTGCAAAGCAAAATACCCCCCCTTTCCTATCTTCGTTGTGATACCCGAGCTTTCCAGCTCTTATTTCTTTTGCTTTTGAGATACCCCGATACCCTGCTCTTTTCTTTTAATCGATACCCCAAAACAAGCTCCGGCTTTTAATACCCATTTTAATCATGTCTGACGTTCAGAAGCCCGTTGAGGAGACCCCCGTGGTCATTCCCGCTGCTGAGACCGCTGTCGAGGTCCCCGCCACCACTGAGGCCACTGAGGCCCCCAAGGAGACCACCGAGGTCGCTCCCGTTGAGGAGACTGCCACCGACAAGCCCGCTGAGACTGAGGCCCCTAAGGAGGAGGCCAAGGAAGAGGCCAAGGAGGAGGTTAAGCCCGCCAGTGAGGGTATCCTCGGCCACAAGGCTCCCGGTCTGGTCAAGTGAGTGATATCTATGCAACAGGACATATAAGAGCTTTGCGACTAATATCGGTTTCGCGCATAGGAGCCTTCGTTTTGCCAAGCGTTTCTTCTACTTCAACGATGAGCCCGTTGAGGCCAAGCAGCTCTCTGTCTTCCACCAGAACGAGAAGCCCGCCGTCGCCAACCCCACCGCTGCCTGGGCCAGCCAGACCGGCAAGGGTCTGCTCTTCCTGACCAAGCGCGCCGAGGACAAGGCCACCCCCGCTGGCATCTTCAACCTGGTATGACTCGACGAGAACAATCGAAAGCTAGAATACGACTAACATACATGCTAGGCTGAGATCTCCGACCTCACCAAGGAGGGCTCCAACGAGTTCCTCTTCAAGGTTGCTGGCCAGAAGCACACCTTCCAGGCCTCCAACGCTACCGAGCGTGACAGCTGGTTCGTCGCCCTCGAGGCCAAGTCTGCTGAGGCCAAGGCCGAGAAGGAGACCCTCACTTCCAGCGAGGGCTACAAGGCTGAGCTCGAGAAGCTGACCAAGCCCGCCGTTGTCGTTGCCGCCAAGAAGCCCGAGGAGAAGAAGGAGGAGGCCCCCGCTACCGAGGAGGCCAAGACTGAGGAGGCTGAGCCCAAGGAGGAGAAGCCCAAGGAGACTGCCAAGAGCCGCTCCCAGTCCCGCAAGCGCGGCAGCATCTTCGGTGCCATCCTCGGAAAGAAGGAGACTGAGGAGAAGAAGGCCGAAGAGCCCAAGGAGGAGACTGCTGAGGAGACCAAGGCTGCCGAGCCCGCTACTGAGGCCGCCATTGAGACTCCCGCCGAGACCATTGCTGAGCCTGCTGCTGAGCCTGCTGCCACCGAGGCCCCCATTGAGGCTGAGGTTGTTGCCGCTCCTGTCGAGGCCACCGAGAAGAAGGAGGAGAAGAAGGCTAAGCGCGCCTCCATCTTCGGAAACTTCTTCAACAAGGTCACCAGCCCTTCCCAGGAGAAGTCCGAGAAGGAGGCCACCGCCCCTGTTGAGGAGACTCCCGTCGCCAGCTCCGCCCCCCAGCTTGACAACCCCGTTGAGGAGGCCGCTGCCCCCATTGAGGCCGAGGCCGTGATCGCCCCTGCTGAGGCCGAGGCCGCCAAGGAGACCACTGCTGAGACTCCCCTTGAGACCCCCAAGGACAAGCGCCGCTCTTCGTTCTTCGGTTTCAAGAAGGAGAAGAAGGCCGACACCTCCGACAACGAGGCCACCACTGATGGTGAGAAGGAGGCCAAGAAGGCCAACAAGCTCGGCGGTCTCTTCCGCAAGCCCTCCAAGGCTGTGAAGCTCGACAAGGAGGGTGTTGCCGCTGCTGAGACTGAGGTCAAGCCCGAGCAGACTGAGGCTTCTACCGAGGTCGCTGCTGAGACTGTTGTTCCCGTTGAGGAGGCCACCAAGGCCACCGAGACCGCTACCGCCGAGGAGCCCAAGAACGTTGAGGTCCCCACCTCCACCCCTGTTCAGGCTGCTGCTTGAATTGCCTCCCCGGGACGTGTGGAATATGAGCGATGGTGGGACCTAACCACTGCATCGTCGCCTGCCCACAATATTTGACGGACTCGGTCGCTCCTTTGGAGCTCGAGTCTGGATCGTGCAAATACGGATTTATACCATTTTAGCTTCCAGCTGCTTGTTTTTGCTTTTGCCTCGACACTGTCACTCCTTTCGTCATCGTCATTTCTAGGCTTTGATCTGAGAGGGTGTCAATGAGATACCCGCTGCTCACTGTTCACTGTTTTCTTTGTTCTTTTGCTCCAAAAATCCACATAATCCTCGTGTCCCTGATTCTCTGAATCGCCGTTCGTTCTTCTTTTTTAACGACACGCGACCCGCAACCGACTTTCGAATTGCGACGTGCTTAATGCGTTACGTGGTGTGTTGCCCGACTAGATTGATACCACTCTGCCGTTTCTGGTTCTGCGTTTTGGCTTTCCTGTTCGATACCCTATGGGGAGGAAAGGTGATTTGCTTTGACGTGGCTAAGGCTATTCTTTATCTAATTATTTGGCCTGGTTGCTTTTCAAATTGTCCCCCTCTACAGTTGTCTACCGTTGTTCCCGTCTCGCGCGGTTTTCTTTCTCCACTGCGTCGTGGGTGCGGCACATACTGCGTTAGGTAATACTTAATAGAATCTTTTCTGTTTGCTTTTAAATATACACTCTCTTTGTTCCAGGTTCACACCTGTGTGGTTTGAGGCTTGTTAGATTTGTAGATACCTAGGTGTATAGTATTATAAGCCCCGGAGTCTTAAGAGTTCCCAGCAGGGTTTATTGAGGTCGAATGGGTCTCTCTGCATATGGTGGGCCGTTCAAACTGGATTCCCTGCATTAGCAGCTACCAGGTCTGTATGCAAGCAATACTCGGGATATCCACGGATCGGGATCCATCGAGATGCGTTGGTCTGGGGTGCATCTGGTTTCGACGGCGGGTCTTGCCGATCAGGATAAGGCACGCGCTGATGGGCACATTGTCTATGAGCACTAGCGTACCCGCGAAATTCTCGTCATCGGGAGCGCCCGCACATGACGATGTCATACCCAACCACTGATGGGAAGTAAAGATACCCGTGCACAGTTGGAGTATGGAAACACTTCTAATGCACTAAACCTGACTGGTAGTTGCTAAGTGTATGTAATGGGCCGGGTATCAAAAGGGTTGAAGACCCACACAGTGGGATCTCCTGCTATACTTTCACTCCGTAGGTATATCTCTAAAGCTCTACCATGTGTAGCCTGTGCTCTAATATAGCGACACAAATTTTAACTCCTTCAGAGCAGCACTCGGAGTTCGGAGTTAAAAACACATATTCCTGAAAGCCGTTTCGGATTTGCTGTCGGGACTCGGACCTACGAGGAATAAACCGGCACACTAACCTGCTTACTTCTTTTCAGACCACACATATCTCCCCTAGTCTTACCGGCGAGGTTCCGAAGACTGGCTTTCTTGGAACAGCAAATGATAATTGGAGCCTGCCAAGGCATCTAATTAGTTTAGTTCTAACCAGAACGCCACTTCGGGGACTGATCTGTAACGAGACTCCTGGAGGAAGGGCTCCAATGACCCATGGGATTGATTGGATGAACGGAGTACCTGGAATTAATAATCCAGATTTTGGTGGCTTGTCTCTTACATATTTGCCTAAATGCTGCACGTCTGATTGCAATGTCATCTAGGCGATGAACTGAAGATGAAAGTATACAATGGGAAATTTTTTTTTTCAATCACTCTGATTGAGACATTTCATGAATATTTTCAACGAGGAGAAGAAAAATATGAGCCCTAAGAAACGAATGGTGGGTGTAAAAAAAAACTCAATTTTCACGCCCTTCGGCAAGACTAGGATCAAAGTAGGTATTGAAGGGCACACGGGCCATGGGACACAGCCCACCGCGGGGACACAATTAGGAAAAGATCGGTGGGTCGGAGTACGAGAACAGTCTCCGACGGAGTAGAAATTCCGCTTGCAAGAAACTTTGGGACGTTAAGAGGTTCTGTTGTTGAGGCTATGGAGAATGCTGTTAACAATGTGATCTGTATTTCACATAAATGGTTACCTGGTCATTTGGAGCAGGGCCTGAAAAGGGGGTTGATCCGGCTGTGCGGATGCCTGGAACTTTAGATGAGCATACCGTCAGGACAGATTTACCGATATGATTGGTCAATGCCCGAAGGTGAGACGGGGGGGCGGAATACATCATCGATACTTTGGACTACGTAGTGGGATCCATAGTTAATGCATGTATCCTGTGGGTAACGAGGCTCTGGATGCGAGTAAGCAGCCAATCAGAGCCTTGTATTCAACTGTGACTCACACCCCGTGACTCTCAAGCCCCGTGCGGCTGATCTCCATGATTGGACAAGGAAGATCCACTTGATCCCACACTGTCAATTTGTCCGGTCATAAGAAGTGCCTGAGTCCCCCCATCGCTGCCTGCTTCTTTTCCTTTCCACCATTCTCTGTGTTCACACCCATACATTTTTTATCCACCTCCACCATTCTACATATACCTACAGAACATTTTGAATCTCCACAGATCCAAGATGAACTCCATCTAAGCGCCCCCCGAAAGAGCCAGTCTTTCCTCCCGACCGACAACATAACCGGAACACAATCCCCCATTTTTTCCTCTTCTTCAGACGTCTTAGGACCTCTGAACTTCAGTCGCGCACCGCGTAGCTCAAGTTCCCACACTTCTATACCTTCGATCGACGTTACGTCGTTCACCACGGATCAATTCCAGCAACCATGGCTTCCCTCGCCCCCGCCCACACAGCCCTTGGCTTCCAGTTCGAACAACAACAGCAACAACAACAACAGTGCACTAGAGGACTTTGTGCTCTATCCAGCCCCGCAGCCCCGTCCGCAGCCTCGATTCAGAGACTCGCGTTCGCTAGCCCCGAACACTGCCCTTAGGCCTTCTGCCCTCCAGCCCTTTCTGGCGCAGAATAACCCTCGACGACACTCTTTCAGTTTGCAGTTGCAACGCCATCTCCAGCAGCAGTTCCCTGGTTCTCCTGTTCAGGACCCCAGAGTGACCCAGCTTGCCCGGTCTCCTTCCTACTGGTCTCACCCCACCGTGAAGCACTCGCAGCCTTATTCGGCAACCGTGCCCACCAACTCCCCTCAACGTCCTCCCATCCCGCCGTTTCACGCCGGTAATATTCCACTCGAAAAAAGAAAACAGTACATGCAATATCGTCGCAACATGTCTACTCCCAACTTCCAAGGTAAATCTTTTGATTCCGCCGTTGCTTTGAACACAACCGCTCATACGATGTCCTCAGAACACGATACCGAGCTCTTCGGTCTTCCATCTGCCGGTGGCATGGGACCATTCACCTTTGACGAGCTCCTGGGTCAGGAGACCGGTGCGCTCTCTCCCGAGGCGCCTACCGGAACCATCTCCCCCCAGGACCTCATGTTTGACCACTCGATCCCGCCCTCGGGCACTTTCACCGACTTGAGCACTCCCCCTTCGACTCTCCGGGCACTTTCAGCCAAAACCCCTCTCCCCTCTTCACCGACGTGGAGTTCATGGGCAGTGACGATTGGACTCCTCTTTTCCATGACGGAGCTATCGGAAATTCGGCCGCATCTGGTCTCTTCAATGCGTCCGATTTCGCCTCCGCCATGGCTGAGCCCAAGAAGCAAATGCAGCCCTCCATCGAGATGTCGCCTGCTCCCCAGCCCCTTTCCTCTGGTGTCAAGTCTTCCCCTATGTCTGCGACTGGCACAACCAGACACTCCAGTGTTGCTGGCATCTCCCGTCAGCGCAAGGATCTGTCTCCGATTGAGTTTGACCCCAATGACCCGATCGCTACCAAGCGTGCTCGCAACACTGAGGCTGCCCGCAAGTCTCGTGCGAAGAAGCTGGCCCGTCAGGCCAGTGCTGAAACTCGCATCCAGGCTTTGGAGGATCAGTTGTCTGAGCGTGACGAGATGATTGCCAATCTGCAAGCGCAACTCGCCATTCTCAAGGCCAACCAGTGATCAACTTCCTGATTACTTGAACGACATGTTTCTTTGTTGCCTTTATCGTTTTGTTTTCGGATTTGCTTTCTTATTACCTGCTTAATGGTTCGGTGGCGCGGGGCATGGGTCAAGCCTGTTACCCCGACGTCTCACCCAGACACCAGCGCCTCGTCGTCGGTGTCTTCAAAAGTTCGTTTAGTCTGACGTGAGACGTCATGAATGTGTTTTCTGATACCTTGTTTTGAAATTCCTGCTTTGCTTTTCCTCTGTTCAGCCGGTTCTGATTGTCTCCCAAATGGGATTGACTCGTGGCTCTGTTTTCCCTACTTTAATATCCAAATTGATTTGATTTGTTGTATCATTGTTCATCCGTAATATAATTCCTGAACTTGACCGAACTTGACCTAAAATAAACTTCCATCAGATATACTTGGCAATTCATAATGTCTGTGGTACAGTTCTGGATGATGGTCAACATGTAGATCTACATCAACTCCAATCTCACATTCCAAGAGAACAAATCAGTCTCCGTCATGTCTATAGCCCTCCACTGCGGTGGATAGTTCAACTAAGTAACAAGTACAGCAATGTTCGAAATTGGCTTCCATGTTTCACTGACCACATCCCAGATCGCCAATGCCGCTAAATGTAGCCCGCGTTCTATCACCACTATGTGTGCGCGGCAATTTATGGCAATTCGGTAATACAAGAGTCCTTCCATTCCATCAGACCGACCTCTTAGTGTCACAACACCGATACTGGAGGCTCTCTGCGACCAGCTGCTGGCGAAGCCTAGCCTCTACCACGACGAGATAACCCTATTTACGATTAGTCTGACACATGCATAACGCCCTCTACAGCGCCATTGGGGAAGCGCCGATCTCAGAAATAGTCCAAGAGGGCATCTTGACAGGAAGCAAGAAAACAAAATGCTAATCTACAAGCTTGTATCTTGTCAAACCAGATTAGCAATGTAGGTCCATCCCATTCGGCTAGAAGGGGTTTCGCTCGGTATCATACATTACAGCTATTTATTGAAAAAACGAATTGACATCAAATCCTTTGGCCACTCCTATTACCCCCTTGCCGTGGTTTGTGGCTTTCACATTGTGAATCTCCTGGCGAACGTCTCCGTTATCATTGTCGAAATTAATAAGACCGACGAGAAGCCTTCCGCCGTCACTCATGTCGACATCTGTGATGTTTTGCTTCGCACGCACTTGACGAGCCTCCGCGAGCAGGCTTTCTAATAGCTTTCTAGAATCATCTAGTGCAGCACATTGATCTTGAAATTGCTCAATGACCTCGGCGCCGTCTTGATGATCGTTCAAGAGCTGCGCTTGTGTGACATACTGTAGGGTATTTCTCGCTTCAGCCAATTGTTCATCAATCTTGCTGATCTCCTGAGCGATCTCCGTTTCCTTGATATAGAGGTCTTCTTGCATTGCGTTGACGGTGGGGTACGATGTTGCGGTCGCGAGCCTGCAGAGCCAGTAAGCTCATGTCCAATGGTCAAGCTAAACACGTATGCGAAAAGGAGACATACAAGGTAGCAGTGCTGACTGCTATGTTCATGGTAGATTTATAGCGGTTAAGCTGCTCACATAAAGTCTCAACAGTTCGTTCAGCGAACAAGCCAACACGGACACGATCCCATGCATGCAGTTTTTCACCTGAGTGCTTCGTCCACCGTACTATCTTGTTGCGAAACTCGGTACAAGCTTTTGCGCAATGCGTGACAGTCAGCTGTAGCGCCGTCCTTGCATCAGGCGTGAGGTGTTCAAGCTGGGAATTCTTGTGTGGATTATCCAAAACCAAAAGAATGGCCTCCACAGCCACTAGTTCGTCTCTGAGACCAGCTATCACAACTGGTGCATCTCTGATGGCGTTGATCTCATGAATTAAAGCACTAATACTTTGTACCGCTGCTCCAACGATACCTAAGGTGCCGACGGTCAAGCTGAATGGATCCATCGTCGCAAAAGAGCGAGCAGAGGAGCCTCGCTTGAAAAATATTGCGTGCTTTTGGCACACTTATGCTCTGTTTCAAATGGCTGTCCAATGTGTGCTCTGAGCCGTAATTATAATTGTTGGATGAAATTTAGGGTAGGTTATGAGGAGACTGGGAAATTGGAAGGCCTATAATTAAACTGACGCTGATCGAGAGCGCATAAGGCTGTATCGGCCAATTATAACCGCTTGCGAATGGCATCAGATAAGAGCTGACCGGGTATAGCTAGGCGAAGTTCTAATTTTAGGCTCTACCCCGCCTGGCAGCGCATAGGACTGAACAAGTGGATCGCTCATCCCCAATTGGAAGACTACACGTTTGGAAAGGCAGCTTGCCCGACTGATCGACAACCAAAAAAGCGAGCGACAACACATGACTTTGTATTGGTGGATGAATACTCCTTCCAAACCCATGTATAAGTTCTTGGTGATTAGCCAACGCGGCAAGGTAGTTGAATCTCTCTTGTTTACTTCTTTAAAAAGTAGGTGTTTTTTGTCTGAGGCTGTTCTGATCCATCATGTCTGGCGATCATGATAGGATACCCAAGGATAGAGGAAGAAAGTCCAGAGACCCTATTACCCAGAACATTTCTGGAGTGAGCGCAGAATCAGGTGGAAAAGTCTTCGCTGGATATGTGGATAATAGTATCAACAGCGAATACTATGGTGGGACCCACTACCACTGGCATCCTGGTAAGTCTCTCCGGAAGAAGATTGACTGTCACATTAATCATGGAAACCTCTCAGACCCGACCGAGTCTCCTCCAAGCCCCTTATCGACTGTGCCGTTCCGGCATGATCCAGACTTTGTTAGCCGCGATGGACTCCTTGATCAGATCCACGAAAAGTCCTCGATCCCGGGATCTACACTAGTTCTTTATGGTATAGGGGGCGTTGGGTTAGGGCTATCTAATGCTAAGTGATCCGTCCAAGGCTGACATACAACAGAAAATCTCGACTCGCTATCGAATACTGCTATCGAGTTCAACATGAATCACCTAACACCTGGATTTTCTGGGTTCATGCGAGTAATGCGGCGCGCTGCGAGTTAAGTCTCCGCGAGCTAGCCGAGCGTGCTAAGATCCCTGGGCGCCAGAGCCGCCATGCCAATATATTCCAACTCTTTAGGGACTGGTTGCAAGATGGAAAGATCGGCAAATGGCTTCTTGTCCTTGATAATGTCGATGATGACGAACTCCTTCACAAACCACTAGCAAATGGTACAGGTGCCCAGGACGCCCAGGACCGTGCCCCGATGCAGCCACCGCTAAAGTACCTCCTTGAAGCTTCAAATGGCTCTATCATTGTTACGAGCCGGAATAAAGCAGTAGCATTGGAAATTGCTGGCTATAAGAAGTATCTAATCGACGTGCAACCAATGAATGAGGCCGAGGCCTTGGATCTAATGCAGTATAAGCTAGATTCAGGTGTAGAAAGAGCAGACTTAGTTCAGCTTGTGGAGGAACTTGAGTTTATGCCGCTAGCAATTGTGCAAGCGGCTAGCTACATCGTGCACTGTTCACCCCGTTGCTCGGCATCGCAATACCTTGAAAAGCTTCGGCATAGTGACCGTCAAGCCACGACGCTTCTAAGTCATGAAGGAATTCACATGGGCCGAGATTGGGAGGCAAAGAATTCCATTCTACTAACATGGCAAATATCGTTTGACCATATCCGACGAGTCAGGCAGTCTGCGGCTGACTTACTGTCTCTCATGAGCTTTTTCGACTGGCAGGGGATCCCTGAGGATCTTCTACGAATTCAATATACGGCAAAAAATCATGGAGTCCTAGGTTCTTCGGGGGTTGCGAACAAATCTAGTGGAGAGGACACGGAAAGTTCGTCTGAATATGACCAAGATGAAACTTTCGAGAGTGATATTACAACTCTCAGAGACTATTCCTTTGTTACTGCGAGTGAACACTATCCTATGTCGAGTGGACATGGAATGGTATTCACTATGCATCGGTTAGTGCAGCTCACAGCACGCACGTGGTTAAAAACATACGGCCAGGACGAAGAGTGGAAGGAACGATTCATTGATAGTCTTTATGCTGAATTTCCGACCGGTCAATATGAACACCGGGAGAGATGCCGGACACTATTTCCTCATGTTAAGTCAGCTATGTCACATCGACCGAAATCGCATGACTGTCTCCGAAGCTGGGCTGGGTTACTCTATAAGGGGGCGTGGTATGCGCAAGAATGTGGGAATCTCCCTGATTTGCGGGAAATGGCGTCCATGTCGAGAGAGCAGAGATTAAAGGTATTAGGGCTGGAAGACAAAGAAACACTTGATAGCACTATTATGCTAGCGGTAGCCTACCGACGTGAGGGGAATTGGAGAGAGGCGGAGCAGCTCTTTATACAGGTCTTGGAGACGAGGAAGTCGAAGCTCGGTGCCGACCATCTAGACACTTTAACGAGCATGGCCAATCTGGCGTTGACATTCTGGAACCAGGGCCGGTGGGAAGAGGCGGAGCAGCTCCTGAAGCAGGTTATGGAGACTCACAAGACAAAACTTGGCACTAGCCATCCCTCCACGCTGACGAGTATGTCTAATCTGGCGTCGACGTTCTGGAAGCAGGGTCGGTGGGAAGAGGCGGAGCAGCTCGAGTTGCAGGTCATGGAGACGAGCAAGGAGAAGCTCGGCGCCGACCATCCATCCACGCTGACGGTCATGGCCAATCTGGCGTCAACGTTCTGGAACCAAGGCCGCTTAGAAGAGGCGGAGAAGCTTGAGGTGCAGGTTATGGAGACGAGCAAGGCGAAGCTCGGCGCCGACCATCCCTCCACGCTGACGAGAATGGCCAATCTAGCGTCAACGTATAGGAATCAGGGCCGGCTGGAGGATGCGGAGCAGCTCGACGTGCAGATTATGGAGGCTAGCAAGACAAAGCTCGGCGCCGACCATCCAACCACGCTAACGATCATGGCCAATCTGGCGTCGACGTTCTGGAACCAAGGCCGCTTAGGAGAGGCAGAGAAGCTCGAGGTGCAGGTCATGGAGACCCGCAAGACGAAGCTCGGCGCCGACCATCCATCTACGCTGACTATCATGGCCAATCTAGCGTTGACGTTCAGGAACCAAGGCCGGTTAGAAGAGGCGGAGAAGCTCGAGGTGCAGGTCATGGAGGCTAGCAAGGCAAAGCTCGGCGCCGACCATCCAGACACGCTGACGAGTATGGCCAATTTGGCGTCAACTTTCTGGAAACAGGGCCGGTTGGAAGAGGCGGAGCAGCTCCTCATGCAGGTCATGGAGACGAGCAAGACGAAACTCGGCGCCGACCATCCTGACACGCTAGAAAGCATGAATAACCTAGCTTATGCTCTTTGGTCAACAGATCAAGAGAAAGCCGCTCTACCGCTGATGGCGGAATGCGCTCGACTGTGCGAGCAAAAATTAGGGCCTGATCATCCGAACACCATGTCTTCTAAGTCTACTCTGAATGAGTGGCGTGGGAAGGCTCATCCCACATCTTCATCCTCTCAGCTCACTAAAGCACCTACTGAAAGCAAAGTGGACCAGATTCTGTCTACTGAAGTCTCTAAGCGAGTGCCCAGGCCCGGCGGACACCATAGGCGCACAATCCGCCAACGCCTCTTCGGCAGAAAGTAGCACGTCACTCTCTACCTAATTGAGGACGGACCCTTGAATATTGGTCAACGGCACCGCCCTGTCAAAAGCTTTTCTCTTTTTCCTCTCAAAACCACGCACAACATGTCTGCAAAACCCGAAGAATGTATCACAGAAGCCCTAGCTAGTATATCCGGCAAGAAAACCCCAACTTTCTAGCTCTGTCACGGAAATACGGCCTGAGTTACAACACACTCATTCACCTTACTGCCCCGGTGTGACCATGGCTCCAATCGTGATTGCGCCCATTACAAGAAGTAATAGCGTAGCACCAAGGTCTGACGCCTTGATAATATGCATAGGTGCCGAGCTAGATCCAGCTCATGAACAAAACCAGTGCATCTATACTAGGAAACAACATGACAAGCTTAGAGAGAGGTGGGGAACATTTGAAGGGCGGGGATTTGAAAAAAGGAAAAGACCAGGACCTTGGAGGCCTGAAGACATAGGTATAGCTTCTGGAAATTTGGTCCGAGCAAACGGTATCTGTTGGGTAAACCCGTGGACAGCTAATCTCTGGAAATAGAATTCTTCAGATTCCTTGGGCATTCATAACCGGGATATACTACGCCGCTAAGGGAACCACCTAGGAAGCCCTCTGTATATGGTGAATTTAAGAATTATTGCCGATCAGATTAAAGGAGCGTACAGGTGACTCATGACAGCCAAAAAATTGTAAAAAGAATCCATAAATAAAGAAAATAAAGTGAGGGGGTATCCAAAGTGGTGCATCAAAAGCTCATTCATATATATAGGTCCACTCCATCCCAGATAAACCAGGATGAAAAGGGACCTTCGTCGAAGACAAACAGTGAAACATACACGCGCCCGACTTAATCAGTCCGATCGTGCTCGCATTCAAAATTAAAGTTCCATCCAGCTCAAAAACAAGTTAGACGTCCATGCCAGGCTTCAAAGTCTCGAAGGACTCGATTGAAGTCCGACGATCCTTGATGAACTTGGGCCATGTGTTGGTGAGCACAAGGTACTTGATGCTCTTCTCGGCGTCATCAAAGACAGTTGCGCAGAATTCCTCGGGAATCTGGCCCCAGTACTGAACCCGGTCCTTGATCTCAGTCGAGGTAGGCTTCAGCCCCTTCTCAGATGAGTCGGTCAAGGCGGGTGACGGGAGGTCAAAAGTGAACTTGTCAAAGGGGCTGACGGGGTTAGTCTCGCGCTCATCGCCGTAAAGGAGGCGAGTGGGCTTCTCGAAGATGTGATCGAGGTTGGTCAGATCTTGCGAGGAGATGTTTAAGGGGAACTCGGCGTGGCGGACGCTGATGAACTTGGCGTAGAGGTGCAGGGCGCAGTTGAAGGATTCACGGACCGCTGCCTTTGAGGGACCATCGCAAGTTCCATCCTTCAAAATTGCGGGGAGAGATTTCTTCCACTCGGCAACTCCGGTGAGGAAAGCAATGTTCTCACCGGAGAATTCTCGGAGGGCAGAGAACTCCTGCAGGGGGGTTGGGTTGCGCTCCAGGACGTGCTCGAGGGCGTGCATGGTCATGATACTGTCGCGGGAGCCATTGGACTGGATAGAGTCGTTTGTGGATTTCCAGCCAGACATGAAAGATTCGACCATGGTAGACGCGGAGTTCAAGGACTTCTCTTCGGAGCCAGAGGACTTGACCTTGAGCTCCCATCGAGCGATGGAGTCAAGGGTCTCCTTGCGAAGGGACTGGGATCGGAAAACCTCATAGCAGGGAACGAAGATAGTGAAGATCTCCATGAACCAGATGGACAAGCAAATCCTGGAGTCACGTTAGGAAAATACCTTTTGAAGATTTATCGAGATTTATCGGAATGAATGCTTACCACTGAGGAGGAATCCAGACAGCATTGACGGGAGCCATAGCCGGGACGTAGAGACCAATTAACCACATCGGTGTTGCATGGAGACTAGAATACGTCAGTGACTGGTCTGATTCTAGATTTATCAAAAGAGAACTTACTTGGCAAGAGCACAGCCAATTGTCTGTGTTCGCCAGCCCTGGGTGTCATTGATGTTGCGAGACTTCCAGAGAACGATCGGGGCGATAACCCAGGCCCAGAGCAACTGGTAAGCAACACCAGGCCACCACTCCCATCCACTGCCTTGGGCGGTCTTTTGTGCCATAGCAGAACCGTGAACTTCGGTGCCGGGAATACCCCAAGAGCTGTGGAATTTGCGAGAAATAACCCACATAAGGATCGTGAGGAAGATTTGAACAAACATGCCGACACCAACAATAATAAAGACCTTGGTGTTGTATTTGAGAGCGCGGAAACGGTTGATCAGGCCCTTGGGGGATCCCTCAGGCTTGACTTCAAAGAGATTATGGCCATATTGGGCATATTTCTTCTGGAGCTTTGCCACGTGAAGGAAGCGAGCGTTTGATGCATGGAACAGAGAGAGACCTAGTCAAAAAGGTAAGTATGACAACTTGCAAAGAAACTTTGGAGATAAAAGTACCTAAGGGAAGAAAAGTTCCCATGATCCAGTACTGTGAGTCTCCGGGCATGATTGCACCGATCATGACTCCGAATTGGCAGGATGCCCAGTATAAATGAAGAAGACCGATAGCGGAAAGTGATAGACCGAGGCCACGGATACGGAGAGTTGGTGCATTACGATTGATGATCAGGTAGGTCGCACCGGACACGACGGCGAGAGTCCAGACAGCTGCCCAGGTAGCCCACCAGATACTCACAGGTGAGAGATCGATAAGCTCCGCTGTGCTAGCGGTGATTCCAAGTTCCGAACCCATGACGGGAAAAATCTAAGTGCTCAAGGAAAGTGATGAAGTTGGAGAGCCTTAGATCCTTTCCAAGATCCCGGGACCATGAAGGATCCTTATACCCACGATCATATGCAGCTAAGTAGAGGACTCGCACGAGTTCAGGATTCACAGCTGCGGGAAGTGGAACTGGGCTCCACCAGTCGTTGGCCAGTCGTTGGCTCTAGCTCCACGTGTAGCTAGGCTGCCCCTGCTGATCGTTACCCACAACAGAGCTGGACCGGTGGCTGTCTGGGTTGCCTCAAGTATTTGTCACGCTTCGCGATCTCTCATTCGTCGATCGTATCATAGTTCCCACTCGATCGGGGACCCGAAATGACGATTAAATTGCTCTTGATCGTGGGAGAAAAAAAAACCCGAAGATCTATTGCATCGATCGACAACACTATTGATTCCCAGAAAAGTTTTTCCCCTCCACTTATCTTTAAAAGATGGCATTTGGCAGGATTCAGACCCATGTCTTTAATTCCTTGCCGTCACCCTGTTTTCGGTGGTATCCACGGCATTTGGCGGGGTTTGCATTTGCATTCAATAGACCGGTGGGCAACCTAATTTCCAGCCAAAGGGAAAGTCAAGGGCGAGTCAATGGCAAGCCCACAGGCATACGCTGGCACTGCAGACCTAGATCCTGTGCATTGAGGTATTTCCCCTCAGCTAGGCGAGATTAGCGTTGGGTACAATCCTTGTTCACAGAGATTACGGCTTAGACATGACTCGTTGCTCCAGTGGGTCCTGCTTACTGCTGATCGTCCAAGGCGGTTGGAAAGATATGGGCTAATGCGGCAGACACGGTAGCTGTCAGCTGTGCCAGAAACATGTGGCTGATTTCCTCCCGAGGTCCAATCCAGGCTCTTGGAGAGCAATAATCCACAATGCCCGGTTTTTGGGATATTGGACGGGCATCTTCAGAGCTTGACTGGGCTTGACTCCCAAGGTCTGTGGATCCAGCCCTTTTATTTCTCCACTTTTAGCAGGCGTTATGCATTGCCACGCGTATGTCGCTTTAAAATTAGCCGTGGGGAAATGTCAAAGATGAGCTGCAGGTGCAATATGACTGACATGAAAGAAGGCTTTCTACAGTAGTTTAAGATAGCAGGTGAAAGCACTTTACTTCGGGATATTGACTTCGGATTACGTATCTCCTTTGATCCTTCGGGCAGGATCCGGGGAATCTAACGAAAAAGGCAAGTTCATCCCTCGAGACAATTCAGTGGAAGATCCCACGGTACCGAAGATCATTGGGATATCAAGTCGCAACAGAGTTTACATACCGGTTTTTCTTTAATGGGTGGAGTCCCCTGCGAATCTAGTTGAATACCTACTCCGTCTGTCCGAAGACTTTCACGATCGCAACTGCAGAACGGTTTCTCGTGGCTACTAGCTAAGCACTGTCTCTTTGAATGAGGGCCACCGATCTGCCCTATATCCATGGATATTCGCTATGGATGAAGGAAACTTAACACGCTCAAACAGTAGCTAGAGCAGATATTCAAACATTGCAAACCACTTTATCGCTGGGCTGCTTCTCAATAGGATGAATACATGGGGCAGTGCACCTCGAGTACAATATGACGAGGCGATTCTGAATCGTATCCATCTTACCATAAAATATGATCTGATATGAGACGGTGATTCGGAAAGATCAATAATCGACTTGGCCACATATGGCTTAGAGTCCTACTAGCGTTAAACTTAAAGAGTCGCATGGGCTGGTCAAGTCTCCTTTGGGTAGGCGCGGATTTAATTTTGAGCAAAAAAGCCCTGTCATTGTGCTACTCGCAACCAATAAACCAAGAGCCTCAGTGGAGCTAGAACCTGGAAGACAAATCTGGCTGAGACAGTCGAAAAATAAACAGACTTAGATTCCTTATCCCAATTTCGGATCTGGTACAATGAGTGGGGAAGAACGCTTTCATGGGTAGTGGAGAAATTCATCATGCAGGATGCAACTATTGATATAGGAGGATAACGGCTTTTTCATACACGGAAAAGTTTTAACGTCTTATCTTCACATTTCAAAGTAGTCTAGTGTGACCGAGTAAATGCCTGGGCATGCATGTGCTCAATAATGTTACTCTGGATCTCGATTACTGCGCCTTACCCAAAAACGTTAACGTGATAGTCGATTTTTTCTGGTGGGTGGGGTACTTTAATGGAAGCACTCCTATATTCGTGCCGCCATCGCCAAACCCTCAGTAATACCATATCAGTAGTATCGATACCCAGAGATCAGCTAAGTGGTGCGGTATGACAATGACGTGGAACCATTCATTGGTAAATCTTGGATATGTCAATCCAGTAGAAGTTCACTGGATCTGATTACATGACTTTTTCTCGGTCCGAATTCACCACTCGAACACTTTCTATCAGGGTTCTGGACTGGTCCTCCAACAAAAGTGCCAAGAGTGGTGGGACTGATACGAAAAGGGAAGTAGAAATTCATTGGAAAAAAATCCGATACGGGTCTACAGTTACGTTTGCCTCGAATTGAAATCCAACCCAGCTCAGACTTGCCTTTTGAGCCTTCATAAACCACATCTCTCTTCTCAAATCATCCACACCCATTCCCTGTCACTCACCCCGTCACAGCAAGGTAGAAATCCACGTGCCTTCTTATCTCGATCTCGAGCCCCACGCCGTCAAAAGAGACTGCTGGTGCTGAGATGAAGGTTAGAAGGGCGCAGACAGTCAGTCCTCGAAGTTGCAGGGTGGGAATTTCATCCAGTACAGAGGACGGAAGGTAGTAGACAGAATGAGATAGATGCGTTTTCAGAAGTATCTGATTCCATAGTTTGTCATCATCGCTGGGGCCTTATTATCACGTCGCGTAATAGGGTTCGTTTTTCGGGAATAGGGAAGTATTAGTAGGGGGAACAATAAAGGAAAAGTGGACAGAACAGAAGCCTCAGGATTGATTGTGGGTATGATTCAGCTGAGAGCATCAGTACCTTTTGTCCGACCTTTCTCCATTTTCGCGGTGCGAGCACCAAACTGAATGGCGCGCTTCTTCTCACGTGCAACATTGCGCAAGCCGAGTCGAAGTGCAACAAGTCGAAGGGCCATTTTCTCCGCATCAATACCTGCTAATGATTCACCTGTGATGTGATTTTCACCTGTACTCGCGAGGCCAAACCCACATTTCACCCACACTGGGGCACGAAGTACCCATGCAACAAAATCTTCGTCAAGGTAAGGGAAGCGGGTTTCTCGTCCCCAGTGGGAGAGGATACGGTCATCGCGGCCTAGATTTCTTTGCCCAAGGCGGCTAACGTCCAGGTGAATTTCGGACACTAGTCCCTCAAATCCACTGCGATTAAATGCGACGCCGTGTCGGCCGTAGCCTGCAAATAGCTCGTCGGCGCCTAAGCCGGATAGCAAAACTCGCGCAGAACTGGCATAGGTATTTTCATTGGTGTTAGTGGGGGGTTCTGTTCAGTCTGGCTGTCATGGATTGAGCCTTGACCTCGTGAGGCGAAGTATAGCGCACATGCAATGGACAAGTCCATTTCTGTGTTATGTGGTCTCATGAGACGCTTCACAGTATCTCGGTGTGCGAGGGTTTCAGTATAAGGTACGTCAATAGCAATGAATCGCCACTTGCGACCTGGGCATGTTTCCTGTAGCTCATTGTAGGCCGAGCGGCCGGTTATTCGGTCGGGGCAAGCTTCATATGTTGAACCTGGGAGTGACGGGGGAAGATTCTGCCTGTTTGAAGACGCGGCAGCCGCTGCTGCCACTCGAGGGTTCTCAAATGCGACATTCAAAAGGTCGATTGGATCCTCAATAGGGAGAATGTCATGAGAAAGTCGTGCAAGAAGCGTACAGTCTAGGCCACCCGAAAAAAGTACAGCCACTTTGGCACTTTGCCCTTGAATGTAACCAGGTGGCTCTGGCACGTCATCAATTCTCAATGCAAGTGATTGGCAAAGTTTGGATTCAAGCTCCTGAACGAATGGAGTATCCATTGTCAAGGAAGGTGGCTGCTCTGATGGGATCTCCATATTCATTGGCGGGATGGGATTCTTCTGTGGGGCAGTGTAAGTTAGTGAATCTTATTGTTCAAGAGAGGAGAAATGACTTACAATATGGCCTTCTGGTGTTATGGCGTCTGAGCTCCATGGCAAAGTCTCAATCTGATATCGATTCTTAGAGGCGGACAGATCATAAGACCTTGCAAGATCAATCATGTAGATCCCCTCGAATCCGACTTCCTCAAAATGCACCGGTGATGATCCATCACACAGACTGCATATCTTCAGAGTCCCATCTTCCTCATATCCTTGCAGGAGAGATCTTCGGCCGAGGCAGTCTCTGCTAAAGAAGAGTCGTGAATTCGTCGCATCATAGAAGACAAATGCAAATGGCCCGGATATGCTTGCAACGGCCTCACCCAGTCTATGAGCGGCACCATTGCGATCGCCAGCGACAGCTCGCAGAAATAGACTCAAGATGTGCTCGGTATCATTCCCCGAGACTCTCTCCCCAGCGATCTTCCAAGCCTCCCCATTCCAGCAGAGCACTGACTGAGTAGCTTTATCAATGAGCGGCTGCTTGTACACATGATCTCCTCTCAGTGCCAGCACCGTTGAGATAAAGGTGAGGTGGAAACTTTGGGGTCCTTCATCTGGTGTTGAGATCTCCTTGTGCAGAGTGTGTGTTTGGCAGCAGTCGGGCCCTCGCTTTTCCAGTAAAGAACGCGTCTCTGGGGTCGGTGATATGGGTGCGGCAGATAAAGAGAAGAAAATGCCACACATAGTGGAAATTGACACGAGTCGCACTACCAGTCGCGACACTGACTTCTATTTGGGATATTTGATCTATTGTGGCCTAAGGCATAAACATAATTATTAGTCAGCCCAACGCTGATCCGCCCTATGCGAGCCTCAAGACAAGTCGTGAAACTCCTAGACTAGATATTGCGTGGCCTGCATGCTGGATATAGCTCATGTCGGCCACAGAATCCTCGCCTCTCCCGGGACACGGGCAGAGCAACGACCACCCCGCCCAAGAGATCTCCGAAGCTATCGAAAACCCCACGTCAACAGCTGACCTCCCCACGGCCCAGAATGATACATCGAACTTGAACATACCACAAATCGAGATGAACACAGAGGCAGAAGCGGGACCGCAAATCAATCTTGAAGAGCATGGTGCTTCTCAAGTATCCGATGTAGCTTCGCAGCAGCCATCGTCCACCCCGTCACAGCCGGACCCGCTTGAGGGGCAAATGGGTGAGCTATCAATATCAGAAACAAGCACACCGGTGCCTCGACAGTCTACAGAACTGCATACGCCCCCTGCGCCCCCACCACCCGAGAAAGACGATACGTACCTGAATTCGGTGTCAACCCAAGTCGCACCTCCGCCGACAAGCGAACAGAGCTCTGGTCCAAGCTCTGAAAAGGAACTGCCGGAAGTGCCTGGAGATAGCGACCCCGAGTCCAAACAAATTGCAAAGGCCGACAAGCTGCGAGATGAAAATGACTCTCAACCGGAGATCCAAAGCATTATGGGCCAGTTTCAGGACCCGGCGCGGACTACCGATCAAGACCAAATTATGTCGCCTCGGCTGGGGCTGGCTACCCCGAACTACTACCCGCCCCGAAGATCAAGCTTGGATCATATTCAACCCCCCGTATCTGGGTCTTCCACTGTTTCGCCTCAAGTGAATCATGCATCTTCACCTACCGCCACATATTCTCGTGGGTCGATCGGCCCAGATGACCCGATGTTGACCCGGCGATCATCAACTTCGACAATCCCCTTACCAGAACCCGAACCAGCCCAGCCGTTCGACTTTCACCGATTCTTAGAACAGTTACGACACCGCACCGCTGACCCCGTCGCCAAGTTCCTACGCTCTTTTCTCATGGAATTTGGAAAGAAACAGTGGATGGTCCATGAGCAGGTCAAGATCATCAGTGATTTTCTGGCCTTCATTACGAATAAAATGGCAATTTGCGAGGTTTGGAGAGATGTCTCAGATAGTGAGTTCGATAATGCCAAGGAAGGAATGGAGAAGCTTGTCATGAACCGCCTCTATTCTCAAACATTTGCACCGGCCATCCCAGCTCCTCCCACAATTCCCCGGAGTGCAAGTCGCAGCCGGCGGAGAGAGATTGAGAGGCTACATGGGCCATGGAGGCGAGGACAACATCAGGAGGATATCGAGCGGGACGATATCTTGGCCCAGAAAATTCGCATCTACAGCTGGGTCAAAGAAGAACATCTGGATATTCCTCCTGTGAGCGGTGGCGGACGTCGTTTCCTGAACCTGGCGCAACAAGGTATGCCAATGTCATTTATCAAATGTGTGGTTGATCTCTAACAGGTCTTTAGAATTATTGAAGCTAAATGGCTACCGTGCTCCTCGTGATAAGGTTATCTGCATCTTGAATTGCTGCAAGGTGATTTTTGGTCTTTTGCGGAATAGCAAAAAAGCCGATACCTCCGCAGACTCTTTTGTTCCACTTCTGATCTATGTGGTATTACATGCAAACCCCGATCACCTTGTCTCCAATATCCAATACATCCTGCGTTTCCGCAATCAGGACAAGCTCGGTGGCGAGGCAGGCTACTATCTATCCTCGCTGGTGAGTTTCGAGATCCCAAGATCCAAAAATTCGCTTACTGACGTCCACGTTTAGTCTGGAGCTATCCAGTTCATCGAGACCTTAGATCGAACCAGCATCACTGTTAGCGACGAAGAATTTGAGCGTAATGTTGAGGCTGCCGTCTCTGCAATCGCCGAACAGAATCGCGAAACAGAACCCTTGGATGAGAAACCTCCTAGCCGATCCATTACCCCAGGTGCCTCCACGCAACCGCAATCAGGGCCAAGCCGCAAAGACGCCTCACAGTCAAGCGACGACGAGACCTCAGCTCCCGTTGCGGGCCTCTTGCGTACCATCCAAAAACCTCTTTCTACTATTGGTCGCATTTTCTCCGATGATCCCGACAGTAACTCTTCACAAGATCGTCCTCTTCATCCTGCTGTAACTCCTCAACCGGCGCCCCCTCGTCTGAACCCTAATGTCTACCAACCCCCACGATCTAGCAGCGAGGGCAGATACTCAGGTGAAGAACGTGGACCCTCTCGTGAGGGGAGTGCCAAGAAAAATCTGAGCCGTGTCCTAGATGCCCAAGATGCAGCCGCTCGTCAGGCCAGTGCGGAAGATGCGGAGGCACGGCGAATTCAGCGTGCTGAGCATAACAATGTTGTCGAGACATTATCGAACATGTTCCCCAATCTAGACCGCGACGTAATCGACGACGTGGTCAAGATGAAGGAAGGGCGGTGAGTAATTTTGAACTCTGCAGTTATCTCCTATCGATCTCCCAACTAATGTTTTGACAGGGTTGGCCTTGCCGTCGACGCATGTCTCGCTTTAAGCGCAGAGTAGTATATAAGAAGCCGTGTTGCACTTGCTGCCGATCTCTGAACTTGATACCAAATGCCTAATGGCGGGGCTTCATTCTTTCATTTAATTATTTGTGTTGACACTGAGTTGCTTTTAGCGCGGTGATCCTGGGAAAGAGGGACTTGACATGAATTTCGGTTTCACCATCCTTGCATGAGTACATTGGGAACCCCGTATCTAGATTATTTTCTAAATGTCTTCTATGTATCTCTACCTGCCGGACAAGTTGGACCACAGTCCAGCAACAAACATAATGCCTCATGACCCACAACATTCAGAGTATGACCCTGCCTAGTCAGGGAACTAGTTTATCGTTTCAAGTAAGCAACTTCATTATAAAGCATCTCCATGAATACTGGCGTGGACCCGTACCTGGGCTGAGCTGCAAGTTTCGCCTGTTTCATAGACAGATGGGATTGAGCTTTTCAGCGTCGTAATTCTGCCTTCATAAGCGAAGAGATGCGAAGTGTACACATCACATTAATGTCGAGTTTTGTGAAGTGTGACGCACTTCCGGGCGCGTCGCGACGCGGGATCTGATTAGTGTCTGATGTCACCTGTAAACAAATCCACCTTCAAAGCAGCAATACCCCCTGATCACTTGGCTTTCGCAATTATTCTATCCTACATCTTTGTTGACAACAAAAATGCCTCCCAAGCGTCAGTCAACTGAGAATTCTGGCAGCGCCGCCAAAAAGGCCAAGACGGTCGACCCGTCCGACCCTCCCCGGAACAAGCGCTGGTCCAAGGTTTCTGGCTCCGGCAATGCAGACGATGGGTACAACCATCAGATCAGAAAGCCCGAGGCCTATGACTACATTTGCCTGTGCAAGCCGTTCCACCGTTGGGGCTCCGACGGCGATGACGAGGAAGATGAAGACGAAGACGATGAGGATGAAGATGAGGACAATGCAGAGAAGGTTAGTCGAGAGGATCCGTCGAAATCCTCTCTGGTCTTGGCTCTAACAAAGACCGCCACAGGAGAAAGAGGCCCCTTGCGACATTGGCAAGACTTGCGTTTGCTTCAAGCCCGCTGCGGAACATCCCGAGCACCCCTGGGTCATCACTAACGCAGCCACGTGGAAGCTGAGAACGCTGAACATTATGATCTCCATGCGTGACCCGGACGCATTCGGGATGTACACATACAATGACCACTTTGGTTACGGTATTCTTGAGATGTTGCAGAATCTCATTCTTGATTTTGAAGAGGCAAAGACCTGGAAGGAGAAGTGGGCTATCTGCGAGGGCACAGCCTTGTTCTTCGCAAGGGGTAACGCCGATCCCTTGTGGATGTAAGTTCTCTCTATTCAATGTTTGTCCCTGATACTAACATTATTCAGGGTCGATGACGGCGAGGGCGTTGAAGCTGTCATCAGTTTGATTGGAACCATGTTCGTCACGACGCTGGCCATGCTGGATCGTGAAGGTCTCTTAAAGCCCGATTCGGAAGCGAAGAGCTTAGGTGCAGTCATGGCGGCATTCATCCGTGTCATTGCCGAAGTAAGCCCGGATTACGGTATCGAAGCTGGCAGTCTCAACGCAAAGGTGCTTGCCTACGCCAAGAAGCACAATATTGAACTCAAGGCGCTGTCCGACATCAAGGACAAGGACCACTTCAAGAATTATAAAGATGAGGCTGATAAGCTCGAGCTTCCTGCGTCTGACGATAAGAAGGGTGATCCCTGGGGCTGGAAGAAAGCCTTGACGGAGTACAAGAAACTCTACGGGCCTAAAATCGGAGGCGATAAACTTGATATTTCGACCTGGACTTCTGCCGAGCGAAAGAAAGCCGCTTTTGATAAGAAAGATCCTTTTGACAAGGAGATGATTGCTGCGATCAAGGATGGTATGATCATGCAACCTGCTTAGGGGCATCACCTGGGCATCAGGCAGTTTCGGATTACCGTTCCAAGTATCGATACGATCCATGGAAAACTACATATTTCCTTTTGTATATTATTTACTGTTTCCTGCCATTTTCTTAGATTGAATCTGTATTTATACTCAGCCTTAAGATTGTAACTGGACACAGTGGGCCTGTGAATGATGCGCTCAAATCTTGTTTTGCTTGCCTGCCAGGGAGGTTCGTAGTATGGAATAAAGAACGAATGTGAGAGGAACCAGGAGTTTAGGAAGTACCACAGCCGCCGCAGAATGTCTGATAGCTTTCCTCATTGCTTGAAAGAATATAAGAGATATTGAGCGAGAAATGGTAGGCAAAAAAGGAAGAAGAAAAAAAGAAACGACAGTAGTGCGGTTCGAACGCACGCCTCCGAGGAGATTAGATTTCTTCGAAAATGAATTTCGTTCAAGTCTAACGTCTTAGACCACTCGACCATACTGCCTTAGTAATAAAGACGTCCGATTTTACTATCTATCAAGCAAGCTTGTATTTTCCAAATAGTATCCAAAGAGTATCACTTTGAATTGGACGACTGACAGTGCTAGGAGGTGTAAAATAATGTCTCGGCGTCAAAATGTGAGCGGTCAAGGAGCTACATGCTGCTTGTGCTAGGTAAGACTACGGCGACTCACTAGCAGTCATGTTACACAGCGTGGACACACAGCTCTGCTCGTCCTAGTGCTAGGATTCATCCGCCATAATTATTGAATAGGACTAATCCGTCCCTTCCCATTCATGAGGTAACGTGAATCTAGAAATTATGCCCATTCACTATGACAAGTATAGCCACTCCATATGAATTCCCAACAGGGTCATTACCCAATTATCGCATTCTTGATATGAAAAGAAATGGGGTCGGCCATCATCGTCAACTTTCTAATCACGTCGATTCTACTCTGAGAACTTCCAAATGCTTACTGAATTTCTCTTCACTTCCCTTTTGAGATATAAGGACTATTATATCAAGGACAATGTGAATCGCCTGTAAGATTATATACGATTGCGGCGTAATGAATTCAAAGAAAAACATTGTTTGGGTCATATACAGAAGATTAGCTTATCTCATTTAAACCTGTCAGTATGGCCGAGTGGTTAAGGCGCTAGACTGTTCGTAACCCCGTGACCTGACTTCCCATAAATCATTACTAATCCCATACCAGTGAATTCCCATATTCGCCATCTAGTTCTTTCGAGATCCTAGGTTCGAACCCTAGTGCTGACGTGCTATCTTTTTTTTTCTATGGTTTTTTTTGAAGGTTGCATCTCTTTTTGGACCCTCATCTTGCCTGATAGTGTATCTGTATATCTCAAGGATTTATGCAGGGCAATTTTAATTGAAAGTGACTGTTATATACCTCGTGCATTCTAAACCGCACTAAAAATCCCATCAATGAAGACCAGAGCTTTGCCATAAGCTTCCATCGAATCGGCAATCACCTTGTCACCACCGGGAATTTCTGCTCCGGCCATCTTTCTCATCATCACAGCTCCCTCCAAGCCATGCGGCCCATTCTCCACAAGATACAGCTGCGATGAAACTCCCAGCTTGCTTAGTTGCTCATGTTGGTAAACACTCTCTTCAGGAGAAACAACCTCATCACTCTTGCCGTGTACAAACACCGAGGGTGGGTAATCAGCCGTAACAAACTGCTGCAGCATACCGGGCTTCAGATCCTCTGGAACAGCCTCGAACCGCTTCTCGTACTCCAGAGCATCCAGTGACTTGCCCAGTCCCGGCCTCTGGAAAACACCATCAAGGAATGTGCCCTTAATCTCCCAGTCGATTGTCATCGCAAAACGCTTCGACATGCCTCCCTCAATGTAATCGTCACTGACAACTGTCTTATCCGCCAACAAGGCGGGAACGCCGCTCAGATCGAAGAATTTCGCGAGCGAGGTCGGTGGTCGCGCGCCTGTCCAGTGATCCAGAAGCATATTACCGCCCAATCCGTAGACAGAAAGGAGAGCTGCTGGCTTGGGTGTTGCGTAGAGACAAGCTGCGCGAGCAGAGTAGGCACCAGCAGAGAAACCAGTCACAGCGATGCGAGCTGTGTCAAGTGATACAGATTCTGGAAGCTCGCCGGCGAACTGCGATCCTGCAATATAGCTCAAAAGAGCCTTTGCATCATCAATCTGGTCAATTGCGTTGGTGGGGTGGCAGAGACGGTAGTCTGCTGAGATGAGAATGTAGCCCTTTTCTTGGCAGTGGTCTAGCGGGTTATTAGCTTTCTATCTGGCCATTGAAGGTAATTGCTGTATTCACGTACCGTACATCCAGTGCGGGAAGCCACGGCCTCGGCGTGAACCGGCGGACATGCCACCGCCGTGATAGTAGATCATTGCGGGCAGGCTACCCGTGGTGCGGGGGAGGTAATAGTCCAACTTGACTTCATGGTTGTCAACGGTGGAGTAGACCACGGTGTGGCCTCCTTCTGGGAGTTGAGGTGGCATCTTCAATTTTTGAATTCAATACAGATTTAGGATTGTGAGTCAAATAAAGTTGTCTTAATCAAGGAGCCCGAACGGTTTACGTTTCCCTAAGGGGATAAAGTCATTGCCGATCAAGTGGAGCTGTGACGACCGACTTTATTAAGCTAGAGTACTTCAAAAACATATGAGGTATGAATCTAATATATCAATGTACTAGATTTAAGGTGACCGCATCAATCCAAAGCTTGACTTAATTGAGCCCAGTCTCCGTAACCATATGCTCCGGGGACACTGGGGCCATCGAACAAGCTTGCCAAAACCACTCGATCAGCCTGCTCACCTTCCCAAGGCTCTCGTCCATGCTGCGCAATAATATTATCAAAAACAAGCACATCACCATCTTGCCACTGATGCAAGACCCTCACTTCATCGGTAATTTTCACAAGATGTGCCAAGTACTTCTCCGGGATAATAGTCCCATCACCATATAGCTGCTGAGTAACATTCTTGCGAGCTTCGAGATCAAGCTGCGACCTCTTCCAATACGCTGCCAATCCAGTAAAAAGAGTCGGTAGATTTGTTCCAGGCTGAGTCCTGATGCAGGGCAGCCGATGCGTCAGAACCAGTCCATCATCCACCCACTCCCACGTCGTATGCTTGCCCCGTCCATACCGCGCAATCTGAGCCTCAATTTTCCGTCTTCTGGTCCCTTCATCATCGCCTTCGACAATGTCTTTACCAAATGCCTGAAGAAGCGTGGACCCACCCTCGTATTGTTTTTCGTTTTTGTACACCACTCGGCTTAGAATACCCTTCTCGGCTAGCTCGGTGATAAACTCGGGGATTTCGCGCTGCGCGCGATTGAAGATCTCCAGCGATGATGACATGGGCGATTGGCCACCTTTTGTTGGGGCATGGTGGCAGTAGAAAAATATGTATTCGGGAGCGTGTGGTACTTGCGGGGACTCGTTGTGGTTGTAGATGAGGACTTCTTTGGGTGACTCGTTGGCGGGTGCGATGTTAGGCGCAAGTAAGGGTCTGTTGACGACTATTCCGATGATTTCATGAGGTCGGTAGCCGAATGCGTGAGCAAATTTGCTGAAATCTTCTGCGTTGTGGATGGGGAGTCCGCGGAAGAGTAGGGTGCCATGCAGGGCAAGCTTTTTGGTAAATGTGTCATCTTCTTGCTGCACTCTCTTGATTGTCCCTACTACCTCACTCAGACTGGAGGTTGTGTTGTCTTGTGTCAGTTGGAGGGCGAGTGGAATCACTGTGTTTGCTGGGTGGGGTGGCCCTAGCACACGTTGATTTGAGGATGGTAGCTCAAAAGGCTCAAACGATACCACTGGTGAGATCGCATTCCCGATGGATAGCTTTTCGGCTACAAGCTGCTCTATCGCTGCTGCCATTCTGCCGAAGTGATCGGTCTACGGATGATAAGAGCAGCGTCAATGGGTTTAAATAAACCCCGCGTTCTACAGGGAACCCCATTCGTGTTTGAATTGACGCGATATGATTGGATCGTAGCGCCTTTTCACGAATGAGATCTGCCTATTCTCACTTGGACCGGGTCAATATGTCACAGCACCTGTGGCAGGTAGATTGTATCATTCTGTCATGACTTTCGTGCTGCGGGGGTGGAGACGAGTCCCTATAGTACCTATATCATCCCAAGGTATGTGTAAATACATGCTCTATATATGGCCTTATAATATTCAGTCAGAGGCTTTTAAAACCTTACGATTTTCTTTCTATTTTTCTTTTTGTCTACATGGTCTACCTAGCCTCAATCAAGATTGAGATACCGCTCTAACAATGACCCTTAAGACAGACAAAGCACAAATCAACACCGTCACCATACTTGATCAACAACTCCCCAAACATAAATCTGTCTTGTTCCACAGCGCCCTTTATCAAATTCTCGTCGTGGGCATTTTTGCATTCTTTGCCCCGGGAATATAGAGCGCTATGAATGGCCTTGGAGTGGCCGGCTCCAAAGCCCCGAACCAGTGAATGCAGCTAACGCCGCCGATTTTTATCTAAATGACCGTACCGGTGCAACATGAGCTTGTGTATTTAGGACTCAGCGCGGGCTTTTTCTGGAGTGTCGAAGGTGTCGTCGCCACTGGCTATCTTAAGCAGCATAAAAACGATCGCTACATTGCGACATGGCTCACGCTCTGCAATTTTGGCAATAACATTGGCGAGGCCGATTCGCTGGGAATAAACCATACCGTTGATCATCAGGGGCAAATTGGGTACTAAGCTTGCATTACCTTTATCGCGATCCAGTGTCTGGTTCTCCTCCATATTTATCAGGTACATAGTGTGCAGAGAGATAATAGATGTGTATTAGCCCAGGGGTTGTGAGGTGCGAGGTCTTCCAAGGTTGGAACTTTCCACTATGATATCATTGTAGTCCGCAGGTCCGAGGTGCCAGTCATATAAATAGAAGAGTTTGCCCGACCGGGTATGCCCAGGCATACTAGCTCTTGTCAATCTTGGTGGTCTCTTAAGTTTGTATATACGCTATTCTCGTTATATATTCCCGTCAGTCAATCCCGGGCTTCGCACGACCAATGCAAGGCAGAAGTCAAAATGCCGGGGGTATGTTCGAGAGAAATGTTTAGCAATACATCTAATGGGTCGTGCTTTCCCAGTTACCTTGCTTGGCACTGGCTCATGAAAATTAGAATTGTTGATTTTTCATGATCGGCCTATATCCGCGCTGAAAATCTCTAAGCAAAGAGAGTTTTAATACATGAAGCCTGATTTCGGAGCTATTTCCACGCACTGGGCTTGTGGTTTAGTGGTATAATACTCCCTTAGCATGGGAGTGGTCCGGGGTTCGATTCCCCGCGAGTCCATCTTTTTGTTTTTTGTTTTCCCACTCCGGTGGAGTCGCAGTGGATCCGTGGATGATCAGAGAAGTAAAAAAGTGCCCCTCTTTTTGTTTCAATGCAACGTTGTAAGAGAGATCTATACATTCATGGGTATACCATAGTAGCTCTCGGCGAGACTGCGTGGCTAAACATGATGCACAGTGTCAATCACTTACCCAGCTTGTCTATGCAGATGACTTATACAGTCACGACCCGCGAATCAAATTGCAAAAGGCTCAGTCTCGAGAGAATCAAAATGTGATTCGATAGCACGATCTGCAATGCTTCAATACCACGTCAGCCTCAAATTTGGGGATCCCATACGCCATTATCGGTACTCACACTCGGTACTTAGAAATGAAAAATCAAATCCCTGATTTATCTGGATGGTGCCATGGTTTTCAACAAATTAGTCGCTATTCAAACGACAAAGACACTTGCCCAAGATAGGCAGGTAAATATACTGATTACCTGCATAAACAATGGCTTTATGTCGACAGAATACTCAACCATCCGTCTATCCCGGGTGGCGTCGACATCGCTTGACGAGTGCGGGGGAATTCGTGGACACTCATAATCCCCTGGATAACCCCTGGCTTTCGATCCTTCTGACCCTATTGATCGGGGTTGCTCGCCCCTCAACACCGCTAGCTCTTATCATACTTATCAGTAGCCAGTAATACTCAGAGATCTTAGTTATGTGACGGCCCCACGAGACGCAATCACGGACACCCGACGGGCGTGTCATAGCTCGGCTGTATTAGCCTTGCCCCCGCAGCAGCAACGCTGTTAACCCTTAACAAAAACCAGAAACATATTAATTCTGCCTCTCTAGATGTTTATACAGGCATTGATTTTGATAGAAAGTATCATATGTTTAAGTGACTAGAGACAAGGATTGCAAGAATCTTTGAAAGGAAATAATCTTGGCGTGCCACGTAGATTAGAGATCTCTACAAGAGACACCTGGGCAACGGATATCACGCTAGGAGCTCCGCCGGCCAGCTCTCGCATCGCCATATGATAAATCAATTGCTATCTACGTCTCCACTCCGTTAAAGTTCCCGTCTTTATCAGGCTTGAGTGCACTAGGACAGGCACCATGACTAGCTGCAGAAGAGGCGCGGTCACGCTCTTAGGACCTTTAAAAGAAGTCCACCCGGGGTTTCCTCACAAAAGTGGCTTGAGATTCCTCACTCCTCAGTTGCCGCAATGTATATACTACCTAGCATTGCAGTGTCGTTGCTTGCCGCCCCGTTTGTACAGGCGGTAGGCCTACGAAGACCTGCTCCACCCCCAGCAACAGGAGAGTCAAGCGCGACGATCCAGGAGTCTACATTCGAGCAACTACTCGACCATGACGACCCAAGCCTTGGAACTTTCTCCCAGCGCTTCTGGTGGAATTCAGAATGGTGGGATGGTTCTGGATCTCCTGTAAGCGCCTTGCCCTAATTGTTTCCCCAATGCAGTATCGGACTCTAAACAATCACGGGCAATTGCTAGGTGGTCCTGTTCACGCCTGGTGAAGTTGAAGCTGCGGAGTATACTGGCTACTTGACGAATGTGACGATTACAGGCCTTTATGCACAGGAGATCAAGGGCGCCGTGATTCTGCTTGAGCGTAAATTACCCATTTTTTAAAAATCGGACCTGGAGCTAACAACCTGCTCGATAGACCGTTACTGGGGTGAATCTTCGCCATATGATGAGTTGACCACTGAGAACCTGCAATATCTGACATTGAAGAATGCGATTGCGGACTTGACATACTTTGCCAAGAACGTGGACCTGCCATTTGATACTAATAGCAGTAGCAATGCTCAGAATGCTGTATGTATACACTATGTCTAAAGATTAAAGATCTCTCAAAGCTGATACGCAAATTTCTAGCCTTGGGTTTTGAGTGGAGGATCATACAGTGGTGCTTTGACCGCTTGGACCGAGTCAGTTGCCCCGGGTACTTTCTGGGCGTACCATGCATCCAGCGCTCCTGTCGAGGCTATTTATGACTACGTGAGTTAAGCCATGGTATTCTATACACCTATGGATGCTAATCGGAGCTCAGTGGCAATACTTCATGCCCATTCAGGAAGGAATGGCAAAGAACTGCAGCGCAGATGTCTCTCGTGTGGTCGATTATGTTGACGAAGTAAGCAAGTATGGCACAAAAGCGCAACAGAAAGAACTCCAGACACTATTCGGTCTGGGAGATCTGGAGCACTATGATGACTTTGCCGCGTAAGTGTTCACTCATTCCACTCTATCTAAGCCCGACAAGGAAACTCACATTCATTAGTGCATTGGAGAATGGTCCCTGGCTGTGGCAGTCCAACAGCTTCTACACCGGATACTCCGAGTTCTTTGAGTTCTGTGACTATGTTGAAGTAGGCACAAAGTCAACCTTCGGAGAGTTGACTCAGTACTAACGTGACTATAGAATGTCGAGGCAGGAGCGAGCACTGTACCTGGACCAGATGGAGTTGGCCTCAAGAAGGCTCTCAAAGGTTACGCCAAATGGTTCAAGACCGTCTACTTCCCCGACTGTAAGTCTACTAAGACTCAACGGAGCTTCTTTCACTGACGAGAATACAACTTAGCGTGCGCCAGCTACGGCTACTGGACCGATAGCAACAGCACTGCCTGCTACGACACCTACAATGCCTCCAGCCCCTTCTTCACAGATATATCTGTAGGCAACGAGATTGACAGACAATGGCAGTGGCTTCTTTGCAACGAGCCTTTCTTCTATTGGCAGGAGTGAGCTACCCCCATGTCCCTACTTGAGCTCAGTATTCTGACCCATGCAGTGGTGCGCCGTCTGATGTTACGACCATCGTCTCCCGGACCGTCAACGCAGAGTACTGGCAGAGACAATGCCCTCTTTTCTTCCCCACCGTTAACGGCTACACCTATGGTAGCGCCAAGGGCAAGACTGCAGCTGATGTCAACGCTATGACCAAGGGTTGGGATCTGACAAAGACCACCAGATTGACCTGGACCAACGGGTGAGACTTTTCATCTATTTTTCTGCTCCGACTGAACGTTCTTCATTAACATGAGTTTAGACAATATGACCCTTGGAGAGAATCTGGTGTTTCATCTGACGTGCGCCCTGGAGGTCCTCTCAAGTCCCGAGCTTCCGCACCCGTCAATATCATTCCCGGTGGTTTCCACTGCTCAGATCTTATTTTGGAAAACGGTGAGGTGAATGCGGGTGCTCAGAAGGTCATTGACACCGAAGTTGCCCAAATCAAGGCTTGGGTGGCAGAGTACTATGAGTAATGAGACATGGCCCGGAAGAGTCTGGAAAATGTCAGTCTTATCCAAGACGTTTCGGCATCTTAGACATAATATCTTGGTTAGACTTGATCTTTTGAAGCAATATCTCGACATATCCCAGACCTTGTCTTAAACATCTTTTCCATTCGGATTGAAGTCTGACTGACGATCTTTGTTAATGTGTCAATGAATGACTAGAGACCGCAGAGTGATCTCCATGTCTTGCTGTCTTAGATGTCTGCTATTGAGAAATTCACCTTTTTCAGATCATAATCTACTCCTGAGGTCTCAGCTTACCACCTTTGTCAGTAGCGTAGCTATTCATGGATGGCCGGGTTTCTATATATATTTAGTTATCAGCTCTCCCTCTTCCATCACAATCATCTTCTCTCAAGTGCTACTAAACTGCAACCAAAGCTTCTAGCAAAAACATCATGGCGTCCGAATACTACACGGTCCCACTCATCAACATGCTGATGGAAAATCATGAAAACAGCCCTAGCAAGGAAACTATGAATGCAATGGTACTGGGAATCCTCAACTACTACTTCCCACAGAGCCTGGATTATGCAATAGGCTTCCAGCCTAGATGCCGACGCGACAAGGAACTGAAGGTCGATCTTGCGATTCGTCGATGGTTCCCCGAGACACCAGCCTACTACCAGCTTGCAAAGCAAGCTCTCGTTGATATCAAGCTTGACACGGGCACGTTCGGCGAGGAGGATTGCAAGGGTATTATGAATAGACTATCTGTTTTTGTCGACAAGGACTACAGCAACGATACCGATTGCTGGTTTATCCTTTTTCATGGGATGTTTGTTCGATTCTACCTCTGGAAGGCTGGCGACGACCAGGATGAGGATCATTCAGTCATCAGTTATCCACTTGAGGATGATGAGGGCAACAAGACACCGAAGGGAGGGTTCCACCTGATCGAAGATCATGAGCAGGTTGATTACATTCTGCGCCATCTTTCTCAAAATGGGTGTATGTGAGCCACCTAGCTCAGCATTATGTTACACTAAGTAGCAAACTGTACTGCAAGATACTTTTAGATAGTTGTTTGTGACTTCCAATGCATTCTGTTTCGTGTTGAAAAGTCAATGCAGTAACTAAACCGTACCAGTTTCCAATAATATTCACATTCCTGATGTAAATACTCAGCCCTGCACAATGCTAGTTACCTTGGTAGGCAGATAAGTACAAGTAATGGGACGGGGACAAATAATCAAAAGAACCCCCTTATCCATGTCAGCCAGTAATATCATTCAAAAGGTCCTGAAGAATGGGTCTATTTCCCAGGACTGTGTTGCCATTCTTTATTTTTGCTCCTTTCTTGGCAGGTACCCGAAGACCTGAGGCGGGTTGTCTCGAGCCGAGAGGGCTGAGTGGCTCACGATACTGGGATTCATTCTTGACAGTGGGACTTCTCTTTTTCGCCGAACCGGGTACCTTTGCAGCACCTGGAGACGCGAATGGCATTTGTGAGGATTCCAATGGATCAGACTGGAAAGAGTGACTCTCAGCAGCGCCTGGTGGCAAATTATAAACCCAGCCTTTGCTTTCGACGAGACGAACATATTTACGAAGGAGTTCGTTACCGTCGCGCATAGTAGATCTGCTGCCGAGGACAAGGAGCTTGGTGCGAGCACGAGTGAAGGCGACGTTCACGCGACGCCAGTCACGCATTAGCTCACCAACATGATTTTCTGAGTTGCTGCGAACGCAACTGAGGATCACAATCTCTTTATCGCGACCCTGGAATTTATCGGTGGTGTGCATTTCTAGCTCTGGAGTGTGGCGGCGAAGACTATGTCGGAGAAGTGCGAGTTGGCTGCGGTAGAAGGTGATAACACCGATGTTTCGGGCTGGTATACCACAGGCAATGAATGCCTCGACAAGCTGCGTACATAGAATTGTTTCCATGGAGTTGACGACTCGTTGTCCTTGCAGAGTCTCCAGAGCTGCAGGCCCAAGAGGATCGGTATTGACCAGCAGTGCTTTTGCTGATGGTGCCAACAAGTCATTTAACCAGCAGCTGCCGTGATTTGGCCCCCGGCACACATCTTGTTGGTGCCCAGGATGTGGAGGTTCGAATTCATCGGAGTGGAATTGTTTGAGAGAGCGGATGTTCGGTATTTCCAATGAACGGGTCGCGACTTCTAGAGTGCCACATTTGAGACGGCCTGAGTAGATGAGAGTGTTTGAGAGTAGCATGATATCCTCGCACATGCGGTACTGGTGCTCCAGGTTGACGACTGAATCTGGCTGGGAATCGGACAGCAGCTTGAAGAGACTAACATCGAGTCCGCCTTCCGCCGCGGCCTTGCTTTGAACAAGCGGCGGAAGCTGATAGTGGTCACCGACAAGAATGAAACATCTCGCCATGCGGATAGGGCCAACGCATACAGGAAGGGTAATCTGCGAAGCCTCGTCGACAATGCAATAGTCAAAGATGCGCTGATTGAAAATTTGGTGATTAACACCCAGGCACGTTGATGCCACAACTTGTGGTTTTTCGTAAGAGTCTTTGAGCTCCTCAATGGTAGACTTGGGGGTTGCAGCTAGATCAACAAATTCTTGTACATCCGGATGAACTTTGGTGACTGCACCAAGACGAAGGATACGGATGTTATCATCGCGAATCTTCAACAGGATGTTGTCCACTGCAGTATGAGTGTAGGACGTCAACAGAACACTCTTGCCTTGTGCGACGAGTGCACGGATGAGATGGGCAATAGTAGTTGTTTTGCCGGTTCCTGGCATGCCGAGAATCAAAGCGTAGTCTTTGGCACTCATCACCTTCTCAATGGCTTGTTTCTGATCGACATTGAGACTTTCTGGGTCGGAGATGGTGTATGCGGACGAAGAGGGCTTGAACACAGGGGGCTCGCCTTCGACGATGAGCCGCCTGAGATGCCTTGCCTGAGAAAGGTCTTTGTCCATCATGCAGACGAGGTTGTTGCGAATATTGGCCATGCCATTGCTGAACTCGTCTTTGTCTAATCGGTAAGTCACCTGTTCATCAAGAGGGTTTTCGAGTACATCATCTCCATCCTTTTCAACTTCCATGATGCCAGTGAAGGACTGATTTGTAACCGGATCGAAGCCACGATTTCGTGCTCGGGCATTGAGCAGGCTTCGATCCACACCGACGGTGATATGCAGCCTGCTAACTTGAAGCACATAGCCATTGGCGAGGGCAAAATGTCCTTTCTCATCAGAAACAACAATTGGCTCACCAACAGTGATTTGGGACTCTGCAAACGTAAAGCCCGGAGAAGCTAGCTTTTTGGTGAAAGTATAACAATAGCGGTTGATCCTGGATCCGTTCTTATCCTCAAATGCTGAGCGAGGATCAATAACAACATCTCCAAAACAACGGCCGAGAGACTCGCGTTCGCTGCTCAGTAGGGTCCACAGCTCTCGGCGAAACTTGGTCAGGTTCCCTTCCTCCTTGGTCAATAGCTCATCCCATTTGTTGAAGAACTCGCGATCTTTTTGGGTCAAGTGGCTAGTCACTGCGTCAAAATCTTCCCCCATGCCACTTGTTTCGCCATCACCTCCCTCTAGCAGCTTATGATAGATGAGGCAAGGAGTTTTCGCATAGCATCTGTTGCACATGCGAGCCCTTTTGAGCATCGGGGGAAGCTGCAATTTCTCGCGAATGTAAACTGCCAAACGGTTGCGCACTTGAACCATCTGCAGTATTTCATGTCGAATACCGCGAATACTGAAGGTCTTGTTGAGCTCAAGATAATACAACAGACCAAAAGTCACATTGATATCTAAAACATTGTTAATATATTGTCACTATTTAATTCCATGGTCGAAGACGAACCGTAACGATCAGAGAGCAGCAATGTATAAAGAGCCGTTTGGGCTCTATGACCTTGGTTTGTATCTCGTTTTCCAGTTTTGAGTTCGAGTGGGACGACAAGATTTTTCTTGCCGTTTTCACTATTGCATGCAACTTGGACTGTAGCGTCAATATTGCCTTTGAGTCCGTACATTGGGGACCAGACGTGCTCCTCTACCTCGAGCAGCTTGCTAATGCTCAAATTGAGCTTTGCATTATGACGGTCCTCAACCATAGAGTTGGACTGTAGGAATGGATTATCAGCATCGCGGATACACAGGTTAATAGGTGCACATACCTGTGGTTTGGCATGAAGGAAAACATCGGCCCATGCCTGCACCGTAGGAATCTTGCTCATCACATTTTCAGTGGCTTCCGGTACACTCATCTGAATTGCGTACAGGTCTTCAATATGTCTTTGAAGAACGACGTCTACCAGGGACCTGAGGGCGCTCATATCCCACTGGTTCGCTTTCAATGCCTCTTGAAAGACTTCATGGAAGATGGTTCCAAAGACTTGGGGTGCTTCAAGTTGAGAAAAAGCCTTGATGCGATCTTGAATGACTGCCCGACGTTGGCAATCAATCGAGTCCGCCACAACCGTGGCGGAGATGAGATAATCGGGGTGAAGTATAACCATATGGTTGGTATTATCCACTATGCATAGGCCGGATGAGTCAAAGTCTCCAACTAAATGAAGAATTGAATCTTTGTTGCAGGGAGTGTCAACCCAAGTCTCACGAAGTACAATGACTTTGCGGGCTTTCGTCTTTTCATCCTCAACCGAAAGGACCTATTTCTTGTCAACTGGTATGTTCATTCTCGATATGTATTAGCTGAGATGACAAACCTGCTCAGGCTGTGTACGCCCTTTTGAATTGACATACGTACTTTCAGCGATGTCCACGACTGAGTAACGCTTGATAGCTTGACGATTTTTGAGATTCTATCATTCCATTGTTTTAGCATATATTCTAATGATGAAAACCAACTAAGAGCGACAAACGTAGGCTTCATCTGTACCTGTCTGCTTCATGGATTGTTCAATAGCATCCAGATCAAAATCATCGTCGAATTCATCATCAGAAAACGTTTCCGCAGCAACACGTGTCGTTGTGTCTGACTTGGTGGGCGCTTGGGCCATTGAGGCAACAGGGGATGGTTCCAGCCTCTTCACAGCCTGTTGCTCCACGGTAGTTGATTTATATGAACCGATTCTTCCCGATTTTTCATCACACTCCGCAAGAATATCGTCAAAATCTCCGTAATCGTCATCGAAATCATCTGAGCCATCGGGCTTCTTTTCGTTATTCATGACAGTATTCTCAGTGTGTGAATTTGCACCAGTAGTCGACGGTTGCTTGAGATTGCGCGAAGGCGGCTTTTCTGCGACCAGCTTTGACCAGCTAGAGCCAAAAGAGCCAAATTCCTTGCCACTGTCTCGACTAGCCGGAGGCACAACGAATGGATCATCTGATGCATCGGCCAAGTCCATGAAGTCCTGATCGATGTCATCATCACCAAATTCGGATGAAGACCCTTCAAGGATCGGTGCAAGGTTAACACCGGGGTTGTTCTCAGGATCACCAAAGTTTTCTTGAGCTATAGTGGTATCACCATGGCCTTTTCTATCTGCAATCGGAGAAGATGAACGACATCGTTCTGCGTCGAGACGTTGGCGCAAAGGGGAGGAGTTCGGTGGGCCGGTGTCGGCTGGCTGAGCTGGTTTAAGACTTCGCTCGATTTTGTCAAGAAGAAAATTTATCCTTGATGATTTTCCCTTGCCTGAGTCCAGGACATTGCTGTTTGTACGTGAGAATATTCCTCGGCCTGAATTGGGTTCTTGTCGCACAACTCGTCTTCTCTTCGCCCGAGAAGTTGGCCATTCAGCAGCACAACTAATCGAACGCCTTAAACCAGAAGACTCCCGACTTGTTCGGCCTGATCCTGGGGTCTGAGGTGAAGAGGAGAGGAGATTGGCAAGACGAGGTGCTGGAAGATCCTCCGAGTTCTCGACCATGTTTTTGTCCATGTAATTGTTCCATAGCTCTGTGGCGAGATCATGCTGGGGAGTTTTGAAGAGCGCTTGAATTGATTGTAGATCAAGCGGCTCCTTTTGGGCTTTCGCTGAATTGTCTTTCGAGGGGGATCCTGGTGGCGAGGAGCTATGCCGTCGTTTCCTCCTCCGACTAGCCGGTGTTTGGGATGAGTCTGGATTCGAGCTGGCTGGAATATGTTGCCAAATGACATGATCAACAGGCGTCACTTCAGGACCTGGAGCGGGGTTGAACGAGTCTTCCGCGTTGCTGATTAAATCCGCTAGAGGTATACGGTTTCCGGGGGTCTGTGGACAATCCTTAGTGGGTTTGGTTTCTTTCGGGGCTTCTGCAGCGGCGGGTTCGGCTACAGGCTGTTCAGCTTGTTCGGTTTTATCTGGTGACGTCTGCATTGAGTCCACCACACCATTCAACCATGAGCTTTGGTTTTCCTTGTTGCGATGAGCCTCATTGGTCCCATCTTTCGAAGTCGTCGTGTCCGGAGGTAAGTCGTCGTCTTGGTAGCGAAAAGCATTCAACTTCTTGCGGGAATTGGAAGAGATCGGGTAGGAGTTCTTGTTCGATGCCATGGTGGCGATCTAGCCTTATATGCTTCTTCTTAAAGTGGGTAGGAATACATTCTGGAGCCTTCGGATCAACAATGTCAGCAGTGGAACTTAGTGCACGTCCAATTAGGGCTTTTTCTGATGAACATACCAGTGGGAAAACAAAATATGTACTCAATGTATTAGTATGAGGAAGTTGAATGGCCCCATTGCTTCGTCCTGTTGACAAGAGGGGGATTACTGTAATTGGCGTTCAGACGATAAGGGTTGGACGCGTCGCGCGTCGCTCCTGCCTCCTTTGTCAGGCACCACACCGAATGTCAAATTCCATTCTCAGGCACCAAGGCACCAAAAGGCGGCCAAGGTAAAATCACCCAAAGGGGCTAGCGCGATGACCACCAGCTCCCCGTCGGCCTTTTGCGGCTTCGACATCAACCACCGCAGCCCCTCCCCTACCTTCCTCGTCAATCCATACCACCAATTGGGATTGTGCTGTCAAATTGGCTAAGGCGACTATTGGCCTTACCCTCGATCCCGAAATTGCCTTCACTGGACCGCTTCCGACTTCTTAGCTACTCCACATCCACCCCCATTCTCAAGATGCCTGCCCGACCAGTGTCGCATATCCTTCGCTCGCGCTGCCTGCTCCGCAAGCCGCAAAATGTCCAGGGCTTTTCCACCCGCAGCAATCTCCGTGCTGCCGACCATGGTGACCACTACGACCCGCCGACTGGCTGGCTGTTCGGTATCAAGCCCGGCCAGAAGTACGTGAAAGAGGGCTGGGAGAACATCTGGTACTACGGATTCATCGGTAGCTTCCTGGTTGCTGGTGTCGCATATGTTTTCAAGCCTGATACCTCGTATGTATCCCTTGTTATGGGTCTTCCTCGACTGCCAGCTTCGGCCGCGCCTTTAACCCGGTCATTGCATGAATTATGAACCGAGAATGCTAACCTGACTCCTACCTTCAGCATACAAACTTGGGCACTCGAGGAGGCCCGTCGACGACTGGAGGCTGAGGGTATTCTGGAGGAACCCAAGAATTGAACGGCTCGCATTTGAGCCTAATCTGTACACTGTACATAGAGAGATCGGAAAGCAACTATTTCGGTTGACGCCTGTACCACCTGCCATGGCAGATATGATGTTCCGATCCTTTTGTTAGATGGGGGTTTTTCGCATGTTCCATTTCAATTTTTGCCTGCTTACCTGCTATACTACTCTATATTCTCGTTTCCTCCATCATATCAATACAGGTGGGCTAAAACAAAATGATATTGGTCCTTCCATCACAACTCTTTCTGTTCTTAAATGTTGATGGTCCACAGGAGATAGCAATGTGACACTAGCATAAATGTTCTTGGAAAATGCAATATTTTATTTGATAAACGGGCGTTGCTTCGCCACAAATCCCTACCCTACGCCATTAACGGGTCCTTCGACTAGATCTCGGGGTAGAGATCGGTTCTTCGAAGAAGTGGCATCTCTTGCCTGATCTTTGCCACCAAAGATAGGTTAATATCCGCCGTCGCAATCTGTGGCTCATCGTGATCTTCTCCTAGTTCTGCGACTATCTCTCCCCAAGGGTTGACAATCATGGAATGACCATAACTTTGACGTTTTTCGTTGTGGGGACCAGCCTGTGCTGCGGCAATGACATAGGACTGGGTCTCAATGGCTCTGGCACGGATCAGCGATTCCCAGTGGGCTTTCCCTGTTGGCACCGTGAAGGCCGACGGGTAGGTGATGATGTCGGCTTTCTGACGCCTCAAAGCCAGACTAATCTCGGGAAAGCGTAACTGGTCAAATCGTAAGCCGATGAGCTGGAGGTCATTGATAGTGCACATAGATGTCTGGCACTCACATCAAAACATATTGCTAGACCGACACGTCCTACAGGGGTTTCAAATGGCGGAAGAATCTCTTTGCCCGGTTGGACGCTCCTGCAGTCATTGCTCAACCTAGGTATTCCATACACAGTAAGAATTGAAAAAATTGACTTACGCGCTTTCTTTGAGAACTGGTCCATCTTTAATGTCAACGTCAAAGAGATGTATTTTTTGATATTTTTGGGTGATGACACCCTTATCGTCGATCCAGACCAAGCAGTTCTTGAGTCTCTGCTCTGAAGCTATCTCATGGATGCCAACGTTGATATGGATTTTCTCTTGTTTAGCTGCATCCTGAAGCGCCGACACAAAGTCTCCTCGGTCTGTCGATTTAGCGAGAGCAAGGGACTCGTCGGCTGAAGAAGCTATATAGTCCGAAGCCTCGGGCAGAAACAGAACCTGGTAAATAATGAGCCACATGCTGAGCTAGAAAGGAAAATAAAGTGTTGTTATTTCAATATTACCTTAGCTCCAGCTGCGGCTGCTTTCTTAATCAAAGTCTGGCATTGAGCCAAATTAGAAGTTATGCTCGCTGTCGCGCAAAGCTGCCCCACGGCCTATCTCGAAAGTAGCAATCAGTGATCCCAGTTCAGATAAAAAGTCCTCACATACTTACGGCAAGAACCATTGTGTCTGTCTCCTATAGCCTCCCTAGGGGTTGGCTTTGGAAAGAAGAATATGAGGTGTATGGCGTAATAAGCCAAATGCCTCGCATCAAGTCCACCTGTGGATCCCCATGCCCTCACGGTAGCTGATTACTCAGCTATCGCGATGCGATAACCGTCGCCCGCAAAGATCAATTTCTCACTTTGCTCCGAGTCCAGTCTGACCAGTACAACTTGCTGATCTCCACCGTCACAATGAAGAGTTTAAGGAGGGACTTTTCCTCCAACCCACAAGCTGCTAATGTCACCAGCAAAGTCTTCGTGAGGTCCACAAAAAGTGGAAAAGTGCAAAAGATTGTCCGCGAGCTCTATCTGCGGCAAGATATTCCTTGCTCGTCGAAGCTCTGCTCACTATGCCCTTCGATCGCTCCAGCAGATGCAAACGGGAACAGTATGTCAAATTGGTTCGGTGACTGGTGCTGATTGCTAACAAAGCACAGTTACACCGTTCATCCTCTCCGATCGCCCCGCCGGTACCAAGGCGTTCCCTCGCGGCCACTACCTCGTTCCCGACACAAATGCGCTATTAAACGGAATGGATCTCTTCGAGCACACTGGTGCATTTTATGATGTGATCATTTTGCAGACCGTCCTCGAAGAGCTCCGGAACCAGTCACTCCCTCTTTACAACCGCCTCCTCTCTCTTATCAAGACTGATGAAAAGCGCTTCTATCTGTTCTTCAATGAATTCCGCCTAGAGACCCACGTGCGCCGAGAGCCCGATGAGTCGATCAATGACCGCAACGACCGAGCTGTGCGAACCGTGGCAAGCTGGTATGGCGAGCATCTACGGGCGTCCTCGAAGAAAGGCAAAAAAGAAAAGTCAGTTCCTGCGATAGTGGTTATTACAGACGACAAGGAAAACCTTCGGAAAGCTAAAGCTGAAAATGTGACCGCTTTGTCGCTGTCTGATTACGTCACCGGTTTGGAGGACTCTGAGAAGCTGCTGGATATGATCAGTGAAGCTCGGGAAGCACGAGATACGAAGGGCTCAGCTCGTGGGCAGCTATTCTACCCCGAATATTACTCCATGTCGAAGCTCCAGACTGGTCTCCGAGCAGGAACTCTGCACCAAGGAGTCTTCAATGTCTCGCCTTACAACTACCTAGAAGGTTCTGTCAACGTTCCGGCCTTTGACAAGCCGCTCATTATCTTGGGACGTGACAACAGCAACCGCGCGATCGCAGGCGATTCTGTTGTGATCGAAGTGCTGCCCCAGGATCAGTGGAAGTCTCCGTCGACAAAACTGGTAGATGAAGAGGCGGTGACCCGGAATGATAACCCTGATACTGACGATACCGAAGCTGTCGTGACGGATCGGGAGCGCAAGGCTCTCCAGGAGGAGGTCAAGAAGGCCCACGGAAAGAACTCCGAAGGAAAGCCGCAGCCCACTGCCAAGGTCGTGGGTGTGATTAAACGCAATTGGCGCCAGTATGTGGGACACGTGGATTCCGGCTCTACTGGCTCACAAGCCGCTTCTGGTCGCCGGCAGCAGACTGTGTTTGTATTGCCCATGGACAAGAAGGTTCCCAAGATTCGAGTCCGTACTCGACAGGCCGGAGATCTGGTTGGTCACCGTATCCTTGTGACCATCGATGCCTGGGACAGGGATTCACGCTACCCCTCAGGTCACTTTATCCGCTCTCTGGGAGAGCTCGAGACAAAGGGTGCCGAAACAGAAGCGCTTCTTCTGGAGTACGATGTTCAGTACAAACCGTTCCCCAAGAATGTTTTGGACTGTCTGCCATCAGAGGGGCATGGCTGGACTGTACCTGCCTCAAAGGAAGATAAGGGTTGGAACGGCCGACGTGATCTGCGTGATCTGCTCATTTGCAGTATCGATCCCCCAGGTTGTCAGGATATTGACGATGCTCTTCATGCACGCCCCCTGCCAAATGGCAACTTTGAAGTCGGTGTCCATATTGCCGACGTGTCACACTTTGTCAAGCCTAATAACCCAATGGACCTTGAAGCCAGTGTCCGTGGAAGCACCGTGTACTTGGTTGACAAGCGTATTGATATGCTTCCACACCTTCTGGGAACAGATTTATGTTCACTCAAGCCCTATGTCGAACGTTACGCCTTCTCCGTTATTTGGGAAGTCACTCCGAATGCAGAGATCATCTCTTCGGACTTCACAAAGTCCGTTATTCGTTCCCGCGAAGCATTCAGTTATGAACAAGCCCAGCTGCGCATTGACGATGCTTCCCAAACCGACGAACTTACTGAGAGCATGCGGAATCTCCTGAAATTCTCCAAGATCCTGCGCCAGAAGCGTTACGATGCCGGTGCCCTCAACCTTGCTTCACCCGAAGTTCGCATTGAGGCTGATGCCGATGAAGTCGGTGATCCCTTGGCGGACGTCAAAACCAAATCTATGCTTGCAACCAACAGCCTGGTTGAAGAGTTCATGCTTCTCGCCAACATCACAGTTGCCTCCAAGATTTACGCTTCGTTCTCTCAAACCGCTTTGCTGCGACGACACGCCACGCCCCCACCGCAGAACTTCGAAGATCTCATAAATCAACTCTCGAAGAAACGCAATATGGAACTCGACGTTTCCAGCTCAGGAGCCCTTGCCAACTCTCTGGACCGTTGCGTCGACTCCGAGAACCCTTTCTTTAACACTCTCGTCCGTATCTTGGCGACTCGATGCATGACTTCTGCAGAATATTTCTGTGCCGGAGCCCACGCCGAATCCGAGTTCCGCCATTACGGTCTTGCCTCCCCTATCTACACCCACTTCACCTCACCCATCCGTCGATACGCTGATCTACTCGTCCACCGACAGCTGGCTTCCGCCATTGGCTACGAAGGTGAGGATGGCCACGCCGGACTGGAGGGCGTCGCCACACGCGGCAAGCTGGATGATATCTGCCGCAACATCAACTACCGTCACCGTAACGCGCAGTTCGCTGGCCGCGCTAGTATCGAGTACTACGTTGGCCAGGCGCTCAAGGCGCGTGGAGAGAAGATGGCCGTTGATGGTACCGATAAGGGTGTCGATGAAGAGGGATACGTGATGCGCGTTTTTGAAAACGGTGTCGTCGTCTTTGTTCCTCGGTTCGGTATCGAGGGTGTGGTTCGATTGGAGGACTTTGTGCTGCCCGGAGAGTCTAGTGGCTGGAATGTGACCGAGAGACGGGAGCTCGCGGCGCATCGTATCACCGACTTTGACCCTGAGGAATACACCCTTCGTGTGCAGGAGAAGGGCCACTCGGAGAAGGAGCGGGGTGTGCTTGTTGAGCTCTTCCAGAGAGTTCACGTGAATGTCAGCTCGGTTAAAGAAGAAGGTCGCGGTGCTGGCAAGCGAAGAGTCCGTGTTCTGATCACTGGTGCATCGGATAAAAAATAAGGATTAGGCCCTATGTTAGACTCAACCCAAGTGACAATGATTATGTACCCCACAATAATGCTAGATTCGTTCTTCTTATCTCCATAGTTCGTATGTGCTTACTTATCTAAATCTCTGAACTGAACGTACTGAATCTCCTTTGACGGGGCTTTCCTACTTTAATGAGGGTGTCTGGGCCCAGGTTTACTGCGTATATATTTGCTTTGGACATCAGTTTATCCCCGAGTGGCAGCGTGAAGGTTTATAATGTAATAATGCGATCCATTAAGGAGCAGCGGGACCGTTGAACCGTTGCACGGTGACAGTATTGGCGGCCCACTTGAGTCTATCTTACCATTCGGAATATGTGCCCTTATCCATGACTAGTCATGGTTTCCCCCTTGGACGCGTAAGTCGGAGCCACCTTTGAATTCGAAGTGGAGCTATGCTAAGCGCAGCTTCCGGCAAGGCTATTATATTCGCCGCTAACTTACCACTTGCGTGGGCAATCTCAATTGCACACCGTACTTTCTTCGAGATTTTGTTCTTCAGAACGAGTGGTGTTCCTAGAGACTCTGGACGGGGTATTAAAAAGGGAGAGCAACCTTAAACCTAAAATTGGTGATTCGCAAGACCTCGGGAGCTTAAATTGACGCGGGAAATACATATAGCGCAGTGCCATGCAAATCACTTTCGAAACATCCACGGATCCACATTAGTTCCATTCAACTTAGGCAACCATTCCGACTTCTGACCAGATTGGGCGCTTAGCAGATAATAATCTTAAAACAATGATAGATTTAGCTTAGCACGTCTCTAGTGTGACGAACCATTAAATAAGTTGGTGGGTTCTTGAAAAGAGAGAGCTACGTATGACTATCATCCACGTTTCCTCAAACCCCCAAAATATTATTAAAAATCTCCAAGGTGATACTTTTCGTCTTTAAACAAGCCACTCCTGAATTTTGCTCTAAGCCCTTTTATTACTACCTTTAGGCGAGGAGGTTAAATCAAACTCAATACATATCAAACCGGCCGTTGTCTGGACTCTGCCTCATCCTACAAATAGGATACAACACAATGGGCTTGTTTAGCCATCACCAAGAGCCTGGTCCTCCCCCTCCCCCGCCGGGTCCCGGAGGCCCTGGACCTTACGGTCACAATGGTCCTTATGGAGGCCCTGGAGGCCCTCCAGGCCCACCCGGAAGATGGGAAGGACCTGGCCCTCATGGCCCTCCTCCGCCGGGCCCCCGTGACGACCCTCGTGGCTGGGGTGGTCCTGACCCTCGTGGTCCTCCTCCTCCGCCCGGTCCTCCCGATGGCCCTCGTGGCTGGGAAGGACGTGGTCCTTATGATCGTCCTCCCCCGCCAGGCCCCCGTGACGACCCTCGTGGCTGGGAAGGCCCTGGCCCCCGTGGCCCTCCTCCTCCAGGTCCGCCCGGAAGATGGGAGGGCCCTGATCCCCGTGGTCCTCCTCCACCTGGCCCTCGTGAAGGTCCTGGTGGCTGGGGTGGTCCTGACCCTCGGGGTCCTCCCCCACCCGGCCCTCGTGAAGGTCCTGGTGGCTGGGGTGGTCCTGATCCTCGTGGTCCTCCTCCGCCCGGTCCTCGTGAAGGCCCTGGTGGCTGGGGAGGTCCCGGTCCCCACGGCGGGCATTATGGCAGACCGGTAAGTGCCCCGAGCCAGATATTCTGGATCATTGCTAATACTTCTATTCATAGCATGGTGGATGGTAAACTTAAAGCATCAAGAATAGGAATGTACATATATCACTGGGACTGGAAATACATAGCTGCTTATGAGTCTTGCTGGAAAAGACTAATCTGCCTTCGTCTTTTTGGCCTTTTTGGGGGTTGGGAAATTGCGATATGCTGCCAGATGTATACAAGTTGATATTGGCAGCAATGATATATTATTTGAAGCCTCATGCTAGCAGATCATGTTGCTCTAGAGAAAGTCTGTAGTGATAAATGCTTGATACTCTGAGTCATTTAAAAAGTAACTTTGGAATGCCATATATTGATGTCATGCACTGTAAGTTGAATAGAGGAGATGGCCTATCTCTAGCTCGGGAAATCCCACTTTCAAGTCATGTCTTGAATAATTCGGAAGATTTACCTATACTGACCTGCACAATCCCAGCTTGTGATGATCTGTGATATTATTAGCAGCAAGTTGCTCTCAGGTGGCCGAAGCGACTTGGACTTACAAGTGGATGAGATAGCAGAGTTCTTTTCGCACGAAGATTTCTCTTTGAATATAGTAGGTGATAGATGGTTTGTCTAATGGTGAAGCGAATCTGGTCCCGAGACTCGTAAATGAAGCCCGTTTCCCTGAGGATAGAAATAAAAAAATAGATTGAATAAACCAGAAAAAGCTCCGAACCATTGCAAGTGGAGAAAGGCCCTTGTAGATCAGAACTCTTTTTTGATGGCGCCGCTGGGGGCCAAAGTCAAACGCTCTCCACTTAAACTTGGCATTATCCATATTATATTACGGTTACGGTACTCCAGGAGTCCACCATATCGAATTGTCTGAACTCACTTCTTCCTGCCTGATCTTCCAGTCCTTTTAAGGTTATCTGATCCCCCACCGGAACATCTCATTGACACCATGCCTAGGCGAAAGGCGAAATACGATGAAGAGGCTTGCAAGGACGCAGTTCACGGATCTCGAATTCCAAAGGATTTGAGCGAGCCGTGTCATCGACTGTGCACTATTCGTGGCATACGGCATCATTATGGCTTTGCTAAACAGCTCCGTGGAATCCCAGAATTCACGCGCGCCTTGAATGCCCGGGATTTCATGAGCGGTATCATACCAACCATCTCGCAGCCTGACGAGATACCTTACTGTATTTGGTATCCTGAAGTCCCGACAGGGGAGACCCTCCGAGCTCTGGTTCAACGATACCCGGATATGCTCTATCATGCTGCTCGCGCGTGCGCTGTTGCAGGGTATATTGATCTGTACAAAGAGCTCGACCCTCTTCCGGAGGTCCATATCGCAGAAGAGGCTGGCTACGCAAGCATGCAGAAAGACAGCACCGGCAGTCGACACATTTATCAGCATATTCTCTCTCAGCCTGTGAAGTTCGAGATCATGAACGACTATACACGTACGGTCGACGTTGCCGGGCGTCGAGCTGCATTTCTCAATGGGGATACTGCTGTTTATTCGAGTCTTACAGCCAGACGGAAGTACTATAGCCCTAAAGGGTGGTTTTCTATACGTTATAGAAAGCCATGGGACACTTACTGCTCAGATCCCCATTACTTCAATATCACCGAAGATTGGGGAATCGATGACCATGACTGCGATGCCCCTGAGGCACCAGAGGATTATGTCCCACTGGTATATAGCCCACTCCCTGCAGATCTTCCGCTCATCAACAAGGACAAATTAATCCATGTTGCAGCATACAATGGCGATATCGATCGCTACGCAAGACTTCGGAGACCGCAGATGCTCGAACATGAAGGGCCCTGGTGATACATGGTATCTACCACTATCCATTTTTTGCCAAATACTGGACTACACAGATCCCTGAGCACCCAGAGGATAAAGGCAATAGGCGTGATCTCAAAATTAGGCGCGCGATCAATGCCCGTCGTATCATGTCCAACGATCTGTCTTGGCTCAGCCCGGATAATCCTGGGGCGGTATACCCGGATCTTATTTGGTACCCAGAGCTCGCTCACAGTTCAACCTATGAGAAGCTAGCTCATAAGAGGCCAGGAATGTTTGACATGTGTCTACGGGCATGCATAGTAGCAAACAAGGACCATACGTGGGATAGCTTGCTGCGCGACGCGTTTGATATATGCAAGTCCACTGGCGACGACGAGCCCAAAGATCCCAAGCTATGGTGGCTGTCCAAATATGCCGACCGCGGACTATGGAAGGAAGCGGGTGCCTCATCAAACAAACATTATCAAGACGATAACTTAGCAGCTGTGCCTGACGCCGCTCAAAAATTTCAACGTGGGTACGACTGGTGGAGGGACTACCACACCGCGGGTGATCTTTACTTCCCAGATCGGGACATGCTTGTCCAGCTCTTTGACCCGGTTCATGCGGGATCCACTGATGGTCCGTACGATGGGATGGGTTGCGGGATTGGTGATGTCGATCTTGCACTATTTCTGGGAGATGCGATTTCGAGGGAGACTTGGAAGAAAGAGATAGAAGATGAAGAATATTTGCTGGCCCATCTTTACGAGATCTGGGACTTGCTAGATCTTGAATTAAATTCATAGGTAGACCAGATTTTGAATGAACCAATAGGTGTTGCATTCTATATCGAATGAAACCTTTCCCTTGGATTTTCAAGTTAATTAACGATTATATCACATTGAACAATAAATGTGTATGGCAGGCCTCCGTAAGTATCCTCCCATCATGTTGAACAGCCTGAGGTGGCCATTTTCGCCGTTTTCAGTGCATTGATGTTCAGTTCGTGGCTTTTCTCGTTTCAAAGAATGAAATGTTTCAATCTCATTGAATCTCTGCCATCCTTTGTCTCTACTGCGTCGACCGAATCTTTTGCAGCCGTGAAATCGCAGGTGATCCATCTATCGATAGGTCCCTCAGGATCTTTTGGAATGCCCATTCTCTCTTTGACCAACCCCTCATCAACCATGGGGCATCCTTTATCAGTTCACCATTGTCATTTTCTGGCTACGTCTCCCAAACCGCGTTATCGTATATTTTCCGAATTTCAATTCCTATATCTCGGGCCGCCTTGGTCCTTCGTCCGAATAGGGCTCGGCTTCGGGCCAGTTCAGCTCGCTCAAACATTTCCGGTTCGAGGTTGAATTTATCCTGCACAAAGTTTTCTTGCTCAATGAACCTTTTCCCGCGGTCAGTGTCCTTTGATGTGCCGTTGTGAAAGTCAAAATGTAGACTTACGCAGCAACGTAGTTGATGAGCTCATTGATCCCTTTTCGCAGAGGCGGCAAAGGCGAGAAGAGCAATATCTGCCGAGCATATCGCGATATTGGGAGAAAAGATCAAGGGTGGAATGGCCCGAGTTAACAAGTTGAAGCAAATTTGCCATTAGGTGGACGGATTGATAGATGTAAGCTATCGGTTTTCCTACTTCCAGAGGTAATTGGATTTGAAATTTCTCTGAAATGTATTGATGTATTATCCCTGTATCCAGGATGAATCTCTTCCACTTTTTATTATGTTGTGTGTACCTAGACTTGTCATTTTATACCCTTTTTAGTGTGACCATTCTTCGTGCCATGCTCGTTGGAGCCCATAATTGTGTCTCCAAAGCCCCAGCTTCAGAGACAGACGAGATAGTCGCAGGGCGACTTTGCTTGCTTCCATCAGGATTTTTAGTCAAAGGCCCCTGCTGCGCAACGGACTCCCGTCTCTGTTCAGCACGCTCAAGCTCCCCGACCTTCCAACCACGAACAAGCCATAGACAAAGCGAAGCGGCTATGTACATAAATCCTGTGAAAATTTGTACATGCAGATACGAAGTCCCTCCATCAGCAGTAGGGCGACGAAGCTCCAATGCAATGACCTCTGATACCGTGCAAGGCGCAACAAGCCACAGCCAAGTAATACTCAAACCAGACGGCAAATCTCTCAGCCCAATAATCTCCGCCAGCACCGGTGAGACAGTTGCCCAGTATGTCCCCGAGACAGTGCCCACAAGCACAGCAAAGAAACAAACCACACCCATGCTATCAGCAAAGACCCAAATAACAAGACAGAAGAGGCCACAAATGAACGTCAGGAATGTAGCAATATTGATACGGCCCAGACTATCACTGAACATCCCAACACAAGGACGACCAAGACCCTGTCCCAGATTCAAGAGTGCCGAAACAACACTCCCCTGATGCGAAGTTAATCCAACCGAGAGCGCAAAGTTGGCCACACTGAACAGCAGTGCCACATAACCTAGCATACTGAAGAAGCCCCATCCCAAGAAAAGTAAGAATTCAGGCCGACGCAGCAACGGGAAATGGAAAGCCGTGAACCGACTCCCGACAAGCTTGTTGCGATCACGAAGCAAATTCCCGCAAACAAGATTCACGACACAAGATACGATTCCGAGAATCCGGAACGCCCAGCCGAGTCCATAGCGTGGGATAATCGCTCCAACTGCTAGCGAATAGATTAAACCGCCGAGACCTGAGCCTGCGGCTGTGATGCCCATTGCGACACTGCGGCGTTTCTGGAACCATTGTGGTGCGATGCCGACGCTGCCGACGAAAAGGAATCCCATTCCCCAGCCGAAGCAGACGCCTTGACTGAGGAAGATGTGCCATTTCTGTGTGGCGAAGGAGGAGCCGATTAAGGAGAGGGTTTCGAAGAAGACGCCTGTGTTTAGAACGAGGCGGGTGCCATATAATTGGATGAGGAATGTTGCTACTGGGGCGACGAGGAGCGCGCAGGAAATGCTGAGACCGCCTGTGAAGGCGTAGTCGAGAGATGATGTGTTGGGGAAAACATTATGAGAGAGATAGTAGCTCAGGAAAACGCCGTAGCTCTGAAAGTTTATGTGATGGTTAGCGGTTGTCTGAAGTTAGATTGAGTTCTGCGGCTGCATGTGGAATGTGTCACTCACGCTATTGATTCCCCAGGTATGGGCGTTGATCCAGAATACACACGCGACACAAACCCAGCCATAACCACCATCGGGGGGTACGTCATGCTTGTACTTCTCGTCGGGGTCAGGTTGTGCGGTAAACGAGGATTGCGGGTTCTCGGCCGCATGTCTAGAGCTCGTTACCGAGTCCCGGTCGTCTTGATGTGACTGAATGACATCAATAGGGGCATTATCTGCCATTTCCAGTCCACAGGCTTTATAAGCTTGAGGAACTGTGAAGGAAGTAAGCTGGGCCCTGTTTAAGGGGACGCTGCTGGTGGCGATCGGTCTGATCTTGGGACCCGTTGGTTTGCCGTTTTCACGACATGGAGCTAATATTCAGGGGAAAGGAGATGGAAAGAGCTTGGAAAAGTGGTGGATCTTTTAGTCACATCTTTTCAGTCTAATGGCCTAGTCCGTAATTGTTAAGTCGGACTTGGTGCCGACATTCGGAACTGCATAGAGATGGAGAAATGTCCGGGATCTTGGGGTCATGACGGTCCGGGGACTTCAAGCCAATAGATGAGCATAGATCTGTTGCCGAGAACTTTAAGGGAGCATTGACTTGGAGTGGGGTCGTGGGGTATGTGGTGCCGTAGAGCCGGTGCGGAGATATGGAAGTGATGTTCAAGAATTGGAACTAGATTTCACTCGTAAAAGGAACTGACAAGAAACCATGATCATAAGCATAAGCATATGCTCACTCAGATAAAAAGCATGAAGGAATGGTCGGCTATAATAGGGGCAAAAAGTTCCAACTAGACAACAAAGTCGTTGACGAAGGAAGACTATCCTAGTCAATTAATGTCTTACACCAATAAGAATAACGAATCAATTTATACAACTGCAGCTATGCAACACCATCACGTTTCCATGCGCGTGTATGAACTGCAGCGAATTTCAAGGAACGATAAGCACGCGGGGAAAGCCCTAAGCCCTAGCCCGAATAGGCAATACATGATCACATTGGTTGCCCTGGTGGTGTTTGTTTGGGCCCGCAGTTGGGTACAGCGGAGATCGATCGCGACCCGCTCTTGATTAGGTCCCTAGCTTGACGTCGTTTCTTCCCTGCATTGGAATCACTGAGGATTCCTGAGTAAGGATAACGACACAGCAATCATGATGCATAAGAACACCAAGACTGGCCAGCGGAAGGTCTCTCCTCCCGGCCCAACTTACATGAACGGCGACCAGATCGGTAAGACGTGCTTGACTCATTCGGGATGCCCTTTGAGACCCTTCATTGGGATTTGCGGGAACTGGACAAAGAAGCAATAATTAACGCGCCTCGACAGCAAGCTACTTGAAAGATCTCCGAACGAATCGTCCAGCTCGTCCCACGGGCTCTCGTCCGTACCCAGGGAAAGCAGCAACATTCCCGACCAATCCCCAAGATGACCTACCTCCAAGAGCTACTTCCGCCTTCTCAATGAACCGTCCAGACGAAGAGCCTGTTGAAGACCCACCCCGTGCTGGCAGCGCGCTGTCGCATCGCCGAACGCTCTCCCACGTCCCTCAGAGTGGTCCTATCGGCCGTCCTTTGGCCCAAGAGCCACGATCGATGTCTGTGCGGAAAAACGTCTTCCCCTCGCAGGTGTTTTCACGCTCTGTGCCCATCGCTGCATCGCCGGTCCCTTCATACCGTGAGAATGGCCACCGGCTCCAAGAAAAGGAAGAGGCGCGTTCTCTACGCGACGCGCTGCAGGGATTGGACGTGGAAGATGATGATGTGCGTCTCCACAAAGCAGCTCAGGATGAAGCCACGGAGCTGGTGTGGATGCATCAGAATCCGGGTATGGCCAATAAGAACCCCTACGCACCCTATCAGAACCCAGACTTTAGCTCGAGCAGTTCAAGTCCCGCGCGAAGAGGCTCGGAATCATCTTCTAAGAAACATCGACACTCAATTGGCTCCAGTGCCTCTTCTAGTAATCCATCAAGCCCGGAAATTACCATGGATTCATCTGCGAAGAGGCAGTCATCGCGGGCGGGGAATCTAAAGAAGAACCTCAAAGTCAATTTCGCTCTGCCTGACGATCCACCAGAGCCTGCTCCTAAGCCTCGAACTGTCAGTGGTGATACCTCCAAGGGAGTATTCAGCAATCCCAACGACCAGATTTATGAAGAGCCCAACGAGCCTAGTAAAGAAGCAGCCGACACCCGACCCTTCTTCTCGAGATCCGCATCCTCAGCGTTACGGAATGAACCCCGCAATGCACCTCCTCGTAGCCCCAAGCCTCTTCCTTGGTTGCGGGATCGAAACAGCAATGGATCTGTTCGCGACAAAATTTCCAAGTTCGACATTCATAAGAACCCACCAACTCAATCTCGGAACGCTGGGTATACAAGAAACGAACCGACTCCACCACCCGCACCCTCTACCAAGGAAGAAGAGGCCCCCACAAAAGATGGGATCGAGATCCGCAGTGATGACATCCGGGCCGCCACCAGCAAGAGACTCAAAGACCGAAGTGAGAATCTCCCCAAGCCTTCTGCTGTTAGTGATCGAGTGGGGCGACCGATCGTGAGCTTTGATCCGAAATGGCAGGCAGAAAATCAACCAAAGCCTAACCGCCAGTCTCCACCTCCAATTCCTGTCATTGAAGTGGCGCCGAGCATTGAAATCACACCCAGCATTGAAGTTTCCGCACCACCTATCCCTGTGATCAATATCCCAGATATCAAGGAGCCAACTATCTCGGAATACAGCTCGCCTACCAAACAGGACAGCAGATCCTCGAGACAAGCACCGCCATCGACGAACCGCCAAACTCAGCCAAGACCATTAGGAAGACAGCCTTCGGAACAACAGAGTCGTTGGACCACACCTTACAGCCGATCTGGCGTACCAACTGCAAGCTGTGAGGCCTGCTCGCTCGGCATTTCCGGGAAGATAGTGACAGCTGGAGGCTGTAGGTTCCACCCAGAGTGTTTTATCTGCTTCCATTGCCAGACGCATCTGGAATGCGTTGCGTTCTACGAAGAGCCCTCTGCTAGTCGGGAGGAACGCCTGGCAAGCTCACCAGACGAAGACCGTGTGCCTCGATTCTACTGTCACCTGGATTTCCATGAACTATATAGTCCCCGCTGCAAGAGCTGCAAGACCCCGATTGAGGGCGAGGTGGTAGTTGCCTGTGGTGCCGAATGGCATGTAGGCCACTTCTTCTGTGCCGAGTGTGGAGATGTAAGTTCAATCTTTTCCTTTAGGCACAGCTTCTTGCTAACTTATTTCTCCAGCCTTTCAGCTCAACCACCCCGTTTGTCGAGAGGGATGGGTTTGCCTGGTGTCTCAATTGCCACTCTCGTCGTACTGCAGCCCGTTGTATGGGCTGTAAGCAGCATGTCCTTGACGACGTCGTTGTAAATGCTATTGGCGGACAATGGCATGAACGCTGCTTTAATTGCCACGAATGCGGAGACGGATTCGGTCCTGAAGGCCGCTTCTTTGTTCGTGAAGGTGAGCCGAAGCGCACGGCCAAGGGCCGTATCATCGGTGGACCTGTCCAGCTGGCTGTCTGTGAGCGATGTGAGTGCATCCGTCTCAAGGCGCCTGGTATGTGCTGAAATCTCGAACCATTTCGGAAACTGAACCATTTATTATGATGCTACTGCATGATGACTTATTTTTTTTTTATTTCGGGCAATTTTTGTCTTTCTCTTCTACTTATGTTTTTAGGGTTTGTTAGATTCTGCTTTTTGTTTCGGGGTTTCGGTCATAGCATGAGCAGATTGTCATTGTTATTAGCGTCGGTCATTGGTTAAATGCATGATATAGAAATTCATAACCTCCTTTACACCAATTGATTCCAGTTTTTGAGAAGATATATACTCCATTTTCAGCACCACTGAGTTCAAGCTGGCCACTCAGGATTCTCCTTCCTTCTAAAAACAGCCACATACTTGTTTCCCTTATTCCTGGATACCTTCTTCGACTCTTCAGTCTCACAAAACATAGCAGTAACACACGGATCATTTTCAAGTTCCTCACCCTCAACCCGCTCAAACAAATGCTTAACAGAACCAGCCGAAACATCCTCACCCTCCTGCACAAGGAAATGTCTCAGAATCCAATGATGGTACTCCTCAACATCGGTAATAGAATACAACATCCCACCTGGCCGCAAGAGATACGCATACTCCGCATTCAAGCTCTCCGAAATAATGCGCGCCTTATGCTTTCGCACCTTGAAATGCGGATCAGGGAAACAGATAAAGATCTTAGAAAGCTGTCCGCGCTTGAAAAAGTTCGGCAGGAACTTCATCGTGTTTGCGCGGATCCCGGAGATATTCTCGTAGTTACCCGGAACGAGTGCGTCAGTCGTACCGACCTCGTCTTCCGGGGCGGGCGCATCGGGTAGCCTTTCTGTTTGCGCTTGCGTTTCTTCTTGCTGTGTTGTAGGCGCTTGGGATGTTCCCTTCAATTGCTCTTGGCGGAGGCGGAGGGCGCGGATGCGCGAGCGCACGTAGTCTGAGACTGAGGTTCGGATTTCAAGGCCCAGTATTAATGTTTCTGGGAGGAGGGGGCCTAGGCCGACGAGGAGACCGCCGAAGCCGCAGCCGATGTCGATAACTTCGACGTCTTTGAGGAGCTTGCGGGCGCCGCTGAGGTTTGTGTGTGTAGGGTCTTGGTCTACGAATGCTGGGTAGTGGGAAGACCAGTCCATGTGGTTGGGGGTTCGGGGACTGGTAAGGTAATGTTAGCTTCGTTTTCGTTTCGTTCGAGCTGGGGTTGTGCAGGTATAGCCGTGAGTTGGTGGCATTGGTCCAATTTGGACCCAAAAGGTCCAAATTTCTGCCCTATGTGTTCATGCCGGTGTACATTGAAGTAGGGTATACACATACTATTCAAGGTTATGGTCCGAAAAGACATTCGCATGCGCGCGCTGGCGGAAGAATTTCTTCTGAGGCATCTTGACTTCGCCATCGGTAGCTGTTTGCTCGCCGAGCTTGCGGCGGTATTCTTCGCGCTTCTGCCGCTTGTTCAGAGAGGGGGTCGTCATCGTGAAAGGTGGTGAACGCTAGGTTCAAGTACAGGTCGTGTGCAATGGTGGAATTGAAGGAAGAATAATTTGCGGGAGTGTTGCCCCACTATTGACTCCGATTGGCTCTCACATAAGCTTGACTTGGAACCGCAGCTCTACTCTATTCTACTCTCTACTACCACTACATTTGTCTCTGAATCATTTTCTTTCTCATTTTGTTAGAGTAGACAGCATATACAGCGCAAGAATGACAGCCACAACGTCAGCAGCTTTCTCTTTCCCTCCGACATACAACTTCCCGCCCTTCTTCACCCCGCAACCCAATACCACTACCCGCCAAGCTCAACTTGCGAAATGGTCTTCGTTGATCCAAGCATGGTGCAAACATCACAGACAGTATCGCCTCAGCCTGATTGAAGCAGTTGATAGTCCGCTCTTTCATAATGCGGCGCTGCGCAAGCGTCTAGATCTCCGTGAAGCTCGCGCGGTGTTGGACTGGATGGTTAAGAGCGAGGAGGAAGGTGGTGGAGGTCAGCGTGCAGAGTGGATTGATTCTTCTGCAGGAAGCCAGGGACCGAAGTCTGTGGCGTGGATTTGGTGGCGGAGGCCAGAGGAGTGGGCGGATATACTCGTGGATTGGGTGGAGGGGACAGGGCAGCGCGGGGCGGTGCTGACGGTATATGAGCTTATACAGGGGGAGGCGACGGCGTCACAAGGTGAAATTCCGCAGGATTGTCTTGGTCGATGGGTATACTGACATTTCTATGCAGAATTTCATAACATGGACAATGATGTCATGTTGAAGGCGTTGAACATCCTGTCTAAACGCGGCAAGGCACAGGTCTTTGGAAGTGAAGGACAAGAAGGTGTCAAGTTTTTCTAAATTCTAAAAAGACGTGGCTATTCATGATGAAACGCTCAAATATTCCCATGTGTGCAGGCCAACCCCGGCCAGTGCGCCAAACATTTACATGACATCTGTGACTACAAAAGCTAAACCCCGAAATAAGCGGTACCAGAGCAACAGCTCAAGCCTACTCTTCTTCGTTGCCAATCATATCCTCTGTCAGCTCGTATGCCTCGGGGCCTTTCAACTCCTGCGACATGGCCATGTCGAGCAGCCAGTCCACTCGGACAATTCGCGGGGCCCGCTTGATATCGCCAGCTACCTGACGGAATCGAGGCCAGAGACGGGCATGCTTGGACTCAGCACTACTGAGAAGGAAAACGTCGTGTCGTCCGGCCTCGCCATCCTCATCACTATTCTCGTCGTCACTTTCCTCCCGGCGTGAAGGGTTAGTCAACGCGAGCCGGCCACGGAAGAGCATGCACTCTCCGCCATTTACGTCGACGATGGACTTAAATGCTTCAAATCCACCACGAATATCCTCGACACAGTAGATGCGGAATCCGCGCAGAAGCTTGTTCCTATTCGCCTTGGCCTTGTCTGTAGCCTTGGCCAAAGAGAATCGGAACTTGCTCTCGGCCGTTTTGTCGATCAACTTGAAATCCGCCGGGTCGAGCAGCTTGTCCTCTTTGAGGCAATTGGTGACAAAGTCGGTATGAACAATCACGGGCGCATATGCCAATGCATTTACAAACTTGGTGGTACGCAGAATAGACGGGGCTGCCATATGGGTGCATCGTCGGGCATCCTGAACCACCATGATACCCAGGTCTCGAAGATGTCGCTGTTGAAAAATGAGTACCGTTCCACTGATATAAAACAAACATACATACCTTGTCTGCATCTTCCCTTTTCTCATTGCCTTTCCCAACCCAACTTTGGTAGCCGGTGATCAGTAAGTGCATCGTAATAGCAGGTCGAGATTTCTTCGCCCGTTTGGCTTCGTTTACTTGCTCAGTGTCACTCTCTCCCTCTGCTTCGACCGAGCGGCGCTTCTTGGGGTTGTCGCGCACACGATCTTCATCTGACTTCCGTCTACCGCCATGAATGACGCCACCGACGCGCTTCTTCTCCTTCTCGTACAGAGCAATATCAGGGGCAAGGTCATGGAGATGAGCGATTGCTGCCTCTTTCGATTTACGGCTACTAACCGACGACGGAGTCTCATTTTCCTTGTTATCAGGGATAAGCCGAGACCGAGAAGGGGTCTCTACCTTCTTCTCTGAAGGCTTGCGCGTCTTCCCATTAGCTTTGGGGGTACCGGTCTTTTCGGAAGCCTTCTCACTGGCTTTCCGCTTTGCATCAGCCGGGGGCTGCATCGATGGCGCATCATTGTCCTTATCTTGCATGACAGTTTCAGAATTCGGTAGCCCTTCCAAGGAGAAAAAGTTCTTCTCGAGTACATCGCGTTCCAGCATCCTCTGGCCGGCAACGTCACCCAGATTGGTTCGTGAAGGGAAATAGTTGTAACGTGGGCAGGAGACAGGTTGCATCTGCCACTTAGCATAGCTATCTTCCAGCCATAAATGGTTGACCACCTGTAAGCCCCATTCCCTCGCAGCGCTGCATTTCTCACTCGTTCCATGGGCAGTAATCAAATGAGTATTTTCCTGCTTCAAGGTTTTCGTGCACTCGGCACCTGCTGCAGTGATCAAATTTTCAAGATAAATTCTGGCTTCGCCAACATAGTTGGACAGACTGACTTTAAGCCCTTCAAAACCGGGGATCGGTGTGCGAGAAATTGGGTAGTGGAGCATTCGGCTCAAGGGCCGAGTGTATTCATTGTACGTCATCAAAGAGTACAGCCAGGCAAGATTGCCAACTTCCTTATCCAGTCGTGAGGCAGTTCGATAAACAAAGCCTTCACGGAAGCGACAAATAATCCAATCTGCTTCGTTGACATTTCCTGTCACAGTCGCACCGCCCTGCTTGATGACCGTTTCGATGGATTCCAGCAAACGCGAGCCAATACTCAAGTCAGGAGACAGCATGATACATTTCCCATCAAATACACTGCGGTCATTAGTTCCCTGTGCATCAATGTTCACTGTAGGCAAAGCAGACGGCTCAGGTGTGGATGCGCCAGCCAGGCCCTTGTTTCCGTTCCCTCGAATTGGGTCGTCGGGGTTGGCGCGCAATATTTCTGGGTCTGGTAGTATGTATGGGCGCTCGTCTATGCGTCGACCAAGTTTCAGACAATCGTCAAACCTAAATTGCGTCAACAGAAAATCCACATGTAAAAGCCGTATCAAAAGACCCACCAATGAGGCAAAACAATCTTTGCACGCAGCTTTTTGGCTTGAGTCAAACGTGCCTTGTCCGAATCCATAGTTAGATCCACCAGATGAGTGACCAAAGCGGACATGCGTGGGCTGTACAGGCCGCCTTTAGCCACAACTCCTCCAATGATAGCATCTTTATCTCCCTCCGGGATGTCGCCGCATGTCACCACCACATCGTGCAAGAATAGACGAGGGTCAGGGCTATGTTGACGCGGGTTGGCAAGCTTGCGCTTGGACAGAGAAGTGTGAACCCATGATGGCTTCACGACCGGGATTAAAGCCTTGCAGGCGATGTCATAGGACTCAAAGTTGATCGTATTGGATACAATATGGGTACACTCCGCCGTGTCGTCTTTTGTTGGGCTCGAGTTATGAATCGACGGTTCGCCGCCGTATTCTTCGATCACTGCTGCTAACTAGAGTTTTGGGGACGGTGAGCCCTCTGCGATGCGCGTGATTGTAGATCATCGGAAAACATACCTGCTCGGCGGTCTCAAGGGGGAGTAAGTCTGTGCTTACGATGCAGACACGGCACTGCTCGAAGAGCTGGGGCTCCTCGTCCGGTTGCATCGTGGTTGGCAGATTCTGTGGTTGTGTGTAGGCGTGGCCCGCGTGGGGAAATGAATCGCAACGCTGACACGCGCCGGGCGCGAAGCCTAACGCCAGGTCACGTGAGAAGGACCAGTCAAAGCGCATCGCGTTGAATTTCGCAAAAAGAGATAGTGAAGATTCAAATGGGGTGTAGAAAAGATTCTTCATGAATGCTGATGGACTGAGAAACTGGATCTGATGTCCATATTGTATGCCGATGATGGGGAAGGAGCGCGTTATGGACTGAACTATAAACGGAAGGAATAACCAAAATACAGTGCTATAGTTCTCGTCCCGGGTTACATACTCCAGTCCACTCTCTGTCTGTTATTCTCGATGTCCGTTTCCTTATATATCAACAATGCGCTACTTGAGAAAAGGGAATCTTCATGCTGACGATGGAATATCGATAAGCATCCATGTCCAGTGCTCTATAGCTTAAAGGTGGAGCCTGTGGTGTCCTACTCGGGCCTTTCGAAACCCGCAGGCTAATTTAGCTACACTTATGATAGAATCTATCAGTTCATCCGGATCTTTCTATTGAATAACTCTTAACGAAGCGGGTAATGGGAAGCTGGTACAAAAGCATAAAACAAATCAGCAAAGAAGATACAAAGCCCAACTTCTATCTATAGCAACCTTGCGCCATAAATTCCTCCCGTAAGTCGGTGACACCAAGTAATCCACCGACAAGAAGAAGAAAGATATATGTATGGTCAGCTAGTTTCTGTTTTCCGTCCTGCAAGAACTTGTGTGACAACGAGTAGGAAAGGGTTTCATCCACAGCCAAAGTGTGGGTGGTAAGGATATCCAGTGGCAAAACAAAGCAAGAAAAGAAAAGCGTCACTGCTTTTTTACTCGGCATCCAAAAGGCCAGATTGTGCTCATTTCCGTTACAATTTGCCATTCGCGTCGGAGAGGTCATGGCAAAAATGATAAGGCTATTTCTGGGTCGCGTTGAAGCAAAACAGTATTTGGTGATTCAGTAGATACTCTAAGTGGACTTCTTGTCTCGGCTGACGCTGTTCTCCGACGTAGGTGTGGTGCGGATAACTTCGGGAATGTGCCAGAAACGTGCCCATCGTAGATGATAGTCTTCTTGGTTTCCGTTCAGACAATGTCGTAGCCAGATGCCCCAGACGATGTACAGGTATGCCCCGAGGCCGGTCATGACATGCCTGAAGTATAAGTTAGCGGGTGCAATCATATCAAGAGAGGTAACCTCAGGTAGTTATGATAACATTGTACAGTCATGGGGCAAAAGGAGAGTAAGCACATACCACCAACCATGTCCCTCCAGGAAAATGCCCCATGGCAGGCCTACTACCCGCCTCCACCGGCGAATGCTGGAGCAGAACTGGTTATCCAGGTTCCAGATTGCAAACCCGCCGAGAAACATGCTCAACCCGTACGCCACCATGAACCACATTGTCTTGAGAGTTTTCATGTCTCGCACGTTCTCGTAATGCTGACGCTCCTTGGTAGGTACCGGAAGTCCCTGCTTTTGTCGTTCCAGTCGGTCTTCTTCGCGAGACTTGCGCCACCGGGGTCGCAGAGTCACCTCCATGGTGTGCATGCTGCGAAAGACGACAACGATTGTTAACAACGCGTAGGCATTTTGGTGGAAGACAGGATTCTGCAGGTAGTGGTAGTAGAGGGTGATGAAGACGGAGAGAAAAGTTAACGACAATGCTAAAACAACACGGAAGCCCAGCGGGCGGGTATATGAAAAGCTGGCGTAGGCCATCAAGCACGTTGTGTAGATCATTGAAAGCTCATCGACCAGTTGCATGGGGTCTATTTACAGCGCCAACGTTAGTTGGAGCTTTTAGACAACAGATATGATCCCAGCAGAGAGTCAAGAACATGACAATAGCTGGGATCGTACAATATTGCGGAAATACTTGCATTTTAGGGTCGAATGGAACAGGAAACTGCCTGTTCCTACCACTAGGTAGCCTAATAGGGCGACCAAGAAGATCTGGTCATGTTGATTGCGCCGGCAGCTGATAATGCCCTTGACGCCCAGCCACATGAAAAGCAAGTTTGTCAAGGTATTGACAATCTCAGCAGAGTATATAGTGGCATAGTAGTCCTAGATACCATCGTCAACCAGGGTCCTGAAGCCATCTGGGGTTCGGTGGGGCCATAAACGGGTTCATACTTCTTCGCACCAGTTGAGGGTAGAGGTGACAGGGTTCCAGAACCCGGCCTTGGACGGCGGGTACGGAAAAGAGGGAATCCACTGCATATCTGTGGTAAGGTATAGAGGTAAAGATTCAAAAGAAGAGAAGGTGACAACGCAAGTCTAAGACCTGCACATGACGTCGATTACAGCAGCAACTGAATTGACGAGATCTGATTGGCTCCCGCGACAATCCGCGAGCTGCCGGTGTGTTTGGTCCGTTTGCGGGAAAGTTGCGAATGCTATTGTATTTTCACTATTTATTTTGATAATTCTGATTTAGTAAAATGTCCAAAGGCGTATATGTATTTTTATCATCTAACTCGCCTTGGTACCTGAGCGAGAGTTTAATCATTGTCCTAGTACAAAACGACACGGAGGCTGAATGCACCGTTATTAGTGCATCCGAGTCCTTATCGATACCGAGGCTCTGACCGCGGATCCGATGACTTCACTTCCTGCTTACAGGTGCAACACTTCAACTTTTTAATATACCAAATCTTGTGACATTGTTGCCGATAAGGATCGTTGAATTCGACCTTCTCTCATTCCAAAATTGTGTTAAAGAGGAATGCCTGCCTCATTCCATCTATTCTGATCCCGATCCCGTCGGTTTTTCGCTTCAATTTTCCTGCATGCGGTGACTACAAACCCTGCCATTCCCTCACCGACTTCGCGACTTGCACAAGATTCGATCCGGTATCGAATCATTTCTAATCAAAGAAGTGAACCTACCCCAATACCCGAAGTCCACAACCACTGGTTGATTAGTGCGCAACGGGCACCGAAGCCATGTCTAACAATGGCGCGTACGTTGTGCCGCAGGTGAAGACAGGCACCTCGAAATGTATTTATCTCCACAAACAATACCTTCATTTACCAAAGGCCCTCAAACTAATCCGCACAATTATACAGCCTCAAAAACGATCTTTCACTTCTCCGCCGGTCTCTGCTCCGGTCTCACATCATCCATCCTCCTCCAACCGGCCGATCTTCTCAAAACCAGAGTCCAACAATCCCAGCAATCCCTCCTCCCAACACTCAAGGGTATCCTCTCATCTCAAAATCCAATCCGCGGATTATGGCGCGGCACACTTCCCTCAGCGCTCCGCACCGGCGTCGGCTCAGCCCTCTACTTCACCAGTCTAAACTCCCTTCGTCAAGCCGTCGCCCAAGCCAACACCCCCCTCCTCGCAAACCAAACCGTCACTCAATCCTCCTCTGCCCTTCCTAAACTCTCCAACACAGCCAACCTCGCTACCGGAGCCGTTGCCCGTGTCGCAGCAGGTTTCGTCATGATGCCCGTCACAGTCATCAAAGTTCGCTATGAGTCCGATTTCTACGCCTACCGCAGCCTCTTAGGCGCTAGTCGTGACATTTTGCGAACAGAAGGATTCCGCGGCCTCTTCGCCGGCTTCGGTGCCACCGCAGCGCGGGACGCACCGTACGCCGGCCTTTACGTCCTTATCTACGAGCAGCTGAAACGGCGCCTTGGATCCATGGCGGCGAAAGGGTCAAATATCAACAGTGATGGGACGCCACAGGCTGTATCCTCTTCGGGTATTCATTTCACGTCAGGAGCGTTGGCAGCCGGTATGGCCACTGCTATTACGAACCCGTTTGATGCGGTGAAAACCCGACTGCAGCTTATGCCGGCCAAGTATGGCAACATGCTGCGTGCGGTGCGTTTTATGGTGAATGAGGAGGGAATTCGCAGTCTTTTCGGTGGACTGGGTCTTCGTATGGCCCGGAAAGCGCTTAGCTCGGCGCTGGCGTGGACGGTCTACGAGGAGCTCATTCTCCGCGCCGAGAAGCGGTGGGAGACGAATCATCAGATTCCCCTGAGCACTTGAAATCATTAGGTTGCTCGGCCTTTCGATTTTCTTGTATTAATAGGCTATGGATTTTTCGATTGCTTCGAGCGGCGATAATGCACTACCCCACGTAGCGGTAGCACGCCTTGCATAAGGCATATATACCCGATGGGGAATTTAAAATTGCTTAAAGTTGGGACCTGCAGTATCTGCAGGCAGGATGGGTCTCTTTCAACAAATGGAATATAAATTTGGAGATGGCTGAATACATAGAAAGGAGTGGCGTATGATGAGAAATTCACAAAATGGAAACAAAAAAAGTCGTGAACATGGAAATCGTGTCTCATTACTGTGCCACTTCCTGAGCAACAGCCAGCTTCAAATAATAGGAATCTCAACTCAAAAGAAGCAATATCAGAAAGCATTCGGCCCAGGTCTCATAAAAATCGCAAGAAACAAAAAGCATAAACTCGATAACCAACATATATCGCGAAAACCTGCGAGTAAGATGGCGTGGGAAATAAACAGTCAAAAGACGTATAAGCATAACCTTGGTTAACAACGGCGAGAGCAGATGGTAGTAAGGCGAGACCTCATTAAGCGAAGACACGCAAGCGGTGCTGTGGGCTCTTCTTGCGCACCAAGAACATTTTGTCCTTGTGTCGGTCGTTGACCCGGAGCTCGGTCTGCGATTGAGAAGTCTGGGTGAGGACCTTGCCCTCGCGGATCCGCTTGGTGTGAGCGAAGAGCTCTTCCTGGAAATCCTCGGTGACCCATCGCTTGATGATTATGTAGTTGCTATCAGCCTGGACGGAGTTAGCATAGGCACCATATGAATATCTAAGCTCATGGTTTGCTTACCTCGTCCCAGTCCCAGGGAAGATTATAGGCGAGCAAGGTTTCTGGGAGCAGATGCTTGCGGTGAACCTAGAAATAAAGTTAGCATCTATATGGCTTGGATATAGTTCGTAGACCTGTATCGACTTACCTTGATCCATGTGGTCTTCCGCTCATCGATCACGGTCTCCTCCTTCTTTTCTTCTTTCTTCTCTTTCTTCTCCTCCTTTTCTTGATCTCGCTTCTTCTTGCTCAGGATATGCGCAATCTCCTCCTCATCGTAACCAAGATCGTGACGTAGTCGCTCTCGGAATTCACGATCTTTCTTCGCAGCCTCCTCGGCCGCTCGTTGCTTCTGACGCTCCTGCTCTAATTTCCATTCCTCGACAGCAGCAGCCTTAAGCATCATCTCCTTCTTCCTCTTCTCCTCAGCCTCGAAAGCCTTCTGGCGCTCCTCCTCAAGGATCTGCTTCTTAATCTTTTCTTTTTCTTCCTCCTCTTCCTGCTGCCGCGCAATCTCCTCAAGTTTCTCCTTCTTCAATTTTTCCCGCAACTCCTTCTGCTCAGCAGCAGCCTTCTCGGCCTCCTCAAGTTGTCTTATCCGCCACGCCTTCTCGGCCTTCCGCGCCGCCTCCTCATCCTTCTCGGTCTCCTCCAGTCTCCTCAACCGCCACGCCTTCTCCGCATTTCGCGCCGTCTCCTCCTCCCTTTCATGGTCCTCCAGCTTTCTCAATCGCCATGCCTTCTCCGCCTTGTGTGCTGTCTCCTCCTCCTTCTGTTTGCGCTCAATGCGCTCTAGGCGACGCAAACGCTCACTAATCTCATCCTCATACCACTCCTCCTCTTCCCGGAGCATCCTGTGCTCACGGGTGTCTCGCGGCGGCTCAGGCTTCTCACGATGCTTCTCAAGATGACGCTCCAGCCGCTCAATCTCCTGCTGCTGCTTCCAGATCTCCATACTGTGTTGCATATCGCTGCGCTCCAGTAAACGCTGGTTCATAGCAAGCTCATAATCACGGTGGAAAGGCGATGGCGTCCGTCCCTGTGCCTGCGGCACCTCCGCAGTAACATTCACGTTGGCCGAGATGCCAGCCTCGCGCTCCCGTTGCCGTCGCCGTGAGCCACCCCGCCGCGCAGGCTCCACGTCCAGCTCCTCGTCGGACTCATGCTCGTAGAACTTTTGCTGCACACGGTGCCGGGGCTTATTGCTATTGGCGTTGCGGGCTTCAGTTCGGCTGTCCGTGCGGGTTGCCTGCTCGTTCACGATCATGACGGCAGGCACGGAGGAGTCGCGCTCGCGGGGGCGGCGTCCGCCTGTTGAGGCAGAGCGGTAGACGCGAGTCATCGGTGCGGGCGCTAGGTACTCCTTTGGTTCGGGGCGGCGCTGTGCGTGGCGGGATACAGAGCGGCGGCGGATGTGGGTGCCGCCGTGACGGCCACGGATGGACAAATCGGTCTCGGAGAAGTCCGAGTCGTCCGAGGTATAATCATATTGGACAGGCATGCTGGGTAGTCTTTTTTTTCTCTTTTTTTTTTCTCTTTCCGTTGTGTAGTTAGATCACGATAGTGGATCTGTATAGTATCGAGACCCTAGTAGAGGGGGAGGGGGCCCGAGCGCTCGAGATTCGGTGAAGGCCTCGAGGTTTAGTGAGTTGTGGAGAGGAAGAAAAGGGGAAAGAGAAAAAGCAGCAGAAAATAATGTCAGGAGTGTGCGTCCTGAACACGAGGCGTGCTTATCGGGATCGCCGCTCAGCTGAGGGCGGGGGAGGGGCTGGTGATTGGAAAGAGGAAAAAAGAGAAGAAAGTTGGGACGCGGGGCCTTTACTATTTATTGCACTACTGGCAGGGCTGGAATCGCCCAGAATTTCACTTAATTCCTTATTCTTATTCTTCTCTGCATCTTCAGCCTCAACGATCATCGACCCCACGCATGGCATTCCTGTGCAGCGTACTCCCCACCTTTACATCTGGACCATGATGCCTCTAGAGTGTGATTCTGTCATACTACAACTGCAAAAAATAACCTTGGAAAGAATTTAGACTATAGAAAATCCAGGAACCCAAGTACACCAAAGTCCCCGACCCTGTGTTCCCGTTCTTCCAAGGTTTTGGGCCATAGCATCATCGTCACCACAGACCCACTTTTTGGATGTCCAACGACCCTATGTAATTAACCCCCTAGGAGGCGTTACAAAATCCCCGTGCCCCACCATTCTCCCGCAGGGCAGCGGTTAGCCCTATTCCCCAAAAAGATTGTTCCCACTAGTACTGTTGTCCGGTGTTCTGGGCATTTTCTAAGAGAAGCACACGGCACGGATACACTCGATACTCGCTAGAGGGCGTTTGGGGGCGGGGCGTCTCTTGAAACGAATCCGAGACTGCACTAAACTTAAAATAGTCTTGGACACGAGCGAGGTTGGGACCTGATTTCATATTATTTTGGGCATAGCCACCTGGGTGCTCTTTCCTATTATATGAAACTTAGGTAGAATACTAGATGTAAATGAAAGAGGTTGGGTATCCAGAACCAAGGGACTGATCGGGTGCTCCCGCGGCATGATCCAGGGAACGTGACTTTCCCACATGGACATGGAGATGGATATTTTTAGTTGATCATCCTCAACTCGCGGCTAACCCTCAACTGCCCCCAAATAAACACATGATCAGCATCAGATGCATGCGATCGCGCTGAGGATTGTCGATCGCTCCACACAATTGCAATCGAGATGTTCACAACCACTTGGAACTTGATATGCACCCCTGATTATAGAGCGATTCGCGCTGTCGGTCTAGTGCTGCGGCTCTTGGACCCGGCGCTTCGTGGGCGTATCGAGCATGGGTCATGGCCATTATTAGGAGGACTAGGAGTTCATAGCGGTAAATCAAGGGTTGGGAGATGGAGTTTGCATGAAGTTGAGACAATGCTGGGTTTCACTTTACCCGGAGTGCTATTAAGGTCCTCTTCCTGTCACTTTGAAGAGAACCCCATTCTTTCTCGATTCTCGCCCACACTATGTACCTGTAGAGTGGGTCGCGTCGCGCAGCCCAATGCCCACAAGCGCCCAAAATACCCCACCATCAAGGTCAGCTAGCTCTCGACTATTTTGATGCCTCTTCAATATGCACGTGCAAGACAACCATATTTCAGATCTGCGGAAAAGCCTGTCTGCACGCCAAGAACATTCTATGTACTTGATATACCCCCCCCCCACAGGTGCAGACCGCTTATCCATCGAAGTACAAATACTTAAAACCACATGATTAGACTAAATCACATTTCTCGAGGATCGCTGTCACGAACGGAACCTCGGGGCAAATGATGGTAGCCCGAGCAAGGGTCTAGCCCGTAGGTGAGTGGTGGCTAGACGTCATAATTAATATCGGGAATGGCGACCGGGCCCAATCAGAGGAGAATTTGCAGTCAAAAACGGCTGGGTATGCCATAGCGCGAAAATGACGACAATGGCGCTGGGTAGGGCGCTTTTGATTTTTTGTGCCACACCTGCCACATATTTGTGGCAAATTGGCGGAGAGTAATCGCTTATTTCGACTAAGAGCGTTGTCTAAGATTTTGGTTTGTCGCTTATAGATTGATCAAGGGATTTCTAACTCTTTTTGGTGCATTTCAAGTGCAGTGGAATAGTAGACGATTTGCGCTTGATCTATGAGTTATTCACGAATCTACTATTGTTATTGCAAGGTTTGACTTGAGATCGGAAATGTCTCGTTATGACATGAATTCATGAACTCAGAAATAATTAATTATATAAATCTCATACAACTTCCATAAGAGGCATTGTAGGGCATTTGGCATCTCCAGGCAAATTAGACCTAATCAGACACCGGGCAGAGATCGTAGTTCCCGTTGGAGTTGTTACCCCACCACGACGGGAAAGCATGGGCTGGACCTCCAGCGCCAAACACCGCAAATGAAAGGATAAACAACACAGTCAGACTGGCACCATCAAAGGCACCAGTGATCAAGTACGAGTAATCCTTGAAAATGCGTGGACGGTAGTTGCGGAGGTAGTACTGGACGTAGAAACCGGCGAAGACCCAGCTGAAGAGCACACAGGTTTGACTCTGGTTGTAAGGGATGTAGCCAGCATACTGAATAAATTGGGGCATGTTGATGTCGGCAACGTCGAAGCCACGGATCTTGGGGACGAACTATCATAAATGTTAGTCACTGTATCAAAGGTGTACCATTCTAGGGTACTTACGTGGTAGAAGATGCGGTGAACAATAACAGTACCAGCACCGATAGCAATACCAATGGGAACCATCCAATACTGGCCGCCCATCTTGTAAAGGTAGGAAGCCAGGGCCCAAGAGGTTGCATTGGTGTTGTAGGCTTGCAGCGTGGCACCACTCCAGGAGTTGCTGCCATTGGCTGAGTTGAGGACCACCTTGTTCTTTGCAACGATTGAAATCATCACAGCGTAGTTGATAAAGCCACCGAGGATAGTACCCCAGATTTGAGTCAAGAACATGACACGTGGGGGAATTTTCACTATATTGGTTAGAACAGGTCTGGAAAGTAAGGATGGAAAACTTACAGTATTCACCCATCTTCAGATCGTTTGACAAGCTGACTGCATTGGAAATGACGTTGTGTGACCAAGCAGCAAAATACATGTTGCCGACTGGACGTCCAGGAATCATAAGACCCGCCAACATCTTCGATAGGTTGTTCGTGGCAATACCGTTGCCGTAGCGAGAGTACAGAATAGTGCTCTAATGAAAGTTAGCGCAGCTCATATGTAAATTCTGGGACCACTCACAAAGGGCGACACAATGATTCCGACAATTAAAGAGACAACATATGCCCACGCCGGGAGACCAATGTTCTCTTTGAGGACCACAATAAGACCCAGGATAAAACTGATGACAAGGACGCCGATATACCACCACCAAGGCGCTTCTTTATAGTGTTTAGCCATGTGCTCATGATGGCGATCATCGTAGCGACCTTCCCTGGCCTTTTTAAACGCAGCAACAATATCCTTGCCCCAGAAGAGGATGCAATGAATGATGAGAGCACCGATCTAGAAGATGAAGGATAGTCAGCTTGTGAAATGAAGCATGAACGTCTAGTTACTTGGTACTTACGGCAGCATTGGCCATGAACATGGCGAACGCGAAAGTTCCGGTCAGCTTAGGCAGACCATATTTGAGCAGTTGCGTTTCATCAAGTACACCATCGACAAACACGTCAGCGACAGGGTACGCAGTTCCATTGCTCATGAGAAGCTTCGTGGACATGAATGGGAGCGACTTCGCGCCCCAGCCATTTCCGTAGTAGATTCCAAGCATGGCAATAAAGCACACAACGAAACCGGCGGCCTGGTGAGCTTGAAGCGTGAGTGGAAGAGCAGTTTGGAATGAGGTGATCTATGAAGGTTAGTTCTCTTCCTGTTTTGGAAGGCAACGGAGATCTCACATATTGCCAGTCGAAAGAAAAAGTGAAGAGACCCAGACCCTCATTGTTAGAGGCTCCACCGAAGATGTTAGTAAGGACAGCAGCCTTATTACCGGTAGCCTTCATAGCAGCCAGACACTACAATACCAGGCGTTAGCAAGTCAGTTCAAAAGGATTACGACACTAGCAAGCAATGATCACATACCGGAATAGAAATGGAGTTAAGCCAGACGAAAATGTAGGCCGGGAAAATTTCGTAGAGAGTCATTCCAGTAAAAGCATACCAGAAGTATCTCAATGGTTTCGAATTCTTGATCTCCTGCCAATGAAGTCCTTGAAGTACCTTGACAGTAGGCAAGGTACTCCAGTAGACAGCATCAACGTGCCAGACCGCAATGGGACGCATGAGTCCACAGATTCCGTAGCCAAACAAGCCAATAGAGATAGTACTCAAGATGACAGTTGCTGGGCTCAGCGACATATTGTAAAATAGCTCCTGGGCTGCGAACACCTCTGAACTTGCGGCGGCGTTTGAAGCACTGGTAGCCGTGATAGAGCAAATCGCGTGCTCCTTCAATGTCCACGGCCCATTGTTGATAAATTTAAGGATGGTGATATGCATGGGAAGCTTTCCCTGGCCGCCCGATGCCCTCCATCGAGCCTCGAACTTGTCTCCACGGGGAAGGAACTTGGCCCAGGCTCGGCCAACGAAGTACGAAATAAGAACAATGAAAGTTCCTTGAATGGTAATGGCGGTAGGTTTGAACTACACAACGATCTGTCAGTTGAAGTGCAATGGGTTTGAGCTAGTAGAGACATACCATATAGATCTGATACATAACCGCCTGGAAGCACGCGAGACCCGAGGCTAAGATGAGACTTCGAAATGTCAAAGCTGGGTCCCCATCATCCCGCATGGGGAGCAGGTGGTTCGCCGCATCGACACCATCGACAATGATCACATCATCACTATTGCGATCATCCTCATCTCCAATCTCTCCAGACCCGATGGAGGTAGTAGTGAGGTGGTGTTCACCTTTGCTGGTGACATTGATGATTGTCTTCTCATTAAGGGCATCATTGCCCGAGACGGAAACAACACCCTCATCCAGCGAGTCGGAGCGAATTGCCGACATGTTGCGCGTTCCTCAGCGGGGTCGTACAAAAAATGAGCTTTGCTGTAACATGTGCAACCAGCAGCTTCATCTTATATCCCTACCATGCAGAGCTTCAAAAGCCACGCCGAGTCCCAACCCTTATCGGGAAATCTATGCGTGATACCATCAAGCCGAGGATTGAGCCATATAGAGCGGGCCTTACGTTTCTCGCCTTCGGGAAGGTAACACAGGAATGAAGATAGCCAATACCCTCCGATGCACGGAAGTATCTTTTTCCATTTTCGCTCTAGCAATCACACCTCACAATCTAATAAATTTACTTTTTGCGCCTAAAGTCTTGGAAAGGTCTTGGAAATTCTTGGAAAGTGTCTGATATCTGGAACATCAGTTTTATCAGAGGTCATGCGTGCTGAAATTTGCCGCCTGGTAATGAAAGACTAGGATCCCGTTCCCCTCTTTCCGATATCAGGCATAGGCTAAGACGAAATTAGTTAGCTGCTGAAGGGTAGAATGTTTAAAGACATGTCATTGGCGTTGCTTATCACGCCATGTAGTGGCACTCAGCTAGCGGAGACAGAGATATTATCTCAGGCACAATAAGTTATGCTTGCTTCGAAGAATTACGTACAACTTAGGGAGGGCAAAGGAGAAAGAGAGAAGAGATTGATTCCATTTTCACGATACCAGCAGGAGAATTGAGAGGTCAAAAAGAATAGAGACAAGCCCACCTTTGAGCAGACCTGGACAACTGTACGAGGTAATTTCAGCCACTCCGGACAGGCATGATAACAAGGGCCGAGGGCGATTAAAGGGGACGCGGGTGAGAAGCGGCGCAAATATACGTCCTTAGTCCGGATGAGGTTAAAGCCAACCACTAATACAATGCCGCGACAATTCATCAAACTCCACTGCCGCTTTTTTCAAAAGGCTAAATGTGGCGAGCGATTGCCCAATACTAACGGCCTATCAGGTGTAAGCCTTTGAAAGCATCGAGTCCCGGATTGTTCGTGTGTGGGAACGTGCATCTTAATCAGGGGAGGTCTAAGCGTAGGGACGTCCGACGGCTTTCCCGCGCCACATATAGAATAAGCGATAATTCGCAAACTCAACCTTATCCCTGTCAGTTTAATAGGCTAGTAGCCTTACGTGATCCGGGGTTCGTCCCGTGCAATGTTCGGGTAATTTCACCATATCACGAACCCCATTGCCCAGAACACAGGTGAAACATGGGGTTCGTGGAAGTAGCACGCTGTTTTGGAAGGAGATTTATGGTTCAAGATAATAAGATTTTGCCTATCTATCAGCTGACACCCACGTGCATGACATGTACTCTAATCATCTGGAACCGTGTGCTAGTGGAAATCTTATTTTGTATGATCTGAAGTATAGGAACATAGTTCCTTGATACAAAGTCAACCTGAACATTATTTTGGTCCGGCAAACATGAAGTGTATATCAGATCCTACATATTCCAAATTTGTGTCGTTTGGACATAGAGATAAGACCTCAGGAAAGGATCTGGGAATCGTATGATCGGATGGGTGACTTTTGTCCATATCAATAAATCAAGCCATACATTCATAGCGAGTCTGATTGCAACTCGCCTACATACAGACATCAAAGCACAAAGTGCTGAGGTATATTCGAAAAGAAAAAAAAAAAAAAAAAAAAAAAAAAAGAAGAAGAAGAAATAAGGGAAGAAGAAAATAGGAGCCGATATGCATGGACCAATAAACAATGGACGGTTTCGCTCAATAGCCGCCAAGATGCAATGCAAAAATCCCCCGAAAAATGGAAGATATCATCAAATGGTATCAAGCAGCCATCGTCAATACATATCTATGACAACTGTTAGTTTCAAATTTCAGAATCAATAGGATCAAGATAACTTACGAAGTGATACAGTCCATGCGCTCGGTTGTCAATTTCAGACTGACCGTTAACAGTTCACGGGCGACTCGCGGCTCCGCTTCCTGAAGGGCCTTCCATTTCTTGTCACTCAGACACCAAGCCGCACATTCGTGCTCAGCCTTGACAGTGGCTGTGCGACGTGTATCGCTAAAGAACGGTAGTTCGCCGCACGGCCTGCCGGCGACGACGAGCTCGAAGTAGCGCCCTTGAGGGAGGTCGTACTCGCAGCGCAGCATACCAGCCTCAAGGAGATAGAAGGCCCGTGGGACGTCGCCTTCGTGATATAAGATAGTGCCTGCCGGGTAGACCTCGCGCGAGAAGTAGGCGCAGGCAGGGAACCAGAAGTCCTCGTTTTGGTTGGAGAGGCCCTGAAAGGTTTGTAAGAGGAGGGGAAGAGGTTGACGCATTGCGGACCAGGCAGGTGCAGCCATCATTGACATTGATGTTTCATGTTCGCGGATTGTGCTCGTTGCGACTCGTTGGAGGTATTGGCCACGTGGAGAACTGACGATGGTTTCGGATAAGTTGGGGTGAGAGGGTGGTGGAACGGGAACTGGGACATCGAGATGATTGGTGGTGTGTGAAGACTCCAGAGGTTTGCTGATCAACGCTTCCTGGCGACTGTAGAAGACTTTCAGGTAGTCGTTCTCGCAGAACTCGAGGGCGGCGTTGAGATCTTCGAAAATTGGGACACCTGTTTCGGGTTCAAAAAGGCCTACATTTTGGAGACTCTTGCCCACGTCACCTTCTACATTGAGACCGGATATGGTGGTTTGGACGTTGCGTTTGCGGAGGATGCGATTGATACGCGTAAATGCTTCGGCAGCTGAGAAATCTAATCCATAGACTCGCGAAAAGTCGAGGATCAGGAATCGGATGGGCTGCTTCCTGAACGCATCGTCCTGGATCAGACCTCGCATAGTGTTCTCTACGTTGACAATTGTGCCAAAGAAGAGATAGCCACCAAGCTTCATAATGACAGTCTGCTGACCAGCCTCGTGCAGGAATTGCTGCTGGATCGGCGGACGACGAACCGTCGAACCAGCAATCTCTCCTGAAAAGGTGGCTCGAATAGCGGATTTTCGAGAGGTCTGAACCACAAAGTTGACACAGGCCAGCATAATGCCGACTAGGATACCCATAACAAAGTCCCAGGCACCCATGGTAACAACGATGATAACAACCGTGAGGTACTCCAGCCGTGACAACTTGCCCCATGTGTCCACCAATGCTTCTTCCAGTAATTCAATTCCCAGCAGGAAAATCAGGGCGCCGACTACCATGACTGGGATGTATCCAATGATGACTGGGCCCACGACCATGATCCCTGCTGTTGCGGCCGCTAGCATCAGACCAGCTAAGCGGGATTCGCCGCCACTAGCGATGAAAAGGAGACTGTTCGTATAGACCAGGTAGTTCTGAATACTACCCGCAAATCCAGAAACAGCATTTGTCACACCGTGAGCCATGAGCTCTCGGTCCACATTGAGATTGTCTTCTCCCGTTGAAATTCCCAGTGCGGGAACATTGATGGGCACGTGTAGAACACCGAAGAAAGTCAATGCGAACATGGCTGGAAGAGTATCCGCGAAGGCGGTCCAGTTCACTGCAGAAAAGTCATAAAGACTGTAAAAGTGATACCAGGGATTATTTGATGAGGGAGCATCAAACGCCCATCCCTTCTGATGAAGAGTGTCCATGGGCACCCTAGCAATGAGAACGACGACGTAAAACATTACAGCCACAGCAATGAAATAAGCCCCGACAAGGAAGTTCGATCGAATGAAACGCTTCAAAACCAGAAGTCCGATCGCAAGGGATAACGGTATTATCCAAAGTGCAACCGTATCTGCATGGAAGAGTTTCTCCAGTGTTTCCAGGTTATATTCCATAGATCCCGGTAGACGGGCAGAGACCTCCACTCCAGTCTGCAAAAGGAAATAACCAACACCACCAATGCAGCCAATAAGGATGTGGCGTGGGAAGAATCCAATAAGGGAACCCAACCCGAACACGCCCATTAAAAAGAAGACCAGACCGGTCAAAACCGAGCTGACCGAAAATGCGAGAATCGTAGTCGCAATAACCGACTGCGGATTGTCCTTGCCAATGCGATTCATGATGGCAAATGCCATCTGGTGGAAGAACGGGACTACTTCGATCATCTCACTGCCAATTCCTCCTTTGAAGATCGACCCGCCACTTGAGAATACCACCTGAGCGATAATTGTGCTGACATAGAACATCGAGATTCCGTCTGAGCCGAGATCTGCAAACAGCGGTTCTCCCAGTGGGAATAGGATCATACCATAGGACAGAGCGTCCAGGATGTTGAGAAGAAGTCCCAGCAAAACGGCAGGAACAAGACTAACTGGGTGCACGATTCCCTGCTCCCACATAGCGCGACGGTCCCAGGTCTTGGGGCTCATTATTGTGCGGGAGCACTGAGCCACCGTGGCAAGACTCTTAGCCAGGACGGTGGACGACCGGCTAGTGATACCTCCTTGGCTTTCAACATCTTCAACTGCTCCGTAATTATGCGGAGATTTGGATCTTCTCTTGGTTAATAGTGAGGTCCGTTCTGTGTCTCGCTCTGGCTCATCGTGAGTGGGGGGTAAAGGTGGAAACGGTTCGATCTCTGAAGTAGGTCTGCCATGATGCTCTGAGGAATTCGAGGTAGGCTGACGAATCATCTCTGTCAAGGCCGACGAAGCCAGCGGTGGCTCTTCCTCGACAGCATCCGACTCTTCTGTCACCTCCTCCACAGGCGGGTACGACGAACTCGCGGTATCATTCTGGGTAATACTGGAAAGGCGACGTTCGCGGAAGAGATCCAAGCTAGGCGGCAAGCTCGTTCGAGTGCGCGAGGGCTCCTTATTTAAAGACAGCCCGTAAGTCGCTAGTTCTGCAGTTTGTTCGCGGAGACCGTCCGATGCATAATGAGCCGGGTCTGGAGCAATGTGAGTGGTCAGCCAAAAATGCCTCTTCAATCCTCCACCACTTTTGCCGACCTGCAAACCAGCTAAGCAATTGATTCTTGTAATATCGGTACATACCGTTTGGTGTATTAAAAGAGCGGTGGTAAAACGAGCGACTGGGGGTTCTCATGCTCGAGCCATTGTAGCTTGAAGCCTCCACGCCGCCGGGAGAGCTACCCAAATTAGCGTGTTCCACCAGCGACTGCGATGGAATGGAAGCATCCAGGTCACGGTCGAAACTCCAATTCACATGTGACAGGACCGAAGCGCGCGAATCACGCCGGCCACGAGTTTGTAGCACGCCCATCAGCTTTCCCTTGGAGTTGGTTGATGCAATTGGACGAGTTGAACTTCGGGAGATTATCGGAACACTAGCGCATGCAACGCCGTTGGGAAAACGCAACGGATGACGCAACAGCAGGCAACATCAGAACATCACAAAGGGAAAGCGATGGATATAAGAGATGATTTGACTTTCCAGCTTATCACGACATTTGAAAAGCCAAAATAAATTTTGGGTAAGAGTGCAAGGTCAGTGACTAAAAAAACCAAGTTTCTTGTCTGGGCCCGGGCTTATCGCTATAATCGGCGGGCTAAACCGTTTACGGGGGTCCACCTTTGATAGTCATTGATAGGAATCCATGTAGCCAGTGAGAATTCAGTTAGATCATACATTAGTGTATTAGTGCAATTCTACATCTCCATTTTATTAGCCAAGTAATAACGCTTAAAATCCCCCGATCGGCACTTTCTGTAGCCTAGACTGTGCGTTTCTGATTTCATCCCCGAATGGCTTGCAGCTTACCTGGTCTGTGCAGCGATCGAGCGTTTTAGTTATGCTCTAGTTATGCTTTAGTTCAATGTCCTGCGTGCTTTCTTTGCCATATTACGCATTCATTTATGTCAAGTTTTATTTCAGAGCATTTCAATTGGATCCCTTCATTATTGTATCTACCTGGACTTCTCGGATTCTTGGCCCCCGCGACCGGCCCATGATGGCCCAAGGGTACTTTAGTACTTTGTTTCTGGGGCCGCACCCCGAGCAGCTTGGGCCACAACGTGTTCTACAGGTCAAGTTTCACCGGGTTTACTACCTTATTGAAAACAAAAGAAATTTTAAATGGTCCCATGATCCGATCAATGGCATGACCAATTGCACAAATAATTTAATGTAGACCGTCTGGGTATCTCAAAAGTACACAAAACTCCCATGTAGCACGCAATGCCTAAAATCAACTCAATCGCTCCAAGAATCCTTGTGCAATCAGTCGTTCAACATCTCCCTGTCGAACATAAAGCTGACTGTTCTTGGTCAAGTTGATCACACTGCATCAATTAGCATTGCCGACAAAAAGAAAAAGAAGAGAAGAACCTCACCCATATTCTGTCTGAATCTCCCCCGCATCTTTCAATACCCGTACATCAATAAATAAATCCTTAGGCGGCTCCAGGGTCCCCGTCAAATCGATATCTGTCCATTGCCCTTTATACGCAGCTAACATGTCGCCATACTGACGGAAATACTCCTCTTCCTCGGGACTGAGCGAGCTATGTCCACCCGCACCCGAAGGAAGCCCCCGGTCATCTGACCCCTCGCTAGGCTGCTGCTGCTCTAATGCATCAATGCCTGTCCAGCATAGCTCTTCGAGTTTCTCAGTGCGCACACGGTGGTAAGCGAGGAGGCAACGCTTATTGCGGCGCATGCAGAGGTGGTCGACTAGGAGGGTACATGCGGTTGCTGGGTCTGCGGAGGGATTGAATGAGCCCTCGAATGGGTTTAGGAGGCGGATTGTGTCGCGCTCTAGATCGCGCACTTCGCGGGTTACGGCGCGGACGATTTCGGTTTGGTAAGGCGGGAGATGCGCCAGGGATTGCGTGCGTTTTGCATGTTGGACCTGGTGGTGGTTAATTGGGGATATACGAGGTAGGTGGGTTTGAAACCTGTGATCTTGGAGGGTAGCACGTACCAATTTGTTGCCTAGTTCTCCGTACATCGTGGCGACATGATCTGGGTCGGGTTGGCAGTGCCCGACGCGCTCTTGAGGATCCATTGCGCGCCAAGAAATTAGTCAGGGTGGGGGGATCGGCACTAGGTGCAAGTATGGAGAGTGGAATCTCCGAGGGTCTGGAGGCCAAGCAATATTTGAGGAAAACTGGAATAACAGGTCATCTCCAAAAGCGTTATTGATGGCTTTGCTTTTTGTTTGAAGTTATTCGTTTGGTGGAGTGGAAGGAAAGAGCCGACTGTGTAAAGGCTTAACGCGAGTGACCTGAGGAACAGGCCAGCAGAAAGGGTACGTGCATGAACAAAATAATATAGTGGACTTTGCATTTCATCATATAATAGCAAAGAAAAGATTGGATACTCTCAGTACTGCATAGAGGCCCTCATCCGATTATATTCCGCCTGTGTGATCGGTTCATACTTACCTGGCTCCTCACCCCTGCAGGATGGGATACACTCTATCACCGAGTCGGAATCCGGAGACAGAAAATACGGAATCGAAAACCGTCTCCTTGTCATCCTTTCTTGTCCTTCAAATCGATCTGCCAAGGGCGGTAATGTAACCCGATGGCTAGTCGATCTCAAACGATCTGCATCCATTAGTAGACAGCCCAGCATAATAGACCGGACGGCACACAAACCATTACTCCATCTCTGCAAGAGATCACCTACATTCATCACAATGGCATTTTTAACGGGAGTTGCGGGAACGAACCTCCCCAGGCGATGCACGTCCTCCACCTCCAGACCGCCGCAATCGTCCTGGAAGAGCATAGTGATCGAGCTCCAGTCTGTATGTGCCGGACAGCGAGCAGCACGGTCATCCTCTAGTGCTGCGGCTGGCACAGGCGGGTAGTGAAGCAGACGAAGCTGGTTGTTAAGGCCTGAATGCTTGTTAAGCAGGTGGTTCTCGTCGAGGTCGAGACCAATAGCTAGAGCCTGCAAGATTTCTCCACCCATGCGGAAGCATTCCCTATAGAAATGACTCATGAAGGAGCGGAACTCTGGAAGACTTTCTTCGGGGATCCATTGATTTGGTTGCGTGGGATTGTTCTCGCTGCCGATGTCGTAGCTTTCCTGGTATCGGTCAGACAACCGAGCGCGGAGTAGAACCGATCGATTCAAGTCCAAGGGCAATAGAGCACAATATTCTACTAGCAACTCTGTGATAGACAGACTCGCTCACCTTGATATCGGGAACTTCCCGCAACCCTTTCGCCCGCTCTTGGTCGTCATCTGCACTCGTCGCCTCTAGCCCTGATACTTTCTCTAGACCCGGCCAAGAATAACCACGATGGATTGCCCATCCCTCTGGGTGAGGAGCTTTTAGCTTTTCCTCCTGAGGTAAGTCGAAGAAGAGCTGGGACCAGTGGAAGGCCTCGTCCAGAAGAGACTCGGGCAGCGAATGGTTGATGATATAGACAAACCCCACCTTCTGACAAGCATCAACAATATCCCGGGCAACACGCAGACGACTAGGTCCGTCGGAGTTCCACCGGGCAAAGTCCACGACCGGAATATTGTTCGTTTGGTTCATGGCTGTGGTCATTGCAGTAAGTTGGGATCAGAATTGTCTACGAAGTCAAGTGCAGGTGAGACCACGGGTTAGCGCAGCTGCATCCAATAGGAATGCTTCCAAGAACCCGACCGAAGTCATTCTTATAAATTTGAATAAAACCAGACAAGTCTCCTGTCAACTTTTTTTTCCTGTAGTGAAGGAATTGAAATCAAAGCTGCACGATACGTAGCGTCAAGCTTGGGCACGATTTCGGGCGAATTGGTTGCTGTGGCAGGGATCCCGGTGGAGATGCTGGGCGCACTCCACTACATCATTCCCTCTTTCATCCTGAACCCTGATCTGGAATTGTTCTCTGCACATTCTTCTGAAGGAGTTTAATTCAGCTCTCTGTAAGTCTGAATCCGTTTCAATATTGAACGTCTTGGTGTTTGCTGAGCATCGCTAACGCTAATCTTACTCCTTTGAGTAGTTTGTTGACATCCTGACACCCTCGATAACGCTACTTCGGGACATGAGACATTGAGAGCATTGGAGAAGCCCTAAGCACAATCAAAAGCCCCTCAACCCTCCATTTACACGGTCGCGTTCGGATAAATACACCACAGCGATATACTTGCCGCCTAGGCTACAACGTCAAGAATGCGAGCATCTTGGTGGATCTGGGCTACATTCCTCCCCACGGCCGTCCTATCGATAGACACAGCACCCTTCACCTCACCCGAAGATGCCGAGACCAGCAGACGAGCCTACGAAGTCCTTCAAATCCTAAAGCGTGACGATAATTGTCCTAGTGGATATAATGCGTGTACGAACGAGGGAAACTCCAACGCCTGCTGCGTAAAGGGAACTACCTGCACCAAGGACTCCGCAGATAACATCGCCTGCTGCCCGACCGGTGCAAGCTGCACAGGCAGCCTGACTGCCACCGCGACCGCGACCGCGACCGCGACCACGACCGGCACCACAGAAACGGGAAGCAGCTTTGTATTCCCACAAGGAGCGACCGCGACAACTACGGAGTCCGGCTCGGAGACCGCGTCTACAGTCTCGGGCGCATACCCGTTCGTCTACGTGCCGACTAGCTTCGCTAATGCGAAGACGTGCTCTTCTTACTACTCCCAATGTCAGTCGGAGTATACGGACTGCACGCAGGCTCTCATGGGCCGCTACGGAGTGACGGTGGGTGGATCCGACGGAGGCGTGACGGTGGAGGCGGTCACCGCAACGTCGGAGGCCACGTCTATCTGCTCAAGTTTGAGCGTAAATGCCTGTCATGGGTTAAGTCTTGCTTATTGTGCTTCGGTGGAGACTGCGACGGCGACGGATGCTAGTGGGAACGGGGCTTTGCCTGGCCGGACCTCGAGTCTAAATGATTTGGCACTAGGGCTAGTTGTCGGAGTTGCTGGCATGTTTGTTTAACTTGATGTGATGTGATATGATTTTGGATGCATTTTTTTCGAGGAGAACATACTTCTCTATGCTTTGTATATCTTTGCGATGATTTATTATGTTTTTATGAACCCCGAGCGCTTGGGGATGTCCATAGCCAAGAGAAATCGATGACATGCACAGTTTCAATTCCAGCCGACGCGGGATTATGGGGCTTCAGGGCGATTGGGCCGTTGCTTGTTGGGCTGTTCATTGGTCGCACCGATAGTCGCATAGTTGCGGTGTATCGCCGTTGCAGTTGACTGCCAAGTGTAGTGTTTATATGATCAGATCAATGTTGATAGTAAGCTATGCCTAAGCTATGTTTGGCTGCAAGTCGCTTGTATTTGCGTTTTTGCTGTTGAATTGACTCTACAACTGCAGACTTTATCGGTAGTTGACAGCTCGATCAGGGATCCGACCGCATGCTGATCGTTGCCACGCGGGGTTGGGATGAGAGGGGGATTACTGCACATGCAATTTAAATTGGCCTGTCAGAATACAAGATTCAGAGACAATGAACAAGGAAAAGGTAGAAAAGAACTTTTTTTAATCTGGAACCCAGCCTCCCACGTTATAAAGAAAAGTGCGGTAAAGACGTGTTTATTGGGCGATTTCCAAGCTTTAAATCGGGTGGTTGGGTATACGGAGGCTGGGAAGTACATAGCAACCACCACTTTTTCCCTTCCATTTTTCTTTGTTTCCTTATCACTTTCTCTACATTCCTTCTCCCGCTTGGAATCCTTCGCGAATCTTTATTTTGTTCCCCTCAAGGTGGTCTACCGTTGTAGATCAGCCAGGGTATACAAAGTCGGTACTGGTTTCAAGTCATCGCAGCCTGCATAACGACGAACAAACAGAAAACACACCCCGATAGATTCGAATCAGCAGCATTTCTAAGATATTTCGGACGAAATAATAGCTCGATTCTCGCCATGCGGTCCTCCAACATGATCTCCGCGCTCCCCAGCCTATTTCTCCTACTGAGCTACGTCCCAACCGTCACCGCAACCCCTCTAGCAACAGCCCTTCCGCTGGACACTTTGCAGATTTTGGAGGGAAACGCGCTCGAAAAGCGATGCGACAACCCTTGTGGCTCTGATAATTGGCTATGCTGTGGTTCCAGCGAAACCTGCTATACAAACAGTGCCGACCAAGCAGCATGCAGTACAGCGGGGAGTGGTTGGGATTACTATACTACAACTTATGTAGTCACAGAAGTCGACCGTTCCACCGTCGTCTCAGTCTGGAGCTCTCAGGTCACAGCTACTACAACAGCAGCCACGGCCACTGCAACATGCGATGCCGGCCTGGCTGAGACAACGTGCGGATCCAATTGCTGCAGCGCAGACGAAGAATGTGTGGACGGCGAGTGTGTCGCTGAAAGCTCCTCTGCGGCAGTGACCGGTGACGCTACACCTGCAGCACGAGGAACGAGTAGTGGCTGGTCTACTGCGACAGCCACAGCAGCCGCTACCACGACAGAGGGATTCATTGCGCCTGTTAGCACAGATGGATCTGATTTGATCGGAGCCAAAGCAACCAGCAACGGAAGTGGACTGAGCGGCGGCGCAATTGCAGGCATTGTCATTGGTACGATTGCCGGTGTGATTCTACTTTTCCTGCTCTGTGCCTGCTTCTGCTTCAAGGAAGCTCTGTATGGTCTCCTCGCTGCACTGGGCATGGGCAAACGTCGCAGAAAGCAGGAAACCATTATCGACGAACGCTACTCGCACCATTCGCATGGTAGTCGTCCACGTCCGCAGGGTGGCCGAACATGGTTTGGATCCAAGCCGGCGGCTGCGACGAGCGAAATCAGCGAGAAGAAGAAGTCTTCCTGGAGTGGCTGGGGCACGGTTGCCGTTATCCTTGGAGCTCTTGCGCTCTGCTTGGGATTGAAGCGACACAAAGATCGAGAGCACGATGATGACAGGACCGAGAGCAGTTACCCGAGCTCATACTATTATTCGTACTACACCAGAAGTGAGTCTATCCCCGACAATGGCTTCAATATTCAATCCCTCATATACTAATGATTACCCAATAGGTAGCGATAGCTCTGGTGGACGAACTCGAGACACACGACGATCTCGAAGATCACGTACACGATCACGGCGCTAAAGGACTAGAATAGTCTTTGTCTCTGACTTTGATTTGTTGACCCACTGATGCATTTACGGCGCCGATTTGATCTATGATTCATGTACCATAATGACCTACTCTATGATTTTTTTGCCTTGGTTCGGATGTGATGATATTATGCTCCTTTTTTCATGTTGATATGAATTTTTTCTTTTTTTTCCCCCTTATGAGGGTTCGGTTTTGAGACGTTTTGATGGCCGGTACAATTGGGGATGCACATATGAGCTATGGGAGATGCCGAAAATATAAATGAGACTCGTTTTGACCCACCAGTGACTGATCCTCAGTAGACAAAAGATATAAGCCTACATAGACACTACATTTTAGCTTTTACTTAAAGTCAGCTCCGGGGTTAATGGTTACACTAAGCAAGAAGCCGTGATTGGGGCTCGTCTTGCAGGTACAATGTGCTCTGTTCGTAAGGATAGCCCGGGTAATATGCTCCACGCACTAGTTCTGCAATCGATCCCGAAGCAAATGAAATACATTGAACAGATAAGAGCTTATTGGATATTACCATGTCATTAATTTGCAGAGATATAGACAGAGGTTAAGGGGTGGGCTTAAACGTAGAAAATCCGTGTGACAAGGGCACACAAAACTAAGGAATCCGCGGTGGAACTCATTTCACTCCCCGCCTTCCGACCTTCTCTTTCTCCCTCGTCAGGCAGACTTCCGCCCCGGTTCTTGGTTCTTCCCCCCCAACACCAATTCATCAATGACTCCCAACCTGAGTCCATTCTGCTGACCTTTTCTTTTCTTACTTCTACACTTGTCTCCGAGATCCCCTGTCTACCCAGTTTTCCCCCCAGTCGCTCAGCAAGGAACCCTTCGGAGGATTACGAATTCCCCGAAACGTCTCATCATCGCTCGCCATGCTACAAGCGCAGAGCCAACACGTCTTCTCTCACCAGCATCAGTACCCGCAGGCTGATCCCGCGTGGTTGCAGCACCAGCAGCAGCAACAACAACACCACCAGGCCCAGCCGCACCAGCAACACCAGCAGCAGCACGCCTCCTTGGTCGCTCAGCAGCATGCCCAAGTTCAGGCCGCTGCCGCTGCGGCGCAGCAACAACACTATGGTCGCTTGGCTATGAGCGGCAACGGCGCCGTCAACCCTAGTCAGAATGCTGGAGGACTCGGCAACATGGGCGGAGAGGGTCTGGCCAATGCGGTCTCCGGCATGGACGGTACTATCAGCGATGAGAATCGCAAGGTCTTCATCTGGGTTGCAGAGCTCCTGGACCCAGCCCGCAGGGAGGCAGCGCTCATGGAACTGAGCAAGAAGAGGGAGCAGGTTCCTGAGCTGGCCCTCGTGATCTGGCATTCGTTCGGTATGATATTATCGCTATTGTGGGGGCGCTTCCGACCGGGACTAACTGTCGGCAACTTGCAGGTGTCATGACTGCCCTTCTCCAGGAAATCATCTCGGTCTATCCCCTTTTGAACCCTTCGCAGTTGACCGCCGCTGCATCAAATCGAGTCTGCAATGCGCTGGCGCTCTTGCAGTGTGTCGCATCCCACAATGAGACGCGCACTCTTTTCTTGAACGGTAAGCCATGACCATGCCGATCAACTCTCCCACGCCTTGCTAACTGTTCATGTGTGTCGCATAGCCCACATCCCTCTTTTCCTCTACCCCTTCCTCAACACTACTTCTAAATCTCGCCCCTTCGAGTACCTCCGTCTCACATCGCTCGGTGTCATCGGCGCCCTGGTGAAGAATGACTCATCTGATGTTATCAACTTCTTGCTTACTACCGAGATCATCCCTCTCTGCCTTCGTATTATGGAGACTGGATCGGAGTTGAGCAAGACCGTCGCCATCTTCATTGTTCAGAAAATTCTTCTTGATGACATTGGCTTGGCGTACATCTGTGCGACCTATGAGCGCTTCTACGCCGTTGGCACAGTCCTCAGCAACATGGTCGGTCAGTTGGTCGACCAGCAAACAGTGCGACTGCTCAAGCATGTCGTGCGCTGCTTCCTTCGGTGAGTATCATCCCTACACATGTATCGAGTGTAGAAACTAATATCAGACTCAGTTTGAGCGACAACAGCCGCGCCCGCGAGGCATTGCGACAATGTCTACCAGAACCTCTTCGCGACGCCACATTCTCCTCCGTCCTCCGGGATGACGCAGCCACCAAGCGCTGCCTGGCTCAGCTCTTGATCAACCTCTCAGACAACGTGTCTGACGGAGCCTCGGCGGCCATGTAACATACAAAAACGCATTTCTTTCATCGCGGGACGTTTTTTCTTACAACCTTACGTTATGCATGGGACAGGTTTCTGGCGAGTATTGGTCACAAGGCGCAAAAGTTATGGGTAAAGCACAAGATAAACCAATTATCACCATGATGGGCCTTGGTGGTAGTGTGTTTTTGTTCCGGTTGCTTTCTCTTTCATTCTGTCTTTTTATTTTATCGCAGCATTTCATCTTGGGACAATTCCGGGATTCGGTGATTTTCGTGTCGATGGGAGGGGACTCATGTATTCCTATGTCCTTTTTTCTTCTTCTTTTTCTCTGCCATTTTCTTTCTTTCTGCTTGCATCTTTGCTCTCTCCCATTTCTGTCTTCCCCTTATATTAGTTTTTCGTGGCGCTCACAATCGGGTGGCGTGGGTTTCTGGTTGGCGCTGTCGTTTATGTGCATTATTTACCCTCAATCCCTCTCCATTTTTGCTATGAGATAGACCCCTTTGAGCTAGAGATACCACGATCCAGTCGTTGATTTGTTTTTATGTTTTTGTCTGTTGGCTTATCTCTGTACATGTTCTCAAAAGAATGTACTTTTTGACTTGACTATTCTAGTAGACTGGGGTGTGCACTTTTAATTTATATTGTCTAATCTGTGCTGTGAAATACGTTGCTTAGTCCTTGAGATACTTGAGATTGAAGTGAGTGGTAGGTTACAGTGATTTCAAAGGAACGCCAGGTGCCTATTTAGAACGTCGTCATCTGGCTAGATATGGCATAGTACTAATATATGAAGAATACCAGTTGACAGATGCGCCAAGTTGATTTATATGTATTCGGCTTCATATTTTTATAAATTCGCAACTCTGCTTTTATTCTATCTCCAGGTCTTCACACAATTTGGCCATAGCCGCAAGAATACTTAACACCCTGACATCTAATCAATCCAGCATTTTTTCCAAGGACCATTATTCAAGATTGCAATGTCGTCGTCTTTTCCGAAATTGACCAAACGCGACCTTCACGTGATCTACCCGTGCCGACGCGCCATTCACTGAGATCATCTCGCCTCTTGAACACGAAGAGGGTGAAAAAAAGACGACACCTCCATTTATCCTTCACATTCTGCAAAATCCGTCTGATTCTAATATCAATCTGACACAATCACGTATCTGTGTGACTGGGGCTACATCCTGACTCCCTGACCTACCCCTCGAAGCAACCACCCCTACCAACACCCCGGCCTTGACCGGCCGTCCCGCCGCAATGGGATCGCGAAAGCGCAGCCGCTCCGATGCGATTGCTGCCCCTGTGCAGCAGCCAACAGAAGAACCGGGTCTGCTTCAGCAGATTCGCAACAGCTGGGAATTCGCCAGTCTCATGCAATACATAGCCATTTTTGGCAAAATTATGAAGATTGATGAGGATTTCGAGATTGAGGTAAGTAGACATTGGAATTATGCTTCCTGCCCTGTGCGCGTTTCGCACTCGGTGGCGCATGAAAGGAATCGATGTGTCTGAGTGTTTGGCGCGTTTTTTCAATGATTGGGCGGGTTGGCTGACACTTTATCCTTTTTTTTTCTGTTCGATCTAGGATCTTGAAGATGAGTGCCTCAAACCCGAGCATTCGCACAAACTATTGGAGATTGGTCTATGCCTGTTAAAATGGGTCTCATCGCATCGCGGTCTCACGTATGTCAAGATGAAACGCCCTTTGCGGCTACGCCTGGGATGAAGTGGTGAGAGCTGACACTTTGAAACAGGCCCGACACCTTCGATGAATACACACGCCGACAGTACAATGCAAAGTGTCCGCACCTGCCTAATCCCTTCGGCTACGATGAGGAACCCCTGAAATTCCTGCACTTCGATGTATTCACCAAGCTTCGTGTTCTTCACCAGCTGTCTGTGTGGACCTTCTGGAATGCCGATCGCATTCGGGATAAGATGCCGGAAAAGAAAGAAAGTGAACAGCTTCAATGGGTGAGTCTAGCACTTATTTGCTATCAAAGCGCTTGCTAACTTCCTATAAGCGCATAGAAGAGTTCGGATTTGACCGCGAAGGTCGCTCCTACTATGTCCTGGATGACAATCGTCTTTACCGCCGCACTGATCCTCCGATCCCCGCGCAACAGCGCCCCAAGAAAAAGCCTAAGAGTCGTTCTTCGCGAACGTCCCGAACCTCGAGACGTGTGTCCGCTCTCGCCGCGGAAGAAGAATCCGATAACGAAAGCAAGGGGGAAGCTACCAACGGCGCCTCGTCTGGAGACGAGTACAAATGGGAGTGTATCGCAGTTACCTTGCCAGAATACCAAGCATTCCTGGAATCCATTCGGAAAAGTAAGGATGCGGACGAGAAATACCTCCGTGATCAAATTGAGGAGCATGTCGTGCCCCTACTGGAGAAGACCGAGGAGGCGCAACAGCGCAAGCGCCAAAAACGCGAGAAGGAGCTGCTCAACATGCAGCTGCTTGCTGGAGCCAAGCGATCCAGCCGACTTCAACAAAAGGACGAGCGGGAACGTGCCGAAAGAGAGGCCATTGAGGCTGCCCGCAAGCACGAGGCTGATCTGGCTGAGGCTCGTCGGGAGCAGGCCAGACAACAACAGCTCGAGCAAGATCGGCAGTCGCGCATGATGACCCGTGAGCAGCGAACCAAGGATCGCGAGCAGAAGCGCATTTTGCACGAAGCAGAGCTTGAGCGGATCGCCGCCGAGCAAGAGAGATTAGAGCGCGGCGAAGGCAGAGTCTCTGCACGGAACTTGAAAGCCGAAATGGAGAAGTCCCAGAAGAACTTGACAGAATTGTCGCAAGATGACGAGTGGGTCTTCGATTGTTCTGGCTGTGGTGCGTATGGCGAGAACCTCGATGATGGTAGCCACAGCGTTGCCTGCGAGAAATGCAATGTCTGGCAACACAGCAAATGTCTTGGAATCGCGCAGGAAGATGCTGAAAAGGAAGACTTCCACTTCGTCTGTGGTGATTGCAAGCGAAAGGCGGAAGAGGCCAGTAGGCCCAAAATACCCCCTCTGAAGTTCCGCGTTAGTTCCTCTGCGTCGCCTCAATCCACCCCTCCATCAAGCAAGAAACGAAAGGTGGAAGACGAAGATCTTATTCCATCATCACCTGTGAAGCAGACCCATGCTGCCTTGTCTAGCCTGCAAAATGGCCCTCAGCCACCTACTACAAACCCCGCCCAGCCTTCTCTTCCCTCTCTCACCTCCCAAGGCCAATTCTACGTTCCTCCCTCCCCCGAGCGTCGCCTGCATCCCACAAACCAAACCCCTCTGCCTTCCTCCAGCCCTCCTCGACCAAATTTCTCTCCGCCAAAGAATGGCCCTGTTCACCCTTCTATGGTTGCACCTGGCCAGCATATGTTCAAACCTATGCAGCCAGGTCCCCAGCTACCTCCTATTGGAGCTTTCCATACCGTGCGGCCTTCTTCCTCCCACTCCGGACGTACTCCCACCCAAAATCAACCGGCCATGTCCCCCACCCAGGGCAACCATGAGGTTGGCCCCCTCGCTGGGTTTCCACCCGTAGCGCATGCGAATGGATCCGGCAATTGGTCTTCCTATGAAAGCTACACGACTCCCCGCCCTCAGTCCGGACATGGACTCCCACCCTCCATGTCTAGCCACTATCCCTCCTTTTCCGCCCGTGGAACCCCCAATGGCAACCACTCCTCTCCTCCGCACAGCTCTCACGGAATTGGCATGTCGGGAATCAGTCCTACCAAGCAATCCCCTCGCCCCGTGACTTCGGGTAACGGCATGGCAGGTGCTCCGGTTCTACCTCCAATCCGCCGACTAGAACCCAGCCCGAAACTCATGGGCCGTAGCTCGCCGGATGCTCCGATCCCCCCACCGGTGAAATGCATGACCCCTGAGCAAGAAGAGCGTCGAGCCCGCGAGAATGCTTCACTCTTTCACCCGGGTCCTGGTCACAGCGGTCTCATGTCCTCACCCTCTATGAACCGTATTCCCCCCCTTGGACCTGCAGCCACACAGCCAGAGCCTATGCCATCGCCCCAGCGAGGCGGTGATGCTTCACGGCAGTGAACTTACGAATAACGTCAAATGTGTCCTGTGAGTGGTTCATCGCATTTATGGTGGATCCGGCTTTGATAAGATCAAGCCCTCGAGAAACCTCACGGTTGAATTAAACATTATGCATCATTTGGAAATATCCACTTCCCTGATTTTCCCCAGTTCTTGTATTGATATGTGGATCTATCCGTTCTGAGATGAGGAGCGAATGGTGACAAACCGGAATCATTATCCCCGGCCCAGCCTCGATAGTTCAACAGTGGATGGGGCCCGTGTCCTCGATCTCGATCGATCGCGATCGATCGAGCGATCCTCAACTTACTGCGCTCAAGTCTCATCTCTGGTTGGTGGATCGATGAATAAGATGGGATGTGACTGATTGTCGATTGATATGCGTTTGATATGGGGTCATCAGCCCTATGCTCTAAAACTTGTCTTTGTTTTTTGTTGTTTTGTCCAGGTGTCTGGAGCCCTTACGAGCTTTGATACCACGTAGGCACCAGTTTATTTCTGTTCGTTTTCTTGTTACCATTTCCTTGATATGTGCATTAAGATGGTTTGGGGGTTGGGCGTTTTCAGAGGGCCTGGAGGCCGGAGTTCACGATTGATTATCTTCCTGGCCTGGGCTAGGGGTGTATTGTAATAGAGAATTCATATCGAGATCATGCCCAATTACTGTTATGAGAAGCTCGTATACCTATATAGGATATAGTCGTAATTGTAGATGACGTCCATGTCTAGCATTTGAAGCAACATAGCACCATCACGTATCATGTCCAATATTTAAATTTCCGATTCTATGACAGAACAAACTTCAACAAGACTATTGTAACATAGAAAGAAAATAAAACTCCTGGGTAATGATTGGGGACACCGGAAGACCTGGACAACTGCCGCTGCCGGCTGCAGCGACCATCAAACCCGACCAGTTGCATCCACGTAAAAACCAACAGCGGTTCTCTACGGCTCTTAGCATATTGCGCAGTCATACACGTAAACCCCTCAATGGTTTCACGTCATAATTCAATTTTTCAATAGTGCGAAGGAAAAAAAATCAAGCTAGTACAGCACGAATACAGAAAAATCTAACCTATCTAGGGGAATGTTTGTCCCGACCTAATGATGCGTGAATTTTCTAATACGACATCTTACGCAATGCATACTCAAGTGGGAAAATGTTGGGCACCTCCTGACTCAGGTAGTAATTAGTAGATCTAGGGTCTTGATCCACTCACGTGAACAAATCATATGCGGGGCCAAACAAAAGAAAAAAAGTAATAAAGCCCAAAGTACCAAGATCGATTCACACGCTAAGATGGACTAGGATCCACTTTCGTGCAAGCGATGGCACTAGCTAGACGCGCGCGATCTGCATAGCCCGTGTGATTCGTCCCCCCCTAAATCCAAACCAAAGCTCTCGCCACGAGGATTGTACCGAGTGCTAGAACACGTAATTGATACATCACCTCCGACGAAGATAACTGGTAATTAAAATTGGTAATCAATTAGAAATACTAACAAACTCTGTGTTTGACAATGCAGTAGATCTCTTAAACCT